TGAGGTGTAACTGAGTGTAACAGAGAAGGCCAATGGTGCACTTAGAAGGGCTGGAGTGGGCAGAAGAACTTAGTCCACTAAAGACATACCCAGTACATCGATTAATCAATGGAAAAACTATGTATAGGGAAGAGAAGTACAAGTAAACAGCATATTCGTAAGTGAAAAAGTAGTCGTTTGTCCAGTGTCTCCCAAAACATCAGCTAACTCACTGCATGTCAACTCAATGCATTTATGATGTTGCACATATACATTATTACCCCCAAAAAATGAATTACTCAATTAAAATAAAATTTGGTTGACTAAGCGACACCATGAACTGATGAATCAATTAAACAACTAAAGGTCTACAGCCCAAGAAGTCAGACTTGAGGCTGGAATAGTCCTGATTTAGGTCTGTTTGGTCCTGTTCTAGTTCTGATTAAGTCCTTAACAAGTCCATATTTAGTTTCAGGATTAGTTACTGTTTAGTCACAGTTTTGATGTGTTTTTTATGCCATTGTACCAAGTGTCATTGCACCCTGAGTTTCAGTCTCTACAATCAGTAACACGGTATGTATTTTCACTTCCCCTTATCCAGACATTCAACTGATGTTTTCATTTTCAACTCAAACGTTCAAGTTGAGTCACTTTTACTTTTACTATTATAACAATTAGTGCAGTCTAAGCCCAGTCACTAGCAGTAAAGCCGAAGTCTAGTCCTGAGCCTCACAAGCCCCATCATCTACTTGTTGAAGCATGAGTCCAGGCATAATGCTGTAACCTATAGTTAAATATAACAATACTACAAGGCAAGCTTATTTAGCCAACAACATTAACAGTCTGGTTTGTGTTCACATTTCATCTCACACTTACGTACACTCTAGTTAAACATCTCATTTTCTCCTCCTTTTTCCCATTCCCAGTTCTCATTTCGATCTTGTTACGCACTACCCTGATTGGTTAAATGAGTATAATTTTTGCTTTTCTCCCAGCACATTTCTCACTGGAGCTGCTGAAGTAACACACTTATTTGGTCATCACTCTGTGTCATTTGAACCCCTGTGATCCTGGTCCAGCCCGTACAATAAGATACCTTGAGGCCTGTGGTTCATGGGTCTTTGTGCTTTGGTATCTGGCCATGGTACCTGCTTTGTGCCCTCTATAGAAAAAACTCCTCTCTCAAAGCTCTGGAGGCTTTCTTTTTTCTTTGCCTTGGCCTCGCTCTGTTCTGCTTCCAATTGCTTAAGCCTTCTTTCCCCTTCACGGACATACAAGTTTTATTCCACTGGTAATTTTGCTATAATTATTCCAATAGCATATAATATAAAGTACATGATTTCAGAACTTATAAAACTTTAACATGTTAGCATAAAATGGAAAGTTCAAAAAGGAAAATTTGGTTTCAAAGCAGCCATGTACATGAATATATATTGAAATCTTTATTATTACAGTGAATGCTTTATTACTGGGAGGCCTATTGAACGTGTTGTTCAATGAGGTAGAAATCCACTGCTGCTGCAATATTATATTACCACTGTTACTTCTACTAATACAATGACTTGTCCACAATTCAGGTGTTAAACTGGGCTTGAGTGAAGCCTTTTGTTTTCAACATTTGCTCATAGGATATAAACCTTTTTAAAAATCTACTGAGAAAGTAAGAATTGTTCCCAAATGTCTTTCAAAAATTGAAGCACTAGCAAAATTAAAATGTGCTTTCCACTATTGTTCAAGAAGGCATTAACAGAACTGCACTGTTGTTTCCATGTCCTAAGACAAAAATCAGCAAAAAATATCCCTCAGTTTTTATGAAAAGGACTTCTGAGACTTATGTCCTGAATCAGAGGAGGGTTTGAAGTGGGTAAAAGAACAGCTGGTCTTTGGTGGTAGCACAAAGACATGCATAACATTGCATCAACTCAGTAAAGGAGAAATCTTTCTCTTGATAATGTGCATATCTTAACATATTTTTGTGATGCCATCATTGGGAGAAATAACATCTACATTTTATTTAACAGTGGAATCCTTCATTTTCTTTCATCCGCTTTATCTAGATCACCGTGTTCTTACAATATTGTCACTTCAAAAATCAATATTACTGGTATATTATTGGTTAACCACATAATCATGACATCCCTGACATCCCTGTTCAACCAGTGTACACATACCTACAGGCTGTGTATTGCCACTGTGCTCAAATATTTCTGAGATAATACAGCTTTGATTGATTGATTGATTTAAAAAGAAAATGAAAAAAAAAATTTGTGTAAAGGTGCATTCTTGGTTACAGAGATATCAATTTAGTTCTGTTTTTCTTCATAATCCAACCAGTATAAAACAAAGTAAAACTAGGGTGTATCATATGGAAAAGCCAGGCACTGTGCTCGGATCTGTTTCTGTGTAAAAAAAAAAGCTTGCATAGCCCCCTTTCAAATCAAAGCCCCAGTGAATAGCCTTGATTCGCTTTGAGCCCTTATCATACAGTTGGGGTTATTGGAGTGAGTTCGTTGGAGTTGGCTGGTGCTGTAATGGAATAGAAACATGACCCAGGGGAGCGCACACATTTACGCACTTCCACTGTAATAATGACTGGGGCTCCACCCGTTTATTTTCCCCTCCGCTGGAAACACTCACAGCACTATTTCTGGGCAACCGCATATACCCCTACACGTTAACTGGAAAAACATACCCATGCGTGGCTCTCTGACAGCTGCCTTTGTCTTGTTCAGAGCCTAACAACTTAAACCTGCGGTGAAGTGATAATAAACTGATGGCAAACATGATAACTGACAATGTCCTTATCTTAATGCATCATGATTGTACAAGTTAAGAGGTTGTTAAACTATAAACAAGGGGCAAAGGAAGTATGCAATCACAAATGATTCACAAGGTTGATAAATAATATAAGACAACGATCCCAGATGTATGTATTTACTCACTTTGGTACAACTATTAAATTGACTTACGAAACATTTTATATGTATACATATCATCTGCCGCTACTCTTTAGGACTTGGTTTTATACATACAATAATTAATCACAATTATTGATCATTGTTTTTTTTTTGTTGTTTTTTTTATTTAACATACACATCTCATTAAAACAAATAAAATAGCTTTCTCCTAATTTTTTAAATCAGTGGTGACTAAATGCACAAAAACAAGACAAATTTATTCCTCCAGAGGCTGAAGTCTGCTCCAAATTACATGCTTTTGCTTCAGAAAATTGACCATATAACTCTTGATTAAAAAGACCCAAGCTTATCACTGATGATTTGAAAATATTTGATTAAAATGGATTAGCCTTATTACTACTACATTAATTATAAGCACAACTACTGGTATCACTATTAGCACTATTACTGCTACTACTACTACTACTATTACTACTACTACTACTACTACTACTACCACCGCTGCCACTACTACTATTGTTACTACTACTACTACCGCTACCACTACTACTACTATTATTACTACTACTATACTGAAGCGAGGAGTCACTGTTGTTCATGTTGCTTTGCCTTCAAGATTGAAAACATTTCTTATAGAATTTCTAAATTCCAGCAATTTAAAGTAAAATGGATTTTTGTGTGGATTTGTCGCTTTTGCCCTGAGACAGCACAGTCTGTTTTTATTTATTTTTATTCTGTTTTCTTCGAAGGAAATGTACTTTTTATTATAAGCATCTAGTTGCTCTACTTAAGACAAAGTGGCAAAGCAAAGGTAACTTTGAACCGCCCTAGTTTTAACACAACCCAATAATGAAATATTGACCCAGATGACTAATACAAATAAGAGCTGTGTGGGTTTGTTATAATGATGATATTGAAAATTGAAGCCTCTCCACGTGTGCTTGTTTCGTCCATCCTGTCCTCACTGCGAGATCCTTGTTTCTCCAATTTGGACAAAAAGCTCTCAATAAAAGCATTACACATCATTGACAGTGCGACAAAAACTAACCCAGAATATCTCCCCTCGGAGGATTTCTCATCTTTACACAAACACACATTACCAATTCACAATATTCTTTTGTTTGTCCACATCTCTACTGCAGCATGTGGGCATTTGCGTCCTCATACATTTCATAACCATCTAAATAAATCACATATATTCCTCTGCATGCTTTTGGCCAATTCACCAATGCCAAAAATTCTCCTTACTAGATTTTCATTTCAATGGGCACATATTGTTCTCACTTTTAACAAATCTATCAGACATTTTTTTGGCCTCTAATCTGATGATCTGGTTCAGGGGATACGCTGCTACTGTGAAAGTACATTGTACCTTTGCAGTTTTGGGTGTATTAAGGACATTTCGTCTCTGGTGAGATGAGGCTGCACGGTCAGACTGGTGGTGAAGCTTGTTATGCTGTCTGTTGGGGTCCATAGTATCTCCTCTTCCCTAAGAACTAGAGACAAAATGTCACCATCTATATGTCAATTATAGCTAGCTCATACAGTGGGGTATGCCAATTTAACAGCCAGGGCAAGGCACTCATTCTAAAATACATAACCTGCCTGTTTCTCACCGCAGCCTTTCTCTAGACTTGTACAAAAAGTTGGGATTCAGTTTTTTAGCTCCTACTGGTTTAGGATTCTCTCACTTGCTACCTTCTGAAGTGTTATTTGGTGCCTTGGCCAGGATCTCATTGTGGTGTGCAGGGGTGTGAAGATTTGATGAAATTGCTCCAAAAATTTCACAAGATTGACAGGGAACATTTCGATATTTCTCAAATTACCAGCACGGAGCCAAGTAACGGAATTCTTTTCCGTTTAGAGTGTCCTCATGGCAGTTTGATACATGCACATGTGAAGTGTTATGCTAAAGAATAAATTACAATATGATTTATTTTATGTTTAGATTATAGACCGAATCATAGTTATAAAGATGATTGTATATGGTAATCTATTTTATAATGACTCTGCAAATCCCAGTAGTTCCTCTTCTAACTGCAGTGACATTTAAATACTGTAACACCTTGACTAGTGTTTTTTTTTGCTTGTGTGTTTGTTCAGTAAAGTACATGCGTGAGGCCACTCCGTACGTGAAGAAGGGCTCTCCAGTGTCAGAGATCGGTTGGGAGACCCCCCCTCCAGAGTCGCCTCGCCTAAGTCCCAGCAGCCCCTCGTCGTCCGTCTCAGAGCCCCCCAGCCCCCCTCTGCTGTCCCCCCATGGAGACCGCAGGTGCATTCCATTAAAGATGTGCTATGTCACCAGAGCCATGACAACACCAGACCCAGACAACAGGTAAGAAATAGTCCATGCACAAAAAAGATACTGCAAAAGGTTGTACAGATAGGCAGTACTCAAATGCGAGTGAAGTAAGATCATTAGGCCATGGCACTCTAATGTACTCTGCATGTGATCCATCCTTCAACTCAACCTGAGAAGCAGTGAGCTACTTCTTCTCCAGATCTTGATCCATATGATGAATGGTCTGGAGGTTTTATGAGGAGGATTTTCTATTATGCATGTTTTAGATTCATTGATTTCAGCACTAACCCACCCGGCAATAGGAGAAGAGAAAGGTCAAGGAACAGCCGCATATTCAAGAAAATCATTTACTGGGGTAAAAGTAAAAAGGTAGTAGATACATTTTTAATACTGCTTCCGGATCCCCCAATACACATGCCTGCTTCTTATTTTTGGTAGTAGATAAAGTTTAGTTGGTTTAAAACTTTAACAAATGCTTGAAAAATAGGTTACATTACATACATAAATTCCTACAGTATGTCCTCCAGTCAACACCAGTACTGCACTTGGACATGGGCAAGTTTGACAATGACAGAAACAGGAAGTATCTTCAGGGTCCACAGCTGTCTTGTGTTCCTCGGAGGGGATTATATCTCTGTGTGTCTCCGTTCACACCAAGTTCATTCTGAATTTTGCTTAAAGACAGACTTTTGAAGTAGACCATTTCCACTCAGCAGGGGTGCACTGTTATGAGGTGTCCTCCAGTTAATTGGTTTGTAATGTGAAAATGCCCCTAACCTAAAATCGCAGATGTAGAGTGCAGTGTAGAGCCTAGACTGCCACACAACACCACACTGAAGTGACCCATTTTTCGATTTAACAATTTCAGATTTTGTTTTTTGCCAGCCTTGTTTTGTGGGCACTTCACTGTGTAATTTTGACTCAGTCATCATGATTGGACCATTTGTATGTTTTTCAGAAGAAAAGTGGCAGATTGTAATGTTTTTAATTTGAGTTCTGTCCTTTGTAATTTGCTTGGGTTGTGGTTGGGTTGGTAGGTCTATTAAAGAAATAGTTGTTTTGAAAAATATTACGCTCCCACTCATAATTAACTTTTTTTGGAAAATCTTGTGTTGCTATGAGTTTTTTATCTTCCAGTAGTTGTAAATGATTATTTGATTTAATTAAAAATGGCACGTACACACCTCACCATTACTTGTTTTTCTGCAGTATCTGTGGCCTGCATCCAATTGTCCTCCCTTTGCATTAATGTGATACAGAGCCAGATACTGTAATGCCCAAATTCACTTCAAAGCATCAAAGTCAATCTGTAACAGGGAACAAACATGTCTGTGGAGACTTTGTGAAACTGCCCACAATCTGTCCTCTAAACAATGTTGAATACCGTTTAAGTATTAACCATTCGAGTTGGAAACTTACCACATGTAACTCACTTTGAGCTAATAATAGGAAAATCATATAAATTCAAACTGCTGAAAATTACAATAATACTGATTTGACAAGCAACCACACTGTGTAGCTTTTACAAGAAATGTACTATGTAACTCTGGTGGAGGGTTCGTAATTTGCTTGTCTCCAAGGAAATGTTAGTGCATTAAACTTATCTATCTCCATGGAGTTGAGCAGGTGACGTTACCAGGCCAAGTGACAGGTCAGATCGGTGGAGAACCACAGTTACAGTACATGTTTTCTGAAGTCATTTTAAGCATTATGTAATTGAAAAAATGTAAGATAAATAAGTTTAATGCAGTACTACGTCGCATTCCAGGTAAAGGAATAAGTAAGATATCCATGGAGACAAATAGCTGGTATATCCCGTGCACCTTTAAAATATATTAAATCCACTGAGTAAAAGTTTCAACAAAATGAAATATTGCCACAAAATGTTATATTATTTTAATGTTAAAATCACCTTTAGTAGCAGTGTCAATAGAATAGCTCTCGAGTTGCGTAGACAGGGTTGTCTAAGGATTTTGAGTTGTTCTTTCACCTCTGATGAAACTTCCTGACCTGTTGTAGACTCTGCTGTAAAGCGTTTGATAAATATTTACATGGAAGAACACTGGCTGAAAAGAAAAAGTGTGTTTTATTTGGTTTCCTTATCTTTTTTCCTCACCTAACAGCAGCTCTCACGAGTATTTCTCCTTGTTTTTCAGTAGATGTGGTTTAAACCGGGTTTAGAGCTGCATCAGACAGGAAAGACAGATAGGGGAAAGTGTGGCTACAGTGGTGAGAACAGATAAGTGATTAGATAAGAGAGGCTGTTTTTACTTTAGATGAAAAATAGGCTGAGTTTTCGCGCAATTATACTAAAAATAGAGATGTTCATGTGCAACAAAACCACTGATGTGTTATAGGTGTAAACAGTTGGTCAATAACAGAACTCTTTTTTTTACTAATGATAAAATGGTATTGCTTTACATTTTTATTGTGCTTTATAAGTTTGACAGGCCACTTAATTTTCTACACTAGTATACTCATTGATTGGTTAATTTGTTCACTCAGTACAGTTGATGGTGGTAAGCTCCTTTTGTAGCCACAGCTGCCCTGGGGTAGACTGACAGAAGCAACACTGGCCCTTTTGTCAACAACCAATATTGTTTTGGAGATTACAAAAAAAAACAAAAAACAATTCTATCAGTTTGAGTTCTTGTTTTTATTGTAAGAATGGTATTGATAAATTGGCCATTTGAGTTCTATTCCTGGTATTAAGATGGCTAGAAATCTTAGTTGTTTGATGTATCAGAAGAACCAATAACAGTGGCCATTACACAACTGACTCCTCTTCTGGTGAGTTACTATAGACAGTCATATCTTACATTGTTAGCCGAGTCTAGAGTCATGGTGGGAGCAGAGGGAGCAGGTGACTGTGGCAGTAACAGCAGGGTTCTTCACAGTATGACGTCTTCTGCCTCTTCTCTTTAACCTTGACGAGTCTATTAAAGGTTAAAATTGCCCTGGCCATATCTGTTTGAAGTGACAGTACCTCTGTGGTGCAGCGGAAAGAAACGCCATGGGCCAAGAACAATTCAGTCTCGAAGTACCGTTAACATTTGAAATTCAATTATGAACACTGCTAGACTATGCAGAGGGTAATGGTCACAACGGTAAAGACTTTCCTCACTTACTTTATGCATTCTGAGTCTCCTAATGATTCACGATGATGAATTTATGAGCACATTTCACAACTTTCAGGCACTGGTGTGAAGTTTACTGTGATAAAGCTAACAATAACTAACATACTAATAGTGCACTTCCTGCTTATAGGGCAATTAAATGCTTTATAATTAGATGCAGACAGCAGTCTTATTTGTACTGGGGCAAGAGGTTTTGTTGTTTTTATATACATATATATGTGTGTGTGTGTGTGTATATATATATATATATATATATATATATATATATATATATATATACATGAATACAATATGTGAAAACAATCGGGTACAGACTTTTTAAACTGTGTGTACTATTTCCATTGAGCCAGAAAGTAATCAGCCAATATCACTTAACATTATAGATCTACAGCAGAAATCAATACCTTTGTTGCTGGACCATTACTCTTTATTTGAAAGTGAAATTGATCTAGTATAAAAAACAAATAAATGTTAAAGTTTGTATTTTTCTGAAACACATTTTTATACATGAATAAAATGAATGCACGGTAGACTGCTGTTGGTTTTGTATGAAAGGTTAATGGAAATCAAGCCAAATGTCAAGCCAAAGTCAGATAGTGTAGATAGCATAACTGCACAACTCAGTGACACTGAGTTTAAATTTGTATCATTTTTACACATTTTATCACTAACAATTATTATCATGTGAAAACTGCAATAGTTTTTTTTTTCTATTCCTTTGAATTTTGGATGCATTAAAGCACAGAAATCTCACTGTATAAAGCCTTTGGTATTCGCCTGTAAAGTTAAAGAAATGTATAAAGGCTGTGGATGATTCTCTTCAAGGCCCTCAGACAGTTAGAATCCTTCATCATTATCATCTGTATTCTGTGACAGCTCCCACATCTATACACCCACAAAGTACAAGTCCAGCGGGAACAGCCCCCTTCATCAATCAGGCACTTTAATGTGGAAGAGGGGACACACTTGTATAATAATGCATTGTGCTATGTAGCTCGTTCTCGGATTCACCGCAGAGTTTGACATCAGCGATAGCTATAACCAAATGCCAGTCGATTTCTGTTTTGAAGACTCTGATTCATACTTGTGTTTTAGTTGAGGTGCTTCTGATGCCATATTGGTGCAGTTTGTATATTAAGTCATACTCAGGGAGCTTGAGTAAAGACACTGAAGCATGTTTTAAGACATTTAACAATTTAAAAAGTTCACTATGTCACTTTTCTGATAGAGGGCCTGATTATTTCCATGGACATGTTATTGCATTTCCTAGAATGCACCACAGTACAGCATTAGACTTATCTATATACATAGAAACAAGCAGGTGATGCCATCAGGCAAGTTACAGAGGTGAGCTTGCTCATGGTAAGAATGCTTGTGTTTCAAGGCAATTTTAGCACCCATAGAACTGAACAAATGCTAAATAGATAACCTAAATGCCATAGTGTAGAAGATTCCAGATAAATAACATTACCATGGAGATAAGTAAGTGGGGGACCCCTCACCAGAAAATGGACAATTGTGAATCTTTTTTAATATTGGCAGTCATTAAAATACCGGTCATTAAACAATAAAAAAACAACTGTATTGACAATATGTAATAGGTTCATGAATAGTATAGGACTAATAAAAGTATAGATGCATTGATTTATGATATGTAATTCACAATTAATGTGATGCTTTGTTGTAGAACAAGACATTTCCTAATCCCAATCAAACAGCCCATTAAACCTCCTTTCCTCCTCTTGTCTCTGTGCATAATTAGCATACGCTTTACATTTTACAGACTATTTTTAAAGTCGTGTTTTAGTGAGCACCTGCAGACGATGTGAGTGCTCTTCCACCAGGGTTTCCCCTTCCCCAAGAGAGAGGGAGAGGAATCTGCAAAACAAGCATGTCCAGATTACTTGAATTTATAGTTTCTTTGTTAAACAGAAAGTGGTGGTCAAGATTGTTTAATGATAAATTGTTTCCCACATGACGTAAACACTTAATTATATTGTGCATTTACTTGTATTTACTTATATCTACTTTGAGATTGTACCAAGGTCTGCCGTTTTGCTTATTTTTTCATTTTACCTTTGTCTATAGCAAGAATTTTTCAAATAAGTGGAACGCCTTGACATACTAATGTACATCACCAATAGTAGTCATAGATTTGAATAAATAATGTATGTCTGTATTTAAAAGTTCCCTGCTGAATCTGTGACTTTCATGCATAATGAGTACATCTAGTGCTTATACAACCAGCTACTACTATCAGCAGTGGGGTTACTTTCACTGTAGTCTATTATTTGAAGTGTTTTGTTTAATTTATATTCTTGAAATCAGCATTATCTTCTGACTCAGCTTCTGCCATTGAACATCTTAACAGGAGTCCCCTTGTACACCAAATACTTTCTACTTGACACTTCTCTTATGCAGATGTGTCAACTACAGTGGTGAGTCTGGGCAACACTTGATTATGCACTGTGAAAAGTTGCATTAAGTATCTTTTTAAAATTCATATACAGGGCACACAATCCAAAAGTCATCCAGCTGAGGCATTCTTGTGTGGGCCACAAGATTAGTTATGGAAATGTGGTGCAGACTGCATTGTGTCATCTGGTCCACAGGGACTGTTTTGTGCCTGTTGAGTTTTGAATTGACTTGAATAAAGTTTTAAAAAAATTTAATACAACTCATTTGATTGTTTTGACTGAGTGCCCATTTCCAAGTTGATGGTATAAACAAGCATCTGTTGAAAACATTTGGGACCTAACATGTTGACAGTCAAATTGAACTTGTATGAGAACAGCGGCATAACAATTTAAAATTCATAAAGTTATTTGCCAAAGGTTGTATAGTGTAAAGGTTAGGGGACAGTGTGTGAAATGGGAGGTTAATGCAGGTTAAACCTTTCTTATCTGTTTCTGCAGACAGCTGGAGCTGCACTCCCCTGACACCAGACACACCGTGGTTCTGCGCTGCCCAGACCAGCCATCTGCCCTGTCCTGGTTTGCCGCCATGCACTCTGTCACCACGGCGCTGGCCCAGGTGCTCCTATGCGTTCACTTACCTCACTTTTTATTGGTGCTGCATGTGGCAAAACTTTATTTCCTAGTGATACTGACTGGCCATTCCTGTACATAACCAGCCAGTCACCAGGTACATTTTGCCTTGAACGTTCCACAGCAATGCATTAAACTTATCTAACATACTTTTATTCAATTACAGATGTTTTATTGCCTTGAAAAAAACTCTGACATGTAATGTGGTGAGTGCCACCTGCTTTTTCCATGGAGATAGATACGTTTAATGTCACCCTGTGGAACATTCCTGGGAACGCAATTACTATGGAGACAAGAAGGTGGTGTAAATGGCAATGTTAAATTAAAAGCATTTTAGCTTTGTTTAAAAATACTTGTTTAAACAGCAATAAAACTAATTTAAATGGAGTTGGACAGAGATTATACAACAGGTAACAGGTAACTTTTGCAAGTTTTTTTTTTTTTTTTTACAGATAAAGTGTAATGTGACCACTTGATTTTGTACTAGCGCTGTACTGTAGTGTAACTTCTTTATTGCACCCTTTATTTAGGACATGTAATTTGTTTAAAAAGTGATTTTGCACATGCACAAATACAATTACTACTTTAGTGATGAATAGTTTGGATGTCTGTAACCCAGGAAAATGAGTTTGTCCTTCTGTGCATGTAGTGACTCCACTCTCTATCCTCTCTGTGTGCACTGAGCATGATCCAATCTCCCACTGTCTCACCACAGCGCGCACTGGCAGAGGTCATACAGAACCACGGCAGGACTGGCATCGCTGGCAGCAAGGAGATCAGACACCTGGGCTGGCTGGCGGGGAAGGTAGGAGATTTGCGTTAGCGCATGGAAGCGGGTGTGAAATGCATGCATTATGGAAGTATACAATGAGTTGTTTCGAAGAGTGACGGGCGCCCACGTTGCATTTGTCACATTTTATTAGTCTGTCTTGCACTGCCAGATTTTGATAGCTGCACCTGTTAGTTTTTGTCATTCATTTGCCGCCATTAAAAGTGCCCATTTAATCGCTCCCATTCCTACAATTATAAAATGGAAATGATTGGTATGCCTCAGTACAGCTTGTGTAGTCTGTTTGTATGCATAATTTCATTTATTATATCTTCAAAAAGAATTCATAGGTAAGTGTTTGCACAGCCACATACGCACACCTGCATCAAGCAGACATACAGTTGTTATAATTGAATCTGACAATAATTGATCCTTCCCACACACTGTACATCACTGTTACTTAGCAACATATTGTTATTATGTTAAAAAGCTGACCTATGACCTGTTAAGTCCTTCAGTGTGATTGGCTGAGGCAGAACTTCAAAGACGAGCTTAGGATTCCATAGCTATGCTGCAGATAAGCTCTATAATGAGAGTAGTTAAAGAGCATTGTAAAATAAAACTCGCGGCTGTGTGCAGGAGGTCTAAAGATTAACAGTGAGTTTTAAATAGAGTCAAGGGGGTCTGACAGAGGGGGGGTCTGCTTGTTAGAGGCACCAGTGGGCAATAACTGATCACAGGAAAAAGTTAACTGCAGGTTTGTGTTTTGTGTTATTTAACTTTTGCAGTGCCCTGAATTTTTAATTTGGAGGAGTGCAGGTTTTGTGTAAAAAATATTTCATTGTTACTAGACTTCCCCAGTGAGGCAACATTTATTTGTTCTAAAGAGAAAATCTGCTCCTGTTTCCCTGCTGAGTAGAAACAAAAGAACTTTTAACAAGAATGTCTTCTCTATTAAATAACATTTATCAACTACATCTCTATTTTGTCACACTAAAAGCACTAATTAATACTTTAGTGAAGGACAGACGTCTGTTGATTTAATTATTTCAAACAAAAGATCTGAGTATGCTTTGATTTCTTAAGTATATTAAGTTATGAATTGGTACTTGCAGAAACTTGAAAAGCTTAGACCTTAGGGGAACTGCTTTCTAAATTGTTATAAGATGTACTTGTATGCTGGTGTGCTCCTTCAAAAGATAAGAGTCTCAAGTGGCCACAGTTTTAAATAAAATTGTAGAGGTAATAATATCAAAAAGATATTAAAAATAAATAACTCAACGGTTGCAATTTAGACATATCTCTTTTTTTTTCAAACCTAAAATGAAGGTGAACTATGTAATTTTTTCTGGTGGAGGATCCGTCTGATTAAATCTACCTCCATCAAGACAAGCAGGTGATGCCACAGGGTCAAATTACACCAGAAAAGTTACATAGAGCATCTTTAATTCATGAGTAAATCCAGGTTTGCTTAGATCCTGTGTTCTGTCTCATTATTTGTGGTTGTGTTGCAGACAGAGAGCGAGAAGCAGAGCTGGAAGCCGGTGCTGGTGGTCCTCACTGAAAAAGACCTGCTGTTATTTGACAGTCTCCCACGAGGCCGAGACGCTTGGCAGAACCCCACACACACATACCCTCTGTTGGCCACGCGGTACGTCTCACACACACATGCACTCACACACACACAGAATAATACATCCACTACTGCTCTGTATTCAGTCAATTGTTTCATCCTCCCATAGCGGTGTGGTTTAGATTTTCAACATCTCTGTATTGGAAATATGGTGAGATAGAACAGGGGTGGTCAAACTTTATTTGTTGAGGGCCACATTATGAATCATACAAAGCGCAGGTTTTCAAAGCAGTAAATCATTCAAATGGTTCAATTTAGATTTTTAATTGGGCCACCACATTCTTACTTGGGCTTAAAATCTTAATATCCAGTCTGTCTTAGATTGAGAATGTTTGCTATTGAGATTTAGAGGCTGAAGAGATTCCAAACAGATAGACAGACAGTGAGTTAATTATTGCGTATGCCTTTGTGTTAGCACTGCAACTTACTCGTTCTTACTCAAGTTTACCCCACCGTATTCTCAAAGTTTTTTTAGTCAGAAGGATAAACTTTCAGTGAATCAAACTACAAAAGACAGTCTGTTTTGTCTTTTGGTGAGTAACAGAACTGAATGTGATTTGACACAGTCTGGTGCAGTCTGGCCCTGACCTGGGCTCCCCTCACTCGGGCACAGAGCTGTACTTTGCCACTCGGACTGGCACACGGTTGGGCATCGAGACGCACCTGTTCAGAGCTGAGACCACCAAAGACCTGTCTCTGTGGACCAGGCACATCGTCACCGGCTGCCACACCTCTGCTGAGATGATCAAAGAAGTTTCCACCAGTGAGTACAGCACATATAACCCATGCTCAATCAATAATTTAATCAATAATAATAACGCCTTACATCAGTGTTGACAAAGCCTCTCACATACACTTCAGTTAATATAAATGAACTGAATATGGATAAGAAGCTAATGCCATATTTAACTCATGTATGTATGTATATAAAATTAAGTAACATAATATCGCTGTTATATGTAAATTTGTATCTCTTACGTGGTGAATTGCACTTCTGGTTAGAAGCTAAACTCCATTTTGTTGCACTGTAGTTGTACAAGTGTAATGACAATGAAGTCGAATCTAATCTAATCTGATCTAATCTAATCAAAAAGTTACAATGTAGTCATTATCCAGTCATTCCCTAGTCTGTGGTAATAAGGTTTTCTGTAGAAGTACACTCACAGAAGGCAGGGTGGATGAAGTGTCTTGCCCATGGGCACAACAGCATTATTATCCTGTGTGTGTGCTCACTGGGCCAGATCTGAGCCTGCAGAGGGAGTGGAGTGGATGCAATCAGTTAGAATTTGTTAACCCAAAAAAGCCAAGTAAAAAAGAAAGTAATAAAAACTGAGAAACCATAATAAACCGTACAATTTATTTATAGAAGACGTGCTTTTGTCTGCTATATAATAATCTGTCTATGGCACACATGGATCATTTGTTTAAAGAATACTGAAACATGCATGAATCACTCTAAATATAACTTCAAGTAGGCAAATAAGAAGAGAAAACAATTACATATGGCAACATAAGAATGTTGTAATATGGGTGTGTACTGTAGCTTGGCTGGTCACTCCTATGAGATGCTTTCCTCATACGCGCTCAGGCCTGTCCTTGCAAAACATATGCTGCAAGATTTAGTGGGCTGCTGCAGTAAGTCTTGCCTCAGGTCATGTAAGCCTGAAATAAAACCTAAATGCAGTGGATAAAAGCAAAGATACACATGCTCTGCACTGGAATAACACATGTGATATAATGTGACAGCCATATAGAAGCATGGACAAAGCACTTCCTATTTTTGGAAAGGAATGCCATGCTTTATCTTGTTTCAGTCTGCTATTTGGCACTGGGCATTGGTTGTCCTGGGAATTACATACACAAGTACTATCCCTCTTTGCTCCGTCCCTCCCATGGCCCAAAGCATCCTGGGAACACGCAGGTCCCCTGGGGCATGCATAGTGCCCATGGAACACCTCACCAAATTAGGTTTTGCCTTTTTAAATCAGAATATGTGAAGAGCTGGTCGTGTGTAGGCAGAAAAATCCCCTTTAAATCATAGATGTGTGGACTTAGGTGAGAATGTTATACTTTAATGAGAACAGCAGGGCCCCAGTCTGTGCTGGAGAGTTCAATTATAATGGAACACTAAGGTGGGACATAAAATAGGATTGTACATGTCATGGTACTCGGCTGGAAAATGACTATGACTGACGTGAGATAGGGTTATGACCAAAAGCAGAGCTCAAAACAAGAGTCAGTTACCAAGCAATACTGCTGTTTTAGTATTTGCACAGTAAAAAGTAAGAATTTGGTTTCGGAATTGTCTGAATATTATACAAATATTTCAGTACAAGGCTAAACTTCAAAAGAATTTCAATAATATTTAGTTGGCATTGCAGAAAATTAAGCATTTTTTGAATGGGATATCATAAACCATGTGTGAAGTGAACATTTTATTCTCGAGGTTTGTTTGATATTGTTGTAGTATGCTGTTTTTTAAATATGTGTTAAAAGAAAGTAGTCAAAAGTAAATAAGCAGTTGAGAATCAAACTGAACAAAATCAGAAATGAAATACTACTGGATCTTTCCTGAACAGTTTTAGAATGACCTTTTTATATTTTATAACTGGCATAAAACTGTATAATAATAAAGAAATTATTATAATTTATAGAAATTTACTGTTGTTTTGTGTTATCATCATGTATCAAATCAGGAGTATTTTACACAGTACATATGTGAGGTTTTGTTACGAGCTGCATAAGTTAAAGAACACCACACCGCATTATGACTAATAATAGGCAATTAGTGCTCAGTCCTTCACTCATAAAGTTAACAAACTATTCAAAGTCATTACAATCATTATTGGATTTATCAACTTTTCAGTTTCAAATGTTTGAAAAGTCCACTCCAGTGTAATTATGCAGTGAAAGAGTGGAAGAGGATTGACTCTCTTTGCTGTCATGCCGTTGACCTTGTCTGTGTTTGATCTGAGTATCTCTCTGATAAATGTCTGGGATGGTTTCACTGCTCATGATGAAGATGTGCGGCTGCTCACATAGATCAACTCTCAATCACATTCTGGGCACAGGGCCATTCTCACACAACTTTTTAAGAGATCTGCTATTCATTCTGGTCTGCAATCACATTTTAACAGCACTTGGCTTTGCTATCACTTTATATGGCACTGATCATTCTTTCACTTGTCCAGACCACATCTGCTACACGTAAATTTTTGCCTAAGTTGTCATAATTAAACTAGTTAAATTAGAGGATAAATATACTTAAAATTATGCCTTAATAACATCATCTCCAAATAGCATCTGTTCTGCTGAAAAATGTTTCTTCAATGAAAGACATAATTAAATGAAAGACTTAAATGACTAAAATTTCAGTCATTACAGTGACCGCCTACGCCCCCATTTCTAGAACTGCATATTGAAAGTTTGCAAACTTGCTCAGGGCTAATCAGCTATGTGTTAACTAATGACAACAAGACCTATAATTTTATTTCAAATCTGCTTCTGAAACATTATAAATCGCAAAAATTCTTGGGCTTAAAACAACCGCGTTGTAGATATTAGTTAGTACGTAGCTGGTTAGCCTCTGCAAGTGCCCTTGAACTTGAAAAAAAAAAAGTGTATGGAAAAAATGAATGGAAAATTTACTTCCAGAAGCAGACCAGGCGCTCACTTTGAACTCCATTAATTCTAAAGAAAAGGCACAAAATATTATTACTCTATTACATCTGCAATAGAACCAAACAGTTCCAAAACTATTCAGGAAAGGCCCAATCCTGTTTCATTACTGACTTGTTCCAATCAGTATGTTGTTTTAATACTAATTAGTAGTGATTAGTATCTGGGTATTGATAGTTCACAGCTTTATTACTGATGCATTTCATATCCTCTTGTTTGTGCGACTATAGACATCCCATTAGTCTGGCAGAAAGAGTCAGATCGATCTCGAGGTCAAATGCACTAAAGAAACAGGTAAACAGCTTAATGACAGTGTGTGTGAGAAGCACTTAACCGCGGCAGCTGTGCAGAACTGAACCTGTTGACCTACTGCGACTCCCCAAGTCTCACACAGCACGGTGCAACCTTTAAAGAGCAGCTAATGTCATTTAGAAGTTGTAAATAACTGAAGGAATTGGGTTTTTGTCCCATGGTGACCCTAAAGCATTTCATCTGGAGCTATGTCAAAATTCTGTCTTCTCTAATTAACATCAGTCATCTCTAAGTCCTATCTAATTTCTTTTACTGTTAAGTCTACTCCACTCTCCATCATCGAGCTAAAAGAGGCTTTTGTGGCTGCCCTGGAAAGCCCCTGTGTATTCTCTCTGTGTGTGTGTGAGGGGATAGTATGAAACCTGCAGGGTCCACGGCTCTCAGGTGGACCAGGGCAGACCAGGGTAGGATTTCACTGCAGCACAAAACACTTTCTATTGCTCTTTTATGTAGCTGCTCTGTTCTGTAACAGTTCTTAGTACGAGACTCAGTTCTGCATTCTGGGTAAGGATCAACAGAACATTAAAGCTGCTGTTTTAAATGCAAAAGGCATACTCGCTACACAACATAGCAAAAAGAAACAAGATAACTAATGGTAAATGCTTTTATGCAAAATATTTAGTTTTGCTTGTATGAGGAGGAAAATACTTGTGCTCTGTCTTCAAAATGTTCAGCAGCAATTGTCACATTTTTATATATTTTCACCTTTAAGACCCATAAAGAGCTCTATAGGGATTCTGTTTTCAATATAGGGATTTGTCTAACTGTTTTGGTCAGTAACCGATACTTGTCGATATTGAGATTAAGATGGCAAGGCTCACAAGATTAACTTTTCACTTTTGTAAACAATAATTACAAAATCTTAAGACTAGTCTGTTTAAAAAGATCGATTCAGTACTAACTAAAAATGATACATGAACATACAGAGACTGGAGTATCTTAGAAACAAATTGTGGTGGGATATTTTTCAATCTCAGACCAATATACATTATACTGATATCTGCTTTGAAAATGATTGATATAGATATTCACAATAATATACATCCATTGGAAACTATTTGTCACTGAGGTAAAAAACTGAAAAAGTGTTTTTGAATAAGAGCAATGAGTTTTATTTCTGCCTTAAAAATGTAAAACATACAAACTGCCTGCTTTGCCAGAGCATTTTATCATCTCTATCATTTACAATTAACTTCGTGCTTGAAAGCTATTACACTGTCATTTTCAAAAACGACAGACAAACATAAAAGAGGTTTGAATATAACATCGCTGGACATAATGTGCAGATTGACGCAGAAATAATTGCTATTCTAGCTTTAAAAAAGTATATATTTGTAGCATGCACACATCACCTCAAGCCTTTGGCAAACAATGTGGAGATAACAGCTTACTTTCACACTGGCGCAGCACGGGAGATCAGATCAGACAAGTTGAATGTGTAAATGTTTTAAACTTTAGGTCTTTAAGTTTGCAAAAGGAGACACGAGAGGGGTATCTCTGCTGTCAAGACTCTGAAAATCCCACTCTGTCACACTGTGGAGATTAGACAGGTTTGTCATAAAAAGTGCAGGAGATAACGAAAGAGAAATGCTATAGAGACAGTGTTTTCAGCATGTGACAGCCCCGCTTAAAAGACAAGTCTATTTATGTTGAGGTAAACTGTAATATATGTAGACAGGAGGTGTAGATCGAAACACAGGGCTGATGAATACATTTACCTTTAGAACAACCACACGGTAAACCAAGGACAAAGCTAACAGATGGTACGGTTTCATTTTAATTATTGAAAATGAAACAAGTTTTATTAATGTCTGTCTAAATATGAGTACCTGTAAGTGTCATTTCCTTAATAGAGTTCAAAGCAGATTTTAAAAAATGTCTCATGTATTTGTCTGATGAATGAATAATAGGGATGTAACAATAACCGAAATATCGTGATATTGTATGGTCAAAGTTCTCACAATAATGTCATTGACCATCACAATATATTGAATTACAAGTCTTTTTGCTTAAATTAAGAGTTATGGGGCAGCAATAGCTAAAAAAAGACAGAGGGAACTACATAGACCATGATCCTTTGCTCCATTTCAGTGCAGACTACATGAAGAAATAGCATTTCTATGCACTTTTAAGTCTTAGTTCTTTGGATTAAGTCTTGTCAAGGCATTTTAAGAGGAAAAAGTAACACATTAACAGTTTTGTTAGCCTCCACAAAATATCGCAATAAATATCGTACCGTGAGATTGGATATTGTTATATCCCTAATCGTGAGCCTCCCCACCATATCATGATAACAACTTTCACACGATAACGCAATAGATATCGTACCGTGAGGGTCATACCGTGACGATATGGTATTGTGAGACTTGGATATCATTGCACCCTTCATGAATACCTGTATGACTACTGCCCTGTCAAATTGCTAATAAGAAACACAGCTACCATACACACCTACTGTTACTTCCACCAAAATCATTTGATTTTGAACAGGACCACCAATAATATAGCCCTGAAATCTGCCCTTGAAAAAGTGGCACAAAACCTAATATTTATTCAATATTACTGCTTCACCTTGGGACAAAATCTTTCCTAACTCACCTTCAAACAGGGGCCAATGCCACAGCAATGAGATCAGCTGAGTTATGTAAAAGATTAATTTTCAGAGGTGGGTAGCCAAAAATCACGCAAAAGTACCATTACTTCAAAATAACATTACCCAAATAGTAGTGCAAATGGTGGTTGTAAATCGAGTCATACTACTCACTACTTCCACTACTGAAGTGGAATAATTATAAGAATAACTGTCTGGGCGTACCATCTAATTTCTCATTTGAAGTTAATGTCATTAGAAGGACAAGTCATTACACAATGCACAAAAGAGATTCAAAAGGATATACCAAATACATTCAAAAATCTAAATCATATATTAAAAGGTGGACTATCTAACTTTTCAATTAGGAGCCCATCACTGTCTTGTTTCTACAGATATGTAATTGCTCTGCTTCAAATGTTCCACAGTATGACATTAAACAGATCTACCTTGTATGCATTCAATTACAGGTGGTTTTACTGCTCAAAAATATTAGAAACAGGAATTCTGAGAGTGAGCGGGGTTCCTTCTCTACAAATCTGGTTTGGTCTCCATGATGATAGAAAAGTTTAATGTCATACTGTGAAATATTCCAGAGCAAAGCAATAACATCTCCATGGAGAAAACCATTTGACGGGCCCTCCACCAGAAAAGTTACACAATGCACCTTTAAGGAGCAGTGCAAGAAACAACTGAATATGGCACATAATGTTTTTTGTGAAAAGAGTAACCAAAACTTTTACTCAAATACAAATTCTACTATACTGTAAATATATATCTCAAATAGGAGCCTGAAACGACTCTAACAAGAGTAAATAAATAACTCATGTACACTGAGTACTACTACCCACTTCTGCTTTTGCCTGATTAGCGAATGAACAATGACCAATCCTGCATATATTATTATCAGTGTGTGTTGGCATCTGTGATTTTCCAACACACGATCAACAAAAAGGCACTTCCTATTCACTATTATTAAAAAAAGCAACATGCAATTTTCCTGCATATATAGGATGTGTTGTTGATTACTAATTACAATGTACTGACATTCAAATTGCCATGTTGTGTGGCAGGTTGTCTCTTCCAGGGGCAGGAGTGCAGACTGGTCATCCATTATGAAAAGGGCTTCTCTGTGGTGACAGATCCAAAGCGTCTAGACCATGACAATGATGAGATCCAAGTGGCCCAAACTCCAGTCAAACCTCGTGTGCTACTGTCGCACCCATTTGAGAGGCTCAAGATGTCCTCAGATGATGGAATACGTATGCTTTTCCTTGACTTCGGCAGCAAAGAAGGGGAGATTGTAAGTCATCGATATGAGAAAGTATTGTATAACTCACATTGTTCAGTCTGTGGATAAGAAAGGAGTCTACACTACACTTTTTACTCATAGTAAAAAAAAAAAAAAAAAGATCTTACTGGTGATGTGACAGTGACACAATATTCTTTCAGCTATAGATTACAAAGAGAATGATTAGTGTTAAAACTCATTTATAATTGTGCCGCATGGAAATCTGGCTCCAGCGATAGAGGGGTATGTCAAACCCATGTACTGATACTGCAAAATAATGACTCCATAGAAGTTTAAAAAAACAAAAACAAAAAAACAATTTAGTAAAATGAGTAAATGTCTGAAATACTTTTACAAGTTCTAGCCAATGTAAGTAATAATACTACTACTAGTAAAAGATCACACCACGTGACTGAAGCAAATATTAATACTATGACTTTCCCTGCTATAAATACTCCTAGAGGCTACCTGTACAACCCCAATAAGTCGAGTACTAATAGACTAATAAATATACTACTTTAATACCACAATGTTGAGACAATACTTCTGCTACTACTATTAATTGCAACGCTGCAATTTTGAAGCCAGTATTTTAAAATACCTCAATGTGCTCTTTATACACATATTAGTTAGTTACCCTATATCTTAGTGTCTTAGTTACTTTCCAAATGTTTCCTTAGGCCACTGTTTACAAAATCATATTCTAGCACAGAGTAATTAAATTATAATAAGTACAAAGACATCATTTTTAAATTTGTATTTCATGTGATACACTGAAAGAAAAACATCAAGTAATAGTACGCTTTGGTGTGGTCTTGCATGACTCTCAGTAAATAGAACAAGTTCATAGCTTCTCAGGAGGTTTAGAGGGGCCATTGGGGAAATGAAGCAAAAATATCAACTAAAAGAGCCGGGCAGAGAGTGGAGGAAAGAAAAGTAAATTACAGCACTACATCAGAAAATAACCCTTAAATAAACGCATTTCACTGCAGCTTGTTGAAGCTGCTGAGAGCTGTTGGTGTGGAAAGAGCTTTCTACAGAAGCAAAAACTGGCCTGTCACAACATAGTTGGAGAACTTAATCTGTGAAGACTTGGGCCTTGTGGTTTGCCATGAGATTGCTTATTTTCTTATCAAATTTTAGTAGTAGTAATTTGTAATTATGTTAATGCAGCAATTGAGGAATCATTTTAGAGCATTTTATTATCTTTCCTTGTATGCTGTGGTTTCATTATATTTAGTTTTTCACTTTTTTTGCTGTGACCTATTCAGTAATGGACGGTACCTTTTTGTCCTCATATTTTGTACATTTTGTTGAAAACATTGTTTTGTCTTTGCATGAGCAATTTTGAGACAAAATCGCCCTTTGTCTGAATGACTGAATGGTGCAGTTTGACAGTGTAGGCTGTAGAAGTTGTAGCAGCAACTGAATCAGTGATAGTATTTGTGGCAAAATTAGCTTTGCATTAAATTCTTTCTGAAATGAGAATGAAGTTTACCTATACTTTATTAGATTTTGTTACATTTTTGTTGTATACTTCAATAACACTTTATTAGTTCAAATGAAGCATGAACACAAACTTAATTCATATTAAACAAATAGTTAAAATTATGCACGATTTAGGCTTAGTAACTACTTAATACTATAACATCAATCCCTTAATATAGTATTTACTAAACCTGAATCATTCTTAAGAAACTATTTTTTTCATTATGAATTAAGTCTTTGTTTATGCTTCATTAAGGCATTTTTTAAATGAAATGTTACTAAAGTATACAACAAAAATGAATGGTTTATTAAGGCTATTTAATATGTCATCATTATAAAGTGTTACCTATATTTCAAATGAAATATTAATGTTATGTAACAGCAACTTTAACAGTTAATCTTGCTTGCTACATCCATCGGCTGGTGGCAAGTTGGGCTAATTTTATCAGTGTCTTGGTACATGGTAGTTAATTAAACAAGACTTCCTCTTAGAGCGCTGTGGTTGTGGATGGCAGAAGAAGTTGGCCACCTCAGCAGAACAGATTCTGGTGCACTTTTCACCGCTCCCATTCCCATCTTGGCTGTAAACAGTTTTATAAAGTCCCAGAGTATTTAAGGAAGCGGCTGATGGCTCATTAACTCTGTGTCTGAAATGTAATCAGCTGGGTATTTTTCTCCACACTTTCGCCACTGACGTTATTTGGCAGGAAGTGTATTTGCCTAATTTTGTGAGAGGCAGTCATTGACAGCTTATCATCCCACACAGAATGAAATTATTAAAATACAAATGGATTCATCCAAACCACATATCAAGCATTTGGTGCTGAACTAATATAGAGACACAACTGCAATATGTATGGTATAAGCATATGGTATTTAGTCCAGTTAAAACACTGTCCACTCCAAACGCCTAGCTTTGCCTATAACTCATTTGAACACAACAGTTGTTTGACATAAAATGGATAGTTTATGACATTATTCTTATGGGATGGGTAAAAGTTTTTGACTGTGTTTTCTCATTACTCAAAGAATAATGACTATAAAAAGTATGTTTAGTAAGGAGAAATTCATTTCTGTCAGGTGGACAAAGGTTTTTAATCAAAGACATTTATGACATTTATGCTATGGATCCTACCTGGACGACTGTGGTTTTACACAATTATCTTTAGTAATATTAATAAATAGAAATAAAATACTTTGATCAGTGGCACTCAAGCTTTTTATATCCAAGAAAATCATTCCTAAGTACATCTAGATCTAAACCAGGCCTCACACAGGACTATTGCAGGTCTAAACCAGTGTTTCCCAAAGACTAGGTAAATTTTTCTGGGGTCGTCTTGTCACAATCTGCATGTAGATCTGTGATATACAGTTTTGACACATGAGACATAATTATTTTACTGACTATTTTGTTCCAACATTGCTGATTCAATTATGGATACCTTTTATTGCTGGTTCAATTACTGTTTTACATTGTTTAAAACTTGAGTAATACTAATCACGATCACTCAATCAACAATAAAATATCCTCTTTAATGTTCAATAATGGTCAAATCCACCTTTATTTTGTGATTTACAAATAATGTTTATTAACTTGGGTCACGAAGGTTTATGACTTAAAATATAGGTCCCCAGAAAAAAAGTTTGGGAAACACTGATCTAAACTAAACAGGGACTGACCAAAAGCAGAAAAAAATGTGAATTAAACTCACTAAACAAATGTTTGAACTCCATAGGAATTCTCTTACCACCTGAATACTTAATAATAACTTTATGCAAACATTGGAATCAAAAACCATTATCTTCAATTACCATTAAAGTCAACTGTAGTAACACTATATAGATGAGTTGCCTTTCCTCCCCCGAGGCTGCTCTGTTTGAATGTCACTATAATCTCCAGCCTGTTCTCTTCCTCATGGGAAACTCTCACTGAAACTTGGCTTCCAGTATATATTTTAAGATTTCATGGACTTTACAGATCCTCTTTCTTCTCCTTGTCATCCATCTTGTTTGAATGTGTTCTCTGATCTTTTAATCATATCAGCTCTGTCTCATTTGATGCATTTTTCTGTCTTATCCAGTTTTTAAAACTTTCTTTTTGTGTTTTGCAGCAGTTGGACCTTCACTCCTGCCCAAAGCCCATCGTCTTCATTCTCCACTCCTTTCTATCGGCCAAAATCTCCCGGCTGGGTTTAGTGGCCTGACCCCTGGACAGTGCAGCTCAACAACTCAGATAATTTCAGTCTGGAGGATCAGTGAATGTACCCCCATCACTGGATCATATTTGGGGCTCAAGGAGTGCTGCAGAAAGCTTTCCAGGCGGCTAGATATTATGACTAAGTGTACTCTTGAAGGGCTGTGAAAGACTGTGGCTGAAGAATCACATGAGAATATACAGAAGGGTGCTATGGAAGCAGAGGAGACTAAAACTAAAGACGGGCATTACTGTTGGCAATGTGTAGCACTGAGATCATATAACTTTTAAATTAATTGTATGCATATAATTTATTTAGTACACTGCAAAAATTAAATCTAACCTTACCTAAAATGACTTGAATTTAGAATATTAATCTAGAATTGGTATAATATTTATTTGCTTATGTGTTAGAGGTTACATTTATTTTTGCCAGTGGAGTAAGTACTTTTTTCTTACCTCAATGGCAAATAAATTATACATAAATAAATAAACATTTTGAAGCAAGTCCAATAATCTATGTCCACGATCCATCAAGTAAACGGGACTTAACTAGTCAAAACTACACACATTAAAATAAATATTATAGATTCGACTCGTTTCAGCTGGTCTAGATATTCATTTTTTCAGTGTACATCACTTCTAGCATTATCACACTACATACTAATTTGTGGATATCTAAACAACTTTTAATTAATCAACTTTGAAAATAAATGGGAAATGCATAAAATTTGACTATTGATAGATTGATTGATAGGTTACGACATAATTCACAGATCACAAAATTACATTTGGCAATTTCACATGTGTTAATTTTAAATAGTGGTACTGATTTAGCATAACATTTATGTTTATTTTGAAATTTAATTACTTAATTAACTGAAATTGAAATTACGGACTATGCATGTATTTTAAATTTCACCTCAATGAATTATGTCAAATGAATAGACTGATTTTAGCTTGTTTTAGTTTTTTATTTATTAATTGATTTGTTCATTTACAGCCTCATCACTGTGATTCACATGTTTTATTTTATTTTTTCATTTAAGTAGATACTAAGACAAGAATACAGACTGAAAACCTCAAGTGAAGAAAAGTGTTGGAGTAATGTTTGATTGTGTATGATGCCTTTGGCAGCTACTGTACTGTCACTAAGAGATGTAAAGCTTATTTTTTAACTAAATCTCTTCACATAAATCATGTAATTAAAAAGTGTCAAGTGTGTTTCATGTTTCATATTTCAGTCAATTTCAAAGTGACCGCTGGAATAACAAGATTAGTGTGTTTTACAGAGGTTTTAAGGTATAATCAACATTCAAGAGGGTCATAGTATTAGAGTAACATCTCACCTCTGTGTGAAAAGCTGAGGCCTTTTTAGTGAATAAATGTGAGGGAATGTTTTGTTGACTGTGTTGTCTGCCCTGCAAATAACTGCACCTTATCTTTATTAATATAAGACGCATGTATAGGAGTAGCTTAAATTGCCTGAGGTTAGTATATGTGAGAGTGAATGATTTGTTGAATTATTCAAGCAGAATAATCAGAATAATGAGATCTGTTTATTGCTTTGTGCTTATACATGCACAAGAGAAATCTGATCAAAAACACATGTGACATGTCACTTAATTAGTGGATTTTAGAGTAACGGTTGTAAACAAACCACAATTAATTTTTGTCTTTTCCACATTCAGTTGCCCTTTATCTTTACCTTACAGCTGAACATCTAGGTGTGAACAATCAGAAAGCAAGGATTACTCACATCAGATGTAACTGTTCACATGACAGTTCAGTAATCCTCCAGAATCCAGATAATAGTCAGATTTTTGATGTGCATGTATAGCCAGTGTTATATCTGGGCTACAATTAACTGGACCCTGCCAATAGGGCCTATAGTCCTGGATTGTCTCAAACCACCCAGTGTCTCCCTCTATTCTCAGCTGAATAGGAAGAAGACAACAAACACAAAGATAGTCTGAATACACAACACTGTGAATCTTATCTGAAAGGATTTGTGCCTCTTACAGCCAAATACCGGAGGAATCATTGTTTGTGAGGAGTGCTAAATCCAGCGGGGAGTCTCTTGACGTTGTTTACTCCCCTTGTTAGCACCAGAGTAATGAGCTGGCACACAAGTTTGAGTTAAGCCTTCTAGACCCACCACAACACTCTTATAACTCTTGTCTTTGTAATTGTATAACAGCATGCGTTAAATCTCTGCACTGTACAAATAGGCGAACGTGGTTGGAAATGAATGGAGAATTTTATCCAGGTCAGACTCCCCACTGGCATGGACATGGAGACGTTTTGGCAGCAGAGGGTTGCTAGTGTGCCAGCCTGTAGTCCACGGCGCACATACACATAAATGAACTATTGTTTTCTTCTGTAACAACTTGCCCTCTCACCAGTGGTCTTGTTTTTGCCGTCTGGGAAACATGAGGCACCAAATTTCTGAACAAAAGCCAAATCGATCAGCAAATCAGCCATAAAACATGATTGTAATAGTTGTCTCTATGTGGAATGCAAATTGTTTTTTTAGTTGTTTACTTGGACTGGTCAGGGGCTATGTCTGTGTCTGGTGTGTTGCATTCCTCAGTTTGAGTTGACAAGTCCTTACAAGCACAGTACTGGCTACTAGCACTGCCTCTCTTTGTGCAATCCTCCATGTTAAGTGTCACGACTGCGGCTGGCTTGAATCAGACAGTTGTCCTCATTATAAGCTGAGGTTATGTCATATGTGTTGGCTGGACACACTGGTATGGTTTGCACTGTGTAAGTTATAAAGGGCAGTTAATTAGTGTAAAGAAGAACATAGGCAGACAGCTCCAGTGATGACAAAGACCACAGACTTGCCCAGACGAAAACAATAGGTAAGACAAAGGAGTAAATCAGGAGTTTTTAATCAGGGCTCAAGACAAGACTACACCCAGACGGAATTAGAGGGATAAACTAAACCTAAACCAAGAATAAACCAAAGTCTAAAAGAGATCACATCAAAACTTCATGTGTTAAAGGCCGCACTGAACCAAGACTAACCAAGGACTTAACCAGAGTGAGGCTGGCATAACAGACCAAAATTTGATTTATGCAGGTGTAATGATAGACTGAACCGGGTTTAGACCAAGATTAGAAAAGAGTGTTGATATGTGGATATGAATCAAGGCAAAACCCAATGTTTAGAAACTTCTCAAAAGGTCTGGAGCAGGGCCAAAGCCGGGCTAAACCAGCTCTTGCTCTAAAACCAAATCTTGCAGTGTAAGACCTTAGTTAAAGGTGCACTATGTAACTTTTCTGGAGGGGGTACACCATCTGCCTGTCTCCATGAAAATGTTATTGCTTTGACTATAATGTTTCACAGAAAGACATTAAACTTTATTCAAGCATGTATTCAATTACATGTGTTTTTATTGCTATAATTATCTTGAAAGACATGCATTTCTATAGTGTCTCCACAAATTTGACCTGTACCATAGTCTGATGTTACCTGCTTGTCTCCATAGAGAGAATTTGGACTGATGAGTAACATTGTTGTCTTAAATGAAAAGATGGTGTTTGTCTTTATGAAAGTAATACTCTTGACAAAAATAAACTCTTTTAATATGTCATTAATTTCTTCATTGCTCAAATTAAAATTGCAACCCTCTTTTCTCTTGTTCTTAACAAATTTCAAGATAATGAACTTTTTGCTGCTCATCAAAAACAGAAAAAGCACACACTTCCTAGGCTTGCTGTTACCTTACATACCCTCAAGGTATTGTTTATTGATTTGACCTAAGCTCTCTTTTCGCTGTTTCAGATTAGATGAATGAATGTTGGTTGATTATTTTACTTTAAAGTCAAAGCAGAGACATGTAGGACAGTTACATAATTTAGCCTTTAGCTAAGAACTTGAACTGCACCTGAATACTGCAAAAGCTCCTATATTTGTAAATTTATGACCACAACTGCACATCCAGCTCGCTCTTCCATGTACCAACACATCCTAACTTGAAAGGAGTGACTATCATTTCAAATCATTTCTACTCTGGTGCTCGCAGACATGAAGAATCGATGCCAGGATGTTCTGAGGCAGGCCTGGCACACACCTATTAGCTCACTGGGTGCAGCAGACCTAGTTATTAATTAATCCTCTCTCTTCTAGCCCAAATCCGCTTATTTCATGAAGTCATTGATTCGGCTCTGCTACTATCCACAGAACAAATCCTGCTTGAATCAATAGAGTAGTTTGTAATAGAAATGTCCTTATCACATTTTATTTCCACACAAAGTGCACATTATAATAGGAGTCTACTATTGTTGTGGGTCTATAAAAAGCAGCACAAAGCTTTATTGCTAGTTTTACGGTTGACAAAACTCAGGCAATTAAAGCCATTATCAACAGATGGCTTTACTGAGTGGCGATGATCCAAGAATCACCATATTGTGAAAATTGGCTCCCCAACAGAAAGCCCAGAACTGAGACAGAAATTAACTTTTTACACCTGTTCCTAGGGAGATAAACTACGTTCTTATAAATTGAAATTTCTGCCCAACCAGATGAGGCTGTTACAGTTTCACCAGCAAGCATCGTCCTTGGTGAGAGACTTTTTTTTGGTCAAAAATTGTATTTCAGTTTTAGTATTTTAAAAGGTAATTTTAATAGTGTACTTTGATGAGGAGAAATTTCCCTGCTAAAAGATTCAATGCAAATATAAAAGGCCCTGCTGTGATAATGGTGTCATATTAATGTGAGAAAAGTGGTAAAATAATATGTCTGCAGCTTAGGGATCTACTAACGCACAAGGACGCATTTTATCAATGTGTTTGGTGGCCTTGAACAGCAAGTACTAAAATGCAGCAAATTGTTAAAAAAGAAATGATGATATTGCTTACCAGTAACAAAACACTACAAATAAACCAAACCTATAATCTGAGATGGTAAATGGAATATACGCAAAAAGAAAAGTGGCTCATAATTAAGGATATTGTTAAGTAAAATATGGAAAAGAGTCAGTTATTTCAGCAGTACTCAACCTTGTATGTGGCTTTCTTTGATGTGGGAAATAACAAGTACCAGAGCAGTCTGCCCACATGTTATGATATATATTGTTTTAGGACAAGACCTGTTCCGGCTTAACCCACTCACACTATTCGCAGGTATACTACCCACAAGGTAAGTTCACGACCCCTTTATTCTGTAACTGCCATATATAGATCAAAGACATTATTAAGATATTTACATATTGGCATATTACATAAACACAGCTCAAAATTATGTGTATGTCTTCTATATAAAAATTGTATATGACCACAAAGTAGATCCAAGTATAAATTACATTACAAATTAAACTTAAATTGTAAAACCAACTTAAATAGACACTTTAAAATTATGTAAAATATGTATAAAATACACAAACACAATTAATAAAATAATCTTAAAAATTTTCCACTTTAAAGTTATCTTCACTTCTTAGAGTATTTCTCCAGCACCCAATCAATGACCTAAAATCAAAGAAACTGTGTTAACAAGTAACCAGAGAGAACTAAGTGACGCACACACTGTGATGAGTGCTTTTACTTGTTTGACGTTGCTGCTGGCGGCCTTTTTCATCTCCTCATGCAGACCCCGAGATGTTTTGAGATCCTGAAATCAAACATCAAAAATGGGGCATGTGAAGTGAGAGATAGACAAATTAACAAGCTTAAATTTGTATAGTATAGTTCAGAGAATTAAGTCCAAATATCACACAACATTAGTAACACTTTCAAATATGTCCATATTTGAAAAGATTCACTGTTCTAATTATGCATTTATGCTAAACAGAACAACTCATTAATATAGATATTTTGATACACAATGGCACTTGAACGAATATTTTGATGTAGCTTTACTGATTGCTTCTACTACCCACATCACCCCCACAATGTGGCCAGACAGGAAGTGCAAAAACACACACCCAAAAACACAAAAGATTAAGAGAACGTTACAGATATATGTTTGTAAAGCTACAGTTGGATAAATTACACTTTCCCAAAGAGCAAGAACACCAGGGGTTACACATGTGCACATATTAAACTGATCTCAACAGATCTTTTTCTTTGCAGATTTGTTAGAATTGTGTTGTGTGTTCATGTCACAGTTTTGTACATTTTTTTATGAAAGAAACTTTGGTGTGAGTTGCTTTCAACTAAACAGAATATATATATAGTTTTATATAAGAAACAATGCCTGTAAAAAGGCATCACTGGGGCTGTGTGGGCAGTGCCAAACTAACCTTGAGATAGAATTTGGAGATATCAAACAGTCTTTTGCTGCAGGCCTCAAAGCACTTATGTTCAGAGCTGATCCCGTGGTGTCTGAGTGTTTTAGCCACCACTTCCTGCAGCATCTGAGAACACACAAAACACACACACATACATGTGTCAAAGAACAATCGCAAAAATCAAACATCGGCCTCAGTTTATTCCCTATCCCCCCAGTGCTATCCTGGTTCTGAGAAACTAATTTTAGATAGTCGCAAAATGTCTTGACTTCTGGGAATGTCCTTGCACTGTACTGCTCATGCCTGGAGCGGACTTCAAACATGTACTATTTTACTGGAGGTGTCGACAGGAAAACACATTCCTAAATAAATACATGCTTTTAATCTTGTTCTACTATTCAGTAGGGTAGCTATAAATTATTGTAACAGCAGGTTCGGACTCATGAGGAGTGGAGCGGTAACTTTTAATCTGTGCTCTGAAAAAGCTGCAATCATTATTTGTGAATAAGGTCAACTGTTCTTTCTTTTGCCGTTTGAATGATAAGCATGTTTGTAAGAAAATCACAAATCAGACTAAGTCAAGGACAAAATGCAGATTGGGAGGAAGAAATCATTGGCTGGTGTTTCATGTATGTGTGTTTCTATGTGTAAAAAAAATGAGGTAAACTGTTTGTGCTACGACAGCCAAGTGGCAGAAGGTATGATGAATTATAGCTCACAAAGTGCTTTTACTTTACCATTATATTTCATTTTAAGTGTTCAAAGTGATAACATGCAAAACATACTGTAAGGTATTAATCTTGAATGTATTAGCATCACAGTCATGGTGGTGAATAATAGTGAACATGAATGGTTATTTGTCATGGTGCATGTCTGCTCATTGGCATTGGCTCTATTTCATAAAAAGGTGCTCAAGTAATGTGTCTATGCAAAAACATGTATACATGAACATTATCTTATTTAAGTTATGGGCCAAATGTGGATGTTACACTCACTCTGTTGTGTTTCTGGGAACGGGATTCTTTTGATGCTTTGTCCTCTGTCTGTGTTTGAGGCTTCTGCTGTGGAGCTTTGGGATTGACGGTTGGAGCTACGTTCACTTTATCTGGAAAATATTTGTCACAGAATTAACCATAGGCCACCAATGAAAACACCCTGCAACTTAATTTTATTTATTTATTTGTGTGCTTATTTGTTTTATTTATGTATTTATTTACTTTTTTTTGTACCTGAGGATGAGCCTCTCTTATTGGAGGAAGTCAGGGCTGAAGTGGTAGACTGAGATCTTCCTGTCTGTCTTCTGAGCGATCGAATTGTGGGGTGTGTACCACTGCTGCCACTGCTCTGGGAACAGAGGGAATCACTGCTCTCGGATTTAGCCAGCCTTTGGAAACCAGACAAAAATAACAAACATTAATTGTTAAACAAAACTCTGGATGTGTGGTAAACTTGGGCACAACTGTTTATTTTGCTTGCCATCTGTGGGATCATACCTCTTGCGTGGATACCCTGCAACAATCTCTGTATCCCATGACCTGCGCTTCAGTCGGGCCACATCTGCATTTTGCAGCATCTCCCCGTCATGTACACTTCCTGGTTCAGACATAACTGAGGGTGAAGGGGCGGGGCTTAGAGCAAAGGGGAGGGCACCTGGTTCTTTGGTGCAGGTGGTTTGGGTCTCAAAGCGTATCAGGCGTGACTGCAGACGCACAAATGACTGGTCTCTGTCCAAGGAGCGCAGGTTGTCCAAACAGAACCTAAAGATTAACAATGTAAAAATTAAGCCTGTAGACACATATCTAAAATCGCCTTTACTCAGATTCATAGTAGCACTTACTCTATGCCATGGTAATGAGTGGCGGAGGCTTTGCTGAAGGGCATGTGTCTGACTTTGCCAGGAGACACGTCTGGTGAGAGCTGGAATACATTATTTCTGAACACAGAGAAATGAGGGCATAGAAAGTGAGACAAAAGCAACAGGAAAGGTGTAGGTCAAGGACAAAGTGTTATTTTCCTATAAATCACACAACAAACAACAACTCAGCATAATGGATGAAAAATGTGCAAACGCTAAATGTGCTAGGCTTGTTTTAACAAAACACTTTATTTTGTCTCAGCTAAGAAGACAAATGATCATAATCAAATACTCATTACAGACTCATTATCATCTTAGAGGCAAGTGAGAAAACTAATAAATACAGATGTTTCTTATGCAGACAGGATGGGGCCATTTTTTTTCATGTCAGACTAAAGCTTTGGCTTACTGCCTCAGTGTTCCAGTCCCCTCCCTAACATGGCTTATCTCACTCACTAAACCTTCTGTGGCAATGTTGACAAGGAATATTAATTTTGTTCAAGATTCAGTCCTGGTCTGATTTGGGGCTCTGGGACTGAGAAGTGGAATTTGGATCTAGTCTCCAGTCGTTTCTGTCATTCATTTATGTTTAGTTGTTATTATTCAATAAAACTATCAGCACTTTTAATTGACAAAAACATCAACTTTTAGCCATAGGTGTTGAAAATATATGTGATTTTAGTTGTTAGATTACTGTAGTTTTCATTTAAATTGAATTTAGTTTTAGTCACCAAAAATAAAACTATCTTTTAGATCTTTAAAATCTTTCAGTCTACGAAGTTAACACTACTCTGTGATACCACACTGTGCCTACCCTCTGTTCAGAGCCAGTGGCTGGAGCTCCCCTGTGGGCGTGCCATCAGCCGTGAAGTGTCGCAGCAGCTCTTTGGCGTCCAACAAAGCCATAGAGCTCTTCTGACCATCTTTAGGACCCAGCAGGCTGTCAGAGGACCCAGGACCTAACAAACCAAACCTGACACAAAAATGCAACTCAAGATTACCTGCAGACTATCGTGATTGTCTGTGCACCAATATAAAGGAACTGGTAGAATAAACAACTTACCTCTTTTTCTGCCGTCTCCTCTGCATACTCTCAATGTTGTGAAGGACACTTCTTTCAGGCCATTCAGTCTGCTGCTGAGAGCTTCTTTGAAAATCTGGAAATCACCAATTGTCACTATAAACGTCTTTGAAATCATAAAATGTTTATAATATATAATTAATAAAACAACAAGCAGGTGCTTTGTAAATGTACTGAAACAGTGCCCAGTACCTACATAAAAAATATAAGCATTTTATGGTTTATGGCTTATATTACAACATTTTTTTCATGCAATTTGGTAAGTAAAATTAACTCTAAACTAAGTTTCAGGCTTTCATAGTAAGTCTTGGTATACACAACCCCCTTTTGTGGATGTATTTCTTGTTACTTGTCTAACGTGATGGACTGTAAGGATTATACAAACTATCAGTTATAGCAGGTCACCATGTTGAGCTCTTGGCAGACAGGACCTTGAGAAGATGACATCTCAAGCCAAAAATCAGCAACTTTGCATTTTTCTTTCTTTTTGGCAGGAAGATTATATTCTATCGCACTAAAGACACAATATACGATAAATCTGGACGCAAACGCCTTGTTGATGACATAAGAGCTTTTAGTATAGAGAAATGGCCAAAGGAGTTGAACATTATACAGTATGAAGAGGTTTGACAGCCCACTATACTGTCATTCACAGCTCTAGGAGAGGGAGGTAGACATTCTTGATGGATTACTAAAGCTGTTTACTGCACAAGAGACATTCCCATTATCAGAGAAGAGGGTGGGAAATAACAGGAGCAAGAAAATACCTGGTTTACAGAATACACTTTATGCCCATGCTATACAGTAGGTATGCTGTACTTGAAGGGCTACGCGATTAACACAATTCAATTACAAATATGATAGCTACCCTAATAAATCACAAAAATATGGATAATAACATTATCTCTTTAGTGTGTTCAATGGACAATGTGTTTCTTTGAGTATAAAAGTTGCTCACACATTATACTATATACTGTATTGGATAGAGCGGTACATTTATTATTATCGATTTGTGAGATACGTCACCTACTTTAGGCATGCTGATGCCCTAACTTCTCTCTAAGCAGATAACTTACTGTGCACCATGTTTTACTGTGTGAGATTTAGCACTGCCTTCCGGTCCTGTTTCTTTTATGAGACAGTATTTATGGCATTACATTACAGTTTGTTTTTAAAATGTGATGCTTAATAAATTAGTGTGAAAAGTAAATAGTCCATTAAATACTTCTATATTGAATGATTTCTAGATACTTACTATAACTGGCTGCTGATGGGAAGTTTGTGAAATACTGGTAGACATTACTTTTCTGTCAAGTTGAAAGTAGTTTGTGATTTGACCCAATATGACCCTATACCTGAGCTCCGAACAGCAGCAGCAGCAGTTCTGGCCTGGTCGTCTGTGGGAGTGGAGGAGGGCAGAGAGGAGTCCATCACCTTCAGACACTGCTCCCTGGCCACATTCAGAAGAGCCTTCAACTCGCACATTGGCACTGTGGCTGTGTCCTGTCTCTTTTCTAGACAAAAGTAAAGAATAACCAACAGTGCAGGAGGGGATAAAACAAAATGTACCCATATTAAGAGCTTTTTATGTCTCTGTACAAGCTCTTAATACGTGTTTATTGTAGTTTTAGTGTTTCAATAAAAATATATCAGCACTACCCTATAAACTACATTTAGTTTATTCATGTCAAAACAATTGATACCCAGAGATGACTTGATACTAGATACACTGTTCACAGTATTGTTGTACACAATAGTGAATATATTGAAATTCCAAAGCTCAATGTTTTGATATCAAGTATCAAGATTTTTCCTTGGTGCTGAAATAGTTTAGTATCATGACACCAATTCCAACAAACAATGCAGAATCAAGTAAGTAGATTTTACTTACAGCACTTTTCACAGATTAAAAAAAGAAAGAAAGAAAGAAACAAAAAAAACCACATTATATTGGAATAATTAACATTTCCCAAAAAATAAAAGTCTGATTTATTAAGAGCAAAAACACATACTGTGATCTGCTGATTTATATACAGTTATATTAAAATGAAAAACCTCCTCAAGGCTAATGCTAATAAGCATAATAAGTTATAGCACAGGGAATAATGAAAGAAAAAGCAACTCTTCTCAAACTACTGTAAATCAGGAGCAGTCAAATTTCTATTAAAAATGTGAAATGAGGTCCAGAATCAATTATCTCAACTATGAAGGCAAGTTTAATAGTCACTCTCAGCATTCTAGATAGTTTTTTACTCACAAGGTTAAAATAATTACTTACTCAGATATTCCTTAAGAACAAGAGTTTGAACTTGAGCCACCTTCCTCTCTCTCCTGAGCATGTAGTCTCCTTGGAGACAGGGCAGGAGGCGAAACATTTTGCCAGCTTCTCCTGGTGATGGAGATGCAAAAAATGAAGAAAAAAAACGTTAGTCAAATTAATATTAAAATCTTGGGAAAACTTAACAGAAGCTACAAAAACAAACTAATTTACTTAAGGTTTGGTGCTGCACTAGCTGAAAAAAACAAAACAAAAACATGACTAGATGCAAAACTATGTTGCATGTTAAGGTGCAATTGGTTTCCATTTGTCCATAAACAGCTTTACACTTTGATAACACTGAGCATAGACAAGAAATAGATGCAATCAATGTAAAGAATTTAGGTAATCAAAGTTTTAGACTATTTAAATACTTGAAATAGTTCCCAGGTGACTTCTTGCTAAAGATAATGCCAAAATTTAAGGAGCCTTTATTTAAATTCATAAATGCACACCATGCCCCCACTTGTCTGTCCTCCTACAGACTCTGTCAGACTCTGTGAAATAGCTGAAGTTTAATACCTGTCGCAGGTAAAGAAGGCTCCCGCAGCAGCTCCATCACCGTCGCCATGGCAGCAGATCCATTGAGCTGGTTGTCAGAGTTCAACATTCGGACTTTACAGGAACCGCTGAGGTCGTCCGAGCCTTGGACCAACAGGAAGTAGTGTGAGCTCTCACCTTTAACATCGGTCTCAGGAACTGTGCAGAGAGAATCAAGGCAGCAATTTAATTTACATTACACATGAAACATTAAGCCTCCCTCATAAAACATAAATACAGGATACTTTCAATGCAACAATGATGATAAAAACACTCTTCATACAGTAGAGAGTGTGAGCGTAATTTTAAAGACAGATGTCATCATGTGGCCTCACACTAGTTTTAAGATTACAGTATTCCAAAACTGTTCAAGAAAGGTCCTCATTATGCAATGTTTTCAGTATCAGTACTTAGTAGGGATGTAACGATATCAAAGTCTCACAATACGATATTGTCACGGTATGAACCGCACGGGACGATATTTATTGCAATAGTGTGGGAAAGCTCACAATATGGTGGGGAGGAACAATATCCAATCATACAATAATAACAATAATAATAGCCTTGACAAGACATAATCCAAAGAACTAAGACTTAAAAGTGCTTAGAACTGTTATTTCTTCATGTAGTCTAGACTGAAACGGAGTAAAGGATCACGGTCTATGTAGTTCCCTTTATCTTTTTTGCTGCACCATAACTCATAATTTAAGCAAAGAGACTTGTAATTCAATATATTGTGATGGTCCACGATATTATTATGAGAAATTAGACAATAGGATATCACGATTTTTCAGTTTTTGTTACATCCTTAGTACTTAAATGTTTGTTAATGCCACAACATCACAATAAGTAATATAAGACCCTGTATGTATGTAACAAGGTGTAATAATAACCCAATACCCAACTCTAAGTACAATGTAATTACTTACAGATTGTCAAACAGTAGGTAACATAGTGTTTCATGAGATATGTACAGTATCAAATGTAAAAAAAAAAATAAAATAAAAATAAATTAGTCCAGTTACATTTCAAACAACTTTCAACTATTATTTCTACTAGGCCTCTCTCTGTTGTACCTGACTTACCTTACTATTACCTAATGAAGCATCACTTACAAAAATAACAGACCGATAGTATGCAGCATCACCAGTCACACAACACTGGAGTAGAATTCAATCGTGCATTTTGTTATATTTCCTCTGGTGTTTAAAAATTGATTAGTCCCACTTCCGAGTTTGTTTCCCTAGAAAAAGGTTTTATTATCTGCAGTATATTGATGATGCCCTAGTTAGCTATTTATTTCCCAGGGGAAAATGGTATGGGCTCACTCTCTTGTTTCCAAATGGTCAATTATTTTAATCGGTTAATGAATAAGAGAAAACCATGTCATACCAGATAATGACTTTGGTCCTGTAGCTAGGAACTCTCTCCAGCGCTGAGAAGAGAGCGAGTTCGCAGGTGGCTGGATGATTGGAGTGACTATACAAGAGAGGATGAACAGTGCTCCAACCTGGACATATACAACAAAAGTTAAAGGCAAAATATAACACATTTATTTAATTTTGATAATGAGGCAACTTTAAAAGGGCCTGTACCTGATTTTAGACTTAGACTTAGACAAACTTTATTGATCCACAAGGGAAATTACTTGGATACAGCAGCTCACAGATCACAATATAACAACACAGTGCAAAAAATGTATAAATGGCAATAATAAATTCTATATAAGTAGCAAAAAGATAGCAAGGGACAGGTGTCAAATAAAGCATAATTATATAAATATACATATACAAGTAAAAAAGAAAAAAGAAAAATAAGTATTAAAAAAAAAATGTGTGAAACATAAATCAAGAACATGTTTTAGTTTGAACTTTTTCTTCACTGTTTATAATGCACCATGAAAGGGAATCAGCTGTCTGGGAAAGTGCAGCTGTTATCCCATGATTCTTAGCAAACAATGTGCCTGATTAACCGTATCCTTGCAAGTTGTTCCATTTGTTTAGTTACTACCAAACTGCTTTGCAAAACGCACAAGTTGTACATTTCTGTCTCAGTGATTTAAAACTACATAATACAAAGGGCATTTATTTTTTACAGAAGAAATTAAAATCAAGTACAGGCCCTTCTGTCTATTTAACACAAATAAATACCTTTCCACGAAGCGATCTTAATTGTTCTAAAAACAATTTTGCTTTTGTCGACTTTCCAGACAAGCCTCTGTATGATATAAGTAAAGGAACAAGAAGGAAGAGGTAATATGGTCTTAGTTTTAAGTTTGTTGTAATTTTTTTTTAAGTTTAAATATAATGACGCAGATACAGGAAGAGATGTTATTACAGAATGCATTTAAAGCACACAAAAAGGATACAGTTCAAAAGTGGTTGAGGACGTTAAAAAGTTGGGCAGATCAGAAACAGACACCAACTGCACAAGCTCTAAAACTGAAGCGTAGTAATGGAAAACCTGTGAACAGAGACAGAGAGCATTGGTAAATTGAAAAAAGACATTACACTGTGTCCTTCAGTTGAATTTTCTGGCAAAAGTTATAAAACAATAAGATTTTATTCAATTTTGCTGTTCATGCATTCAGTTTACATTCATACAAGGACTGACCTATATACTCTCAGCCTTTGTCCTATATTTTCTTGTTTAAGGGTTCGGAGAAGAAAATATTTAAGTGCATGGTGAGTCATCTTATCCAGCAAAGACAATTTAAGGTCTACCATGCCAGTTATGGAAAGTAACAAAAACGAGCTGTTGACAATAATTTAAAATATTGCATTATTTACATATTATTTTGTTAATGCTACATCACTTACAAACCCAGAACTTATTGCCCTACATATGTAATAATTTATGATGATAACATAAGCCTATAACTTGCATAATTATTTGCATACAATTTGACCTTATGATTTATTGATTTGAACTGAAACAAGAACAAAACACAAAAAATATAACGCAGCTTATAAAATGGGACCTTATGGAAATTTTAATGATCTGCAGTGCCTCAATTAAAGCAGCAGAAAAGTTTGGCAACAAGCTAAAGAAGCTCTCAATATTTGCCATTTTAGTGTGTAGCACTAATGTGTGGTGCACTAATGAGAGGAAACCAAGTTAGCAGCATTTTTAAGGCTCACTTTTGATAGAGTGGGGGCGAACAAAGCTGTGTAACCAAAAGTTGTACCCTAACAGCAGGACACGAAGCATCTGCATTGTGTGGGCCTAATATTCATTGCCTACTGTGTGCAAATGGCTTTAGGAGGGATAAGGCATGTTATCCCAGCAGAGTGGTGATATAAAACTTATGCTATAATCTCTGTTGTTTATTTTTGTTTATGATCATGATCGTGATCATAGGCTAGGACTGCAAAATTATAGGTGAAAATAATAATCTCAATTATTTGAATCATAATTACATTCTGACAAAATTAACACTAAATCACTAAGCCTTATTATCATTTTAGTGTTTCAAGAGCTGAGATCCATGTCATTAAAAGAGAATTCAAAGATGCACTATGTAACTTTTCTTGAAGAGTGTCCGCCGCCTGCTTGTTTCCATGGAGATATAATTGCTTAGCTTGAAATGTTCCACAGTACGGCATTAAACTCTGTGAAGAGGTTTGAATACACAATGTTTGGAGGAATAATTGTGATCAAAATTAATTTTTTATTACCAGCACAGTCCTAAATTATGCTAAGACCACAACTTTACTGTATTGCTTAGATATAAATGTAAGTGGTTGATGCCAGTTACCTGCAATATCATCTTAAGGGCAATGTCCACACACACATTTGCACACACATTTCACACTAACATTACACCAAGTGTGTGTTGTGCAGATCTCCTGTGGTGCCCGAGGAGTAATGATTATCTGACTGTGAAGAAAATTGAAAATGATCTGTTCTGCTATGTCCTGATGCCATTAGTCTCTATAACTGCAGTGTGTATGTGTGCATGTATGTACAGTATATGAATTATAAACACCATATGAATAAGAGTAGCTCCTATGAGTTTATTGTATTTGCAATTAATCTAAATCGGAAAACTCATTACAGAACAAAATTGACTACAAATGCTGTAAGACCTTTGCTCATACAATTTGGTATAGTGTGCAATCTGCTCAACACAGGCACAATGTTTGCTACTTTAAGATAAAAGCATCGTACATAAAATAAAGTATCAATAAATGCCTGAAGTGGAAGAATTCTTTAGACTATAGATTTTTCCTTTTAATCTTGTATCTGAGACTGGGAGCATATAGGCACAAGAGGTCATTTTAATGTTTGATTTTTTTCCCCCAGTATTTTGCCAACTTATTTGAACTGGATCCAAATGTATAAGCAATCAGTGAGGAAGTAAAAAATTGTGCCAGAAATAAAAATCTTTAGCAAAGTCAGAGTTGTACGCACTCACCTCTGGGAGTAGTTTGTGCTCTGTGGGGGTGAGGAGTATAGAAATGGGATGAGATGGGCAGCGCAATGAAAATCCATCAAAACGTAGCTCTGAAACATACTGATATAGAGAGGTTGATATCAGATGAAATAATTAGAACATTACCACTACATTGTGACTGTTTCAAAAAGCACTTTAGTTTAAATTAAAAACTGTCTTAAAAAGTACACTTCATGATGCAGGGTGGTGTAATGCTGTGAACTGCTCTAACATAAAGTGATAATGGTTGTTCTTTAGTTTAGTGGTCCTCAGAGTATCTCTTTTGTTCTATGCTGTCCAACTGTGAAGCTTTTACTGACTGGCTGAGCCCACTCATTTCTGAAGACAGCAACTTGGAAAAGGTCACTTGAGTGAAGAAGAAGTTCTCGCTTGCCTCAACAGCCTCCAAGCACAACAGAAAGAGCAGAGATAAGTGGAAATGTCTGCTAGTAATGTGTAACCGGCCACCTGCAAAATTAATTTGGGAATTCAAATTAGTGACTGAAATACTGTGTTTTTAGAAGATTCTGTGTCTATAGTTAGTGATAGATACATTTGTATAACATAATACTCCATATCTACCGTACTTCTGTAACCACAGCTGCCCTGGAGCTGACTGATGGCCAATGTTTTTTTTGTTTGTTTACAATTTGTGACTATATACTGCATGTTTAGAACTTCTTAAAATGTAATGTATGCTTATAATAAATAAGTAATTATAAATGATGTAAAAATCAGGCGTAATCAGCCATATTCAAACACACATTTTTGCCAAGCTACCTCGACAGCACTGGGGATGAATTAGAGCCAAGCTTTGCAGTGGAGGCTGATGACAACGAGTCGGGACAGTTCCCATGACCCCTGAGTGACCTCCAGTGAATTCACCATTGCTATTCAGCAGCAGGATAACTCCCAATACCCCGCTGAGGTAAAAAATTACTCCATTTAAAAGGAACATGCTCGAAAACATACCCTTTGACTTTGTGTGCACTGAATAGTTACTGTTTAATATAAACTGTAAATGGTACAAATGCTAAAACATAAGACCTTCAGAAAACAGACTGTTCTTTTTGCTTCTGAGCCTAAGGAAAACCATCTTCATAATAAAAACTGGTAATATGAAAAGGACAGAATGTTTTATCTGTGACCGTAAAAAAATAACTGTCTCCTGCATACAGAATTCAAGCTAAACCTCAACACATTCTTGAATAATCCTAAATGCAATTAAAATCTACATTTTGAGCTATCACAAACCATGTTAATTTTCAAATGTCTTCACCTTTTCATAATTGGCAAATAGCTTTACCAAAAAAAAGGTGCAGATTGAAAGCTGCAAAAGCACAAACACACTTAACTCGAAATTTGACCTTTCTTCTCATTTTTAGGTGACCTTTTTCTATCCAAAGCCCACTGTTACAAAACAGGTTATGCTGTTTGTAACAATTGCCTTTTCAAATATCCACTCATGTTGTAATAACCTTCTGAGTGAGTTATACAAAAACAACATTGAGAAGGCTCACAATATGGCTCTGATTTTGTTGACTACCTTTTTCTCTCTAATAAGCAGTCCCCCTCTCCACACTTCTTTGTGGTCAATACAGCTGTCCAATGCAGAGGGCTCCACCAGACCAGCACTCAGATATGACGCCACTCTCTTCCACCTGTACCAAGCAAACCATCAAAAGGTTTCATTATGTCTTGAATTTTAAATTCAGTGTGAATTTAAAATGAATATTCTTCAGTTAGGGCACACAAAGATGTAAACTATAGTTGAAAGTTATTACAAATGTTTAGTTTTTTGTATTACCAGTACAGAGTTTCCCTTAGACTACAGGTTGCCTACGGTGGCACAAAAAAAGTAATAAAATAATTTAATGTCATATCATGCGGAGCATAAATGCTGCTTAAGCGGCCCTTTTTTTCTGTGTATTGTTGCCTGTAAATGTTTATGATAATAGAATGGGCAACATAGTGCAATTTTGTAATGAAAATGTATAGTTCAGGTGATTTGTAAGACTACGGGAGAGAATTTAAGACTATGGGGGGTCACCATAATGGGAAACACTGCAGCAGCACATCCAACTTAATTCTAACAACTCCCCCTAGTGGTGTAAAAGGGACATGCTGTATTATGTATGCGAATGTACTCTGAACATTTACAGTCAGTACCATAATCTCAGGAGGATTATGTTTAAAAGAGGGATGATACTCACACACTGAAGTGTTGTGTCGCCACGGTGATTTGAGCGTTGTGCCAGCAGCTCATGTGTTTGAGAGCTCCCAGCAGAGGCAGCAGCTCTTTGGGAGCAGGAGGCTGAGCACAAGAGCCCAGCATCAACACGTCCACAAGGGCTTTACCTTTAATAGGGAAAAGGTTTTCAATTATTCATTTTTATGCAAAATATTAGTTGGAATCTTGAAAGGCCCAAAAGGAGTGACACTCTACCTGGAGGTGGGAGCTTGTCTGATAATGAATGTAATCCTTCAGCAGCTTCATCTAAAAGCCTGTTTAAAGAGAAGAGGAGCTCAAAAAGAACGTCTAGTGCCAAGTTCATTATTCATGTATTACTTTTGTTAAGTTGTTGTTCAAAATTACTAAACCTTTTTTAATTGAGGGGTTAAAAAAAGTTTTAGTAGGGGTGAGTCAAATTTACAAAAATATTTAGTAATTAATTAATTTATGTTTAATATCCTAATAACAATGTTCATATATATTATGTCAATCCAACAGAAATCTGCATGTCTTTAAATGTATTAGCTGAGGATTAAGTATCAGTCAAAATGTGAAATGACAAATTATAATTCAATGGTATATTCTTATAAAAAAAAAAAAAACATCATTACAAAAAAAACCATCAAAAATCAACATTCATTTCTAATTCTAAACAATATACTTGATATTCAAATTTAGAACCTCATCAAAACATTCACATTTTTCACCTCCATTTCTGAAACTCACTCTGTCAGTGCTGAATCATCAACCTTCTGATCCAGCGCCTCCTTATCGTTCAAACAGCCGATACACAGGTCCATGGTGGTGGGCATCTCCTCTTCACTGTCTGTCTTCTGGTGACATGGGCCAAGCTCTTCCCATTCAGAGCTGCAGAACTACACAAACATCATTTCATAACAAAATTAAAATTACAAAGTGTGTTAAACATGTATATGCATTGTTTATTAACACATTATGCTTTCATTTAATTTATTATTATAATTAATTATGTTTCTGTTTCAAACCATATCACTGAACAGCAATTATCGACTTCTTTATTCAACTACTAACCTGTGTAATTCCTTGACATGCTTGCACGGCAAAGAACCATTTTGGAGTTGAGGGATTTCCACTGAGGGAACAAGCTAAACAAAAAAGATAATAACACACATGAATACTGTTTTGGTAGAGTTAAAAAAGATGATTCTACTTTATTACCAACCTGGAAATGAGGGACTCTGACTGAGAGATCCGAGAGTTGAAAGATTCACAAAATTGTCATAAATTTGTTGTAGTGCAGCTAGACCTGTCATTAAAAATTACAGCGTCAACTACTGAAAACAACCCTTTGTACTAGCAACTTGGTTAAATATTATAAAAGATGTTTAGAAATAATAAATGTAGTTATACCAATGTTATTCTTGAGGCTAAAAGTTAGCCTGAGTTAGCTTGGAGTTAACGTTACAATTCGCACAGAAACTTACTGTCCTGCAGTTTGTCGTCGCACGGGCAGAAAGATACGACCAAAACGTAGCGGTCCATCTCGTGTTTTCATGAGTTAAAGCAATAACTTTGCACTGGTCTTTAGTTATGTATTCAGAAGTTTAAAGCACCAGAGTTTTCGCGCACTGTCAAATTTCCCACCAAATCTTCTTCCTCTCTCAGCTCAAGACGACACCGCCCATCACCGCCCCCTGCTGATCAAAGCTTGTACTGGCGCACAGTGGAAAATGCCTAAATGTAATTACAACTTTTATACATTTTAAAGTCTATAGGAGTAGTAGAGTAGAAGAGTATCATTGTGATGAGCTATAAAAGTATAGAGGATATTTTCCATTTCACTTCACACTACAACAAAAACAGAATAAACACACTGATTATCTGCATTTTTATTACAAAGTTTCATAATTTTGTAATAGGCTACACACACACCTACCCTGTGTCAAAATTAAATTATTTGTGATAATCTAAAAAATAATATTTAATTTGATATTTTTTCAAACTTTTCACAGTGATGAAAATTTAGCACCATTGCCATAGCAATTAACAATTCAACTAAACATTATACCTTTTAAATGGGAAAAAGATAACTCATAAAGAAATAGCGTGATTAGATATGCTAGTTATTGTCTATCTCCACAGTCTGTTCCTGCACATAGACGATGTAGTGGTGTGTGTTGTCTCCCTGAGTGAGGACAGTCAGTGCTTCCAGACCCTCGGCCTCCTCCACCACCATCACCTGGTCTGCTCCCAGGTCCTCCTCAGCGTCTACGACCATCAACTGATCAGGGCTGATTTCCTGTTCATCTGCTATCTGCAAGTTCACACAATATAATGTTAATAATATGACAAACTTACTAATAACATGTACACAGTAGCTAAAAAGTACAGTGCATGTAATACACAATCTACACAATAAATGAGTGCAAATAAAAGAGAAAAAAAGAATAGGAAGAAAATCTGTTGCATAAGAAAGGTACATATAAAACTATAATGCTAAATAATAATATCTTCTCTTTAAAACCTCATCAATACAACATTGTAACTGCAGTTAAATAACTATAAGAACAGTAATGGATTACATAATGTAGTGTTAACTTTTGAATAGATTGATCTGCTGATTTATTGATATTTTGTCAATTTCCAATAAATCTTTTTGTGTGTTTTGTAATTCTGAGACATGAGAGGTTCCTAGTAATACTATTAAACTACAATGTTACATGATTTCATTTATCGGTTTTCTGTTGCTGTTTACCTGCTCCATTACAGTGACGGTGCCTGGAGCCATCGCCACCATTGGAGTAACAACATTGTGAATGTCTGGGTTCAGATCAGTGATCTGCTGCAGAATGTTTACAGCTTCTACAAACATAACAGCAAAAATCAATACTTAATATTATAGAATATTATTTTATGATGTAGTGCTGGCTTTATTACCATTGTCTTGCAAAGTTTCTACCGGCACTTCTGTCAGCTGCATCTCATCCTCTACTGGCACAAACTGTGTCTCAACAGCTTCAGTTTCCTAGATATGTCCATTACAATAAGAACATTTAAACTAATATTGTTTGTTAAAAATGAAATTTTAAGTACATGATAATTACCTCAAAAGAAATCTGCAGTACATTCAACCGGTGTTTGTTCTTCAAGTGCCGGTTTAACTCTTTCTTGCTTCCATGAACAGAATCACAGACCGGGCATTTGAAAACTAAACACAACAAAAATACATTTCCTTATTCAACATTTGGTAAAATAGCAGCATAATTCCTATAAATACACATATTGCAATTATACTATAAGTTTTACATAAATCTAAAGATGATACCAGTCTTTTCCTGTGCCTCTGAGTCTTCTGTCTCCTCTAATTCTGTGCCTGGATACTTCTCATCCGGATGTTTTGTCTTGTAGTGACGTTTAAGAGGACCGACTTTATTGCAAGAGTAGAAGCAATGGGCACACTGAAAAGCCTATTGATATAAAAAATAAGTGCACATTAATATTTCCCAGTATAGAAATATGAAACATCTAAATGAAGGGGGTCTGACCTGCCTTCCACGTGCATGTTGCTCCATGTGTCTTGCAAGAGATGGTTTTAAAGCAGTGGCAAAGTCACACTCTGAACACTTAAATTTCCGTCCTGTTCAGAAATGTTTTTAAATAAAACATTTTAGTGAACACACTAGACAAATATTTAAAAAAGAATTATGTATTTACCTTCAGTGGTATGACTTCGAGAGTGGATTTTAAGTGAGATTTCAGATTTAAACTTTTTACCGCACAAGTCACACAAGTGAATTTTCTCAGTTTTATGTCTGTTCATATGAAGCCTCAGGTTACTTTTTCTGCATCCAGCATAGTCACACATGTTACAAGTGTATGGCTTTATACCTAAAATGATAGAACATGTACATTAAACACATTTACTCAACAGGAAATATCACTAGAATCTACTATTGATGATTCAGTGTTGTTCATTAAAGAAGATCTGAAAAATTACTTTTATGAACTTTTAATCACATTATAGTTCCTTTATTGTTAACTTATTTGAAGTTGTAATTTAGTGAATTATGCTTGCTTGAGAAATCCTGCAATGTTGTTTTTGTATTAAATTGGGATTCTTCAAAAACAAATTACTCTTAAACACTGTGAATTAAATGCAAATGTCATATTAAGTAGAACAGCATAGCCCTGGTTATGTCATCAAGTAATTGAAGATAGAGTTAGTGGTTTAAAATTAACAACTTTAAATAAAAATATTAATTTACTATGTCAAAATTCATCCCTAAATACCAGAATAAGCATCATTTGTCTTCTTTAATTAAATCTTTCAGAACAAAACGTGAAGCAGAAAAAAGGACAGAATTAAACACCAACAGCAGATGGTAAAAATGTACGTGGGTTGGCCATTGAAGCCTCGGTAAGGGTGCCACTTCAAGGTAAAGTGATCATTAAATTTGGGCAAGTGCTAATCTAATACTGAGTGCAGCGAAACAACAGATGTCCTCAAGGCCAGTACTTCTGACGATTATGTTTTTAGGCAGATTTATTGCCCATGAAGAAATATTGCCAGTGTTTGTAAACATATTGCTAAAAAGACAGGAATACAGTACCTTCATGAGCCCAGATGTGCTGCTGAAAGTCATTGCTGTTTTTCAGGAAGTAGGAGTCACAGTAAGGGCACTTGTCGGCCTGTTTCTCCATCCGCCCTTTACCCTCGACTGAGACAGTATCTGTACATTAGAGATGTAGAAATACAGATATGAAACTGTCAAACAGAAGTATATGGACTTTTAGCATTAAAATGTACATCCAAATAAATTTACCAGGGTGCATTTTTCTCATGTGCTGCTTAAGGCGGTGCTCAGGATAATTGTTGTTACAAACAGGACAGGGCACAGTTTTTATCTATTAAAAAAAAAAAAAATGAAAACACTACAGTCATTTAGCTGAATTTAGCTGATAGGGAGTAATTTTTCCAACGTGACGTTTGAAATTACAGTTAACATACTGTTCCATATTAGGTATTCAGGTATTTTGTCTAATAGGTTTTGAGTAATATGCAAGTGTAGGAAGAGTGGAATATGGAGTAAAAAGAGTGAAATATGGAAGATAAAATTGCTTACCTCCTCATGAAATCTTTTTACGTGAGCTTGTAGTTTATATTTATCAGGTGTGGCAAATTTACAATCCATATTGGGACAAGACAACATCAAGTCACTATGTTTGTGAAGCATGTGTCGATTCAAAGAGTTTTTGGTGACTGCTGAATAGTTACACTGTGAACAGTACTGTAGGTGCTCCTTGGTATGTGTGCGCACATGGTTGTTATAGTGGACTTTGTAAGCAAAAAGTTTCCCTGCAGAACACATACACTGAGTAATAAAATCAACTTGAATGATGAATGCATGAAAGATAATCATTTACCCTAAATAAAATAATGCAACTCACCACAGTATTCACATTCTAGTTCCCCATAAACCTTTCTTAGTTGTTGCAAAGTTTCAATACATAGTTGAGTTTTCTGAATTGATGAGACCACTTGAAGAAAGGCATTTTCAACAGTGGGCTCAGATTCCTATAAGACAAACAAAATTCTTCTATGAATTTGAGGCTTTGACCTGAAATATTTTGCAGCCATGTCCACTGCAGGTGTCAATGTTTAAGTACCTTTTCAGACAGCAAAGTTTTGTCCTTGTCCAGTGAAAAGACAGACTGTGAATTTGGGATCACATTTAATTTTTGTATCATCAAACCAGAACATATGGCTTCAGGTATGCCTTTTTTGGCGACTAGACTTTGTTTCTGGTTACTGACTAAACACTCCTCCTGCTCTTTTGTATTTTCAGAATCCTCAGACAGGTTTGCAGATGAAGGCGGTTTGTTTTGGTCTTCAGAGAGGGCAGATTTTATCAAAGTTTGACAGAGCTCAATTTGGTTGCTTTGTGATAAAACTTTTGAGTCTGAATTTAATCCTGTGTTATGCTCCAGTAGTCCCATTCCCAGATCTTGAGGGGGATTTTGGTCTACCTCCAGTTGACTAATGGGAACTTGCAGTTCTTCTGGGATGTTTTCTATTACCTCTTCCCTCACACTCTCTTCTTGGCTTGTCTGCTCAATTAGTTTCTCAGAATCTTGGCCCCATATTCCTCCACCAGCCTGTATGAGCTGGTAGCTGCTACTGATACAATCAATGAAGGTTTGATCTTGGTTTAATTCTGGATGAGATTCTGTTAGGTGAGTCTTGAGTCTGTGACAGCTCACAAACACACCTTTGCACACACTACACACATAGAGGAAGAAGTGCTTCCTAACATGAGCAGTGAGCCCACTTAGTTTGGTTGCAGCATATTCACAGAGCATGCAGCCAAACGGAGGCTGAGGTTCATGAACCAGAAGGTGGCGGTCTCGCTCCTGGCTGCTTTTGAAACATCTCTTACATGTAGGACAGTGAAACAGAAGCTGCCGGAATCCCTGACGAGTCTTTAACCTAAAGGAAAATATAAATTTCTCATGTAGATAACAAGTAAAGGTATGCATTAAAACAATATTGTTATTCCAACCTTAGTTGTTGGTAGATTTTATTAACAGCTGAATCTTTTAAGTTGTGGTGTCTCTCCATGTGTTTCAGTAAGTTCTTCACATCGGAGTACTTACACTTGCAGAAACTGCAATGTTGCTTCACTTTTAAATGAACTCGTTCAATATGAACCTTTGTAATACCAAATACAAAAGCCCATGAGAAATGCCTCAGATAAACTCAAATAGCAACTCAAATTATAGCAAAGAAAAGGACAATCTAAAATAAAAGACATCTAAAGTACCTTTAGATGTCCAGAGCTGATGCAAGTAAAAGAACAGTGGTTGCAATGAAACTTGTCTCCAGTATGTTTCCTCAAATGAACATTGAGGTTTGCTACAATGAAAACACCAAATAATACAGACATACGATATTTTAGAACAATAAATGTAATAATAACTGGGAGTTATTCTTACCTTTAATAGCTGAGGCATAATCACAGTGGGGACATTTAAATGGTTTCTCTTGAGTGTGTGTTCTTAAGTGAGCAATCAGTGAATGTCTGAATTTAAAAATCTTATTGCAGAACTCGCAGGTAAAGATTTTTATTTGAGGAGAACTAAAAAAGAAAACACACCCCATAATTCTTAGACTTGGACCTATATATAAAACACCAGATTTTCAGATTAATTTACAGTATTCACAATACCTGGCACTGCCTTGTGTAATAGAATATTCCAGAAAGCCTTTGCTGACCTCTGCTGTTGGCTTTAAACTGTTGTTCATAACACATAAGAAAAATCAGGACAGAATGCCAATAATTTTATGCTGATATTATGTAATATTACCTTGGCCCTCTAGCTGTTTTAGGATCAACAGAGGATGCTATAAATTTGCTTGTGGTTTTCTCTTGTGGTTCACTCTAAACAGACATAAGAGAAAACATGTCATTAAAATTTTAAAGGTAGATCTTCATTGTTGGCGCTTTCATTTACATAGAAGGTGCTTTACCTGTGGTGGATCCTGTGCTGCTATCGACTCCTCTTCTGTAAGACTGTCCTCTTCTACAGGGACCATTTTACTCACATCTTTTGGGCATAATCAATACAAATTTACAAACAGATTGACAAAGCAAAGAAAGAATATTAATAAAATAAATCTCTAAAAAGGTCAGTATACAAACCTGGAAGTATCTCATCTTCAGTCAAAAAAACCTTTATCACTGACTTTTTACTGGCTGTTGAAGGTGCTTTTTCTTTTGATATAGGAATTTGGTCTCCATTCTGCTGGCGACCTCTTTTAGCAGTTTTGGGGAGTTGGAAGTTGCCTTGAAAAAAATATATTTAAACCCTTTAATCTTGAAAGACTAAATCAAAGCAGCACTTTAAAACATAGTAATTTCCATTTGTTTCTTACTACTGTCATTTTCTTCCACCTCCTCCTCTTCCTCAACCTTCAGGCAAATGTGTTTGAGGATTTGTCGCCTGTTTCTGAAAGTGCGGTTACACTGTTTGCATTCCAAACCTAATGCCTCCTCCTCCTTTTCATCTACAATGCAAAGGGTATAATAAATACATTGCAAATGGCCTATTAGGATAAAATTCAGAGAGTCCCTAGATGTGGGGTACCTTGTTCTTTCCTCTCTCCTTCTGTTTCAACATTATCTTCTATGTAATCTGCAGAATCATCTTTGTTTCTCTTATTTGTTGAACCTTTTGGCCTTCCACGCTTTCTTTTAGATAGGGTTTCTGGAAGATAAATTATCCTTTGTGAGTTAGTTTTGCAAGGTGTATACCATTTATTAAGAGAGATGTAGCCTACACTAACCTGTTGGTTTTTCTGCAGGTTGTGGATCAAGTGGCCTTAGTGTAATAATTAAGTCATGTGAGAGCCCCTGCTGTTGATGCACCTGAGAGCAGTGAACCAGCAGCTGAGAGTGACTGGGGGAGAAGAGGTTGCAAAGTCGACACATGAACACAGCAGTCCCTGAAGAGGATTAAAAAGAGGTAAAGTTTTGATTCAGTGTTAGATTGGTAAACAATTATTCATTTAATTCGTCATTTTTGTTGAGTATTACATTGACTCTTGTTTTCAGCTGAATCCATCACTCATGTGAGATGTTTCTAATTATCTTAAGAAATGTTGCTTAAACTCATTAACAAATCAAAAGTGGCAGTGTTTATTTTGGTTTAGATCCATGGGTTTAGTCCATGAGGCCACGATAAACATATTCGACCTTAGCTAGCTTCAGCGCTTACCTTTCGCTTGCCCATCCATAGTTTTCAGCAATAAATCTACCTATAACACACATTGTATTTGAACTATCGCATAGCTATTGTTAAATATTTATGTTCAATTTCGCTTTATGGACCAAAATTTCTGTCGAATCTGCGGCAGTGTCATAAACACAAGTAATCAGCGGATGTGCCACAATGCTAAAGTATTTTGTATGAGCGCCTCTAGTGGTTGGCTGACTTTACTGCATACGTAATCAAATTCTAAAAATGTCAACATGGATGTATTCTTATTTATTCTTGTCTTCTTTTAATACATCATACTTTAATTTATGCATGCCTTTTCATTTTAATTCTCATTTGACTATTGTTAAGTATTGTTTCATGTTGCACCACAATGTTGAAACCCATTTCTAGTTTGTGAATTTTATTTACTGACAAAGGGAGGCATAAAAGCTTTTTTTTCTGAGTCCGAGGTAACGATAGATAGAAAGAGTATATTATTGATTAATTATTTTAATAGACCTACACAATATCATATTTTGATGTGATAGGTTATATGGAGGGCCCATATTATCATTTTTCTTTTGAAAAAAAATTTAAAAATTGCCTCCAATACGGAAAATAAACTACCAGGTTATAGGCCTTTACAAAACTACTCAGTCTGTTGCATGTATTTATTGCAAAAGTAGCAAGTGCATTTCAGTCATTAAGTGAATCTAAATCTATAAAACACACACAGTCAAACAACATATTCACACTCAAAATATGTAAAATTGACTGGAAATAGTCAGACCATTTGCCTTCTTATAACAGTGTGTTTTTATTTCAATTACTGCTATAAACAAATTTACAAATTGCTCTTCAGGAATGAGTCAAAGTTGAGTTTTCTGAATAAAGATTTATCTACTGATAGTTTAAGGTCATTGAAGGTTGTGTGAGGACATTACAAAAGCAAAGTACATGCATTTTTATCTGTGATCGTATTTAAATAAACCATTGTGAACAGATGCTTTCATATTCATGCATGTTTAAAAAAAAAAAAAAAAAAAGTACAAACAACAAATCAAAGTTTATAAGATGCAGAGCAAAGCATAAAGTGTACATTCCAATAGGCCATCATTTCAAAAAATGTTAACTGTGACAATAAATGCTATATGTCTCTTCTGAGACCTTTAATTTACAAATAACTATATAATTTACACATGTATTGTTAAAACATCTCATACTCTCTAATTATTTACACCAAATGTACATACAGTATGTAATGTATTGGTGTTATGTTTCCCTTAAAACAGTTGAGTGACAGTAAACGGTCCATTTGTTAATGCACACGCTGATATGTAAACATGACCACAGTGAAATCAACAGCAAGCTCTTATAATTCACATTGATACAAGCTGCAGCTGCTTTTCACACACTGTTATATACATATAACGATGCCAGAATTTCCAAACACCTTGTGGACAAGTGGAGCATAGTAAAGGAAACATTTGTGTTCATAATTCAGTGTATTTTGTTTTTTTACTCCTTATTCTGAAAATTACAGGTTTATCTTAGGTCACAGTGTTACAAAATATAATTTATATATAATAATATAAATGATCACTTTTTATGCTTGAAGGCTCTTCTTTTTGTCCACTGAACCATATATTTCACAGTGATTTAATTACATTGTAATGTGCACAAACCAAAGGAATCATATCATCCATGGCTTTAATGTGAATGCAGGGCCCAGGGCTGCTTAAATGTCTGTGAAGAGATTTTACATGATGCTACATTTGTTCTTGTGTGAATGAGAGTCTTTGAATCGGAGTCTCTGCTTCGATCTGTACTTTTCTAGATAAGTCAGCTGTTTGCTGTTGATGGCTCCTCTGCGCTTTCTGAAAAACATGCAATCAGCGTTACACAGTACAAAATAAAGCAATTAAAATCCCTTATATAGTATGTTGTCTGTTTTGCAATGATAGTAAGCAAATTTATAAATAAATAATAATAATAATAAATAAAACAGAAAAACGTTGCCTCACTCTTTCCACTAGAGGGCGTGTGATGTATGTTTTTATGGTGCTTACTGTCTAATAAGTTGGATGGCATCTTCATATTTCATTCCACTTTCAATCAAAGCCAAAGCAACCAGGACAGGAGCTCTGAGCAAGCAGAAAAATACACTTTCTTTAATACATTATAATTTGGCAACATTGGTTTTAAACTACTACAAACTAGTGAAAGTAGCATACCGTCCAAGACCGGCCACACAGTGGACTGCCACACAGGATCCAGGGTCCTCCTGAAACTTCTTTTTTAAAAGGCTTAACCAGTCATCAACCAATTTACTGGGGGGTGGTGCTCCATCATCAAATGGCCAATCCTAAAAATGTACACAAAGAAACCTCTATTAATCTCTTAATCTTATTCAAGAGATCCTGGTTGACAGATTGCACCTCCTTACCACCACAGTGATGCCATCATTTTCAAGGGGTGTTTTATCGTATGTGCTGTCACAAACTCGAACTACTGTGGTGGCACCATAACGCTTCAGGTCCTAAGGAAGAGCCCGCCAATAAATTAAGGATAATACTTGTTACTATCCATTACTGTGGTAGCACCATAACACTTCAGGTCCTAAGGAAGAGCCCGCCAATAAATTAAGCATAATATTTGTTACTATCCATGGACTTCAGCTGCTGCCCACAGTGTGATGGGAGTGTGACGGGCCAAAATATTGGATAGGTCACATACAGAAATACACAATTGCTCATTCATAAAGAGGCACGTGTACACAGTGTTTTCTAACACAGTTGTTTCTGTATGGACCTTGTATGGAGCTGTATTTCTAGATATCATAACAATAAATAATTCATAACATCACTGAATTGCCCTTTTTAAATGGCGATTAGGCTACAATTAACAACAATGTAAAAGATAACATAATCAAGCATGAATATGAATTGGACTTTCTTACCTCTACAAAGGAGCTGAGTGTGCTGTCAGTGGGGTTGTGTGTGATTAGGAACCTCATGTGTTTGTGACACAGTTCAACAGGAGCTGGACGGTTCATGGTGGCAGGTTGACCTTTGACATCCAGAACATATTTTTACTTATGTTTACATAATTTAAATATTTTTGCCTTGAATGAAATCAATAACAATGTCTGTGAAAAGGCAAGTAAAACTGATCACAGAAACCTTACCTTTAACTCTGCTCTCTTTTTCAATGAACTTGCGATATTGTGATTAAATAATTCCCGCACTAAAATGTTTTTAGTTTCTTCTTGCTCTGTTGTCCAGGTAAATGTTTACCCCATCAGATGCTTGTATCCTGATGTCCAGTTTTTACTTTTTTGTTTTGACAGTTCTCTCCACTCTTCCTTCAGTTGAGTCCTGTGCGCGGTTCTCCACTTGTTACCCCATCGGCTGGCTCGCCTTGCTGTCTACGGGATGGCCGTTCAGCGCTCAGAGTCCCAAGATGACATTGTACAGCTTCACCCAGTCTAAATGTGTTGAGCGTGGCAGTAGTCTCCACTCCGCCGCACAAACTCCATCAACCAGAGATTCTGTCAACAAACACAAAAGTAACGTCATGATGGTTATAGATTGGTATACTATGCAGAGTGGAAAGTTGTGAAATCCTTTATTGTGAAATACAGAGAAACCCAGTATTAATGTGTATGAAATATTAATTATCTCTGGCTTTCATGACATGATCTAATAGGCATATTCTAGGAAATAATTTCTTAATGGCCATTTTAGAATTATTAACAAATGTATATTTAGTCTAATGTCAGATGCTGGTGAAATTATTTCTTCATTTTTTGGCATTTTTCACATTCACAAGGCCTTATAGCTTGTGTTTATCCTTTAAAAAAATAACCAAACTTTTAAATGTTGTTTTACTTGGAAAAACATGACAGACGACCAGCAATGTTTCTGCTCACATGTGTAAACTCAGAGACAAACAGTCAGGGAAAGGCCCAGAGTAATCTCTCTAATCTGTGGTCACCTGTAATAGTACTACAGACACTCACAGTCTTCATGGTCACATGCCAGCTCAGTCACTCCTCCCCAGGAAGGTGGAGACTATTCTAGGTTGTTGACTGTGTGTGAAGCAGTATTTATCTCGTATTGCCAATAGATTATTATTATGGGGATGACAATAGATACTGTAAGTGGAACTGTTTAAAATAAGTGTTTAGATGAATGGTTCATTTAGGTTGAGGCTAAACCAAATTAAGTGTAAAAAGTTGAAATTCAAAAAAGAAAAACAAGAGAGCAGCCTTTTGCTTTCTTATCAAGTGTGTAAAAAGCCACTCATGGTGAATCACTTTATCACTAACAAACAGTTTGGAGAACTGTGAAAATATCTAGACACTAGCAATAATTCCTATTAAAACTGCAAAGCCGGTCTTCCTTATTACCTTAGAGTAGTTTACAAAGTATAAATAGTTGCCTCCACAGTTGGTAAACTGACTGCCTGAATCCTTTCCTGCAAGGCTGGGTCAGGACTGAAACAGGTTAAAAATGGATACCAATATTATTTTAATACTGTGTTAAGTTGCCAAATATTTTTACACAAGCCAGAATACATGTGAACTCAGTTTAGAGGTTATCAAGTTGGTCCTAACATACCGCAGTACAAGGGGACTTGTGTATCTCTAAAGTACACATCTGTATTAAATTATAATAATGTAAATATATGTATTAAGTCCTAATTGTGTCATTTATTTCAGCGGACAGCTTGGCCCTTGAACTGGGAAATGCATAAATCAGTGTCTGACAGTCACAGCAAAGCAGCAGCCTCCACAACAGTATGAGTGCTGACATGCAAGCAGCTGATGGCCTGTTATAGTAAACCTTTAGACATGAATATCTGTGGCTTATTTATAGCGATCGATACCAACAAGTAAATCTATTTTTTTGTATATAAAAACCTGACATATTTACTGAGCCTAGACAATGAAACTGTTCTAATTACAGTGTAACAGACCAAGTGGGCAAACCAAAAGTAGCACAATTTTTCATAAATTTTCTTGATGTCAATAGTTATTGTGGAGCTGATTGAAGCTCTATGGTAATGTGCTGCCATAATCTATACTGTGAGACAAACCTTTCATGAATATGAAACCTTACAACACCTAAAATGTGTCTAAACAATTCTATATATCTCTTGTTGTCCTTACCGCTTAACTCTCCAATGCCAGTATAAACAGCAGTTCTTCTGTGTCTTTGCCAAGTGAAGTCCAGCTGCTCCCAGTTTCTGCCTGAAGCTAAAATATCTAGTCAAAAATGGAGCCAATATAAGTAGCACAAAGTAAAGCCTGTGTGTAACAACCTGTTGCTGTGCCCCGCTCAGAGCCTGAAATAGAGTCTCTCCTGCCTCTCTTGCCTGTCCCGCTGAGCGGCTGTGAGCAGCAGTGCTGTGGCTGTGGCCCCTGCAGCAGAGCAGAGCTGAGGATCTGTGTGAGCTGGTCTAATCAGGCTGAGCAGCCATCTGACCCTGACAGCCCTGTCACCAGCAGAACACTCTACAGTTAATGCTCTTACAGAGAAGAGCCTCTCTCCCCCTCCTCTCCATTCACTCCATCCACAGCCACTCACTGAGTAAGGCCCACACCTACAGGACGCCCTGCTGATTAAGGTTTACACAGAGTCAGCAGTAGTGGCACCAGCACCACCCAGAGTGTGACATTGCAGAAACATTTCAGGTAATTCATACATGAATCCATTTCACACAAAAGAAATCATAAAGACATTTTGGCAAACATTTTTCCATATCCACTTGGACTTTCTCTTGTTTTGCTCCTCTCCTCGCTTCACAGTCCCTCCCTGAGCCATCTAAAAATAGACCCCTTTGAGTTGAGCTAAACAGACCTGTGACAACAGAGTCCTACTTAATAGAATAAAGTTTATCCTTAAGTGACATTAAGCACTGTTTTCTTGACTCCCTGTTTATGTGAGAGATTAAAAAGGAAAAAGATACAATTAGAAATACATGTTAATAATAATATTGTTATAAATAAAGACAAAGTATTATTTATTATTATGGCGATTTTGATCTTGGTCATTTATGTAATATGTTTACACCTTTTTGTCCTTGAGTATCAATCCTAAAAGTTATCCTAGACTTTAAAAATGCAGACATCCTCATTCATCACAAGAATGTGTTCACCCAATAAATCAGGTTTTCAAGAAGGTGGTAAACACGGTGGTAAACAAGCTCATACTTATTATAACTAATAATACTTATTCCAATATAATTACAACTCCTATTTACAACGAAAGAGTAGTAATTTCTTCTCTAAAGAAATTTGTTTTGATAGACCAAACTGGTACAGACTGGCCTAAACATGGTTACAGCAATGGTTTTAGGAAATCTGAGCTGCTCCTCTGTAGGTCAAAACTCAGCTGACACTTTCATGCTTTTCAAGGCTCCTAAAGGACACTGACAAGCCAGTGACCTCATTCCCTTAATCATAAAAAGCACCAAACCGGCATACACCTAATTGTTTATTTACCCTGTACATTAAATACACACACTGGCTATTCTTGACACCAGCAGGGATTGTTGCTAATTAAATCCTTGTTTCTTTATCTGCCTAAAAAGCAGTTTTAACTTTTACTGAAGCCTTACATTCATCAGGCAGAGAAACACAGACACACATATTAGAATTAAACAGTTTGATGGGTAGGCCATGTAAATATGTAGACTTTTATACTCAGGTCAGTTCTGTCAAGAAGGCACAGCATTCAGCCAATGGTGTGAAATAGCTGGTAATTCCCAGGGCAAAGAATGAGTAACTGGATCTGAAAAGGAAGCTCAGTATTTCCTCTGATTGAGTGTCTCCCACACATAATTTCTGGCACATCAAGGATTGACTCTATAGAATAATAATTATTAAAGTCTTTTTAGATTTTAAATTATAAAAATAAGTTAATAAGAGATTAGAAGATCTTTGCGGCTTCCTGTGTTGAGCCATGTTAATATTTTGAAATCCCTCTAGACTTCGAGAGGATCAGAAGGTAGATTTATCTTTGGCTCCAAACTTCAAAGAAATAACTTTGTGGTTTGACATTGTGAGACCTAGAAGGTAGCCTACAATAGGGTGCTCTCTGGGGCGGGGACACATATATGAGATTCTAGATCTCATATGAACTTTTCATTTAATCTAAATTAAATAAATAAATGAATACACTTTTCTTTTTTAATAAAGCATTACTAACTCCTACATGATACTGACACTCCAAATCAATAATGTGTAACTATGAATTTATTATAATCAATATAAGTATTTTAATTTTAAACCTCTGGAATTTATTATCCTTATGAATAATTTATCAAATTTTAATTTTCACATGCATGAACAGCAAAGTTATTGCTACATGTACTTTGAGTCATTGACCCACAAAATGAAAAACATGGTTGTTACACAAGTGCCTGTCCATGCATTTCCACCACACAGGGCTGAGAATGGGCGTAAATGCGCGCGCGCTCACACACACACCCACACCCACACACACCCACATACACACACACACACACACACACACACACACACACACACACACACACACACACACACACACACACACACACACACACACACACACACACACACACACACACACACACACACACACGCGGCTCAAAGTGAAGCATGTAGCGGGCGGCAGCAGCTGCAGTGTGTATAATTAGACTGTTTTGAAAGCGGAGAGTGGAGCAGCACTCACCTGCAGAATGAGCCGTAACTATGACAACGGGACAGCAAGACAATGCCGCTTCAGATGAGGTACTTCTTAAGTCAGACTGGTGCCTTTAGTCAAGAACACACTGACAGAAACAAAAGGAAAACACTGGAGTAAGTGCACTACCTGTCCTGGAAAAGTCCTGGGAACATGGCAGTGAAGCTGTCATAGCTGCTCCATATCTGTAACATGTACTGCAGTATGCAGTTAGAGCCTAGCCCATCACGTAGGCCCGCAGTCTGTATGTCAGTTAAGTAACAGTTCAAGAAAGATATCTCTCACGATATCTCTCAAAGATACCTCTCAAAGATATCTTATGTCTTCTTTCTGCAAAGCTTCTAGTTTTTATTTCAATTATGCTACCAAAAAATTTATCTTAATCAAAGTTAGTCCAACTTTTCGCCTCATGTTGTTCTGTAAAGTATAGGCCTGTTTCCAACGGTATCGTAATTAACATGACAAAGAAAGAAGAATGAAAGAAGAAGAAGAAGAAAACATACACAAAACTACAAACAAACAAACAAAAAACTTAATGTGCAAAAAGGTGCACTACAAGAAGCTTGCCATAACAACAGATGCAAAATAGGTTAGTGTCAGGCTTGTTTTTTGCAGTATAGTGAACTAAACTAACTAAACTTCGAGGCTAAATTAGCTCTTTTTTAAACCAAAGGATTGTACAGGTGTTACCATGGAAGTATAGATCCATGTGCGTTACTGAGCGCACAAAGTGAGGTAGGCATGTCTACTACTGTATGTCTATAGCGCCCTCTAGCGAAGAAAAGCGAGAAGACAACAATAAAAATACAGCTGCACGTGTAAACCTCACATTGTTTAAAAGTGAATGAATTTTCAGAATGTTGGTGTATTGTCTTTGAAAGGTAGGTGTCGTGATAACTGAAGATGCGAGTCGTTATTTTGATAAGTGCTAATCGCCTACGTAAAATATGAATAATGTAGGTCTATTCTTTGCTTAATAAAGTGTTCAAGTTTAGAGCCTAAATGTCGACAGTCACTAATCACTGTCACTAACAAATCCATGTATTTTTTAGGTTGGTAAATATGACTGCATTAAATCTAATCAGTTAAATTTGCAGATAAATTATTTTCATCAAAACAACATAGCCTATATGGGGCAGTCGGCAGTGAAGTAGGCTATCAGGCCAGAGCTTATAAGTCGGGGTTAGTTTTCTGTTTAAAAGGTGTCCGATTGACGTGTGGCTTAGACCCATCTGCTGCCCTGTGCGTTTGAGCCACCTCTAAACGGATTACACTGTTTCTCACAACGCACTCCATAGCTGCACAGGTAAACTCAGTGGTAGCATTATATTAAAGACATTATGCCCTGTCTGTTTTGGTTCCGCTCTGTCACCTGTCAGTGTCTGGGGCATATGTGCATGCTCCACATCTAGATTATAGGCTATAGACTTTGTTAAAAAGAATAACTATCATGCTTTAGCAGACTGACAATGGGTAAAAACATGTGTTTTGAACTAAATTGGTCTTGGTATCTTTTTATGTACTCTGCTCAAATACAAAGCCACATGAATTTTACCTTTGTTTGTTAGTGACTATGGGCTGGAAGCTGGATTCATGCTGGATATTTGCTTTGCAGCAATTGTAAAGATAATGTAAAATATGCATGCTGTTATTAAATAAAGTGAAAATAAATGATGTAAAGTAAATTTTATTGCTTTAAGCTTATTAATTCTTATAGTAAGTGTTCATTGTAAAGATTCTAACATAAAATCATTCACCCTTGTCCTAAGTGTCAAGATCAGATGCCATTTGATAAATGTGATGTTTAACAGATGACCCACTAAATTCTTATTACAGTTCAATAGCTGTCAAGCATAAATAAAAGAAAAGATAAAGAAGAAGAGAAGATAAAGAAGAGAAGTTCAATAGCTGTCAAGCATAAATAAAAGAAAAGATAAAAAAAAGTAGAGAAGCGAACATAAAAAAAAATTGCTTAAATGTGTTTCTACATCCAGCGGTAATGTGTATATGCCACTCTCAATGCTTTATATAAACTAGTTTAGAATTCTAACTAACTATAACATAATTTCTATATATGTGAAGACAGCAGAGGTCAACAGAGAGGTCAGATTAAGGGAGGAGCAGTCAGTTGGCCACATGTGAACCAGGTTAGGCTTAAGGAGAGATCAGCACTCAGTATATAAACCAGCTCAAACATATGTCTGGAGCACTTAGCACTCTACACGCACTTGCTCTTTACTTTGTTGTTTTCTGGCAGTGTTTAAGGTTGATTAGTTGTACACATTTATTATTATATATTGCTTTTTTTTTAAGCTACAGCCATGGTTCTCGAGGACAGCGAGTGTGACTCTGTTTTTGAGCCTCTAATCACTGTAAGTATCCAATTTGGGTTTAATGCAGTGGAAAATGTAACTAATAAATAATTTATGTTGCTGACAGTTTTACCAATTGTATGTATATTTTAGGACGATTATGTGGAAACTCAGTATGGAAAAATCCACTGTGTCTTTGCTGGGACGCCAAGGACAAACCGTCCCATCATCTTGACCTACCATGATGTTGGACTCAACCGTATGTTGCCTTTATTTATGCAAATAATTTTTATTAATATATTTTTATGTTTAATTCATTAATTTTTAAAAATTGTTTAATCCTAGACAAGTCCTGTTTTGATTCCCTCTTTAATCATGAGGATATGAGAGAGATCCTCAGACACTTTCCTGTTTGTCATGTTGAAGCACCAGGACAACACGAGGAGGCCAAAACTCTTCCTGCCTCGTAAGTAAAAGTCATCTTTATATAGTTAGATTGTCAATATTTTATATTTAAGCGTCTACAATTTTATATTTAAATTTCTATAATATGTTCTGTCATTCTTATAGATACGTCTACCCAACAATGGATCAGTTGTCTGAAACCCTGCCCACTGTCCTCAAACACTTTGGGTAAGAACCTTATTTAACTGGTGCACTGTCGTCACAAACTCTATCCTCTTCTTTTGGAAGTGACTTATAATGATTTACTCTGCAGATTACGCAGTGTCATTGGACTTGGAGTGGGAGCAGGAGCCTATATCTTGGCTAAATTTGCTGTGAGTTAAGATGGATTTTTTTATATATTCTGTATGCATTATTATATATAGATATACAGTACAGGTATTATATTTGTATCTGATCATAAAGATTTTATGTTTGTTTGTAGCTGAACCACCCCGATTTGGTTGATGGACTTGTCCTGATCAACATTAACCCACATGCAGAAGGTTTAATGGACACCATGGCGACCAAGGTGGGCACAATACAGTCTCATACAAAATGTATAAATTATACTGTATTTTATACTGTATTTTTCTTGTGGTAATTATACTTTGTGTGTTTTCAACAGCTCACTGAATGGACCCAAACCCTCCCTGACACAATCATTGCACACATATTTGGAAAAGTAAATACCACAAATGCATTTCACTTCACAAATGTATTTTACTTTATCAGTAGAAATTATTTTATTTTTGTCTATTTTAGGAGGAGATTCAGACAAACCTAGACCTCATAGCTACCTATCGTCACCACATCACAACAAATATGAACCAGTCCAACATCAGTCAGTTCCTACGTTCCTATAACAACAGACCGGCTCTGGAGGTGGAGAGGCCTGTGCCTGGAGGAAACGTAACTGTTCGCACACTGAAGTGAGTTTAAGTGTTAATGAATATGAGGACTAGTTTTTAATTAGACTTGAATTAATTTGTATTCATGCTGCAGGTGCTCCACTCTACTGGTTGTAGGAGATTATTCCCCTGCAGTGGACCCTGTGGTCGACTGCAACTCAAAACTGAATCCCACAAAGACCACACTACTCAAGGTGATTAAATATGGTCTATTAATTTATTATGAGGATAAATTAGAAGAAAAACCTGACCAGATGTGTTTTCTTACTATCTTTTAGATGGCAGACTGTGGAGGACTTCCCCAAGTAGATCAGGTAAATTAAATTTTGTCTCGCCAAGAGCAGTATAATGTAAAAAAAGGTCCTGAATAATTCAATAATATCTATTTCTTACATTTGTTAAAACAGCCAGCAAAAGTCATTGAAGCCTTCAAGTATTTTATCCAGGGCCTGGGATATTGTAAGTTACCAACTAACAGTAACCATAGACCGTTGCTTAGCATTCAATGCTCAAAACATTTGTGTCTGTTCTCCAGTGTCCAGTGCCAGCATGACCAGACTTCGGTCCAGGACAAACTCCAGCACCTCTTCTTATGATGGCTCCCGGAGTCGTTCACACACCAACGATTCTCTGCGTGGCAGACTGCCCTCTACTGGCACAGACAAGAACAAAAAACATCAGAATGATATTGCTATGGAGAGTATTAATGGAAATATGGATCATCGAATCACAAAATCCACACAAGTGGCATGCTGAGGTCAAATATAGTAATTTAGCTATATTAAACATACCATGTCTATCTATTATTGTATCTATATCTACATCATTGTTAAAATTTACCATATTTACCAAACCCTTTAATGTTGATTGAGACATTTTAAGAGAAAGTTGACTGAAGCTCAATGCACTATGCTCTTTTAACAATTTTTATGTATTCAAATTGCTGCATATAGATCTTCTGTCTGAATCCTGCCCTGAACTGCTGCTATTATGCCCCTGCTTCTTCCTTTTCCCTAATTCTACCTCCCACTAAAGTATTAGTAATTAGTGAAAAAGTTCAATTGTATTTAAATTATGTATTAATTATTTAGTTAATTATTATTCATATATTTCAATGCATAATGGCATTGAAAGATATTCTAGTTTAGTTTAGGCCCAATTTATCACATTTAGATGTTTATTGTTTATTGTTTATTTATAGTCATGTCTAGTCTTCAGTCTCTTTGTAAAAGCAAATTGAATAGCCTATGTGTAATTGTGTATGACATTTCTAATAAAAAAATAGATTTATCAACATCTGTACTCATTCATTATGTGTAGCATAACTAGTTTGTTTAGTAAGTTTGTCACTTCATAAAACAAAATTTCCCTCTTTTCTGAACCGTCATAGAGGTCCACTAGGTGGTGCACTTTGATTAAGCATGTTACATCCAGGATGCTGTAATGTGGTAGTAATACTATACCTTTAAATGGGCTTTGTGGCATTGTTTTTTAATAACTTTAATACTCACAACTGTAACTAGGAGGGATTTAACTATATTTAAATTTCATAGAACTGTTGCAAGGTAGCAATTTGGAAGATATCTGCAATGCAGTTTCCTGTGGAACTGCATGGCTCTGCCCAATTACCCAAATACAGGGGATGAGTATATGAAAAATAATTTGGTTACCCTATAATGAATGTATAAATACAGACAAATATTTAAATACAAGAAAAGTCTATGTGATAAAGCTATAGAAAGGACCCAGTCCAGTGATGGTGATATTTTATTGCATCAGTCATCAGCTTTTACAGGTGAGACAGGTGTAGCACTTGTTAGAGGCTGGTACACCTCTGGCCATCCTGTGCCTGTCAGTCTGTCCCCCTGTGTCCTCTTGTGTCCACTGCTGCAGCCATGTTGGAAAAGGAGCAACAGTGCTAGCAGCTAGCAGTGGACACCTACAGCCTGGAACGGCGCTGTTGTGGACAAAAACACTGGGAGTGGGATTGGAGGCACACAGATCTTCGGGACACGGAGCCGGTTCTCTTAACCGCGGGTTTATGTGTGATTTTTAACATATTGTCTGTGGATTAAGTGCCTGGATCAGGAGACTAGGTGCGGCCGGACCACAGCTCTGGAGAAAGTGAGTATTGATCCTTCTTGGGGGCGGATTGAGTGGGAATAGCCCACCGTTAGCACAGTTAGCTTAGCATTAAATGGGGTACCAGACAGACAATGAGTTAAGCACATACTAAGAGCTGGTTACTGCATTTTTAGGAGATCAGATCGAGCATTTTATGGCAAATTGAAAGCTTGATAGAGGCGTGTGATAGATGATTTTTGCACAGTGAAGTCATTTGTATTCCTCACAGACAGTGGTGCAGTGGCCGAATCCTCCCCTCTGTGTGTCTCTGCGAGGTGCAAAGGTCCAAGAAGGATTTCAGTAAGGCTGAACTAAACATCTGTCTGGTGTTGATTAACGAGCTCGTAACCGTGGTAAATTGTAAAGAAACAAAACATATCATAATAAAAAAAGCTGCGATTTTTAAGACAAAGGGAGGCAGCTCGTCACCCTGAGCATCTCAAGTGTTTTGGTTGTTTGTCAGCCATAATAATGTGCTCCATCTCTTGTATTAACATTTTAGTGCATTTGTACGTGAAAATGTAGAGTAGACCTTGGTGTATTAAAACAAACCGTAGCATTACATCAGATATATAAATCAGTGTGTTGTGTCATGCGCTGCTGCTGTTACCAGTGATTTGTCAGCATGTCCCCTGGGTCTGTGGAGCCAGAGCTTGTCATGTCACGGTTGTTTTATTATTTTCTTGTTCAAAGTCTAGTTTATTTCTGTGTTATGATTGTTGTGTCTACATTGAAGTATTATATAATAAAGGAAGAAGATATTGATTGACGCACATTTTAGATTTAATATTGTATTACATATTGTGAAGACTTGTGGAAAAAGATATGTTAAACAGTGACTGGTCAGTCATTGGTTTATAATAAAAACAATATGGCTGTAGTCAAACAGATTTATGAATTACTATAGTGGTAGAAGAGAAAAAACACACTAGTGTCTGAGAACCCACAGAACTCAAGCCAAACTCATGAAGTCAAATAAGCATAAAATTAAGCTATGTACTGTTTCCTTAAATTATATTTTTGTCCTTAAATAATTATAAGTTGTCACATTTGTATTTGATTAGATGAAGCCTGTGGTTAATAGTTAATCACATGATAAATTAACCAATTAATTAATCATAGAAATTAACAGGATTTGAATCTCTAACATAGTAGATTGTTTAGTGCTTAGTTTTTGTCTAGTTTGCTATTTCTGAGTAATTTCACATGCTGCGTGGGTGTTTTTAATTTCTAGGTATCTTTGTGTGTCTGTACTCTATTGGTTTCACTAATTTGTTCTGACAGGGATGGAGTGAGCCTCATTGAGTGTGTTACAATGATCTTTACACCTGTCTGTTTAAGGTGAAGAGGAAAATTACTGACAAAAATATATTGACAGGGAGGAACAGATAAGAGAGGGGAACACATGCCGGGGAGAAGCGTATTCATGTTTTTAAATGAAACTCGGCCCCCAGGTGTGTCAGTCCAAAACAATCGGTGGGCGGGTGTTTTCCCTCCCTATAAGTGACAGCATACAGTCCAACAAGGAAGTGGTGAGACCGAATAGGAACATACAAGCTTGTGTGATTAAGCGGAGGTGTAGGGCTCTGTGTCCTGATAGCAAAAATGCAGTTCTGGGATTTCCTAGGCTGCACTAATGGAGGTATGTACATGGAGAGGCATACTAACAAATAGCTGGCTGTTTTAAAGTTGAATTGGACTGACTGTTTTGGATCTTGGTGCCGTATAGGCAGGTATTGAGGGTCTTGTAGGTTGAGAGCTTGAAAGGAATTTGTGCTACTCACCGCTGTGCAAGCAGTTGCATGTGGAAACCTCACAGACAGGTAGAGTGTGGCGCATAAACGAAAAAGCTCAGATATGGTATAACTTATGTTTTCTTGATAATTTGTGTCCAGAAAAAAGCTGAGAAAATTAAAAAAATAAATGTCCATGTGACAGCACAGCATTCTAGCAACCATGTACTTTACATCTGAGTTAGAATCCAGGTCAGAACTGGTGGTTTAAATGTCAGATTGCAGAATTGTTGATTAGACTTATGGTTATTATCTCTGTAATTATTGAGCCTCTTCATGTGAAACGGAAATTGGCACAAAATATAATGTCTTCTCTGTCCCTAATAAATAACAGTGAGGTGCAAAATTTGCAAATTTCTTCTCTCTCCATACCATCAGTTATATAGGTCTCTGCACTAGATTGGATTCACAATCTATTGGAAGAAATCAAAAGTTGACCCTGTATAGCATTTAAATGCTGTATTAGTCTCCACCAATACAAAGCACAGGAGCATGTTTATTGCCATATCTTAGAAATTGTTCCCCTGTGGTTCAGTTGTTTTCACATTTCTCTGCAGTTCTTTTCCATAAAAACTAAAGGTAGTGTCGCATAAAAAGTGCTTGCAGTTATGTAATTGCTTGTAGTTGAGGCATCTCGTAAAGAGGGCTGTCACACTTCAAAACACTAATGACTGTGAACAGACAAGCTCAGTTTCGTCTCACTTTTCACTTTACATTTTTATATTTTTAGCATTATAATTTATAACTTTTACTTTGATTGTAGAGATGGTAGTATGGCAGAAGAGCATATTGTAATTCTTGTCTTGTTTTAGGCATTTATGTATAAAGTTATAACTCCCAATTTCCCATAAAATTTGGTAAAACAAGTCAAAATTTAGTCTTATAAACATAAAAGTAACTGCTATGAATCTGTAATCTGTAATTATTTTTCAGCAGAGGCAATAAGTGACATTTGTTCTACATAAATTGTATTAAATAAAATGATTCAAATATGGACTGAAAGAACACTGGACTAAAAAGCATGGTATATTGTACACAACAACAGAGTCTAATTTAAATATGTGTTGTCTCGTGCATTTACCTTCAGTTGTGGTTACATTTTATTGAGCTGGATAGGATTACAGGATTGTCTATTCTGACACCCATCCTGCGCCCAGGGCCATCTTTTCTGTTTTTCCACTAATACGTATATTTAAGATACCTGATGTGTTGTGTCACTATTCTGCAGCTGTCCGGTTAACATAGATTGGATGAGTAGTAGCTGTGTCTAAATAGTTGAGGATATTACTTATACTTTACATAAATGCCGCGCTCAAGCTTCAATCCCTGGCACAATTTTCCTCTATTTGCATAAATGTCTGGCTTGATGCTTTGCTTAAAAATGTGCCCTGGAAACATTTTAGGTTGACAAAAGTTTCATTACCTCTTGTTTCAGTGTCTTTGCCTTTCACATATATTACTGAAATGAAAAACCCTGGTGCAAAAGTATATTACAGATGACTAATACCATTTCTTACAGTCATCAGTTAGTGACTAGAATACATTTTACCTTTTGTGTGGGTGTATACATTAAAAAAGGGAACCTTTATTTCTCTGGAATAAAACTAAGATACAAAATGGGGTAAAAATACAAATAATAAATACGATACAATAAAAAGGCCTGTCCCAATAACAAATTAAGAAGCGCAATATAGGGAATTTTCCAGCTTGGGGACCTTCCAGCCAGCTGAAGGTCCCCAATATATTGCCACAGAGGAATATCATGATAAATGATAATACTGAAACGACACCACTGACACAATAGAAAATAAAACAAGATAGTCAAGGGTAAACAATACAAAAAATACAGTATCATTAAAAAGCTTGAGCTATAAAAACTAAATAACAGAATATAAGCAAAATAACCAATAATTCATTTAGTTACTTTTTCATCCATCTACAGTTCAAAACTTATGGTATTAATTAAAAAAATAGAAACATCCTCACTACTGCAAGAAAAATATACATATTATAATGCAAAATATATTGTTCCAGCTTCATTTATTTAATGATAAATGATTGTAGTAACTATCATGACAGGTCATGATACAATACAACACAACAGAACTAGAGTGAAACTGTGCAACAAAAACATTTAAATATAATAAGTGGATATGCCATGTACAATAGAGCATATGGACAAAGTGTGGGCAACAGGGACAAGTAATAAACACAAAAGCCAGTTAGGGGGGCTACAGTCGGGGATCACGGGGGCAATGTAGTGCATGGTAAATGACGGATGACAAAGTATGATGTCAGATTACCTTCTTGGTACAGCCAGTCATGTGACATCCCATGGTAGATTCAAGTCCATGACATTCTGAAGGAAAGGTGAAGAGCTCTCACATTTTTGTAATTTAGCTGTGTAATTTATGTAAAGAAAACATTTGTCTTCTTATGATTCCTCTTTTCAAGTTAGAAAAATTTCCATAGCTTCGAAGCGAGCCTGAAGGTATATAAATGTCTATTCTTTTAAATGCTGTGGTGTCCTAAGGCTATATTATGCCAACAGCCTAATCAGTGCTATTTCAACTGTTCTATCCCAGTCCAGCCTCTGTATTGAGACAGTGATCAGAGTATGATGCAGAGGAAGTCTTTGTTGTCTTGATGTTTAGCTGGGAGTTGTGCAATGCTGTTAGCGTGGTGTCAGCTCTTGCGTAGCCTCATCGGTCCACTGCCAGAGGCTATGGATTTCTACACTGAGTGGGAGAAGAGGGAAACGAGATGAGAGCAGGAGAAAGTCTGAAAATATTGTTCTGTTCCAACTGACTGACTTTCATTGCTCATTTTATTACTATATATTGTAATTTTTGCTAAATTTACATGAATGGGGTTATATGAGGACATGGTGGGCATATTTTTGCATTAGTCATTTATTTCTTCCTTCATAAACATGCAACCAGAATACATTTCTACACTGGATTGTAGTCATTCTTTTATTGAGGCTTTGCGAATGGCATATGACAAATGAGTTGTCTGCAGCAACCTCATATTGGTGGATCATGAATCCATTAATCCACTGATTGACATTGCTTTCTTTAGTTGCACAGTAAATCCAGTTGTGTTTCTACACTGCCTGGCCTTAAAAAGTCACCACCTTGATTTAACTAAGCAAACAGATGTGCCCAAAGACATGGATCAGCTGACTACCTGGGTGCTTAATGAGCAGGTTTTTCCAGCAGTAGATTTTCCCAGCATCAATACAAGATCTTACCACTAAAGTAATGCAATACTCACTACGGAAATACATATTGTGACACTGCAAGTTTATAGAAATGAAGCCACAGTGAATTTGTGCAATAATCAAAGCTAAACATACTCCAACAAAAAATATGCATTTGTTTTGATTGGGCAGTGAGTGTAAAAAACAGTATAATAACATAAATATTTCCCTTTTTTCAGATATTTCCAGGATATCATCATACTACACTGGTAAGTGAACAACATAGCACCTGCTTACACGTTTCAGCACAGTACAGTAATATGGTGTGATAAATATGTACGTCCATTTACTCTATTAACTCAACTCTGCTTTTTGATATTACTTATTATTTATGTTTGAGTATTATACCCTGCTTGTGCAGTTATTTTTTATATGTGAAAAACTTGCATTATTTATGAAGGGTATTCTCAAGAAGGCACAGTGGTACTGAAGGTTAATTGGATGGCCCTGTGACCAGTGTTGACAGATTCTACCCAGTCAATTATAGTCTCTGGTTGTGTCCTTGGGCAAGACATTTTAACCATGAGACAAATGTTCTAATGATCTTTTTATGTCAAAAAACAATGCAATGACATGCATGATCATGTATAAAAAATTGGAGGGTGTTTCGGCATCTTTTAGTTGTATCTTTGAGGTCGGAGATATAATCCTAATAATTATTATAAATGTTGTTTTTTGATAAGGTTTGGTTAATCTCAAACTTTAACTCTGAACCCTACTGGCAGAAGCCACATGCAGGCACCATAGTCCTCTCATTCTTCTGAGTGAGTTCACAAGTTCAATTTTAAGTGGAAACCTAAAGAACAATACATTTTCTTGTGTAACAATGTTAAGAAAAAATTTCAAGCTTTCAAAATGATCATTTAATTTAAAACACAAGCTTGACTTGAGGCTACAATAGGTCCAGTAAGATTTAAATCAAATCCATAGTAGTAAGGGTTAAACGGTAGTAATGGTTATGGTAGTTCTGTTGCTTAGTTCCTTTCCTGATATTTACATGTGATATGTTGAGCTTGTATGCTACTTTATGTGATCAATAGCTTCCTTACTAAACTGATCAGGATTTCCAGTGGGTCTTAAAAAGTCTTATAATCAAATTTAAGTCCTTAAGGAGGTTCAACTTTCAGCCCTGCTGAAACCCTGATTTATGCATACCAATCAGTAGCCATGTTTTTCACTGCAGCAGCAACAACAACAACAACAACTCAATCACAACATTTCTCTGTACATATTTTCTTCCTACTCTCTTCCTCCTCCCTCTCTTCCTCGCTCCCCAGTTGTGAGTAAAGCTGCTTTTTGCCCCCGTGGTTGTAGCAGCATTCACTAAACAGCCCTGGACAAACACGCTACAAACACGCGCTGACTTTCACTGAATGTGCTCTCCTATTTGACTTCCTGCTTACCGGCACACACACTCCCTCTCTTGTATCCATCCCCTCTCTCCTTCTCCGTACACTCTCACTTCTGCAAGAGGAGGAGGAGGAGGATTTCGCTGGATGCACTGTTTGGTCTGCGGCAAGATGGGGCTTTTTTTACACCTCCAAATGAGTTTTTCTAGAATATGGAAGAAATGGCATCTGTGATGGAAAGCTTTTAATGTGCATTTTGGAGTTGAGAATCCTACTTTAATATTTGTTGTTGGGTTTTGCTCCTAATTTTTCTGTGCGGTCTGTGTCACTCAGCCAATCTCCCTCTGACATCAGATACCTGTTTTGACCTGGTTCAGTGCAGGCTTGGAGCGCACTGGGAAAGCTGTGGAGGGATCAGGGATTTGTCTGTTTTTTTGTTTATTTGTCCTCACAGTCTGGAGCCAGTTCTTCTTCTGGTCCATCCCTTCTTTCTGCTGTTTCATGGGTTTGTCTTTTGTGTTTCATTGCACTCCTCTTTCCCCTGCTGCACCAGTGACTCTCACCATCTTCGCCCTCAAATGCTCTATTTCTCTGTGCCCTACATTCACTTGCTTCATTGATGCCCTGTGCCTGCGTTTTATGTTTAACATGGAGCTAAATGCTAAAATGTCTTACAATTTTGCTAAAAAGACTATTTTTAACTCTGGTTTGTCACTCTTATTTGGATTATTGACGCACAGTGTCCAACCCTGTGCCTGGAGATTTGTGACTGCAGAGTGCTTTCCTTGAATTCCACTTCAAGCATTGATTTATTGAGTCACCAGCTCCACACTGGAGACCAGCGCGTGATGTTAAGAGGGTTTGATGGACAACTGGATAGACTTGCTACTAGTGAGGAAATCATTCAGACATTACACAGACTTCAGTTAAAAGCTGTATTGTGAAAAGACTTGTGACTGCTATTTGGCGGCCTTTATTTGTTTATAAGAGATGAAAACATTTGGAGCCGGATCCTGATAATGGATGGGGAGATTGAGCTGTCTGAGGAGACATAGTCAGAGCAAGTTCTTTCTACTCCTTCTGTTGGGAATATGCTTCACCACCTCCAATGAGTGTACTGTACAAAGGAGATTCAATCTCTTCCTACTTCAGTCACTGACTGTCTTTGAGAACCTTCAGCTCTCTGTGAAAGTTGGCATGGATTGAAACGACTGTCAAATGGAAAACTCACTTAAACAGTAGTTTAATACTCCACTACACTGAATTTAAATCTGCCAGCTGTGGGGGTCTATGCTGACTGACAGTCTGCACACTTGTGTCTGGGACCTTTGGTCAGCTGCAGAGAAGATGGAGAGTAGCGGCTGCATCCCGCTTTGTTGGACCAAGGGGGCCTGTATTTATGCACAACATCCCCTGCCAAGTATGTGACAAGTCAATTAAAGCATTAAGTAAAACATGTACTTATGGTAACTACCATATCAAAAGGGCTCCTGCTGCTGCTCATTGAGTCATAATGAATTTATAATGACACATTTCAGTTGTGCTTATTTTAACCAGGGGTGTTCATGATCAGCCAATTAATTAAAAATACTGACAATGAATCAGATACTGTGCCATCTGAGTTATGGGCAAAACAGCATAAGACATTTTATCTTAAATGTACAAGTCTATAATTTGCATTTAGTTAATTAGCCACTTACAATCAAGAACCACCATGGTTCTTTATGATTATTACTCACACACACACAGCTTGTTATTATAAATTGTGACAAAATGATGAGGCTTAACACTTTTTGATAAGCAACCAATTAATCAGTTTAAAGAAACATGCCCCCCATGCTGTGCTATGTTTTTCATAAATCTGCTTTGTTGCTGTTCCATGTCCTGTTCACTAAAGTCCATCTGATATTTGAATGACATTATCTGCAGACAGACAGGGATATGGGAAGGATGTGGAAACCGAGGATGAGAGGAAAATGAGAAGGGGAGAGGAAGTTGGGCGATTCAATATGACAGGATCCACTGGAGACGTGAGGGCCAACTCTCTAAAAGGTTTTGTAATGAGTGGAACAAACAATGGCTGCAGTGGACTGACTATTTAGAAAGGATATAGATGATTTGATATTTAAAAATGCAGACTTTGCAGACATGTTACAAGATGTTATGCGCTGAAGAAAGAGAATGGTACCCCTAGTAACCCAGATACAAACTGAAGGAGGCAGATGAATGGCCCATATGCTGCAGAGATGAGATGGTGCTACACTCTTCTCTGGTAGAGGGGCAGAGGGGTGCATGTCAGATATTGGATCCCCACTGTGAGGGGGATTCATTGGGCTCTGCTACTGTCAGAGAGTGGCCTACTTCAGTGGTTCTCAAATCGTCTGCAGGCTTTTCTGGTGGTGCTCAGGGAAGAGTCTTTTGCAATTAATACTTGTCTAATTCCAGCCTTAGTTTGCCCGACATCTTTAGTTCAGGTCTATTTGGTGTCAATGATTTTCCATTAAATGTTAGCCCCATAAACCCATATTAGCTTTTTTTTTTTATATCATTGTTATTATTAAGGACTGTATACTTATTACACTGATGTAATAGGTGACAGTTCTTCTTCAAAAAATAAAAAAATGTGAAATTTCACAATAACCTGTACCACCATAGTCAGCAAAAAAGAGTTTGAAACACTGAGATGTAATTGTGTTTTTCTTTATTTAATTGGCTATTTGCTTTATATTTTTTGTTAGCACTGATTAAACTGTGGAGAGCCATACTAAACCGTTTGTGTATTTGACAAAGTCTTCATTCATCCATAGGAAATGCTTTGTTTAGATTGTACTTAGATGGTACTTGGGAATCCAAATATTTTATTTCATTGATGATCCTTGATTAAATACATGCTTTGCTCATTTTTAACACAGCAACAGTCAGATGACAAAAGTTAGAATGGTATAATACCAGTGAATTTAAAACACACTCCCCCCACCTAGACCATAGGTATGTCTTTTACTCTAATGCGATTTTCTAAAGCTGTGCAAAGTATTTAGGCTATGGTTACTTACATGAGTGTGATTTTGTTGCTGAGGTATGACTTGGTGCATTACAACATTTCAGTGCTTTGACATAATCTTATTACTAAAGTGAATGAGCTGACAGTGGTGGCTGGTAACTCTTCTGGAGCAACAAAGTCTATTTAAAAACTCAAGTCATAATGCTGCCCCCAATACATGTTTAATGTGCTCTGTTTTAATGAATAGGTCTTGATGTGTTGTCCTCATTCAGATCTAAATTATGCAAATGTGAAGTGGCACTCTTGTCATTTTTACAGCACTTTTGCACTTTTCTTCCTTGTTAGCATAAGGTTGTTAACTATAAGAGCTGCTGGTAATTGCCTTCACATTTGTTTTCTTCTATCAAAAATTAACAGTTGGCAGCATTAGATGTGGGCACTAAATTGGTTTATGAATGAATGCTGTTTTGTAGATGCAACATTTGAATATCGAGTATACGGTCTATTAAAAAAAAAAAAAAAAACAGCTCAAAATGTGGTAAAAAGCTGTTTCATACAGCTGTTTTGAGGGTTCTTTTACAGCTCTTACATATTTCACTTCACCTCAACTAATACATTTTAGAACATATTTCAGTACAGATATGTTGGAATATCAAATATCATACTAAAAATATTCAGAGATTCATTTTTGTCATTATTGCCATCGTCAAGGCTACATCATTTTTGTAAATAGACTTAAGAGTCTTTTTGTGCTTATGCCACACACAGAGTAGTGTTTTTCCTGTCATTGAAGACTAGGGGTAGGTCATATTTCAAAAGTGCTGAACGAAAAGCTATTTTGGTTTCTTCTTGACATAATATGATCTGACGGTAACTTGAACATAACCCACAAAAATTCACTGATGCCATGCATAAACAATATAGCAAATACATTCAAATACATTTAAATGTTGATACTGTAAATTGTCCAAATTTTGGTGTATACATTTAGTTTTTTTATTTTGAGCCCATCAGCTGAAAACAGTGCAAGTGGTTTGACTTCCTAGGTTCATTAAAATATAAAATTTTAAATCTCCATTTCAACATTACAAATGTACATTCATTATTTAAATGTCGCTTGCTTGTTTTATTTAATCTTTAAGCACTCTTTTTTCAGTAAGTATAGCTGTATTTGTTGTAAAATAGCGAACGATTTCTTGGATCAATATACCTATTAGGAGCAAAGATGTTTTATTATTTAGCAATTTTCAGTATATAAAGTATAAATAAATGCAGCACATTTAAATTACAGTGTGTTGAGGTGATCTGTGCTATAATAACTAATCTCTGTTCTGTCTGTTCTTCCTCCTCCAGAATATGATGGCCAGTTAGCCCCCGCAGGACCACCTGAGTTTGGCATGGCGTCGTCTTCCTACTTGGAGCCCAACCTCAACCACTCAACAGCGGGCGGCTGCGGGGTGAAGTCTCGCTCGGGGATGCCAGGAGGGACTGGGGTGGGGACCAGCTCCTCTGCTGGGGGTCTGGAAAGGCCCACAGGATCCATGGATCGTGTTCTCAAGATCTTCCATTATTTTGAGACAAACAGTGAACCTTGTACCTGGGCTAGTAATATCAGACATGGTGACGCTACAGATGTCAGGGTAAGAAAACACACAAACTGTATTAATGTGGCAATACTTCAGAGTTAGGATTCACTGTCTGATAAGAATTCAGTTAGTTTATTTTTTTGTAAAATTAAATAATTTTTCTATTGTAAGAAAACTGGAAATAGAAGGCGCAAAAAAGAGCTGATTAACATTATAACATTGTTGTAATGTAATATTTTTGCACCTAATGATACATTTTACAGTTCATTCACATGTGCAATACATGAACCTCAGCTGAGGCAAATCAAAGCAATTTGACACATTTTTAGTGGTTTGCAAAAAAATCCTCTGATCATTGTATAAAAATCTAGCCTACAATATTTCCCACTGCTGCTGTTTGCTCAGCTGCTTACTATTATGTCTTTGAACAGGGAGTTATCCAGAAAATAGCAGAGATCCATAAACTGCGCTGTGTGTCGTCCCTGGGTCTGCGCCTCACCCATCTCCACTCAGACGCTCTTCACTGGTTACACCCAGACTTAGGCGTCTCCCATGTCCGAGAGAAATATGAGAAGCAGCACCCACAAGAGGAGTGGAGGTAAAAGCTTCACATTCAAAATCTGTCTTTTCCCTGTCATTGTTATTATGAGTCAAGCACAGTATAAATCAAATCTTAAATTAAATGGTAAATGAAATGTCCAATGGCCCAAATTAAAACAATATGTAGAGGTAAATACTAGTATGCCATACACACCTCACCAACAATCATCATCTTAAAATTATCAATTGTTTGATTGTCAATCAAACATTGAAGGTGTGGAACTTCTCTGCTCAATGTTTCCCTCCACATTATGGGGTTAAACATATTTACTTAGCAATTATTTAATTGTGGGTGTTAGTAATAGTCAAAATACCTTAAAAAGCATACATCTATGCAGCAGCGTCACCTTTGTAGATTTAAATCTAGTAGCCCACTCTAGTAGTAGTTGAGAGAAGAGGCACAGTTTTGCAGTTCTAATGCAGGAGAAGTTTATTCACCATCAGTACAGGACCCACCACCATGAACCCTCAAGACACTGTGAGGGTTCATGGTGCTGGGTCATGGAGTATTCTCCGCTCTAGTCTAGTACAGTCCGGTCCGGCTATGCTTCCATTGTAGGGACTATTATATCTCTGACGACATAGGCTAAGATAACAAGAACCTGGCAATAAGAGCCCATAGTACACCACAGAAACTGAATTTCTCTAACAGCCTCTCCATGGATTTCTAAGATATTTACGTGAAATGCCATGTAATTTAACATTCCAGAGTTCTAAACAATAGCATCGCCATCTACACAAGCAAGTGTGACCCTAAAAGGTTCCATACTGTAGTGCACCATTAAATTGCAAAAGACTTACTTCTCCAAGACTTATTTTATTAGTATCAGTGAAGGCAATTTAAGACTACAAGTCATTGTGTTATTAAGAAATATGATACCACGACATAAGTATTTCTTATCACATTTCTTCTGGCTATATGCAGTGCCATTTCCTCTCTTCAGTGATTATTGTCAATGATTTAGTCCACTGTTGGGTTGGTCGGCAGTTTGCATCACACCCAGACTGATTAAATTTGAAGGAAACCGATAATGACTGACTTCTTCACACCGTTGACACGCTTCACTACTTGTTAGATGTATCCGCCTCGCAGGGTGGCAGCACTGCAAACCCACAGGAGCCTCTGCTGCTGCCAAGCTATTGTTAGCATAGCCCAGGGGATGAACTGACTCTATCACACTCTGGAGCGGGCCTTTTTCTTATTCAAACTCACGCACTGCATTTGCTCTTTTTTCTTTGATCTCTCTATCCACCCTTTTCTTCTCATCTTTTACAGTGTTTCCCACTATTTTTTCTTTTCTATCAACGGTGTCTCATTTATTATAGATTGAGGATGTTTTATTCATTTTGTTTTCAACCTTGATTTCCTTTGTTATGTGACTACATGCTGAAACATCATAGGTCCGTTAAGCTGACCACTGTTCGTTGACCCATTCACTCTTGGCCACTAGGGTGCGGCAGTCTTATATAATGTATCAAAGATAGTCATGTGGACACTCTAGGGATGCTTCTAACTGGCATCTTTATCAACAAGAATCTGCCCACAGTGTGACCCTCTCTGCCAGTGTCTCACCTTGGTATAATGACACTCAAAAGTGAAGTCAGCGCTATGAAAAATGCTGTTTCATTACTAACATTCTGCAGAGCGTACTTAAACGAATGGCATGGGAAGCAATAAAATCTAATCTATCTATACAGCCTAACCGCGCACAATATAGGCTTTCAGACTTAGACAAACTTTATTGATCCACAAGGGAAATTACTTGGGCACAGTAGCTCACACATTACAATATAATATAAAAAATTTAAAAGTAGTAATAACATTTTTAGTAATTGAAGTAGCAAAAATAGCCAAAGACATGTTTAATATTGAAGTAAATGAAATATATACAAAAATATCAAGTCCTTACACAAGGGGCATTTTCATATTCAGCTTGCTGCTTGATGTGAACTTTGCTTGAACACTGATGTCATCCATTCATTAACAATTCAGATTTACCAACCACATACTGAGCAGAAATGTATCATGTGCTTGCATCAGCTCTGAGATGAGCCATATGAGTAGGCACTTCTTGTTTCCTGACAGTCCATCAGATGTGTTTATATTTCTTTATTTTTTTAGAATTAGCCACAGTGCCTTCTTGTGTTAGTTACATTATCTGTCATATTTAGGTATGAGCTACGGATGCGATATTTTCCAAAAGGTTACCTCAGTCACTTCTCTGAAGACAAACCCTCCCTCAACTACCTCTATCACCAGGTATGCAACCAAAATGGCTTAAAGGTAGAGTTGGCAATTTATTTAGAAAAAGGAGCACTATTTAATTTTGAACGACCCCTACCGCATGATCATTTACTGATTTAACTGTTTCCTTCTTTAGGTAAAAAGCGACTACATGCTTCATATAGCAGACCAGGTGGATCAAGATGTTGCTTTGAAATTAGGTTGTTTAGAAATTAGGTATGAAAATCTGTTTGTTGCAAAGATTGTATACAAGGCATATTAAAATGAGTAACAAAAGTATTCTGTGGTTCTAATTACAATATATATTTGTTTATGGTTTTTTAGGAGGTTTTTTAGAGAAATGCCCGGAAACGCTCTGGACAAAAAATCTAACTATGAACTACTAGAGTAAGATGCAGTATTATGGCCCTTTTTAAAATTTTGTTTATTTGTATGTATTTAAACAATCCCTTTATTTTCAGGAAAGATGTTGGTCTTAGAAGGTTTTTTCCTAAAAGCCTGCTGGACTCTTTGAAGGTATGACTTATATTGATGACTGTAATGCTTTGGAAATTGGCCGCAGCCCCATCAGGCTACAAAGAGCTGACAAATGTAGATTTATCAGACCGACAAGGAAGCAGCTGATTACTGTCTGGCTTAATGTTGGATTGTACTGTATCTGATTTGTGGAGTTGTATTTAAACCACTTATCAGTTGTCATTTAAAAATTGTAAGTGTTGTTTTATTCCCAGAAAGGTAATGCTTGAATGTTATTGTTAATATATTGTTGTTAATTCTTTATTTTTCTTATTTGTAGGCTAAAACTCTTCGTAAGCAGATCCAACAGACATTTAAGCAGTTTGCAAATTTCAATGATGAGCAAAGCATCCATAAGTTTTTTGAGATTCTTACTCCTATTTATCGATTTGACAAAGAGTGCTTCAAGTGCGCTTTGGGGGTAGGACCACACACATCTCTATAGTTCTATTAAATACAAGTTCTGTTCTGGAGCAGTTAGTGTTTATCTTATCTTTTTGTGTTTTTCATTATAGTCCAGTTGGGTAATATCAGTAGAGTTGGCCATTGGACCCGAAGAAGGAATTAGCTACCTCACAGACAAGGGCTCAACGGTAAGGTTCTGTTTGAAAACAGTCTCTCTTCTCCCTGCTCCAAAACACATGCATGCTCGGTGAGATCAATGCTCTATAGACACAGTGGTAATTAGCTCTGCCGCCCTCTACTGGCATGTTTTTTTTGACATTGCTAAAACTGAATTTGTCACACATACAAATAAGTATTCATACAATCTTGATTAATTAAAAATCTTTGTTTTTCTTAATATTAACTTGATGCTTTGTTCCTACAGCCGACGCATTTAGCCAACTTTAACCAGGTCCAGTCCATCCAGTATTCCCCTTTAGAAGAGAAGGACAGAAAAGGCATGTTGCAGCTGAATGTAGCTGGGGCACCAGAGGTAAACATACTACTGCATCTTCTAACAATATAATATAAAATTGTAATTTGCCAATGTAATAATTCAAATATACAGTTGGTGGCTAAAGAAAATCACTGTAAAAGTTGCTTCCCTCTTTATTGAAGTGAGGAGCTCTTTCTTGAATGTCTGTATTGGGATGTTTGCAGTATATTGACAGAGGAAGTTATTGGCCTAAATAATGCTCTTATTGTGCCCAGTTGCACAGTGAAGCTACTCTCTGCCTGTCTGTCACTCCTCTCTCTTCTACAGCCCCTCACGGTCACCACCGCATCGCTGACCACAGCTGAAAACATGGCCGATCTGATTGATGGTTACTGTCGACTCGTCTCCTCAGTCTCTCATTCCTTCATCATCAGAGTCCATAAAGGTAAGCCTCCATTATTTTTTTATGCAGTGGCTTCTCTTTTTTTTCGGGTGGATACAGTGACAAGCCCAACAACATTTTCCTACCCTACAAACAATAGCCTTTAAACAAATGTTGTGCATATCTATCCACATATCCATCGTCTTTCTGTTGTTTAAATGAACTACTTTGTGAAAGCAGCTACTGTTGTGAATTTGGGATCTACAATAATACATTCAATTTAACTGGAATATAAAAAAATATCCATGGTTACTAAATCTATAATGGAACTCACTTTTCCCTTCATCACAGTTCTAGCAATTTTTTGACATATTTTTAAGAAACTCTGGGGACCCATTCAAAAGCTTTGGAGACCCTGATACCAAGGTTTAAAGTAACTGTTATATAGAATTATGGTGTGTAGAAATATACATGAAGAATCAGTATGTACATAAAATTATAACTTATCAAGTTTGTCTAATTTGGGAATGTTTTCTTTATTTTGCTTATTATAATTTTGTCTTGCAGAGGGAGACAGGGCTCTTCCATCAATTCCAAAGTAAGTGGCCTCCATTTTTATATATTGACTGATAGAGGTTTTCTGAAGGTATTCTAGAAGTGGGATATTTGCGTTCTCAGTAACCCACCCACCAACTGTGCTGTCAGTTGTTGTCAAACAAGTGTTCTTGACACACTTTGCATGCAACTGCTCATAAATATGTTAATTAATTCAAGCACAAGACATGAACTCTCTCTTCTCCTCAGGGTTTCAAATCATGAGAGGCGGATGGAAAAAAGGATGGACGGTGTACGAACCAGAGCTGTTTGTGTCTCAGGTACAAAGTCTCATTTAGCTCTATCAAGTTCACTCAAAATCATCAATAACACTTGGACTGGTGGAGGAAGGACATTACAGACTTCCTGCACACATGCACCACAGCTAAGCCACACTTCTCTCTATAATGCCTCATCTGTGTGTGCAGTGAAGAGTCCTTGTGCGTCCAGATGTCCACATGGAGAGCTTTAGTCACTCTATTTTGACCAAAACACTGGCCTCTCATTCACTGCGAGTAGGGGAGGGTGATATAGAAAAAATGTATAGTAAGATTTTGTGAGTATGGGTTATCATAGATTTTAGTGTTATTATTACTGTGAGAAGAAGCATCTTAATATTAGGATATTCTCTCTCGTTTGGTCAATACTCATGAATTAATAATCATCATTAAATTTTATTTGCTTTGTCTATATCACAATTGCTCTAGTTTGTGACCAGATTTAAGAAATGAAACTCTGTTGATTATAAATTAAAGCTAATGTGTAAATTGATTATGCTTGATTATGCTTTTAAAATTATGTATTTGTTCTTAAAATTATATTAAAAGTTGAGGCCATTTGTGTGAATTTGAGCTCAGAACTGCAAGAGAAAAATAAATGGATGACAACTGGCAGACTGTCACATGATTTGATTTTAAAATGTCACACTGACCCTATCCACACTACCACTGGGAGAAGACCCATGACTAAACCATGTCTGAATACTCATTACTTGTTTGTGTATCAAACTTTAACTAATTCTGTCCTTTTTTTTCCTCTGTGTGTCATGTGCATGCTGCTTCGGCAGGTCATACTAGTGGAGATGGTAAAGAGCATTCTTTACATTAAATGCCTTGTCTTTCAGTCTTTCTGAATTATTTTACTTGTATTTTTCCCTTTGTCTGTTGTTTTTGTTGCCCACCTCAGTGTACTTCACCTTTCTGCTTAACAGGGGAACTGTACAGTTCAAAACACTTTAACTGTTTCAGTACCACTTCTTTTCATTTGTTGTTATAGATAAGGGCTGCAAATTATAAAAACTGTGACAATTATTCCAATTAATTGCTGCAGTCCTATTGTGGCTAGCCTGCAGATGCTTTTTTTGTCCTGATAATTGATGTTGTGTTGATGCATATTCATATTTTGCTGAAGACACTATATACTGTCTCATGTATGTATATATATATGTATATATATATATATATTATATTTTATATTTATATTTTATATTATTTTTTTATTTTTATCTTAATTTTAACATCACATTTGTCCTGTTCCAGAAACGGATGACTATGCTGAAATCATAGATGAAGAGGACACGTATACAATGCCTTCAAGTGAGTAGATACATTTCCAGCATAGACATGAGATAAAGCTTTTGGTAAGGAAACCATAGTTTGTCTTATGTTGAACTGGTGAATGTATAGTTATAATTTGAACTGTAAATTATTATATATAACGTAGCATTGTGCCTTAAGCAAGAAGCCTTTATTTTGTCTTGCAAATAAAGTCCCTTAGACTTATAGAAATTTACAAATTAAGCGTGCTCTGCTATGCTCTTATGACGTAGTCTGCAATGTGTTTGAGAAGCATCATTGCGATCACACTATGAAATAATGCTCTCGCAATGATATCCCAGATAAGTAATGTCAATGAATACATCAGGTGCTTTTAAATGTGTCCTCTTTGTTGCTAGATGTACACATTGTTACACTATTCATAATCTAAATCTTGAAACAGAACACAAATGTAAACCTTTACATTTAGAAAGTGGAAGGAACGTTTTATTTTAAACATTCAGCCAAACTTTGTGCATCTCTGTACTTACAGTTAGTTATGTCTGTCTCCTATCACTAACCCCTTTTCCAGAATACTATGGACTAGATCAAGGTAATGTCTGGAACAGCCTACTGTATTGTGATGCTCCCCCATTGGTGGTTGTGACCCTTATTTTACTTTTGCTTGCAACTTTTTAACTAAAAAAAGATGTGTTTGTATATTTGTACTTTTTGAGACCTCTCTCACTGTTGATGTTTGATGAAAAAGCTAGGCTAGTGGACTTGTCTTTATAGTATCTAAGACAATCAGTTTAAAACTGTTCTGCTGAAATAAAAACATTAAATAGAAACATTAATTTCAATATTGAAGATTGTCAATAATAATAGATAGGGCAGCACATGATTAAAGTTGCACTGTTCTATCAAATGATTTCTTCATCTTGATGTTTTTGTTTTGTTTTGTTTTGTTTTAAACTAAACACAAAACTCTTAGTAGTACATGAGAATAACAAAGTCCATTTATAATAACAGCCTTTTCATAGACCATCAACTTGGACAAAGTCGGGTCTCTCAAAGCAACAGCTTTTTAGCAACCGTAAGAGGAAATAACTTTTAAAATAAACATATACTAAAATAAACATATTTGATCATCCATTTGACCAGCCTGACTTTATCCACGTTTCATTGTGTTGAGTTCATGTCTTCTTAATTATCGATGTCAGTGTTAACACCACATGCTCTGGCTGTGGTTGGCTGATGCTTTATTGCATGATACTGACATTTAGTTGTTTTTATTTTCTTATGAAAAAATCGGATAAATCAGCTCGTCAGTGAACTGTGGTGGATTAAAGAGGATTTTATGTTGATAAACATCTAATCCACTGAAAAAGTTTCGGTATTGAAGCCATCCAACCCATAACTTAATTTAAAGTGAAAGTTCTCTGACAAGTTTGGTTTCACATAGAGCCTGAATATAAACTTAACATGAATCCTGCGCATCTTGTGTTTCATAATTATGCGCCTGTTGTTTTGTGAACCTAGCTCGGGACTATGAGATTCAGCGGGACCGTATTGAGTTAGGGCGCTGCATAGGTGAAGGTCAGTTTGGAGATGTACACCAAGGCATTTACATCAGTCCAGTAAGTAGGATGTTTTTTAACGTTTTAATATTTGACATACAACACTAAATCTTTAACATTTATTTTACTTGTAGGAAAACCCAGCATTATCTGTGGCAGTAAAAACATGTAAAAACTCAACTTCGGACAGTGTTAGAGAAAAATTTCTTCAAGAAGCCTGTAAGTAACCCATCAAAACTATTCTGTATGTTCAAATAGCACATCATTTTCTGTGGTATGTCATTTAGAATTGATTGAAAAACATGTATTTATTTAATCTTTATTTTATTTTACAGTTTGTTATTCTATTTGGATACAATTTCATATCAAATACCAAATAAAATATACTAAAACCAATTATACCAATTTTTTTTTTTTTCTTGTTTTCCAGTGACAATGCGACAGTTCGATCACCCTCATATAGTGAAGCTCATGGGTGTCATTACAGAAAACCCAGTCTGGATCATCATGGAGCTGTGCACTCTCGGGGAGGTAAGACTCAGTCCGACGTGAACTTTAGATGGATGCTTCCATTTCTCTGAAAGCTCAGGATTAAGCCAGATTTATGGTGCATTTAAACTGACCACAAGGACAGAGTGACATTTCCACCCACGTCACCTCTTTGATGTAAATCATGTTTTCCTCTCTCTGTAGCTGCGGTCGTTCCTCCAGGTGAGAAAGTACAGTCTGGACTTGGCTTCTCTCATCCTGTACTCCTACCAGCTTAGCACCGCTCTGGCCTATTTGGAGAGCAAACGCTTTGTCCACAGGTACACCCAGGACATTATAAACCATTTCATTATAGATTTGCTATTGGAATATAGGCAGACCATTTGACATGACTGTTTAATCAAATATTCCACATGTTTAATGATATTTATATTTGAGTTTAAGTAAGTTTTATTTTGGTTATTTTTCTCCTTTCAGGGATATAGCGGCCCGTAATGTGTTGGTGTCTACAGTTGACTGTGTAAAGCTTGGGGACTTTGGTCTGTCTCGATACATGGAGGATAGCTCTTATTACAAAGGTATCTATAACACAATAAATATGCTATGGATTACATGATATGAAATACCATTTGAAGTCGGTTCTTTGTTGGTCACAATACAAGCAGAATTCTGCATTAGTATTCATGGGACTCTTAGAATCAAACGGAGCAGTGAAGTGTAACTCATTTTTCCTTATCGTTTCCTCACAGCCTCCAAAGGCAAACTACCTATTAAATGGATGGCACCAGAATCTATCAACTTCAGACGATTTACTACAGCAAGTGATGTGTGGATGTTTGGTAATTTCTTTCTTGACTTACATTTCTTAACTTTATACTTTGCAAAATGATAACCTATTAAATCATGTCTTCTCTCAGGTGTCTGTATGTGGGAAATCTTGATGTATGGTATAAAGCCATTTCAAGGTGTGAAGAACAACGACGTCATTGGAAGGATTGAGAACGGCGAGCGGCTGGCAATGCCCCCTCAGTGCCCACCCACTCTGTACAGTTTGATGACAAAGTGTTGGTCATATGATCCAAGCAAAAGGCCGCGATTCAACGAGCTCAAAACGCAACTCAGGTAACCACTAACAATCTGTTAAAGTACCAACTTCTAACAGCAGAGGTCACTAATTGATTATTTAAGTGAGGTATGTTGAAGCCTTTCACTTTCTTTTTTATTAGAGCAAGGCGATGTAAATATAGACTAAGAGCTGAATAAGCTAATAAGAACAAGAAGGGATTTCATATTTTTGTAATTGCTCATGGTTTAAATCATGTACTTTTAATCTTCATACTGTTGTTACAAAAATGTCAAATTCTATTTTGATACTAATAAATAGACTCAATACACAATACAAATTTCAATACCATGATGGTAATAAAATAAAAATGCAATATTCAGACAATGGAATGTCATTTTCAACATTAAGTCATAGTACTTTTATATTACCCTTACTCTTATATCTGTGAAATCCCTCAGTTGTTTAGGCATGTTGTATGGTGATCCATGGGCTTATGCCAGTCTAATACTAGTTCTGATACAGCTCAAGATCATTCTAAAGCTGTTCATGAAAGGTTACTTTCATGAAGTATCTGCTTACTAGTTTTAACATCGATTTCTATCTGATTTTAGATACTTTGGCCAACCCTGCTAAAAACTAAAGTTAATTTGTAATATAAATCTGCATTTTGAGTGTGTATATTATGTGCTATTGTCAAAGTTACAGATTTCTTATAATGTCTTGACTTATGTCTGTACTATTGCCAAAATGAACAGTATATCTTTAATACAATAAGTATGTTGCAGCCAAACATTAGGTACCATTGGTATAGCAATTATGCAGTCCAGATTACTTACAAAGCAATTGGTGTTAGAAAAATCAATGCAATTTTCTTTTATTTCCGACTCCTTATTTTGGAAATTACAGTCATGAAGATAAACTGGGATTTTGGCTTTTCCCAGCCACAATGACTCGACAATTAAAAGCAACATGAACAGACCTGTAGCCTAGGTAACAAAAGCAAAGAGTATTTGACATTCAGAGCAAGTTTTAGATTTTGTTGTCAGCATCTACCATATTATCATAACAGCAAAAAATTGTATGCCATCATTGTTGCAATTTAAAAGTACCATGAGACATGCTTGATTTCCTTGAACATGCACATTCCCCTCTTAGACACGGTAACAGGAAAATCAGCATATTCAACCCCCTGGAGTTTATGAGCCCACTAAAAATCAGCATGACTCACATCTTAAATTCCTCTGTTTCTCCAAAGTGTCCATTGTTCACTGTGCTGTTACTTTTCCCTCTTATTTATGCTATAATGTCATATACGCAAATATGCTTTATTAATTCCGAGTATACTTTTCATATATATAGTCTTACTAGCCTTAGTCTAGAAAAGGGCATTTGCTCTGGATCTCGGTGCTAACTAAGTAAATGTAATGGCATTTATTTAATTGCCAAAGACATTACCATGGTGTTAAAAGGTGGAACTTTTAATTATGGCTTGTTCAGTGTCATAGAAACCAAGTCAATACTGTCTATGTTTATTTTACTCACTCGCTATTAATAGTAAAACTCACTCCATATAAGGAATTGTGAATTAGTTTACTTTTGGTCAGGGCTACATTTATATCATGATATCAATTATAGGGTTCTCTTGCCAAATATGCAGCTTTCACTGAATACTTAAGTTTTGCTAGACGGACCAACGTGAGAGCTTTGCGTGTTTACACAGTGGGCAGCTGCCAGGAGCTACAGTCTCTGAAACACGCAAAAAGAGAGAGAGAAGTAGAATCAGAATAAAAGAAAGGAGTCAAAGCAGGGCTGCAGTGGTGGTCATAGTTTACTTTTAAAATTAAGCTACAACTTTATTACAACTGTTGTCATTGTTCAGGATTCAAGAATACATCTAAGCTACTTGCTAGTCTCATCTGGTAGTGGATAGATATTTTTGAAGGGTTTTTTTCCATCAACACATCGACTGGCCTTGCGCTAAAGGTAAGACTTTACAAAGCTACATTATGTTAGACTGCATAATTGGTTAAATGTAATGGCCAAGAGATTAGGGTTTTTATAAGTTGTCTTTTTTTTTTTTGTAAGAAAGACATTCATGGGGGAAGTGGACCTTTTACTTTCTATATTTGTTTGTTAACTTCTCTTAAAAGTGAACTTGTAGTCTATACAGTAATGGTCTTATACAGTATTGGAAAACGAGGCCATGGATATTGTGATGGAAAAATGGACCAGACAAAAGAATGACTTGGACAGGTGCAAGCTCACACTCACATAGATGCAGCGCAAACAGCAGGAAACTGGGCATGGCTAATGTTTCTGAAATAGCATTTAGTTTTGTTCAGGATACATGAAGAGACTGACAATATAACACAGTGGATGTTGCGTTGAAGTATCCGCTTTTTGTTCATTTTAATTGGGTGAACCTTCATTTGGTGAACTAGCAGGTCAGTCCGGTTGATGTGGAAAATCTGTTAAATTCGTCTTTAAAAATGCTGGTGATGTACCTTGTAGTCTAGAATCAATGACTAACAATAGCTGACAGTGTGTTTAGACTTGGCTCTTTTTGTTATTTATTGTACATTTCTTGGATTTTTTTTTTTTTTACAGAGGTGCTGTAAAGATGTTGATAATGATCGTAATTAAACTAATTTAAACTAATGGTACAATGACAACATACTGGGAATATTCTCTTTTGCTGCAAGAGATGGAAAACTAATATAGCTGGTATTTGGTGGAGAGTTTTAGTAGCAGCTGTTCTGTTGAGTGCTGAGTTGGGCCATGTGTTTGTGTGTGTAACCGCATATGAAGTGGTTATTTTGTCGCACCCACTCAAGAGCCTTAATAAGATTAACGGCAATCATAAGCTATCATTTACTCATTGTAGATAATTGGACTAAAACATTTCCTAACAGTTTATGTTTGTTGTCTTGTGTATCTTGTTGCAGCACTATTTTGGAAGAGGAGAAAGTCCAGCAGAAGGAGAGGAATCGGATGGAAATGAGGCGGCAAGTCACAGTGTCCTGGGACTCTGGAGGGTCTGACGAAGCACCACCAAAAGTAAGTCCATAACACAAAGTGAATATGTTGCTGTGAAGTTGTGTGTTTGCAGTTAAAGCTCAAATGCAGCATTGTCATTCATGCAACTGTGACTAGCAATGGGAGAGTTTGGTTTCCTATTATATTCATTAAAATTGTATTATGTATTATGATCTGTGTTTACAAACACTGATGCAGTTTTGACAGTAAAGGTGATACAATAGCAACATCATTGTGTCATCATGAGATTGATAGTGTTGTGCTTTGCTTTTTATCCTCTGTCCATTTTCTAACTTTACCCTCCTCACAGCGTTTGTCCATTGTTTCTTTTGTGTTGCATACAAAATAACCCAATTTTAAAAGTAACCATGTAACCATCATCTTGTGCACATTTTTGCTTTATTAGTTGCTTTATTCTCCTAATTAAAGGAACTGCATGTAAGATTTAGATTTCCATAAAAAAGACTTAACCGTGTCCTCAGACATGTTCAAATCAAATGTAGTTGATAATAATGATGCTCATTTATTATTATTCACAAAAACATTAGACATTTTGTCTTATGTTATAATTGGTTGTTTTGAAATCAAAATGAGCCCACATGAGCCTCTCATTTGGGTTGCCAGTTTCAATGCTGAGTTAAATCCCCTAGGACTCTTATCCGAATCTTCTCTGTCTAAACCACAGCATCTGCATCCAATCATTACTCAGCGTCTTTGCTGCTGCAGTATATGCTGTCCATTTACTGAGAATAAGAAAAATTTGTATGTATTCTCCATATGCAGGTTAAGGCACTGGGAACCCAAATTCACTTGTGATCGCAGTACTTTTTTTCTTAAACTATAGAAGCCCACGCTACATACAGTTCCCTTCCTGTCTCTACTTTAGTTAAGTTTACCTTCATCTCTCCTCCATCCTTATACTTTTCTTCCTCCTGTGCCTGTTGTTCTTTTCTGTCTGTTTGCAGCCCAGTCGCCGCCCCTCCCTGCAGCCACCCTTTAACCTGGACTGCCTGTCTGCTCCTTCACCCTACCACCATTACCATCCAAACCAGAGCTTTGCCTCTCAGCTCTGCCTCGGAAACCCTCCTCCCTCATTCTCCTGCGCCGACTCTCTCCCATTCACCCCCCACTCCTCCACTCTACCTTTACCTCACCCTCGAACGTCATACAACTGTGTACCCCATCCTCCTTTATCCCAAGTTAACTCTGTGGATGAAGATGTCAGATTTTGTTCTTCTCAGCACTCACAAACTCTGCCTAATGGTTATTTCAACAGGACAAATCCTAGTACAAATGGCTACCTCCTCTCTGACTCTTACTCCTACCCCAGGCGCTTTGCCTCAGCTCTTTCTCTTTCCAGTCCTAACCTCTGTACTCTGCCCTATAGCATGTCAATCATTTGCCCTCACACCATTCAAAATATCCAGCTGTGTTCTAATTCCAGTCTTAAAACCATGCAAAGCTTTCCTCCCAGCTGCCAGTCTAAGCCACCGGTCCATCCTGATTTTGAACAGCACACTGTGAGACAAAGTGGCCGACCCCCTCAAGCCTCCTCTGCCCCCCTCTCATCCCCAAAAAGAGAGACTTCCCTCCCCATAAACTCTGTCCAAACACTGCCTTTGGCACATCCTCCTTCATATCAGAAACCTCCTAGCCTCTCAATAACCAACCATTCAGCGTGTTCTGAAAGATCTGTGTGCTACCCACCCAAGGCAGGTGTCGTTCACTTATCAAAAATGTACTCACAATGGCGTGCATGCGTCCTAACACAAACATGGGTTACAAAATACTTCTTGCAGTTATAATCAGAACTGTCACTATTGCATCACAGTTGACTTGGAGATATCTCAAAGACTGAATTTATTGTTTTCAATTCATAAAAAGACAATTTTCACAAGAAATATCCAATAGAATAAGCCAATGTTCAGTCATATATATTAGTAATAAAAGGGTATTTCCATTTGTCTATCTACACTCAAACATTCAGGATATTAATATGTAAAATTTTCCTACGCCTCAGCTTTCATATACAGTATATGTATGCCTAGAGTTTGTGATTTCATCTAAAACCCACCATTGTTGTTGATTGCATTAGATGAAATTGTTGGGTGACGCTAAAAAAACTACACTATAATTAGCCTTAATAACACATGAACAAAAACTACTTAATACACTATGCCTAATTCTAAACCCCAATCCCTATTTGATCATTATGAATTAAGACTTTGTTCATACTTTATTGAAGTTAATTAACCATAGTTATTACAAAGATTCACCAGGTCATGTAGTTCATACTCTTGCATTGTTCTTTGCCATGCCTGTGACAGACAGACAAATGTTTGCGTCTGTTTGTGTCCAACATAGTTTAATGTGTCCTTGGATTACTGTCCCCTATTTCTACTCAGTTCAGGATGCCTGCGATTAATCCTGAGTCCACTGGGCTTATAGGCTCCAGTGACCTTACTCAACTGTTCTCTTAGCTGTGGAGCTAAAGCTAACTTCATGTGTGCTACGTAATAAATCTAGTAGTCAGATCATAAATACCACCAGCCTTTTAACTAAAGTTTATAAATTACACTGGGAACATTTTGACATTTGGTGGACCTGCACCTCAATGACTTTCTGCCACTGAGGTCATCGTTTTAGTAGTTGAAGCACCGAAACTATAAAACATGTAATTTAATGCTATTTAATGTGTGCATATTACACAAATGTTCACTTTGTTTAATAGTACATTTACATTATTGCTTAAGGTTGTAATCTTAAATTATTTGGGGCATTTCATGATATGCACGTGTTGTGCTTTTCCTTCATACAAAGCGCAATATCCATTGTTTTGTGCCGTATATTCATTCATTTTAAAAAACTAATTCATTCAATAATTTTAAAATCTAGTGGATCAGTTTTTGTCTAACTTCATCCTCCCGTCCCTTGTGTCTTCTTTCCTAACGTCTAGATCTGATGTTAACTCTTGATATTCCCAGGAAACATCCCTTTTTCCTTTCTATTCAAAACATGTTTAACCTCAAGATGTCACCATGTTCTGTGAGATCATTGTTTTCAACCCATCATCATCATTGTCCTGTTGGCTTCCTTTTCCCTGGCCATGCGTTTCTACTGTCTGTTACCCTCTTGTTTCCTTGTCTGTCTTTGTGTCTGTCTCGCTGTCGGAGGTGTGGTCCAGAGCAAGCTACTATGAGAGACTGTGGAAGGTAGTGGTTTCAAACAGTGCTGAATATGTCAGGAGCTTCTAATATGTCCAGTACAAGGAAATATGGCTGCTTGATAATGGAAAAAACTCATAATCATGATTATTTGTCTCATAATTGAAATCATGATAACTTTAATATTATTTATGTACTGTCAAAAGTCATCTGTAGAGGTAAAATTTATGTATTGTAATTCATAAGTTTGTGATTTATAGTTTAAAAGCTACTGAAGATAAGTGGATTTTCTCCAGGTTTTTTGGGTTAGATTTTTATTTTTTTATTTTTTACTTTTTAAAATTATTTTTTACTACATATTTTTGTATATGATTGAAGTAAAAAATAAATATAATTCAATTTTCTTAAGGCTTTGTTGAACATGCATCACGTCTAACCACAAATTATCATATTGACTTTATAACATTTTGTCCTCACGTTTCAGACAGAGCTAGTCAATGCCAGTTCCACTAACTGCTTGCTGGACTTGCCGCCCAGTGGGTGTTCCCTGTAATGATTGACAGCTAACTCAGCCACACAAACTCTTCCTCTGGGTTTGTGTGATGTTTATTGTTCAATGTCCCTCTGTGTGTTTTATCCTAATAATGTTCTTAGAGTTTGGCATCAGTTATGTCTTTACTGATGTTTTCTTTGTAAATTTGTAGCCAAGTCGACCCGGATATCCCAGTCCACGCTCAAGTGAAGGATTCTACCCCAGTCCCCAACACCCAGGACACTACCAGGTATCAAGTCTTGTTTTTCTATTAGCCACATAATAGTAGTTTTCCTATTTTTAAATTAAGAGTGCATGGATGAATGTCCTTCAAAACAGAAATTAGTGTAGTGTGGAATTAAATATTACTTTTCTGTCTCATCAGATGGCTGGGTACCCAGGACCCCATACACTCCCCTCTGTCCCCAGTGCCCTGTACCCCCCTCAAGCCGCGATGGTGGACACACATCACGCCCACACCCACCCGCGCCACCATGTCCACGGGCACTCGCACGCCCAGCTCCACCCTCTGCCTCACGGACAGGACATGGCTGTGTGGGCCTCTGCCATTGAGGTAAGAAACAAGCCTGGCCAGTGGTGTTAGTGTTCACACTTGGGCATTATTCAAAAAAAAAAATTTAAAAATTAGGACCAAACTCAGAACTAAACCAGGACCAAATAATTGTGAAAGCCTGCTTAGTTATGCTTTTTAATTTAATTTCCACCGTTTGAGTTTTCATCAGTCTGGTGTCTGTGTCTGTCATGTGTTGCTGTTGTTTGCATGATGTCTGCTGCGTCCTGTGTTGCATGCACATTGTGTTTGTATTTTGTTTTGTTTGTTTGTGCGTAGGACAGGGCAGTAGACATGCAGCCGTGTGTAGGTCCTCAGTGTCTTTTAATGGAGGAACAGCTGATGATGCAGCAGCAGCAGATGGAGGAGGATCAGAGGTGGCTCGAGCAGGAGGAGAGGCTGCTGGTAACACACACAGATCACACAAGCATAGGAAAAGTAACTAATAATAATGAAATAATAATAATAAGGTAATAATTATAATACATAATATATATAAAACATTTAAATAGTTTATATGGATATATACAAAAAATAAAACAAAAGTTACACATTTAACCACAGTTTTATGAATCCCAGAGGAATAGAGATGAAACTGCACCTTATAAGAATAGGGAATAAATATATGCATTTTTTTACATCTTGGTTTATGTAGTAAAAGACTATGCACACAGCCATTTCATACAATTTATACTCTATAAGTGAGAAATGTTTTGTCATGTATGTATAGATTTTATAGTATAAGAAGCAAAAGGAAGTACTTAAGCATCAATACCATTCTGTGCTATATTCAAAGTCATGACGAGTTTTCCATTGTTATAAATGAAAAACATCTGCGTCTTGCCAGGAAGAGATAGTGTTAAGAACACTGAGGAATAAAGTTCAACAGAGGGGGGCTCTTAATATTTAATTTGTTTTGATTGAAGGCCTCTTTGGGAGTGTGTGTGAAACAGCAAGAGTTTGCAGGCAGGTGTGGCCTGCGTGAATTCCAGCCTAATGATAGGCTTGGAGAATCTGACAGACCAATCAAGAGCCTGCTCGACCCACAACCACAAACTGACAGCGCTTACATTACTGAAAAGCACAGCAATGTGTATGGCCTCGCACATGAGCCCTGTGGTTCAGGGGTGGCTGGTTTTTATAAGATTGTCACTTTAGCGTGGGGTGAAAAAGGGAGGAGAAAGGAAGGAGAGTTTGTGAAAAAAATACAGGACGTGTTCATAGACTCCAGTTTTATAGGCAGCCCCATCCCTCCTCCTCCTCTGCTCTTCGTCTCTTTCCATGAGTTAAAGCCACATGCCGCATAAGAGTGCAGAGGGAAGGAGCTAGGGTTCATCTTTTGATGAAACTGTTGCAGATTTGATATAGAGAAGATGACAATAGGAATAAGCAAACAGAGGCCATAGACAAATAACATATTCATTTTGGATTCATTCTGCATCAAGGACTTTTGATGAACATTCTGGATATGCTGGTCTTTAAGTCCTGTCTTGGAAAACTGGTAGGAATCTCTGACTTTGAGTGTAATTTAGATTTATGCAAAGATGCAGCTGTACAGTTTAAAATTGGCTTTTAATGTTTTAATGCTTTACTACACCTAAATGCAAATCTAAGTTGTTTTTGTTCTTTAACATTTTTAAAGGTATCAGTTTAATATGATTATTATAGACATTTGTTGTATGAACACTTATTTGTTTCATTGATTTTTCTTGTTGAGTGAAATTTTTGTGTTTTTAGAAACCAGACACAAGGAGCTCTAGAGGGAGTCTGGATAGAGAAGATGGCGGGTTGCAGCCACCAGTAAGTGTCTGATGTTTGAAGTCATGGATTTTTATGTAAATTGGTAAAGTGAGTTGATTTTACCAAGAAAAGAAATCATTATTTTTGTTGGGCTAATTGAAGCAGCAACAGTGTGACATGTTTGTTTTTATTAGAGCAGAGGCTAATGACCGCGGGACAGGAAGTGACCCATACATGGTGCGGGGTCAGTGGATTCCCACAGCATCATTGGTTGCCTTGGCAAAATTGTAAACTAGCTTTTGTTTATACTTTGTATGCCCAAATTCATAATGTGATATTAGATCTAAAATTAAAAATATCTTTATGCTTTTTTATGGTTTACTTTAAGCTTTAATTCTCTGTAAACTTCTCTGTTTATTCTCTGAATGTGTTTCATTTGGCAAGCACTAAATTACATTGTTGAGCTAAGCTATATGTAACTTTTTGCAAAAGTAGCAATCTAGTGATCCAAACAACAGTGTTGCTGTCTGCCTGATGCCAGCAGAGGCTGTTGCAGAAGTTGCCATAGGGTAGATATTTCTGTCTCTGTAATTCATCTCTGCTTGTCCTCCTCCTTCCAGTGAATGGCTGTGGTTTGTGGTGGGAAAATCTCCCTTGTTTGTGTGTTGAGTGTGTGTGAAAAATGTTGGTATTTTTGGGCATGTGGAACTCGACTGCTCTTTTAACACAAGTGTTAGAGATTCGTGATGTGTATATTTTGTGCCAGAATATAGTTGTAGCTACTGGGCGTAAATGTGTCTTTATTTTATATTCCTTGAAATAGTTTGAAAAGAAAGTGCCAGTGTCACATTGTACTTTTACTCTCTCAAAGCCTTCCAGACCACACACCACTGAAAAGTTAATTTGACTCCTCATCTGCTGACAACTGGAGATGCACTGAGACCCAGTGCCTTGTGACAGGAGAATTAAACTGGATTCTCTACATTTTTCAGAAACAACTTGTGTTTTTTTGCCGTGAACTTTTAATTTCCTGTGAAGTCTGTTGTTGTGTGTGACTTCTAACCCGATGGCTTGTTTGTTTGTTTGTACAGACTGGAAACCAGCACATATACCAGCCTGTGGGCAAAGCAGGTAATACACTAGAACGGCTCTATTATTTTACGGTCTGTCAGATATCAATGCATATTTCAGTACAGCATGATATTAACTTAAATGGAAAATGAAATGGAAAATGGAATCTAATTTTGATAGTTAGTTGGTTTAGTAATAATACCAGCATGGTCATTTTCCCTTTTTTTATTTTCAGAACATCCCGCTCCCCCAAAGAAACCCCCTCGACCTGGAGCCCAAAGTCAAGTGGGTGGTCTGGCCTGTGTGAATACTGGAGACAGTTACAATGATGGAGTGAAGGTGCTTTTGCCAAGAGAAATGCCACCACATACACACATATTCAAAACCTTCATATACATTGCAGTACAATATTGCCTTTTTAATACACCTCAACAACAACTACCACTAATCACATAGCTGTATATACCTATAGGAGTGTATGGTTTAAATATACACAGTGCATGTTTTAATGTTTACTTCTATCTCTTTTATGGATGCACTCTGTCCCTCCTCTCCCCTCCTGCACTTACTGTTGACCCTAGCCCTGGCGGGTAAGCAGCACATCTGTGTGTGTTTACTGTACGTCTTGTCCAGTTACACCTCACACCTTTTCTTCTGTCACTCCTCACATCAAACAAATCACATCTTTATTGTTTTCCATATTGATTATTACATTTTCATCTCTACTTTATCTGATTCAGCATTCACATTGTGTTGATGGTCCTTTGATGATGAAAGTATTATTTAACGTATTTCTGCTGAATAAGTTTGGAAAAAGGTACAAAAATGGAAAATGTCCTTAGTTCATGTTTGGCTGAGTTTAGCTTTATTTATTTTTTTATATTGCTTTAAATGCACAACATAGATACAGATATACCAGTATATATTACAAAATGTATATCTGTGTATGTATATACTGTGTATAAATAAATAAATATAATATATATATATATATATATATATATATATATATATATATATATATATATATATATATATATATTACACAGCAAATAGTTTCTTGCAATACATTAGCGCCATCTAATGGACACAAAATGCATTAATACTAAAATGAAACTAACCTCAGTGCTCACCCATTCATCTATTTATCAGTTCACTCCCTTATCTATTTATTAACCCATTAACTTGTATTTATGTAAAACTTTGTCCTTAAAAATGATTAATTATTTCAACATTTACAGACTATATCAAATACATTGTTTCTTATTGCTACTCCTCTTGCTATATCCTCTTTAGCTGCAGCCTCAGGAGATTAGCCCTCCTCCCACAGCCAACCTGGACCGCTCCAATGACAAAGTCTACGAGAATGTGACAGGACTGGTGAAGGCTGTGATCGAAATGTCCAGCAAAATCCAACCAGCGCCCCCAGAGGAATATGTGCCCATGGTCAAGGTAAGTGTAACACAAGTATTTTTGATTTGGCATAGATGTAGTAATTGGGTGTGCACAGTAACAGAATTGAAGTGCTTGGAGTAATATGCTTAGCTTTCTGTAAAGGATTTCAAGCAGTTAGTTGACCCTGACTTTTCAGAGCCACATCTGTCAGCAGGTTTTAATTAATGCATGTGAGCTATGAATATTAGAAAATCCAGCTTTCATCACATGAATAATTGAAAGTCCTCTAGAGTACTTACTCTCTTTTTAATTTATACTGTCTGCAATGTTTAAACGGGATGTTTTGAGTAATTTGATCTGTGTTTTAGGATGTCGGCCTAGCATTAAGAACATTATTGGCCACAGTCGATGAGACACTTCCTCAACTCCCAGCCAGCACACACAGAGAGGTGCATTTTACATACCAAATAATCTTTTAATCTAGTTTATTTTCATTGGACTAGTAGCTAATTTAATGTTCACATTTTCATTTATAGATTGAGATGGCACAAAAGCTTTTGAACTCTGACTTGGCAGAGCTCATAGGGAAGATGAAGTTAGCCCAGCAATATGTGATGACGAGGTGAGTGCAAATTTTATAAACTGAAGTAAATTTTGTATTAAATTAATAACTTGTTATATCACATTTGGGGACTAAATTATACTCTTGCTTTCAGTCTTCAGCAGGACTACAAAAAACAGATGCTGACAGCAGCCCATGCACTCGCTGTTGATGCCAAGAACCTGCTCGATGTCATTGACCAATCACGGCTCAAGATGATGGCCCAGTCCCGCCCACACTAGCCCTGGCAAAGTGTAATCAGAAGACTTTGTATTCTATTTAAAGGACATCTTGGACAATGGTGGCGCTTAAGACTCCTGGACTCTTGTTGCAAAGAGAGAATGAAGTTGACCGCTCCGCTGTAGGAGACAACTATGGCTCTTATATTTTGATATAGTCTGTGAAGAATCGTTGACAAATCTGTGCATTAACTTTAAGGATACACTTCTCCACTGTGACTTTCTATATCACACTAACAGTCGAAAACCTCCTGAATCAGGGACCTGGCAGCTTGACTCTGGTTGGACTGGAACACAGCAAGAAAGGAGCTAGAGTGAATTTATCTGGTATTTTTATTAACTCTCTGGATATAACCTAAAATGAGCCAAAATCATCGGATCACAGGTGTACACCGAAGAACGTCTATCTACAATGTGAATTTTTCAAAAGCCATGATCATGAACCTAATTTAACCACATTGAATCAGCATGAGATTTCTTCACTGGATTTCTTTTGTTTTCTGCAAACATGCCTCCACTACAGAGTTCACTGACTGGATCAAACCAGTCATATTTCCTGTCTGCCTTGAGCCTGTCATCTCAAACTGCCGCGTGGATGAAATTCAAAACTGTCCTTGCTGTTCCTGTATTCTCTCCATCCATCTTTTGGTTTTTATTTATAGACAGAAATTGCAGAGGACGAGATGGACAGAACAGGAGATGGCAGAGGAAAGCAGGCCAGTCTACTTTTCATACACTACCAGAAAAACACTCTTGGCTTCCTCTCAACCAACTTTATCCTGGTCTCCAGCTGCTCATTGTCTGACAGTCTTCCTAAGTGAGGATATGGTTTATGCACCATCATATACTGTCTCATTGCAACTAGAGCTGTACAATTTAATCGTGATTACAGTTATTGCTTCAATCTTATTTATAATGCAGTGTTTCTCAAACTGTGGTACAACGGTACACAAGCTCCTGCATTTGGTACATGGATTCCTCTGTAGTTCAATTATATTAAGAATTCTGGGCTAGCCCTTGTTTACAACTAGTGTAGCCTATGTGGTGTAGTGTCGTTTAGCCAGAGTTAATACCTAGAATAATCCTGTGTTACATCTGGTGGTACTCTGAAGGCCAAATATTGTTTTAGGTGGTACTGATGTAAAAAGTTTGAGAACCACTGCTATAATGGGTTTCAGAATGTGAACCACACAACAGAAAGTCAGATATTTCCCGTATAAGTTAACATTTGACAATATATAAATGTTAGGGTTTTTTTTATTGAACAGCGCTAATTGCAACTACAGTACACTGAAGTACAGGGCCGATTGTATGGAAAACACTACGTATTACCATGAGCCACTTTATATTTATCTAAGTACACAATTTTATATCATTGTTTGGTGCCACTGACATATACAGGCTCAGTATCTGCTAATGTCTCCCAAAGAAAGCTCCAGGTACCACCGGTCTTACCTTTGTGCTAACTGTCCCCACATCAGGTGAACCCAACTGTCCCTGCCTTGAATCACCAAAACAACAGGGAAACATCACACATCAAATGTGGAGCCACAAAACTGGAACTTGTCTGTGAAACACAAATCACTGAAATGATCGCACAGCACACGGTTCTTTGTGTATTTTGACAGACTGTTTGTGAAATGTACAGGTGGAACATATGTGCCAGTATAGCATGATATACTGGTGTGATGGTGAATAGCATATTTGCACAGCACCAAAATCTGAAAACATTTTTACCCTGTTCTGCCCAGATGTTTCTGCTGCAATCTCAGTGGTCACATATCTGGATATCAATGGGTTAAAATGTGTATAAACTAAACACAATCTATTTTAACTGTTGTGTAAATCTGCTAATGTTGCTATATTGTAAGCTAAACTGGTGTGCGTCACTGGTCAATTGTACAGAACTCGTACTTGTAAACACTGGTTTTTATTTTGTCTTCGGGGCTGGACCAGCCATATTGTCGAATAGGAAAAAAGCAATGAAATAAAATAATACTAAAATATATTACAATAGTCATTTTTGTTTAATTTGGTCTTTGTACTCACACATAAATTATCATAAACCATTTACAAATTATATTTCTTAATTGATTTTTGGGTAATACATTTCAGTTATATAATTTAGAGCTTTCAAACAAAATTAGTCTCTTAACTTAAAAATGAATCATGAAACAACAAATTTATATATATATATATTTTTTTTTTAAACTTATTTAAACAAGTGCATATTATACAGTGTTTACATGTGACATAAGTTTTAGTCATATTTACATTTTGGTGTTAAGTTAATATTATTTACAGTGGTGTCTTTTAGTTTATACAAGCCTCCTCTCTCTATCTGAGTGGTCATTGGAGTAGAAGTAGCAGTAACCCTCCAGTTAGACTTAAAAGTGTAATTTGAACATGTATTGACTCTGCTCCACTGTAGTTGCACAGGTTGTAGGCACTGCAGCAGGTCACTATGTTCCCGTTTCCATTTGAGTCTGTTGAAGCTGAGGATGCTGCTCCATTACATGTGGCTTTACTGGCGCACTGTTTTACAATCGCCTTTGCAGAACCTAGACACACACATACACACTTCTTTAGTACCTTTGACTGCATTTAATTTTCTTATTTATTTGTACATTTATTTATAGTGCTTTTGTTACCAAGGATGTCGACGGTCGTCATGCATGTGTCATGTATGGTCTGGCATTCCTGCGTGTTTTGGTTGCATGCAGAATTTGAGGTTGTGGAACTGCAGACATAGCACTCAAGTGGTAGTGCTAAAGATAAAAGATAAAAAAAAAACATTATGGCTGGTCAAACTGGACAGTGACAATGGATTTGTAGCAGGCAGACATAATACGATTGAATCACTTGTGGCAACTCCCAAAGCTTTAATCAAACTTGTTAAGCTAGTCTCTATACTTAAACTCATCTTACATAATGCAATATTTTAAGTGCTTAATTCTTGTGCGAGTGTTGATATAAGTACAAATATACAAAACGTTTAGACATTTTACATCTTAAAAAAACATGTATAATCAAATATTATCAAAACAAGAAAGGAAAACTTTGTGTTCATTATGTATTCCAGTGTTGGCCTATTTGATTACTTCATTTACATTTATTTTATTCAGTGATGCAATAACTAAACAATTATTAACCTACAGTGTTTCAGAAACATCAACTAATACAAAAAGAACACAGAGGTTATGAATGCCAAATAGGTACTTGCAATGTAGCACAAAACAAAAAATATTTATATACACATTTTGAAACATTTTTTGACAGTAAGAATAAGCTGTTTGAAGGACCACTGGGTGGGCAGGTGATGCAGTGTATACTTCAGATGGAATAGCTGTCCTGACCCCTGCAGTCATCAGTGTTACATACCTGGGTTGAAGAAGAGGCTGAGGACCACGAAGAAGAGCAGCATTTTCCACTGATGTATGGTCCTAGTCCCGGGCCCAGCTGTCACCTATCTGCCCTGCGCTGTCGACGAGAGTGTGCCGTGAGTGCGGTTTGGCGAGTTTGTATTACAGAAGCTCTTTATCCACACGGCAGTCCCACCCTTCTCCTATAGCGCTGGCATCAACCACAAAACATCTCACAAATGTGTCTATGCTCATGTGCTCAGGTGACAGGGCATTCCTAAGGCTTGCTTTGGTTTCACAAATACTTGTTCTCTATTTATCTTCTGTCAATCACAGACACACAGGCTGCTCAGGTGCCAAATGTTATGTCATGTACCTGCTCAGGGATACTTTTGTTCAGATTTATGTTTGTGTTATATTTGTAGTGGTGATTAATTTTTTGTTTTTACTCAAAACAAATAAATGTTGCTTTCAATCATAGTTTGAGAACAAAAGCAAACAACGTTTAACACTGATACTAGTATAATTGATTCCAAAGTCTTAACTCTGCTCCATATTGCAGAGCTGTAGATCTCTCATCTAAAGTCTCAAGCTGATCACTGACTATTTAAAAAAAATTGCACAGTCCTAATGCATATTCCAGTTGCTAATACAAATTACACAATATAGTAACAATATAGTTATTGGAAAATGACAATTTTGCTGTAATTTGGCACAAACATATTTCCTCTTTTGAGTTTGTTATGTACACAAAACAAATAAATTAAAGATAACTAGATAAGTGTCATATAAAACTCACATTATTTTTTATGTAATGTTACTTACATGTTGGCTCTAAAAAGACTGAGACATGTGCCAGGTAATTCCTAGATGACGAAGCTCGATGTAAAACAATGGAATGCAAAGCCACACACCCAGGACACACCCAACTTACAACGCACAATGCACATCGACATGTGTCCTTTAAAATTTATTGATACAAAATACTGTATAAATTTAGATACTGGTTCAACAGAAACTACTACAACTAAAGAACAGAGCCACACCACGCTGTAAGAACCTTTTATTTTTTATTGTTATTATAGATGTAACAAGGCAAAACCATTTTCAAAGAACAAACGCAACTGTTAAAATTATTTACATATTCCAGTTCACAAAGAAAGTTAATGTCTGGGCAGTAACTGCAGACATTTTTACATGCAGGTTTTGTACAAAGCAAACCATGACTCCATGGTCCATGAAATGTAATGATTGGGTGACTACCTGTTCCTCTTTTGGTTGTCCTGCAAAGCTATTTAAGGCCCTCATCCCACTTAATGTTCAAATTTTTCATTAATGCCACTGAATTATAATAAAAAGTGAGATATACATACAAGATAATATATTCGAACTTTTTGGGTATACTGGCTTTCAGGGTTGTAATCTGTTGCCACGTATTACTATTGAAATCTGTCTCATTACAATTGATAAAAACTGAAAGTCATATATTGTTATTGCAGTTAAAGAGCTTAGTCTGGCCCCCCCATGTCCCATGATGTTCAACAACATGCCACTTTCAGGTGATAATGATAGTAGTAATGATAGTAAAGAATATTTAACATATTTTAACCTTAACATTAACCAAGCACAGAGAATTATATAGTGGATTTTTCATAAATAAAGCTGGAAATGTGAAATGCAGTGATGTCAAATGGTTGTTGCTTTTTAAATTACTTTCATTGGATTAATCCCCCGCCTGTTATTTTGTTCTCACTGAGTTTTCAGTTTCTTGCTTTGTGTTCCAGAGTCTCGTCTTCTGGATTTTAAGCCATATTTCCTGATTGGGACCAAACAGATAAAAAAAAATATTAAAATGTTGTTGTGTCTGTGTGAGTTCCACTGTTACATAATACTTTGCATGCTTCTTACCTGCGCTGGTAGAGATAAAGCAGAAGGAAAAGTTCATCTCTAAAGCAGCAGAGTTGGTGAGAGGAAGTGAGGGACAGGGAAGGGTTGAAAAAGGAGGCGGTGTAGCACAGGTCTGATATGAGTGTGTTGACTCCCTGCAGACAGAAAGCAGTTATGCCAATATTTACACCAAGAGAAACAACTGCTCTTCAATTTTGAAGAATTGCAAAAGTTGTAAAGGTTATGTGGGGCAGACTGGTAGGCACACTTCTGTTTATCCAAGGGCAGGTAGCTGTAATGCTGAAACTGTAAACCGTGGGGAAAAAATAAATATGGAGCAGGGTATATAAGATTTCTCTTCCTGTGCCTTTTGTTCATGGTCATGTATGTATAGATTTAAGAAACAGAGAAGGATTATGGCTATAGGGACATGCTGACGCATTTCAACCAGAGAGTGCTCATTCTTCCGTTTTTTTCTACAAGATTCCCACATGTATAGGTTTGTTGGCACTTCTGTGTATGTTTGTTTGTGTTCTGATAATGATAACAAAATTAAATGACATGTACAGTAAATAAAAGTGCTTCAAGGTTCATGCATTATGCTGGACAATGGTCAGGTACATCCTTTTATTAATAAATTCACAAGTTGAATGAGATAAACCTAAAAAAACATACATCAGTATTATAGTGTATAGACAAATTAACTATAAGATTTTTGTAGAAGGAAAAATGTACTCACTCTGTACACCAACACTGCCCCTGCAGGTGGCTCACAGACTTCATCTGACAGGTTAAAAAGAAGAAAATTAAAAATGTAAAACATGTCTTGTGTGTGTTCGTAATTCATAACAAGCTAATTGGTAGAACAGTTGAATTAAAGTACAGCAGACAAATATACCTTTGTGATTGATGAAGAGCTGCGGAGCCATGGACAAGAAGCACAGCGCATACACACCTGAGACAACACAGGTTAAATTCCAGCAAAAAACAAGGCAACTAATATCAATAACATGAATATGATTCTATTAAAGCTACTCACCAGTCACCAGTGTGTTAAGTAACCAGGAAAAGTAACTAAAACCATAAAGACATTAAATATTGAAATCAGACTTAAATTAATGTTGTAAATGTAAATCATTTTAATTTTAGAAATTTGAACAGCTCACCATTTCTGTCGTAAGTAGGCCAGTGAGAAAATAGCTCCACTGATACACAGAGGATAGACCAAGTAGGACAAATATCTGGAAGCCTGTGGAAATAATTATGCTAAAAACATGACTATGAACACAACACAGATATGGGGAAAAATAAAGCAAACCTGTGTATCATACTCCACAGTTTTCTTTTCTTCATCGTCCATTTTGTTTACCTGCTATTTGTCAAAGTTATTATTATTATTATTATATTATTATGATTATTAGAAAGACACAAATGTACCTGAATGTGGCTCTCAGTTTGAATACTTACAGTTAAACCTTTCCACTGCAGTTTGATTTTATAGACTTTGAAGACCTTCCACACCTGACGTGAAACATTACAATTAACAAATGTATTTATCTGTCATTCAAATAAATAAATAAATGTAAGTGATGCAATTTGTACCTCTACAAATGCTCCCAGACCAATGGGGATCAGCACGAGGAGGCTGGTCTCCTCCAGCAGATGCATGAAGATCAGTAACGTACTGAAACTGCGCCACAGAACTAAATACACAATAATATAATGAAGTCAGTAGCACAGCAAATGCAAAATATAATTTAAATTTTCAGCAGATTTCTTACCAGTTTTTCTGGACATTCCTACCATGCTGCTCTTCCCCCTCCATGAGCTTATGTCATTTTTAAGAGCTAAAAATTCACATACAAGCTGGACAAACATAAAAGTCAATGTTTATTTTTGTGTTTATGTATAAAACATTGCACAATGTTTCTTACTTGGAGAGATGTGATGAGTGCAGTCAGCACTAACAGATAGAGGTTTGACCCCACAAGTGTTTCTTTAATTTCATCTACGTTTTCTTCTGTGAAGCCTAAAAAGAAAAAGGGATATCAGAGGTCATTAAGGGGACTATAATAAAACTAATTACAAGTTTTAAATAACTCACCAAATTGTCGGAGGGAATAAACCATGTCTTGTAATTGGACAAAAAACCTAAATCTCCTCAAAGAAATGCCCTCATAGGACACAGTGAGCGGGAGCTGCACTGAGCTGCTGTTGATTTCCTGCAGAGTTACGGGTCAATGTTGTTTTACTGCCATTGAACACAAAAGATAGTGTTGCTCTGATATCCTACCATGAGGTCTCTGACTCTGAAGCTGAGCTCATTCACCATCAGAAGAGGAAGGTAAGTGACTTGTCTTTCATTCTTAGAGCTACAAAAGAAGCATATTTAAAAAGTAATTATATATTTGTACTAAACTGTTTAAATATTACACTTACACTCTCATGAAGCGGCGCACATCACTGGGAACTCCTCCTTTATTGAATGAGAAACTTTCAGACATCATTATAACGGACAGATGAGGTCTCCAGTGTGATACAGGCTTTGGTTTCCGTGAAGTCCTCCTCTGATGGGAAAATAAATTCAATAATATTTCTTCTATCTTCTTTTTACTTAATTACGTCATGACACACAGGTTTAAAAATAAGGTCAAGTATCTTTGATCCATTATACAAGAAGATAATGGTCAAATTGAGAAACATTACAGTGAACTATCATGTTATTACCTCCTCTGATGCTGTGGCAGCAAAGTAGGTGGTGAGCTTGGCTGAGTAGTGGACCTCTCTATTGTCTTCTAGAGGGGAAACTCCAGCTTTGTGCACATAGACCACAGCATACAAGCTACCGTTAGCCCGGGTTTCCTCTGGCACTGACACTGCAACCTGTCTGAAGAGCAAAAAATCTGAAAATGACGAATGCTGATACAAAACTGATTACTAATGAATGTGTTTTTGACTAACCTTTCAAATGAAGATTGTGGATTGAACGGGTCAACTTTAAGAGCAAGGTTAAGATGGCTGTTGTCTGGTACGAGACAAGTAAATACACTCATCTGAAAAAGTTACAGAAAGCAACAATCAAATATAGAGTGACCATAATTTTAAAATAAAAAACTGGGACATCCCCGTTTTTTAGTGGTTGGTAATAATAAAATTGTCAAGCAAGTGCGTAATTAAAGAAAATTGTTATGCAGAGACCATTCACAACTAACATGTAAGGCACGATAGTTACATTTTCCTGGTGTTTTGGTCATTTTTAAGTAGCTTTACTGTATTTTACTGAAACAAATTACAATTTATGCCTCTCTTTACTGTTGGCAGGTATCAAATTGGTCAAAATTAGGGAGACCTGGGACATTTCTTGTGTAAAACTGGGACTAATCAATGGCTTTGGACAAATCCACTGGGACAGAGAACACAGGACTCAAAACTGGGACTGTCCTGGGTAAATAGGGACATCTGGTCACCCTAATCAAATAGCAAATAGCCATGTGACTTCCCCAACAGTAAATTGAACAGACTATTGGTCCATGCACATCAACCATATCACTCACACCCACAGCTGTACCTGTAGTCTGGGTCTTGCAGCCAGGTAGGAGGTGATGCAGAGCTCTCCTCCATCGCAGGGCTTGTTGTTAAGGAAACTATAGAGCAGCCAAGCGGTGTGCAGCATGTACACAACAAACACACCCAGCAAAAGCTTAGCCCACGAGCTCTTCTTCCCCCCATTCCCTGACGGTTTGGAATAACAGGATGGAAACATGGATAAATATGAATATAGATATAGTCTACAACTAAAATGAAGAGTGAATACTGCCTCTAGAGCTGAACACGACTACGCTTCCTCCCTCCTACAGCATCCTTCCGGTTTCTGCATCCCTATGAAGGAAGTGGTGCTGATGCTGATTTTTATTTATTTATTTTTTTAACATTGTTATTTGAATTTCTCGGTTTGTAACATCACGTTGTATTTTTATTTTATTATTTGGGCAAAAATGTATGCTATTTTAGTTTTTTTTTTTTTTTTTTTTTTTAAGATTTTTATCCACGCTTTGCAAACATAGAAAGTTATTGCATCCGTTGCTGTATACATTAATCATTACTGGTGAAAAATAAATGAGCTAATACATCCACATGTACCACTGCAGTTTTACACAACGCAGCCTATATAAATATGTTAAATACAAATGGCCAATTAAAAAACATAGAAGTATAAAATTACGTTCGTGGTCTTAGATATAGAACGGTAAAGCCGCCGCCATCTTGGTACAGGAGTTCAGTGGTCTGAGGTAAAGTTTTTCACAGTATCAGCGAGCGAAGATGCCGGACGAAAGAGCAAGGTATAATATTTCAAAGATAAAACATTTATTTTGTAGGCCTATGATCCTAAATGAATCCAGACTGACTGAACCCAGGACTAAAAAAGGACTGAACTAGAATTGAACTAGGATTGAACCAGAACTATACCAGGGTTGAACCAGTACTGAACCAGGACTAAACCAGGTCTAAATCAGGTCTAAACCAGGACTAAACCAGAGTTGAACCAGAGTTGAACCAAGATTGAACCAGGACTAAACCAGAATTAAACCAGGACTGAACCAGGACCAAACCAGGCCTAAACCAGAGCTGAACCAGTACTGAACCAGGACTAAACCAGAATTAAACCAGCACTGAACCAGGACTAACCCAGGTCTAATCGGGGAAGTGGGAAGCACAGTGCTACTTGGTCTGATATCTCCTTGTCCCCGATTGATGTTCATTCATTGAAAGCAGCGTTACTCCTGTACCAAGATGGCGGCTTTGTTGACGCATTCGTTCTAATAGACAGCGTTAGTCAATGCGAGATCTACTGTTCTATGGTTCTATGGTTCATAGTTACGTTTGTGTAGTGATGCTCTCGCTTTATTTTTACACAGCCGATCTTTGCTCCGCGCGGTGCATCTTGGTCGCACTCATTGCTCTTTCTCCATGCTCCATGCTAGTGTTGACCATGGATCTTGTTCTTCAGGATGTAAACAAGAATCACACGGTTGGATCCTACTTGTTTTAAGGTGTTGCTGAGTTTATTTTTCAGTTTTTCTGTGCAAGGTCCTGTCATCGCAATTAAAGTCGCCCAAAGGGGTTTTAGCTGCACATTTGCAAACATGTTCGGTAACAGCAATGACAGCAGGAAGAAAAGTTAAGAAAGTAGGACAACGTAAGTGCAAAGTATATTTTTTCCTCGGGATTGTGAAGGAACCCAAGACGCTTGGTTAAAATTGGACCGGGACATCTGGAGTTACAGGATCCTGCCACTTCTTTATAATGTTAAACCAAAGAGAAGGGCATTAAATATCACATGAAGCATCATTGTTTGATCTTGATGCCTATAAATACACAGTGAAGAAAGAAGATGCTTTTCTCTGTATGCAGGACGTGTTTACGGACTTATTCACAATTAAGTATAAACCTATATTCACATTATGCTTCTAGACCTCTGACTTTGGGGGGGATAAGAACTTTGGTCATAAAAGGTCGACCATTTGCCCCCTCACAGAAGCTTACCACTTTACATGGAAATAAACAGGGACAGTACAGAACTCACTGTCAGAAAAGGGCTTTTACCACCACCCAGCAATTGGATTCATATTCTAATGTGCAGGTTCAGGGGAGTTTGCTGCAAGTTGGAGCTGCTTGGAAAGGTAATGCACAATCATAACACCCAGAAATGCACTGAATTCAATGCAACTTAATAACTATTAAGACATTTTTCCAATAGTCTGCCCCATTCGCCATGCAGTGTCTGAAGCTTCTCCCTCCAGTGTGGCTCCCACCTTTGTTGTGGTAAGAACAAAATAATAAAAAAAGCAAAAATTAATTTCAACTATATGTGAATATTTGCACAACAGATCCTGTCCTATAATTTTGCCTAGTGATATAAAGCTGACTCCACTAACTGTTTAATTCTACATGTTTTGCTGCCTCTTGTTTGTTTTATTTATTTATTTATTTTTTTTTTTTATTGTATTACAGATGAGATTTGACCAAGAAGGAAATGTCACAACGTTTGGTAAGTCATGCCAGCAATTGCATTTATTATCGAGCAATGTCATTTGTAATAATTTTCTACACTAAACTGTAATTCTTATTTGTTTTAGAAAAGAAGAAGACAGAGCTTTGTCAGGAGTTGAGTCTGCAGGCCCGAGATCTCCGCTTTCAGCACAGCACAAGCCTCACTGCCCGGAACAACTGTATCATCATCAGAATGGAGGTATCATCTATCAGACACAATAAGACCATCTACTAGGAATGGATAATAGGGCTGAAAGAGAGCAGAATTCCATTCATATCACACTTCCAGGTGTATAAACATTTGAGATAAGACATAAATATTAACACTTGTATTAATTATTACAAGAATCACATTCATTTCAAAACATATTAGCAAAAGTCAAAAACACTGGTGTAGCAGAGAGCATTATCTTACTCAAACAGTTAGGATTGTCAAAGGGGTTTTAGCAGTTTTCCTAAATATGTTCCACTGCCTTAAATGAACATAACTATATAATCTATACAGAACTATACTTTTTGTTTTCAATTTAAATGAGTTTTAAATTTCCCAATTTATGTGAACATTGCAGGACATTCTTTAGTCTTTGCCACAGTCAGTTGGCTACTAGATGAGGACCTGGAATAAGAAAAATGGAAAAAACAGCTGTCCTTTTGGCTGATCATTCTACATAGAGGCGTAGGTACATCATCTTTGGTGTCTACTAGTGTCACAGTGTAGTCACTACACTCTGTTGCACATCTAAAAACAATAAGAATTCATATTTTACAATATTTTACATTCAGGTTTACAAAACAAACAAGAATATCCATCATATTCTATACCTTTCTGTTCCAAACACACGACACTCGACACAGCTTGCATACTCTTGGCACCTGTGTTGGCAAGTAGGGCAGGACTCACAGGTCGGCCCAGTGAATGGGGGTATACATACACATGTCCCACATTCACATACACCCCGTGCATTACAAATCAGCTGGTTTTCAGACATGCAAGAAGCTGGGTTCATTTTACAACTGCAGTCTGTATTTCCCCAGTCGTTCTCACAAATGCACTGGTCACACTGACATATCCCCCGTCCGTTACAGACCCTGTTAAATATAAAGCAATTATACGATCAGGCTTTTCACAATAACAAAGTTAGAAGTACGATATATTGCTGAAGAAATTATGAATGATAATATTGAGATCATGCCACAAAACCCTAAAGCAAAATCCCATTAAAAACAAAACAATTTAAAATGTACAATATTGTTAAAAACATGAGCTGAAATAAATAAATATGATAAATATTGAGCCCCTAAAGTTATTGTTCAATATATCATCTTTTGAACAATAAGGCAAAAAAGGGCCTACATCAATGTGAACTTTGTCACTGTTGCTGGGTTTTCAAATGACATGAAACATTCTGTTGCCTCATAATCATAATAATGGATCCACAAATTTATTTAGTTGCATTTTTTGTTGCATTTTGGTGTATCAACATTTTTTGCCTACAATTTCAATTGACACCATCATCAATCATGTCTGTGAATAATACCACTTTTATCTATCCTATTTCAAAATTAATTCAGAAAAAGTAAGACAGTTGCCAAATTAACAATTAAAAATAAAATATAAGATCTTTTGAATGGAAAAGTCCTCAAAATATTGCATATTACAGGAAGCTGAACCCATGAATAGAAAATAATCTCACCATTTGATTAACATATTTGCTAATTACTATTGTTAATATTATTTTAAGGGTTTTGTACCTGCCATTCTTATACGGACAGTTAAAGTTGCTGCATTCACAGAATTGACCAAAGTACATCTCATTTGGGTTGTCGCGTTTATTGCAAATACAGAAGCCTTCGTCACATAAGCCCCTCCCACTACAGACTGGTTCAGCGGGGCCGGAGCGGCACGAGGCATCGCTCTTTGTAGACTCAAGGTCTATCTCACAATGTGACCCACTGTAAGGCGGCTGACATAGACACACACCACACACCAGAGTACCATGGCCATCACATGCAGGGCTGTCGGGTTCCTGATTGTTTTGGCATTCACACTGACCTAGAAAACCATGTAATAAATGAATGAATTTATAGCATCATATTTATTACTATTGACAATACTTACATTCCAAGTCTATTTCCAACTTTGCACTTTGTGAAAACCCACTTGGTTTGATCTCAACAGACCAGGGTCCAGTTTTATTTTGTGGCTGGTTTGAATCTTCATTGTGGGGGCACTTCCCAGCCTTTACCCTCACCTTAATAATAAAATGAAAATGTTAAATCCTACTATTATTATTCTATATATTTTTAAGTAAAAAAAAACATGTCAACACACTGAACTGAAATGTTTTTCCCAACATTACCTTACAGTATACTTACCTGAAAAACCATAGGATTTCCACTTGAAATTTTCTTGAATGTGATATTAACAGCTTCTGGTAATGCAGTGGCTTCCAGCATCAACTCTGGTTGGTGTCTGGGTGTGGTGATTTTTAAAGCGAAGACAAGACTTTCTTCTGGTCTCAGTTTAAGGGACAAGTGCTGAGGCTCCAGGAAGTTAGAGTGGCCATATGCAGTCTTATTCCTACCACAAACGTCAGAAACACAATTTTTAACGCTTCGCCAATGGGTGCAAATATACTTTTTAAACGTACCTTTTAATAAGTATTTCACATTTAGGGTTATACACTTGACTTTTTGCACATCCTGCTCTTTGATGCTCTTTCATTGTATTGCAGCGTGTTTTACACAGAGGGTCCATGCTCCAGCCACATTCTCGGCCTGAATTTATGCACTCAGCACAGGTGGAGGCTGATGTGAGACAGGTTTTGTTTTTAGCCTGACTGATACACAAAAGGCTCCCCAGCAAACATAGCCATAGCAGCCTACCACCCATGCTGCAATAAAATACAAAATAAAATAAAATGTTTAGTTCTTTTCACTGTTCAATTAATACTGTTCCTGACTTACTACTTCACATATTGTAGTGAAAAAAACTATATATTGGCATAACTGATAAGACATGAGCTTCATACATTTTACCACAAGAAGTCTGTCCTATGCAGTTCTAAAAAAGAGAATTGAAATGCAGGTTACCTTGTTTTCTTGTTGTTGCTTCTCCAAAAGTCCAAAAGCAAGACTGATTTTTGGCTGAAGAAACTCTGACCTTTAACACTGTTGTATTGACAGTCTACTCATGCTAATATTGACAGATCAAAGGTAAAAATGGGAAAAGCAGCCAGGAACAGCTCTTAAAAATAAAGATTGATATTGAAGCATGTGCCAGTTTAAACCTTCTTATTTTATTTGTCTGATGATTACTTGTTTAATAATAATTCTAAAAAAAATAAAATAAAAAAAATCACCCTAATTTATTAATGCATAATATTGTAAGGAGTTGTGATTCAAGAATTTGTTTAATATTTCTATAATGGTATTATTGTGATGTTAGAGCATACAGTAGGCTTAAGGAAAATCAATTAAAATTGCAACAAAATATGAATTTCAATGATTTGCTAGTAAAAATGAAGACATAAACACAGGGACAGACCCTGGACTTTCCCCCACAAATTGGCCCACGGTGGAATTTGACTTTTCCAGAACGAAAAGATTGCCAGTCCGCCCCTGCATAAACACTAAACCAAGACCAATACAAAGATTAAACATCTTGTAATCTCTTCAAAAAAAAAAAGGCAAATATCTGCCCAATGGACAACTTAATCGTCTGTATTTTTTATTATATATTTATTATTATTATTTTATTATATATACATTTTTTTTTTGCAATATTGACCTTGCAATATAGATCATTTTTATATTGTGCAGCCCTAGTTTGTATATCCCTAACAAGGTTAAGTCTGCCTCTTTGTTTTTGCAGTCCCTAAAAGCCATTGTGACCCTGGAGAGTCTTCAAGTTTTGGACTTTCGAGGCGTGGGACTGGAGCGGTGGCTGGTGCTGGAGCTCGCCCCACAGCTGGCTACTCAGACGTACTCTCTCCCGTTTGAGTTCAGGGCTCTGGAAGCCATACTGCAGCACCGGGTGAGCATACAGACTGGGTACGTTTACATGCACCAAAAATTGGATAATTGTCAGTATTAAAATGTCATGTAAATGCCAAAATGTCATGTGAAAGTTCTGCATGTGTTGAAATAAAGCAAAAAAAAATTAAGTTATTCTAAAATGTGATGATGTCTTGGAGGGTCCGTTCTCATGAATTATCAGAAAGCTAAATTATCAAATATGGGACCTGATCATTTCTATTCTTAACTAAACCCAAGACTGTTCCTTTTACCTACCCCCATGTGTATTAAATAATGGCCTATAAAATGTTGCGATGCTATCTGAAACCCAGCAATTGACACTTGGATGTTTGAATTATCTAATTTTTGATGTGCGTGTATTCTGATTTTATTATCAAGGTATCCAATTATTGAAGTACTTTTTTCGCCGCGGAAATATATCTATTGTCTATATACAGACTCTGAATGTACATTTTATCACTGTGAATCTGTGTCAATAGGTAAACACTCTCCAGACCCGGTTAAATGAGGTTGAGCCTGTCATATTGGACACACTGGAATCTCTAGTTGACCCAAAAATTCTCTCTGCCGACCGAAGCAAGCTACATGTTTTACTTCAAAACAGCAAGAGGTACTGCACAACTGTTCAGTCATTATTAAGATGCACAATACTATTGAATTTAAATTTTGCCTTTTAGTTTATCAGAGTTGGAAACTGACATAAAGGTTTTCAAAGAGTCTTTGCTGAAGATTTTGGATGAAGATGAGATGATCGAAGAACTTTGTTTAACCAAGTGGACGGACCCAAGAGTTTTGTATGTGTTAAACGTTACTAAAAAGTCAATCTAGACATTTATACTTTACACCCAACAAATTCTTAGAGCTGTCCCTTACATGATTATATATGTGTTTTATGTTGCAGTGAAGAGAGCAGCCTGGGTATTGACCATGCTGAGGAGATGGAACTGTTGTTGGAGAATTATTACATGCAGGTAAACTATTTTTACTATCTTTTTTTCCCTCTTACTGTGGAGAAAATTTACTAATCTCACCCCACAGTACAAATAGTAAGAAGGAATGCAGGCAAAAATTAAGTAAAGATTGAATGAATTGTGTTTTCTGCAGGCAGAAGAGCTGGGGAATAAGGCCAGAGAGTTAAAAGGACTAATAGATGACTCTGAAAGTGTTATTTTTATTAATCTGGACAGGTATCTTGTTACGGTGTTTTGTACTTATATGTAAATACCTGAAACTTCTAAAATAACATAATAATTCAAATTTTTCCCCTATAGTCATCGAAATGTTATGATGCGTCTCAATCTACAGCTAACAATGGGCACATTCTCCCTATCTTTGTTTGGCCTAATCGGAGTGGCGTTTGGTATGAATTTGGAGTCATCATTTGAAGAGGTAATTTTGACATTTTAGTTTTCTTTTTTCAATATGTTCATTCATGTTCATTCTTGCATGATCTGTGTATTCCTACAGGATCCCAGAGTTTTTTGGCTTGTCACAGGTTTTATGTTTTTGGGGAGTGGATTAATTTGGAGGAGACTGCTTTCATTTTTGGGACGGCATCTAGAGCCTTCACTGGTAATGTAATTTATTCATTTTCTGTATACATTCATCTGTAACAGTCACATTATAAAAAATATTACTTTGTCTTGTAGATCCCTCCAGTGTGGAAAAGAAATCTAAAAGGTGGTGGAATAAGATGATCCTTATTTCTGCTTTGTAAAAAGCCATTGAGCTGCTGAGGACCTAACCCTTACCTCACTGCTGGACTCTGAAATCATAATTTAATTTAAAGTTGTTACCAAATCTGTGTCGAACCAACTGTAGACATGATTTGCTGTTTCTGATAAAGTCCAGTAGGGGTCACGATTTTATTGTTGTTACCAAATCTGTGTCAAACCATACAATGGTATGGTAGACATGATTTGCTGTTTGCCCAGTAGAGGTCAGCATCACATTTACCTCCTTCATCCACTGTAATTCAATATGTTTTAATATTTGAAAGTGTACTTGTAACTAAAACTTCAAAGCGAAGTTAAAGTTGTTTTTAGTAACGTGAATTTAAATTAATCATAATAATACTGTCATCAAAGGCTTTCTGTCTGCACATAACTGTAATAAGATTGGAGTTATTTAAAAGAAGGTGCAAATTAACATAATAAAACGGGTAAGTTGACCTTTAAAACCTTAAGTTTAATACCTGAATCAGTTAGATACATGCAAAATCCAGTGGTAATCATTTCCAAGAACCTGTATTATGCTATATAAACAGATTTTGCTATTATTTATATTTATATAGCATCTACATCTAATTTGGTGTTATTTATATTTATATAGCATTTACATCTAAATAAATTGATACATAAATAACAGCTGATTCTCCTTTTTTCCTCTCTTTTGCACTACCCTTCTGGAGTCTATAATAGATCTCTCTCGCACATAGAGTACATTTCTCTCATGATTTCTCTGTAATTTTGGACATGCCTTCATCAGAACACGTAAGAAGACGCCCCTGTTTTCTCAATGAGCGTCGGGTTGACGTCATTACGCAGCCACGCTGTTTGCCAGACTCAGACCAAACAACTTTTCCAGAGCTCCACATCACAACGCGGCCACTTTTCAGCGAGGACACATTTATTTAGACTTATCTGCACGGAAATCGGATTATTCTGCTTGGACCTTTCTTCACTGTGTGTATTTATTAGTTTAGAGGACTTTGTTTCCCCTTTGTTTTAAAACTTTTAGGAAGTTGAAATGAGGAATCTTTGGCTGGTTTTCCTCGTCGGATTGGCGGCTGGTTTCTTCACTGAAAAGGTAAAACACTTGAAATTTTACTTCCATTTAAAATAGTTTTGACATTTTTAATGTTTTTAGACGGGTATTATCCCAACAGTAGTCAGTTAAATCATACACCTCCTTTGCTTTTGTTTTTGTTTGATAAAAGCACATTCTGTCTCTTTTTAAAATCAAATGAAAACACTAAGATATAACGTGAGGCGAAGCTAGCTGTTATTTTAATGTTAACTTAGTATTATCAAAAATGTGTTGTTGTAAATTTAATCAAGTGTTTATTAAAGAAATGCAACTATGTCAAATTATCATCTAAAGTTGATTTGTTTTCCTTAGTGCCATTTAAATGGCAACATATCCGGTTCTTATCTTGGCTCTATGTGAGTGGATGTAACTTGTGATTTTAAGTTAGCCACCTAGTTAAATAAATCAAGACAGAAGAAGGTGAGATATGCCAAAATCACAGATATGTCTTGCTTTAAATTAGTTTTTTAATTACACAAAGCTTTTCCTCGTTTTTGGTCTGTGTGCGCGCCTGGAAATGCTGGAAAACACCTGGAAATGACAAGCTAAAAGGCTCACATGGATCTGCACCTTGTCACTAGTGCAAATATATCCTGCGTGTGTGATTTATAGACTGTGAAAGTCCCCCAAGAAAGCCTCTCAAAAAGCCTCTATGCTTTTGATTTATGGACTGTATGCGGTGGAAAGGAGTGAACTGAAACCTGAGAGTGGCCTTATGGGACATGAAGCACGAACTTACAATTTGACCAGAGTGGCTAAATACCAAAAACAAGAGATTTTTGTCTGTTTCCAAATATATTGCTACCAAAATATACCAAATTCAGATAATTTTTGATTTATGTGGTGGTCTTTTATTGTGGAAGTTTTTAAATGAGTTTTTTTTCCCAGTAACAAGTTTAAGGAAGAGAATCATGTAACTTTGCCCATTCATAAAAGTCACTGCACACTAAGTTACAGATGTTTAGGTTTAAAATTAAAATAATTTCAACTAACTGTTTAAAACACTGGCACATTTTGTATTGATTTCAAAAGTCATCCTGACAACTAATGTTATCCAAGACGTGAGAGGAATGACCAAGACTACAAATTGTCAAACTTATGGTGGGCTTGGTGTACACTTTATAATGTGTAATAAATGTGCGTTCCACAATAAAACATAGACCGGTCAAATAATGTTAGAACACTGAAAGAAGAATATTTGTCTTTTTTTTTTTTTACCACACAAATAATCTGAATTCATTCCCATCACTGTCTACAATACTCTCCTCACTTACAGACTCCAATCCTAAATTGCTGGGTGTGCCAATGCCAAGTTACATGGTATTTTGTACGGTTTCTAAATAACTTAAGAGCTACTGATTAGTCAGTCATTGATGCCGCTTGCGTCCATCAGATGAGTGTTGAAACAGGCTTTCTGTGTGTCACTTTGGGAGCCGGTGGTTGGGTCATTTTCTGGATGGATGAGTCAGGTTGAGTCCCCGTTGGCTAGTCCAGACACGCTTGGAACTGCAGTGGCGCATAGGCAGTTTTCCACTCAACTCTCACTATTGTAAAGACCAGTCACATGTTTTGTATGAGCAAAAAAATCATGCATCATCTCTCCAAGACAGACCATCCTTTTTGTAATTAAATAACGGCTTCAACATTTTCCATTGCTCACTGTACAAAACACGTTCAGGTGACTCAGCTTTAATGCCCTTTACCCCACTTGGTAGTCTTATCTCTTACCAAACACAGGAACATGTGGCAATACAGGTCTGTTCATCCAAATAATATTTATCTTCTTCATATGAGAAGAGTTTTTATAAGTGATCTTGCCATTAACAAAAAAAAAGAAAGGAAAACATACCATTATTCCAGTGTTCTTATATAATTACTTATATAATAATATAATATTTCTTTTTACTTTTTTTTTTACTGTTTGAGTTGTGATGACAGATGTCCAATGTGTACCTAAAGATTACACAATCACATTTCCCCCTGGACAATATTCCCTGTCCTAGAGCTCATACTGCTAATAGAGCATTAGTAGAATAAAGAATATTTTCAAATATTTTTGTGCATTTTATGTGAACACCACAATGAACAAATCCTATATTTTACCTTACCCCACTCTCTCTCTGTAGTGTAATAAGCAGAAGCCTTGTTGTTCCCTCTCTTCTTCTACAGAGGTGTCTGAGCTGCTATGACAAAGCATTCAAACCAGATGTTTACTATTGTTGCATATTTTCCTGAGAAGTGTATTCTTTCCAGATGCATCATGTGCTGGAATGGCTGTAGCAGTAACTGTGAATAGCTGAGAACTGTGAACAAGTCCATGTATAGGATTACACAATCTCAGAAAATGTTCCCTAAATTAAATATTTTAACTGGAAGTTTAAGATACCTGGTGTCTACAGGACAGACTGTTCAAATCCCACCTGCAATTATTCCAAAATTCTCTTCATGAGTTTCAGCTTCTGGTGCACATTTCATAATTCAAATATTGTAATATTTCCTTTTGAACTGTTAATTGCTATAGCAAAGCTAATTTTCTATCAGTCTGACCCCCATGGATAACAATGGTACATGACATTTGTTCATGGTGAGACTCTTAACAAGTTTACCATTTGTCTCAACATTGATCCCAAGTGCACGTTATGATGTGATAAAATGTAAAAATAAATCAGTAGTAACATAAGAGGTCCAATTTACAGTTGTTGTATTTATGTAGAAATCTGAGCGGCGCTCGTGTGTTTGGTTTAGACAAGAAGCGGAGCATCTGCTTTTGTAATCCCCCGTTGAAGACAGCAGGAATGTGAGATCCCCCTCTGCTATTTCAGTCGGCGCTGGCACCGTGAGACCAGTGTCTTTGTGTGAAAAATAAAGTTCAACAATTCGTTTTTTTTGTTTTTTTTTTTGAGGGGGGGGGGGGGGGGGGGTTCACCGCTATGACAACACTCCAGCTGGTTTGTCTTATGTCTCTCTCTTGTTACAGTCGTGGTGGTTCACATAAAAATCAAGACATCTGAGAAGCCACAGTGGAACCAATTAAAAAGGCTTCATGAGATTTTATTTGAGCAATATACATTTAACTCGTAGCATACGTCTTCTGTGTACAAGATAAAATACCAAGACATCTTTTTAAGTTATTTTCACTATAAATAACTTCCATTCTCTTTTTGCCAGACTTGGCACTAAGGGGCTTGTCGGCCATCTTGGTTTGTTGTCAGCACCTGTTTTAGCAGAAGACTGCCTCTCCTTCTGTCCCTTTGCTTTCCCTTATTCTCCTGGTCTTCAGCACCTGTGTTAGTGGAAGCATAGTACACATACCAGACATATTTCAGGCCTCAATAGACCATATTCATCTGCTATGAGTGTCTCGGCTTCTCCCTCTCGCCACTAACATCTGCTGAGTCTTCTTTATTTTGTAATTATAGACTCCAAAAGAGGTTCCTGATGAAAGTTACTTGCTTTGTTTGAACATGCGTTTTTTGGAGGGAAACATCTAGGCCTTTGTTTTATAGTTACACCCATTTGTGTTTGGATTGCTTAGAGTTTTGCCTTGACATATTTTTAATCCTTTTGCTTGTCTGCTCTGTGCATCGATTCCTTTGCATGTCTGTGAAGCAGCACAAATTTCTGCCAAAAGTTTAATAGACAAGAAGCCAGCCCCCACCCAACTAAGTCAAATGGAACAGGCCTGTTACTGTACAATATATAACTGTACTGTAAGTGACTATACAGTGCAGGCTACAATCTGGATGCAATTCATGCTCTGTAGACTTTGACTCACAGCGCATAGGTCATAGAGAGCGATCATCTTTCTGTTGGCTATGGAGGCAGTCACATGTTTCTAGTTTGCTCAAGTGTGAAAGAAGCTGGTCTGTGAGTCTTTGCTTTTTCCCCCTTTTTTAGATTGAAAAATAATCTCTATTGTTTGTATTTCAGATCCTGGTCTCATCCCAGCACCCCTCTGCACTGGACGATCTGTACTTGGAGGGGCGCACGTCAGGTGACCTTCCGATTGATGATGAAGATGGTGAAGACGATGGCTCAGGCTCTGGATCTGGAGACTATGGTAATGCTTTGTAGCCATTAGACTTTTAACATAAACACCAGGGCAGGCTGAGTCATATCGGTCACATGAAGCTGTTTATTGAGACACAGAAGCACAGATGTTTGACCTGCGGAGATGTGGAGTGAACCAGTTGAGATTTTATGAGAAGTCTACAGATGTCAGAAATTCCTATGGCAAATGACTCATGTGTTTTGAATGCTGTTAAAATAGAAAAAAAATAGAAATGATACACTAAGGAAAAATATATTTGAAATCATGTCTTTTGTGTTTTTTTTTTTTTTTTTTTAGATAACATCACAGAAGAGGCCGAACTCCTGAAGTTTCTCAACTTCTCCAAATCCCAATTTGGGAGAGACATTGTTACCGTCGAGCCACTTCAGCCACAGTCAACAGCCGGGTCCCCGTACTTTGGGCCAACCTCTGCAGCGGAGACCCCAGAGCCCTCGACCACCGCGAGGGACTCTGCTCCAACAGCACCGACTGCTAGAGACAACGATGAAGAGGTATGGCTACAGAGCAGGGCTGAATGAATTGTGTTTTAAAATTAGCTTTTCGTCCAAACGGCATATTTAAAATTTATCCTGCAGCATTAATGTTTGAGAATGAATTATGGACTACAAAAATAATACAAGCTTTGTAGAAATCTCTAAGCTACAGGGATAGCAGTTTTTGATTTGGGGTGTATTGTTGTTTGCTGAGGACACAATTTCATGTATTTGTAGCCTTGCCTTGCCTATTCCTATTCCACGTAATACACATTTCCATTAATTTAATAGGAATGCAATTTTAAAGTTTTGTAATTTACATTATGATTTGTATTTTTATTTTTTCAGGTGGTTGATTTTGGACCAACTATGGACAGGACCACACAAGCTACCAGCCCTGTGCCTCCTAGTTACACCACTACCTTTGATAACAGCATTGAAAGTGGCATAGAACAAGAGACAAGAGCTGATGACTTTAACATCCCAGAGAAGGACACCCAAAATGAGATTCTGATCATAGACGGACGAGGAGGCAGGATTTATGAGATGGACTCGCCCAAAGAAGTCACCTCTGAAAACATGTGGGAGCGCACGGATGTTTTGGCAGGTAAGGCACTCAACTGTGTTTATTTTCACAAATGTTTGTCATATTTATTGTAACTAACTGAAATGTTTCTCTGTGCACTGTCCAGCTATCATTGCATGTGGTGTGGTTGGATTCCTCTGTGCTGTCTTCTTGCTCCTCCTCCTCGCCTACCGCATGAAGAAGAAAGATGAAGGTAGCTACGATTTGGGAGAGACCAAACTTACCAACACGGCATATCACAAAGCACCCACCAAAGAGTTCTACGCCTGAACTGATGAATGGGATCAAGTGGAGTTTGTAACAAATCAGGACACTCAGATCTACTAGAACTGGAGATAATTTCTGTTGAAGTCTGAGGATGAAAACTCTACTGTGCGCCTTAACTTTCTTCATCCAGCCCTTCAGTTTGGTCCTCTGATCATTCCAAACTGTTTTTGAAGAGGACAAAAGGGAATAAAATTAGCTTGTTTTCTGCATTCTCTCATGTTCTTCTTTGGAGGGAGTACAATGTTAATACCCCCTTTTTAATGATATAGCACTACTAATGATGACTGCATCAAAAAAATATTTTATGAACCACATGAGTTAGACCCACTTTTGGGAGGCCAAAAATTATTGCTTGATAATCAAATTGATAATTTACCAAATCTTAACTGTGTTAAAACCAGCCATTATGCATTTCGACTGCTGTTAACTCTTACAGTGGCCAGTAGTATTATGAATGAGCTAAAATGATCATTTTTATAATTTATGTCAGATATGTCTTTCGACTTTTACGTTGCCTTGTTTTCTGCTCATTAGGCAGTTGTAGTATTTTCATTATAATGAAAATGTATTTTATTCATATTCATTTGCTGTCAAAAGTGGTGTAAATCCTTTTGCTTTGCAGGTACATGAGTATTTGTCATTTGACAATAGTAGAAATTCCTAAAACATAATATTGCTTCATTGTTATGGGAAATGTTTGAGTAGCTATTAGATTTTAGTTTTTTATGTTGAGAGGTAATTTGTACAAAATATTTTTAGAGAAATTTTAGTAAAAATTTTTGCAGCCTTTGCATAATGTTACTATTATCAGGTTTAACATTCAAGCATAGTGAAATGTGCAGTAAGTTTTTTCTGGGACACGTCTGTAAAGTAATGACTATAATTTAGAAACTGTAGAAGTGAAGTGACCAATGTTACTGAAGCCAAAGAGAACTCCTTTCCTACTGTTACCTCTGTACTGCTGTGTGTGTGTGTGTGTGTGTGCACGCGCAACAGTCACTGTGCCGATAGCTTTAGCTTTGTTACATATCAAGGAGGGTTTTTACCTGGTACGAACATTCCCATCTTAGACATCCATTCCAACAAATGCTTTGTCTGCTATAGTTGTTGTTGACTGCTATTTCTTTTTTCTTTTTGTGTCCACTGCGTTTTATGAGGCATGTCAGCATACAGCTGATGTATGTTTCATTTAGTTTATATTTGGAATGCTGAAGTGAATAGTTATCAATCTTGCAAATCAAGGAAACTACCTACAATCATCAGCTGGAAATAAACAGAAATATCTAATGAAATGACTGTGATTTAGTGATTAGTTTAATGTTTGTGCAACAATCCAAAGTGCCTCAATAACCAGTAGTGCTTTTTCAGTGTTACTGACGAGCTTTTCAAGCTAAATAAGAATGAATGATCGACAGATGTTTCTATGTCATTGGTACAGAGTGATGTATTCAGAGTTAAGGGGTGGAGGAACTCTACAGGACATTCAATACTGTGCATAATCTCTGTAATTGTATACAGTATGTTAATAATGTTATTGTGCCGTAATTTATGTGCTTCACTAATCCAGGTGTTATCTCCTCTGAAATGTACAGTATTTAGAATTTTTGTGCAGTCCAAACTTATTTATATTAAAGTCTTTGACAAGCCCAGGTTCGGTTCATATAGGTTTAATGCCTTCTTATTTGTAGATTGCAGCTTTGATTTCATCTTTTGAATTGACTAAAGCTTTTCAACATGGTAAAACATTGAGACCAATTTTCCCACCATTGGGACAAAGGACCACCAAATCACACTGTGTGACTGAACCAATGTATTTTCATGGGGTTCACTACTGAATAAAAGCTGTATGTTCAAAATAAAGTGTCTGTCAGTTTTGTGTATATATAGGCCTAGACACAAGTGAAACTATTTCAGCTCCAAATCAGAAAAACATTGCACTATTTGGCAAATATTACGCAAGAAATTTATTTCTTAATGAGTTTAATGACACAAGAATCACTCTATGTAATGGCTTTGATATAAGCAAGTGCAGGGAAGTTCCAATCCATTCAGCTAAGGGCTGTGGAAAGAAAAACAAGTAACCACCAGGATGTTAAAGAAGATAACTATGAACAATGGGGTTGTTAACAAAATATGGTCAGGAAAAGATAAAATGAACAAATGACAAAAGTAGGCCTACTTTGAGAAAATATAAAATGAAAGTTATATTACTATTTTAAAAATGTGTAATTTGTATTTTCTTTCTGTTTAGTTTTCGCCTTTCTTTTTCTTTTTTAATTTTGGGGGGGAAAAAACCCCGGAAGTTTCTGCTGTACGTAGGACACATGGCGTCGTGACATCACAAACCCGGAAACCCAGTAGCAAATTGATCCTAATCATGGATATGTTGCCTTTAATGCATTTATCTTACCAGTGTTTATTTGTTTTTTACAACAAGTAATAGTCATGTGAGTGTTAAGAGATTATGAGGGCGTTGCAAACTTTCTTTCTGGCAGACGCGTCGGACCAGTTTAAGACGCTCTCACACCAGGGTGTTAATGCAGGATACTTTCTCTTGTGCCAATGTTTTTCTCATAGACTGTATGTTTTTTGTTCGTTCCTCAATCACCACTAGACGAAACTAGCCACTTGACGGAAGTTTAGACAGGGTAAGTACAGTTTGCATTCAACGATAAAAAGTAATGTTTTGAAAGACCCGTTCATTCTGAGTGATACAACTTATGTTGATTTGTGATTACAGATGACTCGAGATCTCAAAATAAACTTTGTCCTGTCATTTATTACCTTTCTCTACACTTGTTCATATGTGTGCAACTGTCAGTCAGCCACTTTTCAAACAGGAAATTCAACTTTCAAGAAAAACTTTGCATCAAAAGGTAGGATCACACCTCCAATAAAGTCATTGGATTATTGTTAAGCCTGTTTTCCAGATAAATTCGTGTAAATGGGCCCAATGGCTGAGTAAGCAAAACACTAATCCAGAGGCTAGTCTTGTCTTGTTTATAATCTTTTAAATTGCATACTCAATATCAGTTACACACAGAATGACAGAAAAATAAATACAACCTGAAAGTTACACCAAGTTTAAATATTATAAATAATAATAATAAAACTATTAAAACATGTAGCTCTATAGTAAACACTTATTTTTATTTATTTATTTATTTATTTTTTTGCAGCCTTGGACAAAGCAACAGAAGTGGCAGCCTATACGGATATCGCCCAAAAAATAATACATTTGGCTGTGTATGGAGATGCCAGGAATCGCTCCTACAGTCGGCTGGCAAACTTTACTGACACAATTGGGAATCGTGTCAGTGGATCCAAAAATCTGGAGATGGCCATTAACTACATGTATAAAGCCATGACTTTAGATGGTCTGGATGTCCATTTGGGTGAGGACAGAGATCATAGGACAAGGCTTAAATCAGGGCTGGGCAATATGACAAGGACATTAATCAAGATTTGTTTCCTCATATTTCCTCGATTTGTGATTTGATTTTCTTTTTCAGAAAAAAAATTAAAATAATTTTCAGTATGGAGATCAGGAACATAATTAGTTAACACAAAAAAGAGTCAAATTTCCATGTCCCAAGTCTGAACTCTACCCCAAACCCTGCATGCTTTTACAGACATAAGACTGGCTGTAAACCTAAATTAAAATGACCAAACTATATAATTAATGTTTAGACATGATTGAATCTCGTTCTTTATTCAAATCTGATTGATTGTTCAGCCATACTTAAAATATACACATGAGAAATCTGTTAAATTGTATTCTTTTCCAGAGCCAGTCAAAGTCCCTCATTGGGTTAGAGGCAAAGAGAGTGCAGAAATGATCCAGCCCAGATCCAAAAACCTGGCTATACTTGGGCTTGGTAGCAGCATAGGAACACCCCCTGAAGGTGAGGTCTGAACATGCAAAGTAAAACAATATAATAAATATATAGTAAAATAAAATGACATTGTTTATTTTTAATATGCAGGTATCCAAGCAGAAGTGTTAGTAGTTCAGTCTTTTCAAGAACTGCAGAGAAGAGAGAGTGAGGTCCCAGGCAAGATTGTGGTCTTTAACCAGCCGTTTGTTAGTTATGGGACGACCGTGCTTTATCGGGGCTTGGGAGCCTCAGAAGCAGCCAAACTGGGGGCTGTGGCCACTCTTATAAGATCTATCACTCCCTTTTCAATTAACAGGTACATTGAATAGTCAAATGACCGTACCAATTTAATTAATATCTGTAAGTATAAAATATTGGTCTAGATTGTTGACTTTTTTATTTGATAGTTTTGACTGCTTTCAATTAAATTTTTATTATTTGAGGCAAACATCAAACAGTGCAATAAAATATCACGCCATACTAGCAGATGTTAAGTTGGAAATAAGAATAAAAATATTAAAAGCAAGACAAAAAAAAAAAAAAAACAAGTTAAAAAGAATAAACATAAGAGCAAGATGGATGTGTTGTTGCATCCACACCTTAATTTAAAATCTTCTGGTGTGTTTATAGTCCACACACAGGTTGGCAGTACTACCAGGAGGATGTAAAGAAAATCCCGACTGCTTGCATCACCGTAGAGGACGCTGAGCTGATGTGGCGTATGGCAAAGAGAGGTGAAAAAATCATTGTAAAACTCACAATGGGAGCCACCACTCTGCCCGATGCTGACTCCTTCAACACTGTGGCTGAAATCAAAGGCTGGCAGCACCCTGAGCAGGTATCACACACAGTACCTTCATATACAGTCTAGTTGTGTATCTGTTTTATTGTATTGTATTTTTTATTTGTTTTTTTAATATTAATAGCTTTATCACTAAATACCAGAAGAAATACCTGTGAATCAATCTTTCGTGCATCTTTGTAACATTCCTGACATGCTAATACAACAAAGACAGCGACTGTGTTCTGCTGATGTCAGACTTTCCCTCAGCAGTTTTGTCCACCTTTTTCTGTAAGATCTTATCTACTTAGAAAAAAACCTGTAAAAGCCAACTCCACAAATTGTTTTTATTTTAAGATCCAATTATGAGCTAGACACACATTCCTTCATGTATGAGCAAGCATGTGCATATCATAGGTCAAGAAATCAGAAAATATTAATTGAAGTGGCAGGTGCATTGGGGGAAAGAGTATTAAACTGCAGATTGAGTGTGTTACTGGCGCTGGTGTTACACCCCAATGGAAAGGTCAGTCTTGGGTCATTTGACTCAAGCATTAATAGTTAACATAAAGATCTCAATCTTAATAGTCACTAACAACATTAGGACAATTGCTTTGCCTTCTCTGTCCTGACTCAATTTAACCTTTTAGTGTGTATATATCACATTAAATATCACATATCACATGTAAATATCACATAGGTATAAATAAACACATTGACAAACATTTCACTTTGTGTAATCAGCATAAATAAATAAAAAGTAACTACAGTGTGTCAAATAAATTATTAAAGATGAATGTTTTTACTTCTAAAATGTGTTTACACTTATTCAGACAAAGATTCCCTGTACCCCCGTAACCTTAGATGAAGTCACAGTTATGTTTCTGAGCTATTAAAACTGTCTTGAGTTTCTATGAATATGAAATTAAAATGAGACACTAGAAGAGCTGTATTTTTGTGTTTTTAGCTGTTTGTTTGCTTGCAGGTCTTGGTATAGAAAAATGGAAATGAAACACATGGCTGATGTCATCTCTGACTGTGTTATAGTTTGCAGTCACAGCATTTGTAGTTACTGCTCATGTATTAAAATAATATGTACAGTTAGCTTTAGTGAGTCATTTTTCTGGGAAGCATTTAAGAAGAATTTTTTATATATTTCAAATATAATTCAAATACAATGCTTTTATTGTCATTTTACTTAAAAAAAAAACTGTAATATAATATAATATACTACAATATAAATATATAATAATAATAATTATGTCTGAATGAATAGTGCATAGTTACCATGACATCAAAATTTACATCAACGTTATGTCAAATCAAGAGGACTGCAATTTTTCCAACTATAAATTCTCCAAAAGTTGTAATTATCCAAATGTACAAATATGATGAAACATGAGGTACTCACATGTAATCAAAGATAATACAAAAATGTATTGTAAATGGCATATATTGTGACTTTGTAGACAACAGTGCATCAAAGTGTTCTCTGTTTTGACCAGTAAAAGACAGTAATCTATGTCTTTTTCCTTTGTCAGTGTGTAGTGCCAACAGACTAATAGTAGGTTAATGCATTGTTGACACAGGGGTCAATACAAATGAGCCTTGTTCGGGTCACAGTGTACTTTGTAACTTGACTCATCAGGTCAGGAAAGGTCCTCTGTCGGGAATATGCTTCAAATTCCTGGAAGCTGTCTCTGTTCTTTAAATCTCTCAGTAGGTTGAACATGTTGAAAGAATGCACTGTTATAATACAGTCAATGTTTTCATGTTTTAGGTTGTGCTGTTAAGTGGTCACCTGGACAGTTGGGATGTAGGACAGGGTGCAATGGACGATGGGGGCGGAGCAATGATTTCTTGGGAAGCCCTGTCTCTCATCAAAGATTTAGGTATTTTTTACACACTGCATTTGTGGATTTATTTAACATTTCTTTTAATTAGAAATGAGACACAGAAATCTTATGCAATCCCATGGAGCTTAACAGTGACCTTCTGCCCCCTGGTTCTGAATGAATTTCCTATTAATTTATATTAAAATTCTGAAAGCTTGCTCAGGGTTAATCAACTACTAATGACCACAAGTTCTATAATTTTATTTCAAAATTTTATTAACCACTAATTTATTTAAAACTTGAACTTGAGTGCTAAACGTGCTCTTTGAGCTTAAAACAAACGCGTTATGAATATTAGTTACCACTTAGCTGTTTAACTCCTGTTATGCCTTTTAAAATCTTAATATTTAAAAATTTAGAAAAGTCAATGAGAAAAATTCATGAGAAATGTACTCATGGAAACTGAGCGGACTTTGAAGTGGGCAGGACTGTTGAGCTCCATAAACAAAGTTTAGTTGATTATTTACTTCTATTTTTGTGCTTGTGATGGGTAATTTAGATCACCATGAATAAATCAATAGAGAAAAGGAAAACTTCACAGAGAGATAAATGTTTCATATCGGTAGTTTATTCTTGATCTAACTTGGAACGTGGAAAAACAAATTACAAAGCAATTCCCACAGCTGTAAACATGTAATTTCCTCAAACTGTTTGTTAGAGGAAAACATAGGTAATTAAGGCATTTGCTTACACTATCGTCTTGCATAGAAAGGCAGCGACTATAGTTTTGGCAGTACAATATTTATTTAGGGACACAATTTTAATAAAATACTTTTTTATTCTATTTTAGGTTTGCGTCCCAGGAGAACTATGCGTGCTGTGTTGTGGACAGCCGAAGAACAGGGTGGCGTAGGAGCTCAGCAGTATTTTAATATGCACAAGGTAATCATACATGAATAACTATTTAAAAACTAAAAATGAAATTCCTCTCCTCTCTGCTAGGTGAACCTGTCCAATGTTGACTTGGTTATGGAGTCCGATCTTGGCACATTCAAACCAGTGGGTCTTCAGTTTACTGGCAATGATGCAGCACAGAAGGTACACACTGGTCATATATTCAAAAACACATAGATAAACAAACTATCTTTAGCCTTCTGTGTAAAGAAGAGCAGGCAGGTGCGTGTTCTATGGAAGCCAATTTGTCTTGTAAATTCATTCAAATATGATGCAAGCAACACTATCTTTATTTTTTAACAATGTTCACTTTATGTAAAATGACTGTATTTTTCTCAAATGTCTTCTCTGTTTCATTCTATTACTAATAGACCAAATGTTTTACCAGTACAACATGCACACTGAATTGTAAAATCTTATAACATCTTACAGCATATTATAACTGGAAACATAAACAATATTAAAATATGAATGAATGAAATATTAAAACTAATTATAAATAGTAGTTATATATGGTTGTTCATGTCTATATTACCAGTAATATCCACCAAAAAACATAGAATAAATATTTAAAACTCATAGAATGAAGTTTACAAATTGAATTCTTACACAGCATTGAATGAGCTGTGAAAAGTGTGCTGTGTGCATAGACCCAACACCTGTCCTTGTTATAAACAGGTGATGGCGGAAGTGGTCAAACTGTTGGCTCCCATTAATACGACTAAACTGGAGCCTCATGGAGAAGGAACGGACATTAATCCATGGATGCAGGCAGGAATACCAGGTGAATGCTGTGGTATATATTAAAACTGCTTATGCTGGAGTTGTGGGTATGTTGTCTGTTTAAGTTGCGCTGTACACAGTTTCACATCCTCATGGACAGGGCTGAAAATAAGGATCTGAAATTGGTGAATTAACCAACACAACCCAGCATTAATTCAGAGTTACATAATTATTATTCATTCAATAATCATAATATACACATTTTTAATAAAGCAACACAATACAATATAGCATTATAATTGAGACCGTAAAATGCAGGTGTAGACAAATTGTTTTGTCATTAATTTCAAACTTGATTTCGATGCTAAGAAAAAGGATACCAATTTCATTGCTCAACACTAGTCTTATTGACTTACTGATTTATTTCAAGAATGCCATCACAAAATAGTGGTAGTTTCTTGTATATTAACATGTGGCCTTATAATAGTTCTGATATAGATACAGAACACAACTATAAAATTATTTATGAAAGAGCCAATTTTGTCCTAATTATGTGATTTTTCTTTTCTCCTCCAGTATCCATATTACTGAGTAATGAGTTTCATATTTGGGTTATGATTTTCTGACATACCAAGTGGGCTAATAACTAGTCTGTAGTTGCTGATATTCAATGATTGCAATAATCTTTAGGCATATGTATTTAAGCACACACTGTTCTCAACTGACCTTCCTGGTTAAATATTGAGTAAATTAATACAATAAATATTTGCTGTTACTTTTAATAGATGTAGAGATTATCAGTAAGGCAGGTCATTTTCAGTTTTCTGTTCTTCTCTTCATTTGCTGTTTTAATGAATTTATTTTTTTAATCCAGGTGCCAGCCTTCATGTAATGGACAGTCGCTATTTCTGGTTCCACCACAGTGAAGGAGACACCATGACAGTCCAGGACCCTCATGAGATGGACCTATGCTCAGCATTATGGGCCGTAGTGTCTTATGTTGTTGCCGACCTGGAGGAAATGCTGCCCCGATAGTGCTGCAACTAATAGCGCTTTTTATTTTTTAATATAATTTTTATGCATAAGAATGGGTGAAATACTATGAATATATTATGCATTTTATTAATTTCTTATACTTGTATCTGTGAATAATTTTTTTTTTTCATATTTTAAAAATGTTTATTTTAATAGATTTTCAAGAGAACAAAGGTGAATGTCAGCAGTGAAGTCATGTTTCTTCTCGTTTCCTTCTGCAAAAAGAACAACATGACTAAAATTAATTTACCAAAAGAGAAGTGTGATTAAAATGAAGAAGTTTCTGCTGTTAAGAGGACACTGATTAATGCATGTATAACCTTTTCATCTTAGTTCCGTTGTCTACACAGTGATAAGTCAGGCCTTCCTGGGGCTGGTGTCAGGATTAGTCAGTGGGACAATGGGTCATGTCATTGTGTAGGTGGATAAGTGTTGAAACACGGACATCTGTGTTTTTTCTTTTATACATGTCTGACTCTGAATCATTCAAACGCTTGATGACTGTCATGGTCTGACAGTGCTTCTTTCCTAAATGCTCTGCTTATACAGCAGAAAACATTTCAGTGATGATGTTGATCATCTCATCACCCATCTGATGCTGGAAAAACTTCACCAACTTAAAAAAAGAAAAAACTTGCAAAATACTAAAGTAACTGTAAAATGAATAATGACATATTTTTCTGATCAACTTGCCTGTGCCATCCAAACCCTTGGAGAGACTTCCCACCCCGTGGGTTACAATTACAAAGGAACACTCAGTTATATATAATAACTACATTTTAATTTATCAACATTTATTGTATTAAGATCAGGGCTTTATTACTAGTGAACAAAATTGAATGTTAGTGTAAATACCACCACCTTGTGGACAAACTGTAGAAAGGATGATGCCACTTGGTAAATATATGATATTCCTAAACAATTTTATATAAACATTAAACCTTTAATAAAACCAACAGAGAAGATAATAACAGCATTTTTAAACACAATTAAAAATGAAAAAGCACATACATTTATGTAGCTACAGGTCTTCGAGAGTTAAAAACTTTGACTCCATTCTGCATTGAAGATCGAGCATATTTTGTGAGCAGTGCTCCAGTGGACTGTTTTTCTCCACACAAATCCCTTTAAAAGAAAAAAAGAATGTTAAAACTTCAAGATTACATTGAAATGAAACAATTCACTCTATGTATGAAGTTAAACTTACTGTATGTATGGTGTGATGTCATCGTCAGTCCATTTTTCTCGTAGTGTGAACAGGTGGTTAAAGCGCTCTTGTGTGTCCTCAGGAAGATCCTCCACCCGCAGCAGGCAGATGGTCTCTGGGCGAGAGGTGCGGTCCACCAGGGCAACACCCTGCATAGAACCATGTAATATTTAGCATTAAATGTGCTACGTAAGATGTACACAACATTTAGAGGAAAAGAAAGTTTTAATCACCTTGAGCTGATCCAGACTGGTGCTCATGCCATCTGGGACACTCTGCTGCCAGACTTCCTGAAACTCTTTTAAGTTGAATTTCACAGCATTCTGCAGTAACAGCAGAGCCAGGGCTTGACAGATTTTGTCCTCATAAAGTGAATAAAGAATTTGGTCTGTAAAATGATAAAACTGTTCAGTATTGAACAACTGAAATGATCCAAAACTATACATGTAATGTATGCAGTAATGCTGTCCAATTACATACCATTTTCAATATAGCGATGCCCATAACAGTTCAAGCAGTGTTCTATCATTTCCCTGTTAAAGAATAATGTATGCTGTTGTAAATACATTTATGACTTTTTTACTAAAGAACATCTATTGGCAATACAGCACATATATTTATAGCATAATACAGAGCAGTGTCATCTTACTTTGGTTCAAGAGGAGCTAATTCTTCCAAACAGTTTTGAAGGGGGACTTTATTGAAAGACCATGATTCAGAATCCACCAGCTGAGACACATGACCAAGAAGCTTCATTTCATAATCAAAGTCCAACAAACGCCAGCATCCTAAAATAAAACCGCATAAATACATTGGTACTTTATTCTATTACTTTTATAGTTATATTTACCATTTATTTCACAAGCGTGGATAGCCTTCAAATTGTCCTTGATTTCTGCTTCACTGGCTTGTATCCGCTCCAAAAGATCAAACATTGTGTACTGACAAACAAAATTAGATCAGATATTTGTTTTATAGTCATCGCGACCCTGCTGTGTGTGGTACATACTTGGTTTTCTGCGACCTCTTCTTGTCCTCCGATGGCAGGTCCTTCATAAGGATTCTCCATCAAAAGTTTCTTTAGTTTCTTCAGCTTTGGACGCCGTTTACGCAGTTCCCAGTAGCTGTTACAAAACCCCCAGATCTATAACATAATACAAGATTTCACACAGGTCTGTCATGTACATACCCTCCTTAATGTACATCTCATATTGTTTTTGTGATGACAGCCACCTGAGTATGGACCAAGTGAGAGCTGTCCAGGTTGTTTGGGAGCTGGTCTGGGGTTTGACATCCAGGTACAAAAAGCAGAAGGTTTGAAGTGTCAGCAATCTTTAAATCATACGTTTTATCTCCACTGCACAACACTGCACGTTCATCCTTATCCCCACGAATCACTAGACTGGAAAAAGATCCCAGACAGTGTTAATGACTCAAGCATGTTACGATAATTTTGTATAATGTTGTTAATGTACCTCTGACCAGCTTCAATCTGTTTGCACAAGGTGTCATCCAGCTCCATCAGGCAGTAGTCTGCAGACGAAACATTTTCTCCAAAGGACAAACAGTGAATGGTTGTCTGCAAGTCCTCTTCTTTAAGTTTAGCGATTTGCAGCGTGGCCTGAACCTCCTCCAGTGTACGCATTTTAGCAGAAGGTTTTAGAAAATACGTACGGTTCAGTAGATGGCAGTAAAGGTTGAGAAATATCTAAAAATAATGTATAGTTTTAGTGTCCAGGAGTCTCTTTTCTATTGACACCAAATTTCCCCGCGCTGTTTGCCAGAATAGGAAATGACGTATAGTAAGGTCTAACATCAAAACAAGATCGGTTGGATACAAAATTCTTTAAAACATCGTACGGGTTTGTGATTGATATAGGGGCTTCATTTATTTTCATATCAAACTCATAGATCTTTTCATATTGGTCAATGGATTTATTGTTGACTTGGAGAAACAAATGACAAGAAGAATCCATGGATCTTTTAGGAACAATCTTTGTTTTGAGGGGACAGATTTTATGGGACGGACCGTCGCTCACGCTGGGGTCAAATATCTCTCGAGGATGTTGCGCTGCCGATAGATTTTTTGATATGTCAAGTTTTTCACGATCAGCCCAGGTAAATGTAGACAATAACACGACAGATGCCAATGTCAAGTTACGTTATTTCCTATATATTTATAATAACGTTGTTTATTATCTTCGTGGCTATAAAGGCTACGCTAAACTGACCATTATTTATACAGTGTGCATCAAATCCACAGTTCACAGCTTTAACTTTGGGTATATATGTATAAATATACTTTATTCATATTGATATTGGCATCACTGACACTTTCCGCAGAATTAACGTCAAATAGTAGTAACAGAAGTAATCTGTCTGTGTTGTTATTTTTGCGTTTGAAATAATGTTATATTGTAATAATGTTTCTATTACTGTGTTTCTCCTCAGCAATGGGCCACGTTTGCTCGCTCCTGGTTTCTGATTGATGCTAGGATGCAGCCTCCAGGAAAAATAGCAACTATGTCTGCTATTCGACTACAGGGCAAACACAAACCCATCTATCATGCCCTGAGTATGAAACTATTATTATTTTGTGTCTATTAAAGCCCCTTTATTTGCATATTTTAGTCTCTGTATCCTAGTTTATGTTCTTGCTTATGTTGTTCTGTTGTTCATGTCTTTGCAGGTGACTGTGGTGACCATGTAGTAATTATTAATAGCAAAGAAATAGCCTTTTCTGGGAATAAATGGGAACAGAAAGTTTACTCTTCACATACAGGGTAGGTACATGACAGCTTCAAGTGTTCAAGTATGCCTAATATCAGGTACTTCGTAACCCATTATGTCTAACAGTTATCCAGGGGGATTCAAGCAGGTCACAGCTGCTCAACTTCACCAAAAAGATCCTAAAGCTGTAAGTGTAGTTTACATATCGTATATATCAAAATACACACACACACGCCTTGTTGTAAAAATAAAAGTTTGGAGCCCCTGCACAACTTGAGATCAAATCACTAATGACATTTTTTTCAAGCACATATTTGTCTTTTTTTTAACCAGATAGTGAAGTTGGCAGTTTATGGCATGCTGCCTAGGAATCTACATAGACGCACCATGATGCAAAGATTGCACATTTTTGCTGATGATGTAAGTATCAATTAGGTTTGTCTTGGTCCTATCTTATCTTACAGTTTTTACTTTTTAACTTGTAGGTTTTGCCATATGACATAAAGGCCAACCTGACAGAAGAACTTCCTCAGCCCAGAGAAGTCCCACGGAAACTCAGTGAATACTCTCAAGAGGAGATAGAAGCATTCCCACGACTTTGGACGCCGTAAGTAAACACTAATTTCAAGTCCGATCATAATATACTAAGGCCGCCTTGAAAAAAAACAAAACAAATATACATATATACAATACAATATTTTCAAAGCAAAATTGTTATTGCTATGACTAGTTCTCGAGACTATTTTAAAACCAAATTTGTTTATGTTTTTCTTTGTTAATAATTTAAATGATCACATTACACTAACTTTAGTATGAGTTATGATGACTGTAGCTGCGACAGTTTTATTAATCCAGAGGGTGGTGCTGTTGAGCTACAAATCCTATCTCGTTCATTACCATTTTGAGTGGCTCAATTTGAATCATCTGAATAAAATAAGGCGATATATTCCTATTTAATAGCATGAAATTATTGCTGTAAATTAGTAGCCTTTAACTTTGGACATTGTACAAATGTGTGTCATTATTCTGGCAGTGGTCCTCTGCCTGTAGTTTGCTCAAGCGGCATCTGTGTGAATGTGGACACAACCCTTGCCAGCTCAATACCTGAACTGATGAGAGGAAAATAAATTAACATTTTGTCATGATAAATACAGGACATTGTGACACAAAACATAATATTATCATGTGTAACTGAATTATCATTAAAATGCCTTGACTATCAACTATTACAACCTAAGACATGTTCACGTATTTCTATTGTTATAGTATTGAGAAAAGTTGTTGTGAAATGTCACCCCTAAGCCTTTTTCATTATTCCTGAATGGACAGTTGTTCCCTCTCTGTACTGTGAAGGCATCAGTAACACATTGTAATGATATTCATGGTTTTTCTGAGTCTAATATTTTCCTGGTTGAGGGCTACCCTGACACTGTGACCCTTGGTTTTCTTGTCAAGATGAAAAGACACTTCTCTTCATATTGTGGTAAAGCCCTAGAAGCTGAACACAGATTGGAACAGTGCTAGTAACTTTCTGACTCACAATGTCTTAGTTTGATTATTTATATTAGGATGGATTTAAGTATGAACATGTAATTACAGTATTCTTGTTGTTTACACCATATTTCTGTCCCTTGATGTTTACTTTGTACGGCAATGGCTTTTCTTTCATTCACACTGCTTGTTTGCATTATATTCTGTGGCTGTCAGGCTGTGTGCCAGTGATAAATGAGCCACTTTTTATTGTTTACTGGTCCAATCTCCTCAGCCAATCAGTGCATCTTCTCACACCTGTCACTGTGTGGTCGTCAAGGTCGAACTTCTTGTGTTGTCGTTTTTTACATTAGCTGTGGTCTAGTTAATATTCACACACACTTTCGTATTCATTTGATTCATCAGTGCCTGTACATGTGAGTGTGAGAGAGAGAGTGCTTTTTGAGGTTGTGATCGTGTTTTGAGCTGTGCATTTTATTAAATATGTGCTTGGTATTCTCTCAGAAACCTTGGAGTCAAAGCAAAGATCAGAGATTGAAAGACCCATCCTCCTTCCCTGTAGCACAGAGCCAACAATGTAAACATGCTGTTGTTGATAGCAGTGCTATTATACTTGATAATAACATTTTTCTTCTTCATATCAAAACCAATACCCTGATATTATCAGTCGCTTGCTATCTTAGTTTGAAATTAAACAGGAGAAAATATACAAAAGGGTGCTGCATCTAGTCTAATTTTGGAAAAGCAAAGATAAAATCTGCCTGCCTTTTTTATTGTAATTGTCTTTTTAAACTTTTACCTTTTGTTGCTAATGTTTTATGTTGTGTTTTCTTCACAGACCTGAAGATTATAAAATGAAATGAAGTTGGATGCTTCCACATGTAATATCTTTGTTTTTTGGTGTTTCTTTAATATTTATGTCTCAAATAATATTGAATAAATATCCTTGACATGTTAACATCAGCCAGTGTGATGCTTTGTATCCGTTCAACTACGTGCAACAGATTTGGCTGGAGAAATGTGTCATTATTTTGTGCACTTCTGTTTGAGCTGGTTGACAACTTACCACAATTGTCACACTGTAAGATCATAAAATACCAGGGGCAGCTGTTGCTCACCCATATTTTTTTCAGTTGACCTCACTTATCTTGAGCTCTCCAAAACTGACATTTAAACTTAGTCTTTGGTTGGAAATTTTAAACATGTTATGAGGTGGCTCAGCAGTGTTGTGTAAATCAAATCTTTCTGTGTAAACTATAAAACAGACTTGTAAAACATTTAATGAACCTGTTACCGTCTTTTATTCCTCAGTGTTTTTAGTTTGTTTTTTTACAGCTCAAGTTAAAGCAGAAACACATTTTGTATGACATTTTTATTTGTTAAAAAACAACAGAAAAATAAATAAAAAATATTATGGGATCAAATGTGAATGAGACATTTACTATACTGTTAAACAACATTGCAGTGCGGTCCTTTTAGGCTTCACAAAACTGGTGAGCCAACACCACCACAGTGAGCAGGCCTGACTTTTGCATAAAAAGTCTGATTTGTTTTTTAAAATTCAAATACTGCTTTGAAATAATTAACAAAAAATGATACAAAATAAAAAAAATAATGGTTGTTATAAATTATTATACAAAGTACATCTCAAAAAGATACACTATGTGAGTTTTTAGGTGGAGGGTCAGAAACCTGTTTTCTCCATGGAGATGTTGTCTTGTCTGGAATATTCTGTAAAATGGCATCTTTACGGTGACAAGCAGGGTGACTCCACCAAACCAAGATATTTTTTTTGTTTTATATATATATATATATATATATAAATAATTAACTAAATATGTTTAAACCACACTGCAAAACATTCCAGGCAAAGCAATAACATCTCTACAGAAACAAGCAGGTGCCATTTACCCGCCAAAAGAAAAGTCACATGGTACACCTTTAACAATACTGTTCAGTGAAAACAATCCATGATGAAACAATCCAGTTTCTTATAAAAAGTATCCTGTACATTTGTTTATCCAAGCATTTGTAACACTTAAAATCTCTTAGTTACATAAAACCATAACCTGGCAAGTTACACGCTCAATGGTTGGCTTAAGGAACACATGCAACTTTACCAATTATTTCAGAAACCTGCAGAGAGATGGACAAAATGCTTGTACAATATCACTGGATGATGCAGACATTTATCAGGCACTTTATTCCCCCTTCATAAAATGCTCATATTAGAGTCTATTTAAGTCTATTTACACAGTTTGAGCAGGTTCAGTACAAGACGGGGGAGCACTTTGGACAAGACCTTTAGTATTTTCTTTTCTGTGTTGTTATGTGTAGTCCTCATACATTTAAGCAAGTCTATACTTCTCTTTTGAATCCTTTCTCATCACTCTCCTCCATTACCTCCACATTGCTGCTCTCCTGTTTCCTAACGTCCCGCGGAAATCTCTGGACCACCCCAGGCGACCTCAGCTCCACGTCCTCCGAGTGGGTGGGGGGGGAGTGGTATGCTTGAGGAGGGGCTCGATACTGTTGTGGGTAATACTGAGGGGGGTATCCGCGATAATAGGGGTCCTGTTCCTCCTCTTCCTCCTCTTCACCCTGGTCGTTGTTGTAACCCACCGCTGCAGGGTTGTAGGGCTGGTTGTAGGGTTGGTTGTATGGTTGGTAGCCACCGTGAGGCAGCCGTTGGACTGGTTTCATGGGAATATTTGGGTCAGTTGATCGGTATGATGAATAATCAGAAGAGCAGCCAAACAAAATGCAGACTTCAAGTGCATATAACAGGTTAGATTACTAAATTCATTAAATATTACATAATTATTAAAGACTTAATACGATTTTAGCTAGTTCTTCCTAATGTAACCATTTTGGTGCATTTGATCAATGTTCATGTCACATCAGCTGCTCCCTGTAATTTGATTTTTTACACTTGACTGAATATTTACCACAGGTACTATCACACAAAACCATGTTATAATTAGAAAACAAAGTAAACCTGTCATATGCACTTCAGGGTTAAGCTGTAAGGAGTTGTGTTTTAGTTTACAGAATAATCATAGGCAAGACTTAAAAGAAGAATGCACTAGATTTGAATCATTAGCCCTGGTCTTAAACTGTCTCTTATCTTGCCCATTTAACAGTTGAAAAGAGCAGTTTGGGATTGTGCGTAAGCAGATTTGAGCCCCATGATAGCATCCATACGATTATGTTAGTTGAGAAGTAGGTTAATGAAGCTGCATTTTATTACTGCAAGCTCACTACTGGGTCACATAAAGACAGCAACTTCGATTTACAGATAACAAATTAAGCTAATCAACGTCAATATTTAGTCGATTCATTAAGATCTGAATGATGAGATTAACTGCAAATAGCTGTAAGCCTCAAACATGGGAAGGCTCCAGTGAAGCAGTGTGTATTTCTGTATTTGTTGACAGATGGCACTGTGATCAGCCACAATGACTATCACTGAGGCATTGTGGGGAGTGGTTCACACTTGGGGGAAAGTGAGCAAGCTTATCCGTTTTTTTGTCTTGGAGGCTGTCATATGAAGCAAGATCAACAAACCAAAAAAAGGTCTGGATTTCAGTAGAAAAATGGCAGCAAACATGCAAAAGATAGTCAGACGTTGTAGAGCAAAAACTGCAACTTAAAATAAACACATACAAATGTTGTGTCTTAATTTGCTGCATAAAAACCTCTTGTTTTTTATGCAAAGCAAGCTTAAGCAGTGGGAATAATTTGAAGATGTCTCCCGTGAACAGAACTGCTGCAGGGATTAGAGGTTAAGCACCAGGGTCAGGAGTAATTACCCATCCCAAGAAATATGGACCCCTTGAGGGAATGCAAAAGTCTGTCAATTTCCTCAGTTTTCAGTCATATTTACAGAGGGAGGGTGGAGGAGAGGAGCACATGAGGTGAAGAGGGCTACAGTTGTTCTCAGTAATCATTCCCATAGTCCTGTTGACCTGAGTCACACAGAGACGGAGACGGAGCAAAGGAAAGAAGAAGGAAATGTTAATAATCCAATGACAATCCAAACATTACAAATGCACTTTCACATGTTAAACACTGGAAATTAGAATGTATGAAGCAGAGGTGGGCAGTACTCTGTTACTTTGTTACTTGAGAAAACTCTGAAATAACATTGTTCTTACAGTAGTTTTTAGACATCATAATTTTACTTCTATTTTTATAATATATTTTACAGTGTAACAGAAGTATTTTTTGAGTAAAAGTTACTGACAAAAGCATCATGTTGATACTAAATTATTTGAGCATTTGTGTTTCTTGCACTGCTCCTTCAAATATAATTTAGTTTTTTACTCATTTCTGTGGTCTATCCTTTGAAAATTCAAGGTTTTATGCATTACTTTTGTTCCATTTTATTCTAACAATTACAGATATCCAGAGTCAGACAATTACCCCTATTTGATTAAAGTAAAGTAAAGTAAATAATGTACTATATAACTATTCTTACTTGAGTACAGTTTTTGACTTCTCAAACCACCTCAGAGTATAAGTAGTATGTAACAATGCACATTTAATTTGTATTATATTTGTAATATTGATTAGCACAAAAAAAAAGTTTTATATCCAAAAACATAAAATGCACATTGTAGTAAACAAATCAAATCCAAATAAAATTGAATGATGTCCTGTGGGTGCACTGTTACAACCTTAATTGCCATGTTGCTATATTGCTAAAATGTATTGGATTTAAGTTTCTCTTTGCACTGAAGAAAGCAGAAAACTATAAATCCTACAAACAGCCTTCAATGAAAAACGTGCCTCGTGAGCAAAACATGAAAACATATTACCCACAACTGCAGTGGCACTCACATTATAACACTCCCCACACAAGACTGCAGCCACACTGTCCGTCCTCTGCTCTGTTTCCTATTGAATGGTTCCTTTTAAGTGGCCAGAGACGCCATCACAGCCAAGCCAGAAATATGTGTCTTTTTGTCTGTTTATATACGATTGTTTTGCAGCTTTCTATCAGCTTCAATCTGCAACACGTCACAAGATGTTGTGCATTTTAAACTCCTTCAAAACGATCCCCTTGGCTCTGTGACAGTCATGACTTCTTAATATAAACTGAACTAAAATAGGACAAGTTTTCTTTGAGTTCTCCAAGAGCCTTTTGTCAACAGTAATATTATAATACATTTAAGAGTCTGGTAGTTTTTTTTGCACTTGTGTTTACTTACATAACAGCCTGATATGATGACAGGCCATGTTATGAAAGGCCATGTTATTGTACTATAATTTTACACTGGGAAAATATAGACAAAATATTTAGTTTTATTCAGCTTCTGGGAACAAAAATCAGCACTCTTACCAAATTTCCATCAAAAATTTTCATCAAATTTCATCAAAGTCCACACTGGTTCATACATCCTAATCATAGTCTGTATATATAAATGGACACAGCTAACGCACTAGCTGCCATGTTCCAAATAGGAAGTTCACAAGTGGCTCTTCCGGCTCCTTCTGACCATGGATCCCATTGACTTACATTGGAATATTGCCATCCCTCTCTCAGTAACTGCTGCTGTGAGCCTCGTCATATTGGTCTTAAAATGTTTGTTTTAATCCGTTCTTCATGAACCTGGTGGGTTTTTTTTTTTTTGCTTTTTTTTTTTTTTTTGCTATTTTGTCTTCCTATTCATATTATAGAGTCTGGGTCCAAATTTGCTCCTGTAACCGTTATAAAGGAATGAGAACTTCGCACATCAATTACTTGAGATGGGTGCGTTGGAGGAAAGCGAGCAGTCCAAGAACATAGAGAAAAATCCCGCACACCGTCTTGCTTGCAAATTGTGAGATTTATTAGGATAAACCGTCGGGATTTTTCACTATGTTCCTACAACCGTTAAAATAAAAACAATGTCTCTTGTGGATCAATAAAGTTTGTCTAAGTTTAAGTCTAAGTTAAGATTGGGAGCTTCATTTAAGTGGCGCTGAATGCTATGGGTGACGTCACACTCACTTCACGTTTTATATGTTCTATGATCCTAATACTCACCTCCAACATTGTAGCCCATACAGGAGTTTGGATCACAGTATCCCGGGGTTCCGGCCTGTCCCGGACTGCCTGGGTTTCCTGGTCGACCAGGGGTCCCTGGGCTGCCGGGGCGACCTGTGGGACCTTGGCTGCCTGTTCGCCCTTCACCTGGCACACCTGTAAGATCAGTTTAATTATTTAGTCAATACAACAAATTATACAGAGAGAAAACGGAAAGGAATCATATATTTAAAAGTAATGATGGACCATTGCTCTTATCAGCTAAAAAATGTCGAGTTTCCAGTTGTCCTTGAACTTTGCATCGCAACACTGGTATTTCACCATTGTAGGACAAATATCCAATTTCTTATCTTTCTTTTATCTTAAATTCCTTACAACACAGTCCCCAAAAAATGGAGAAAGAGGTAGGTAGGTAGTGGCCTGTGTCATTTTTGGATAAAGGGAAGAATGGTGGCTGAGTTTAAAGTGGTCAGAGAACACCGGTTTTCAGGTCAAATTCGGCCGAAGGGTTTTTCTTTTCTGTGTCCTCAGGAGGAGCGGCCCCTTCAGGACACTCAACACAAATACCAAATCAATATTTCGGAGCTATTTCTGTTGCCAAGCATTATTCCCATTCCTGAAGAAAACCACAGGTAAAGCCAGCGGCACAGACCCTTCCTCAAAAAACATAATCTTTCTCAAATATTGAACACCAGGATTTCTTTTATCTGTTATTTGATCAACAAGAAGTTTCCGAGGAGTGGTGTCAGCTTGTGCGAGTATTGATTACACAACTGTAAACAGAAAAACTCAACACATTTTCATAACACAACCTTCTCTGGACTGCACAGAGGGAAATCAATACCGAGGCTTATATTCATGGTCCAAAAGCTTGACTGGCTTTGCTTTGACAGAATAAAAGCCATGGTGCGTTTCAATTCTGCAGATGAAATCAAATTACTGGTTACATGCGTTTGGTCTTTCTTGTCTGAAAATATGAGGAAAGCTGTTTTTTCAACTCAATAAAAACACTCCAGAATTGTATAAGGCAACAACAGCAACTAAAACTGAATTTGTACACTTTATCTAAATGAAAATAGGGTGTATTTGTTTTGCACATTTTACCTGGGGGTCCCGGTGGTCCACGGGGGCCTTGGTTACCCACACCTGGATTTCCCCGATCTCCTTTCTCTCCAGCTGGACCTGAGCCCATGACACATTAGCACTTTACTATAGACATACCGCACTGTCATCTGTATAGATATCACTAAACATAAGAAAACACAATTAGGACTGATCAAATGTGTAATAAACCAAAGTGTGACTCATGGGGTAATTACGATGACCTCATGGAGTAGTTTATACTTGGTAACCACAAACTAGCATAACTTGGGAATGACGTATTAAAAACTATCCACAGAATCTTTAATAACAGTTTCAATAGTTCAATAAACAAAAAATATCTTTATTTTTACATAATTTTCATATAACATCAGTGAACTAGTCAGTATTCTTGTCAAGAAAGGTTTTATTTCTGAATAGTCTGAATTAATAACACTTCTTGTTAAATAAGCTCCACAGATTCAGCGCAGTGGTTTCATCTCAGCCCATAAAACATGTAATAAATGTGTGTTGGGTTTGTGGTCGAGCAGAAGCAGCAGATTATGAATGTTAGAGAAGAGAATCAAAGGTCTGGACTCTCGCTGGACATTTCTCTGCTTTCCTCTGTGTCTTGTGCAGTTCAATACTTCTGTGTGGGTTGCATGTTTTTGCAATGAGGCCTCGTAAAGCTGCTCTGAAAGCTGAATGACCTCATGGATATTGAGCTTACTGTCTTCTGGCCTGGACCAGACCTCCTGGGAGCTCAAATATAACTGAGTATGTCTATGGGGTCACAGAGCAGGCCAGAGCCAAATAAGCTGCAAACAACAGGGATATCCAGCTGAATAGACATGTGCTGGGCAGAAAAATGTTAAGTTTGAGGTCTTCATAAATTATTCCTCTTTTTGAAAAACAACATGCCATTACAATAACAAATCTGTCAAAGTGTGTTTTATTGCTGTGGTAATATATTAAAATAGCACTGATAATGACTGATAACTACATCACATTTATAGTAATGTATTTAACCAAAGCTGTATCTTAAATAACACATGAGCTGCACTACATATGATGAACAATTAAACATGATGTACAGTTAAAATAGTATATTAGTATCTACTTCAGTCAAATGTTTCCTTGCTGATATGAGGGATTTTGTGAAGACCCTTCCCCATTCAAAAGATATTATATTTTTTTACTTGAATTGGGTTATTGCTATCACAACTGAGGACCGCTGCATGCCAAATCTTTCAAATCCGGAAGGAATACTTATGCCTGAAACCCATGAATACATCACTTCACATGTTGTTGTACAAAAGTTAGGAGTTCCCCACTAGTGCCAAAAAACAATAAAAACTCTGCCAAAAATAAACTTAATCTTTCATATTTTCAACCATTTGTATTGTTCCTACTGTGACAGGCCTCTCTAGACACCAGTGGGTAAAGTGCATTATTTTCAATGCCTCACCTCTCTCTCCTGGTCGCCCGTTCTGTCCACCGGTGCCGGGGAAACCAGGCCTGCCAGGCGGTCCTTGCTCTCCCTGTGGTCCTGGGGGTCCTCTTCTGCCTGGTTCTCCCGGAGGTCCAGGAACTGTCCGTACTGACACCGAGGCCTGGGGGATCTGGTTCAGAATGGTGTTATACCGGGACAGGTGGCCTGTGATGGGACATAGTGCATAATTGAATTAGATTCAAACAATAGGTGGATCAAAGCACATTACTAAACAGAATATGAAGGTCAAATCCTAATCCACTTTATATATAGCACATTTTATAAACAAGCAGTTTCCAAAATGCTGCACAGAGACCAAGAAAATGCTCTTATTAGTCTTAACACAATAAAACCAGTTAACTCACACAATGTCAAAAGTTTAAAACACTCAAAACACACTATGGGGCTAGTCAGACATGGGACGCGGCATTCCAGAGCTTAGGATTGACTAGAGGCCCATGTTTTTGTCTTAGGCACTAGGAGCTGGAGACTTTTGAATAAAACTTACTCTGGATGAGTTGTTCGCACACTTGTCGGGCGATGGCACGGATGGCTGCTTGAGACGGAACATCTCCCTGAAACACACACTCTTAGAAAATTACTCTCTGCAGACTCCCTCCCCATTTAAAACCACAGGAACAAACAACCAGACCAGTGCTGGACAAAATGTTGAATGTGGTCTGAAAATGAACCAAACACCGGTTAAAATCAGGCATGTAACAAGTTAGACTACCCATATCACTAAAATATAATTACATTGAAGTTTATACAAAAAAAGTCTTCCTTGTTTGACAATTTTGGTGAAATTTTGAATTTTACTTGTTGGTTTGAGGCAGCAGATGAAACAGAAATAGAGGTTATTCCATAACTGTTATCTGACAGCCATACTGTAAACAAGGGCCAAAGCTTGGCTTCAAACTTACAAAACAATTAGTTCCCTGTACGTAAATTGTCCCTGGATGAAATTTTATGTATTGATGGCATTCATATAGAGATCTCTTGTTTCAGCTTTGCTTCTTTTATTTTTCATCAAAAGAGTGATAATTATACATGAAAACACCATAGTCAAAGTTAGTTTGAAGATTCATGCATTTATCTTAAATTCACTTTTCTTTTTTTAAATAATAGTGTCAAAATATTGTACAGTGAACCTAAACCATAACCCTAGGACCTGCTAGGGAAAGATGAAGTCTTTGAAATGGTTTGAATGTGCTCTTGAGTGCAATGCAGCTTCTATAAAACAAACTGTAAAGCCTTTTTCACCACAGTAACAATATTTCCAGTGCAAAACAGAACAGTAAAACGTGATTTGTTAAAAACAGGGCTGCAGTGGAATGACTTACTCTTTCTCCCTTATCACCTTTGGTACCAGCAGGACCCTAGGACATAAAGCACAAAGAGAAAAATATTATTCACACGTTTGTGTACATAAAAACAATTCATATCCCCACCCAGTCCATTTATTATACCACTTAGATCTGTACTATACTCTTATAACACAATAGTGGCTGAAAGAATGCATTTAGACAGACAGTATTGCCTTATCTGATTTTACTTTTAGATAATTCAACACCTTTGCCTCACTAATTAAATTTGTATGCCTTGAAAACACAGTGGAGCCTAGCACTCTGACATTGCACAGCAGTAAAGCTCTTAGATGCATATCGACCCATAACACGCTCCAACCTGCCAAGCACATAAACCCAATAAATGCATATCAGAGTTCAACACATGGGGGCAAATAAAAGACAAATATTTCCGCACCACAAATGCAAGCACTGATATGAAAAATATATCGGCCTGACGCACTCATAGCTTTTGAATGAGCTCCTGTTTATCTTGGGTGCACATGTCCTTGACTATTCACTACAAGCCTGTGTGCTCAAGTAGAAGTGTTTGAAGAGGTACACCGGGACTGTTGTGTTTCTTAGTCGACCTTATCATGAATATTGCATGGGAGATGAAATTGTGTCTGTGCCAGTTTTAACTTCTAGGTCTCACCACAGTAAATGTCTTCTGCCTGGGTCTCCTCCGTGTTTCTGTTTTAGTTTCATTAATCTTTCTAGGCGCATAAATGTCTATTTCTTATCAAAATTACATGGGAAAATCATATAAAACTGCAATGAAAGCATATGTGAGGATGGAAGATAACATGAACCATATTTATACAGACAGCTCCAGAGTTGTGTGTGCAGAATAGAGACACTTGCCATCTGAAATTATCCTTAATTAACAATTTAAATAAAATTAAATCACAGGTACAAGTTTTTCAGCTGCGGGTTTGAAGTTATGTTACAGTTAAAGTACTAAAGTGAGAAAAAAAACTTTAGAATTAAGAATTCTTAGGTAGATTTGGACTAGTCTTTTTTTGTTGTGGATTTATAGTTGAGCTCCATTCAAGTCCAGTCAAGCAACCACTATTCTTCCTGGGGGGTCCATTAATGATAAATTAATGCAGCGGCCACGGCACCTGCATGACTCCATGAAGATAGAAAGTTAAACCCAAACTTTGAAACATTCTCCAAGGAGATCAGTTTTGTGTCATTCTGTGTAATGGTCCAGGCAAAGTAATAACATCTCCTAGGAGACAAGCAGGTGCTAGACCCCAAACAAAAAACAAACCATTCATATAAAAATAAAGATTTCATTTATGAACTCAACTCATAAATATGTTTGTTCCATTGATAAGTCTTGTTTCTAGGCTTTCCAAATCAAGATAAATACTGCTTAATTAAATGTTTCACTTTCTAAGATTGACGTGTTTGCAGTGCCGAGAGAAACAGTTGGATGTGTCTCTTGTGAATCATCATTTCAGTAGCCATCACTTCCTGTATTGTTGCATTTTCTGAAACTAAACTGTAACATCTGTGTCTGTCGGAGATTCTCCGATGATTTATAGCTCTCCATCTTTGTGCCAAACTTTGCTGTTGGACGACAAGCGCTGACCCAAGAACAGATTACATGTCCCACAGCCCCTACATCAAAGTGTCATCTGTTGTTCATATATAATCTTTCACAAATTTTCCTTGTAACTTATATATTTATAAATTTGTATTTATAACTCAAAAAAGTCTAAAAGAATGTCACTAATCTAATACCACACATAAGCCCCTATTAAAAATGTGGACAGTAATGGAAAGGAGAATATAGACAATATAAACATAACAAGATAAAATTGTCTGTGGAGCTCAACAGTCCCACCCACTTTGAAGTCCGCTCTGATTTGGAAGCAAAATTTCCATTCATTTTCCCCATAAACTTTTCAAAAAATTTACATACTAAGAGTTCAGACACATTGCAGATGCTAACCAGCAATGTGCAAACTAATATCCATAACGCAGTTGTTTTAAACCCAAGATTCTGAGAAATGTTTTAGTAACTTTGTGGTTTCAGAAACAGATTTTAAATAAAGTTACACGTCTTGGGCTCATTAGTCACCAGGTAGCTGAGTATGCCTGAGTAGGCTTTAAAACTTTTAATATTACTTTTTTTGACATGTCTCTTGTCCATCTCTTGTCATGTCATTGTCCACTTGTAGTTTTTCCTAAACTCGACAACTTACCGGGAGTCCTTGATCTCCAGGTGAACCAGAAGACCCCCCTGGGCCTGGAGCTCCGGGGGCTCCTGGGGGTCCCTAAAGGAGAAACAAAATATCTCCATTCATCAAAGTGTTTAAGTTTAAAATACAGGAAACCACTAAACCTAAAATAACACATGCTCTTACAGACGGTCCAGGAGGTCCTTGTCGCCCCTGTGGTCCAGTATTGCCGGGAAGACCCTAAAAGACAAACAGTAGAAGATAACCATCTTTGGTCTACATTTAACATTATCCTATAGCAAATAAAGTGATCATTACATTAACAGTGTGATAAGATATGCATCTCTCTTTTCATAAAGGTCACACAAAGCATACAGTTAGTACTAATACTTTGTTTTAAAGGCAAGAGAAAACTAAACAATTTACCATATGCCACAGGGTTAATGCATGCTACATCAAATGCAAGCTTACCATTAACTGTATATAATGATAATACATGCAAGTTTTAAGAGCCATATGTAGTTGTTTAATACATATTTAGGAATACAAGCTGTTGAGACACAACTTGGGCATGCATCCAATATTCAACAGTTTACTTACAAAAACAGTGAATGATATTGTAAATTGACAATAAATACATAATTACTAGCTTCTGAATACTACAGAATGGCCTAAAGACCCTGAAACGGATAAACGAGCAGGATTGGTCAGATTAGTACCATAAAAATACTCTCTAGAGATGATTTACTCACTGTGAGAAAGGAATGGCTTTGTCTGTCCAGAGAACAGATATCAGCTGTAACTAAATGATACTCAAAAAGTGACTCCAGCACTTTGAATGAGTAATCAAAGCCCCTTTATGTCTATAATTGCAGTTCAGTTGGCCACATAACACTAAATAATGACCATCAAATTAAAAATGATGGCAGAAAACAGCACTGTTGTGTTGGTGACTTCTAGCCAAATTATTCTCATCACAATTCACCACATCTTCTTTTCACCAGCTCATATTACATGAGCTGAAACCAAAACAGAGAAAGAAAATTGGATGGAATAGATCTCCAGCAATAGGACAAACAAAATAAAGATTTTAACCTTTCCAAAACCAAAGTGAATATTAAAGATGCACTATGGTTTCTCTGGTACATGATCAGTCACCTACTTGATGTTGTTTGTCTTTTATTACAGATGTTTTTATTACTGATCTGATCTGTAACTTAGCCTGATTTCAGATAAATACTGCTAGTTTAATGCCATACTATAGAACATTTTAGACTAATCACATCTCCACTAAGACAAGCAGGTGGCGGACCCTCCACCAGAAAAGTTACATAATGCACCTTTAAATATGATGTGAGAATGTTCAAAAACAAGCAGTTGAGTGTAAGGACACCTGTTCCAGTTGAACTGCAGATGGATTTTTCATCATAAACCAAGGCAGAACTGAACCTACCCGCACATGGCCCAGGCTCTGTCTCCGAGTCTGATTTGGTATTTAGTGCACAGTTGGGCATTATAAAATACAACCAGCTGCTCCACATATCTTCATGAATCGAGTCTAATTGGATGGCGTTTCAAAGTGATAATACGATTGAACATACAGTATACATAGGATGACCCCTTTAAATAATAGAAAACTTGGAAATGTGGACAAGGAAGGACAAATTCACATTCTACAGTTTACATCTCATACAGATCCACCATTCATTCACTTTTATAAACTGTCTATACATTACACTGAGCACCAACAGAAAAAGTGGGGCATTCTCTTAGGTGCAGGAAACCCAAAAGAGGAACAGAAGGTCACACTAAATGTCTAAATGCATTTTGGCTCTCTCCAACACTGTGCGACTGTAACTAATATTATGTTGTTAGTGTCATGTGAATTAGTGGAGATGCACAAAATTTTATCCACTTAATGTTTAGCAGGACAATGTTTCTTCTTCCATTTGTCTTACCCTTGGACCTGGGGGACCGTCTCGTCCAGGTGTTCCAGGACCTCCAGGGACACCCTACAACACACACAAGCAGGGGTAAAACCAGCAACATAGAACTCTGTAGCTGTAAAAGTGTCATTATTAACAGTGTAATTCCAGCTTTCTGCAATGTTTTGGCATCAATGCACGCACAATAAACATAAAATAAGTGCAGTCGAGTGTGACCCCTAATTCTTTTCTTTCACCACTCAAAGGTAAATGCAGTTGAATCCAAAGCAGAGTCATGGTTTAAGTGCTGAGGTAATTTATGGCTACACTTGAAAACTAGTGATTAGCTCATAAAACATGACAGAGAAAGCTGTTAAAGGTTCACAAATTATAAGAGTGGGCTGTAGTAGACGGCTGTATGAATTACAACATGCCGTAATGTGCATCTACATAAGGGTTTGGTGCTCCAGGATCTCCGTAGTAATATCTGGACTGCTTTAGTACCACACAGCCCACACAGATTTCAGTATAGTAAGAGTTATACATATTTGAAGGTAACTGTTTTTGATTACACACACACACATTTATTAAAGGTGTACTACGTAACATTTATGCTAGGGGTTTGCTACCTGTTTTTCTGATGGAGATAGTATAGCTTTGCCAGAGAGGTTCCTCTGTATTGACTTTTATTATGTATTTATTCAATAAAAATTAAGCCTCTGCACATATCTGACCTGTAATGTCTGGTGGTGTTACTTGCTTGTCTCCACTGAGATACATATATTTAATAAAAACATCACAAAAATCTTGCCAAAGCAATAACATCTCCATTGAGATAAGCAAATGGCAGATCTGCTACCAGAAAAGTTACGAAGTGTGCCTTTAATCTTCAAATTAGAAAAAGTTCTATACTAAAAGTCAATGAAGGGGCTTTACAATTAAAAATGTGTTTGTGTTGTCTTTGTGTAACCAAAAAGCTGATATTTTACTTTAGAGTATAAATAATCACACTGAGACAGTGACACAGCCACTGGGATTAAGACAGACATAAAACAAACACTTCAGTATTCATTAGAGCTGTATTCACAACATCACATTTGAACAGAGCCGCTAGAGCCCACATCACCAGGGTCCATTGTATTTACAGCAATGAAGACGAGAAAAGTGAGAGGGAGAGAGGGGGCAGAGCGGCAGGCCGAGCGAGGAGTAATTGATGTTTTAGAGCACTGATATTCTCTGTGGTCTGCCATATATTACAACAGGACCCTGGAAGCTACAATATTCTCCCTTCGAGCCTCCTATTGAAAACACACACAGGCAGCCATTCATATTCCTCTATCTGACCAAACACATTATTACTCAGTAACAGAGCAGCACAGGGCAGCTCTGCCAGCTTTTATTAATAGGGCCATGCAGCACCAAGACCCAGAAAGGACTGCATTGGTGTTGTGGCAGTTTGCTTTGGGCTGGTTCAGTGATGTGACATTTTGTACTTGTGGGAATACAAGTTGCTATTCTCTGAGACAGTTTAAAGATTGTTTGATAATTGAAACCAATTTTAAGAAATGAATAAGATAATCACAAATGGTCTTTTTTGTGACACATTTGAATAGTGTATGGATAGTAAAAAAAAGACAAAAGCAAATCAGATTTTTAAAGATAATCAATTTAATAGTAGATTTATGTGTGGATGGAGGCAGCAGGGGGCTCAGAGCACATTGTTGTTGTGTCACATTATACCCACCTTGCTGAGTATAATGTGGTGTGTATGTGAGTGGTGCTAATCAAAAGGTGCAGATCGGTAGTCTCACTTCTGTCAGTCTGCCTCAGGACAGCTATGGCTACAGTCTTGGCTTACTCCCACAGAGTAAAAAATTAATACAATGAATGCAACTTTTACCATCCTGAAAAGTGCTATACAAGACTAATGCATTATCATAATACTGGATAGTACAAAACTAATCTGCTGGAGCTTTAAATCCTAGTTTGTTGTTTTACTATAAAATGCATTACCTATAGTATCTATCTGCCAAACACAATACACACTGAAAGGACCACTGAGATATACACAAGGCACTTATGAAATCCCATAGTGACTCCTAAAGATTATATCTCCCAGTGTAGAGATTATAAAGGTGGCATTTCAGTTTTCTTGTAGCTCATAAACCTGATAAAAACCCTGGTATTTGCTGGACAGAGCCGCACTATCGCTGCAGCAGACGGAGAGGCAGATACTGCACTGCGATCTGCTGGGACCCACTGTGTATAACGAGCCAAAGGAGCATTTAAAAACATGTCACTTTTGTATTTCAGATTAGATAATTCAATAATATGTGATAAGTTAATTACAAATGTATTAGTTCATAATTTGTTGCAAGTCAATCAGCCAAGACTGCAAAAATATAATTAACTAACTTGATATTGCATTAATTATTCAGTGGAAGCAAAACTCAATGACATATGAAAGACAAACTCGCTCTGGGACACAGTCACATTTACAGATGATGATGACCAGAGCTCCCTGAAGCAAACTATTAAATTAATTCAGCACTACCTCTAATTGGTCCACTGCCCAATAACAGCGGCACAAGTAATGACCGCACACACATTTCAGTGATTGCATTATACCTCTCTGGATGTGTGCTGAAAATAAAACAGGCAATCTGCTCCAACTTCAACTGATGTGTGAACTTCGACTGGGCACTTAAACTTAAAGACACTAAACACTCTCTCACCATTGATCCGGCTGGTCCAACCTCACCGACATCTCCTTTCTGACCAATTGGCCCCTGTAATATAATTTTAAAAACAACAATATATGTCATTTGGATATGCTCAAAATAAAGTTAAGAAATAGAATAACACTTTAAGGGAAATATCATTAATCACTGGTCATATCTTACCGGAGGGCCCTGAATAGTGAGTCCACTGGGTCCTTGCGGGCCAGGGGGTCCGGAGGGTCCTGGAGGTCCACTCTCTCCTACAGGTCCCTGTGGTCCCTGAAAAAGTAAGCAGTTTATAAACAACAGATACATCCAAAATAATTTGCTTTCAAAATTATATGGACCACAAAACATTGTAGACATTCAGTGCTCAACCAGTGGGTTTTTTGGGACAAATGGCACAGGTTATTCTTATTTGAATATCTAACATAGTAAAAACGTTGCCTCTATTTAATTCATGATAAGTCCATATAAGGACAATTTTGTATATAGGGTCCGGTCAAGCGGTAATGGAGGGAAACAGGGGCAGATTTTTTACATTCAAATAGCTCTTATTCAGAAACTAGAGGGAATATTGAAATAAGTAAGGTATTAGAATGTAGGAAAGAGTTAACACTCCAACAGGGTAAAGTTAAAGCTGCGATATTCTTTCAAGTTGTTGACAAAAAATTTAAAAACTCATGTCGGTAATGGAGGGACAGCGATAACTACCGGTTCTCACTTACATATCCTTAACAAACTGGTTTGAATATTTGCTTAATATAATTTTCTACCATATGGTACAAGATTAGGTTGAAAAACCTCTTACTTTTTGAGTAATGAGATTTTTTATTAAGAAAGGTCATGGTAACGGAGGGAAAAGTAACGGAGGGAAAATTGTGCAAGCAAGTAGAAGGTGCATGATTTTGCATAATTTGTCGCTTTTTTCTTCCGAATACTTTAATATTACTTCAAAATGAAAGGAAACTATTTCTATAAAATATGTCAGTCCTTCCAAGCTAATTGTTATCATTTTCAATACTTTTTTTTTTTTTTTTAAATCATGTACCTTCATCAACAATTCAAAGATGGAATAACACAAGATATGATGAAATATATAAATTTATTTACATGATTTGCAGGTCTTTGAAATTTGGGAAATAATTTTTGTTCCATGTTTCATACATGGTCTGTTTAAAACGTATGTAACTTTAGAACCAAAAATGATACAGAAAAAAGGCAAACAGTTTCATAAACTAGGGTACATATGCTATCTGTTGAATACATTTTTATATCAGATGCATTCACTTGAATTTTTGGCCTTGCTGTGTACTTCTGCTTGACTCGGGCCCATATGATAATTCAAGAAGGAATTTAGTATTAATTTATATATTAGTGTCAGTATTGTTATTCCAGTGACCATCTTGTTGACAGGCTAAGGAGGGACTACCATAGCTCTTCTACTGAATAGAGTACTTCTTCTCAGCAGCAGCTCTCCCACACACTGCTGTGACAAACCCAGATTACAATTACCACAACATGTAGTACACTCATAGTCTTTCAACAGCAAACAGCTTTGATAATAGACTCTAAAAACATGTGTCCATCTGTCCATTATTATTACTTCATCTACTGTAAACCTGCTTTGCTCCTGAACTGAGCTTTTGTATATTGTTAGCTCAGCAGCAGTACTTGCCAGAGGAATACTTATTTGACTCAATGTTTATTGCTTTACTGTCTACCCATGCAATTACTGGCTTTGAGGCAAGGATTATCTGTGAAAACAATTGAAACAGCGTGAACAGGACACTATCAAAGCAGGAATAAAAATATACAAAACCTCCCACAAAAATATAGGAGGACAAATCATCCATGATGGCTGGATGAACAAAGGAGTCTTCCCATATGTATTAATGTGCCAGTTCAAATAAGTAATAGCCTCAAATGGATTAGTGAATGTATAAGGCTGAATTGATGCATAAGCTGCTCCCATGTGAGGAGGTAATCCAACTATTCTTTCAGAACTGACTGGGGGGAAGTGCTGAGCTCACACCACTAACATAAAGCAGGATTTCATATATAGACGTGTCACTTACATGTGTGCCAGCAAGACAGAAAATCAAACTCTCTCCACAAAAACAAAACTGTCCTTCCAATATAACACACATGTTCCTTATTTTACACTTGGTACTACATTGTCAAATATTTAAGAAGTAAGCTGTTTTTACTTGTGGTTGGCCAACTATGCATTTTGCACTGAATGCACTGTCATTCCTAGTCAAAAGACATGTGTTAGACATAAACTTCACATTGAGTGGCAGCTTTGCATATTTTCATTTTCTTAAAATTATAATAAATATTTCGGGCAGTTTTGATTACTGTAGAGCATTGTTCGATTAATATGGTGCCCAAATTTTTCATACAACTTGATCACAATCCATATTTAATATTTTATTAAGGACAATCCGTGAAAAAATATTAAATGCATCCTCTCAAGAACCTTTATTATATATACTTTAAGATGTGACTAAAGACATTCTGAAAGTTGCCACCACATTGTGATTGGTTAAATCCACCTGTCACTCAGCGGCAGACCAAGAGGAGGAGTGGGTGAGTATTTGAGCACTAAAACACTGAATCAAGTCAAGTCAAACATATTAACACAGGGATGAGATCACAATTTCATTTTTATTGCCCTGTTCGTGGCTTTCAGTATCTTGTTTACAGGCAACATTTTGAGGACTTTTCATTATAATATTGCTATGACAACAGCCCTGATTTTTTTCATTATTCAGAAACCAAAAGTTTCCTTGTCCAAAAATAATCAACTAACTATAGACTACAGGAGCTTGGATATTGTCCATTTCCTTTGGCTTAGGGCTGCTCTATTGTTGATATGAAAGATGGAGTGGGCTGCAGATGAAACAGCTTGGGGGGAAAACAGATATCTGCTTTGTTGTGACTTATGGACAATAGACGTGCAGAAGAGATACTTTGTAAAATGAGCAGATCAAAACATTTGGAACTTACCGTCACTCCTGGCTCTCCTCTGTCTCCCCTGGCTCCTCTAATGCCAGGACCACCCTGAAAAATCCACCAAAACCCACTAAGTTTACACAAAAAGACATACAATGTCACTCCAGTTACCAGAACTGTTAATAAACAAGAAAAGATGTCAATGAGGGTTTCAAGATATATCGTGTCTAAAATCAGCACATTGCAAGAACTGCAACTGAATGTGCACACAACAAAACATCTAATATATAACTTGCTAACCCTATGGTTTAGACCTCCAATTTTCAAATAGGCATTCAATTCTTATATTATTTTAGTAAATCATATTTCACTTTTCTCTTAAATGTTAATGTCCTTAGACAGAATTTTATTTAATTATACAATCACATCTTCTATTCGTGTGTTTCAGCTTCCTGTAACATACACCATTTTGATGACTTTTGCCAACAGAAAAGATATATATTCACATCATCACTGTGGCATTGGTCCTAGATTCTCATTACCGGTATTCTGAAATCTATGGTTTCTAATTGCAATGGTTGTCAAAACAAAAAAAACTTGCATTAAATTTAGACAAAGCTGTTCAACACCAATGCCAACACTCACCTGCCTAACATTTTGAACTCTACACTGTGAAACTTACAAATGATACAAAATATAGTTTTAAGTAATACCAGCAGAAAACTGACCTCTTGAAGGTTTGAACAAGAAGAAGCCCTACACATCTGTTAAAAATTGGCCCCAGATGTGCTCTTCCTGTGTTTTCATATATCTGAGTCCCTGAACATAACAGTGATCTCTACATTACCATATTCAGCTTCAGGGGACAAGGCTTAAGCTCAAAACATGGGAAAATGTGAGAAGAAACAAATAGGAAGGGATTGTAAAAGAACTAACTTGTCAGACCAGTAAAAATATGTACACGGACATGATCAGATCAGATTTTCCTGCTGATTACATGGTATTTTGTCATGAAATATCTAAAAGGTAAATGTTGAACTTGATAATTGCTATTAATGACTAAACCGAAGAACTCACTGTATTACAAATCTGCATTTTAATAATAATAATTTTACTTGCCCCCATATGTATTAAATGTTATTGGCCTATAGAATGTTGAGCTGTCACATGTAACCTCGCAATACTACCACAATAGACCCGAATGCCTGCCTTTATACATAATTTACATAATGCATTGCAGATACATTATGTGGCCATGCATACAAAACAGTGTGCATGGCTAAATGAATGAACAGTGATTATTGATGGTTTAATTGACTGGTACAAAGGGGCGGTACCTGAGAAGTAATCTGTACTATATAGATATTTCAGTTTAAGAAAAGTCAATAGGGGAGAGAATGTCTTGTTTTCACAGACTGATGCTCTGTACTCAGTGGCAGCAGAGATTGCAATTCAGCAGGATCAGTAATATCATTCAAACAAGTTCAACCACATTAAAATAACATCTAAGAACAACGCAGTGCATTGTAAGCACAAAGCTGCACTTTCAGATCTTTAACAATTAGAACTTCAATGCTTCAGTGACTCTTTGTTTTCATGTCTTCATATATGCGGTAAATGTTTGCATAACTATTTATTTTACAATGTTTTACTGTTACTGAGAAAAGTAATACAATTTCAAAGTGCAGATTAAAAACCAGAACAAAAACTGGGAATAATTTTGTACCAATTATGTGTAAAACTGCAGTATAATTACTTTTCCAACAGCACTTTTGTTGATCCACATCCCTATCTCGCTCTAGACAACAACAATGAGGAGGCGGACAGAGAAAGCCTATAAATGAAGAGGGCAGAGAGAAACCCAAATGGAAAAGTGAGAGATAGTGAGAAACAGAACAGACAAAACTGACACAAGTCTCAGTGGGTAAATGAGCTCATTTAGTTGGTTTCTTCTGTCAGCCTCTATCAGCTTTTACCTGCTGCGTGACGAGAATATGGCAGTGTCTCCTCTGTAGCTGCACTAACGCTGGCTCTGCTATAATGGTGTCAGTGGAGCCCGGACACAGCACTAATGTGCCCTTCAATATGTCTATAACCCATTATGCTTATATCTATGAAGAGTATCATTCATCCAGACAGCTCATTTCCTCAAGATATTGTGGAGATATTTTATTCTACTTTAAATTATAATTTGCCCCGATTGTATATTGTAAGGTAGTACAGTAATATTGTGGTAATAGAAGTGTAATTATGATCATTACAGTGTAATTATGGAAACAGAACACATCACACCATTATGTTCTCTTTCATGGTAATATAATTAATCCTCATAACCCACAGTATGAAGTATGTGGAAATAGACACACCATTTTATTTTTGTTATCCTACTTACCATGCTATTTCTATCAAATTACCATTGTATTATTGTCTATACTATACTACTATAAAGTAAAGTCCGACAACTACATTTTCTAGACTAGAGTAGAACTGCATGAATATCCAATTGCAATGTCTACTTGGGACACCTATAGATTTAATCACAAAATGGCCATAGAGAGGATACTCACAGGTGGTCCAGTGGGCCCTGGGGGTCCTTTACTGTCCTGAGAGCAGGTGCAGGCATGAGGCATTGCGGGGCACTCCTCTTCAACTCTCTAGAAAAATGCACAAGATAAACAAAAATGTGATGCACACATTTAGTCCAACACTTGTATCAGCAAAAGGATCATAATAAAGCAACTTACTCCATAATATTCACAGCTAGTACATTAAAGGTGTAATATGTAACTTTTCTGATGAAGTTAAAAAGTTTTTTTTTTTTATGTCCATGATAAAAGTCTTAAAATGGCAGTTAGTGAATGTAATAATGTCATTGCATAAAAGGGGGAAAGAATTGTTCATACCAAAGCTGGCAGTTCACAGCACTTATCTCTGCTGGCCCAGGACGTGCTGCAGATGATGTCAAACATTTGGAGCTGAAACTGCAAACACACACACAAACCAATTACATTAAAACCACAACTCTGCAACATATCAGAAATGTGTGGCTAAAATTGAACAGAAATGAAATATCAACTGTAGCCTTCAGAGGCTTTGTTTTGCTCCACAGTTGATAAGAAAGAGAGCTGCTTCTTATGAGTTCTAATGAGGGGCTGAAATATTCAGGGAGAAAGGCAGCAGCAGTCGAATGATAGCTAATAAACAGTGTCCTGGAGGCTGCGCTATAATGGGCTCCACACCAGACTTTAAATTAGGTCAATGCCAAACAAGTGCTTCACTGTTACTTTGATACATCTGTTTCTGACCACCATCACAGAGAATGAGTCTAACAACATACTAATATTTTGTCTGCAGCTGCAAGACAGGAATTTTATCAAAATTGCAATTAGTATGGGTGTCATTATCACCCATACCAAATGTAAAGATATGCATTCTTGTATTAGTTTATCAGTTGCTATTTCAGTCTTGAAAAATGTTTAAACTGCAAATTTAACTTAATCCTATACTTCGAAAACATAATTCTGAAATCTAATTGCATTGCTGGATTCATCACAATAAGGTATATTTTAGAAAATTGTTCAGCCCTAAATTTGGTTAATTAAATTTTATTATCAAAATAAAAATTGTACATTCATATTTTGTATAAGAAATGGCTAATAGTGAACCCTCTACATTTGAATATTTGTGTCCAAAAGGACAAAAGCTTCTCCGCCTGAGAGAAGTTTACTCTCGAATTATTGTCCTGATATCACATTGCCCCAGGGAGCTCAGACATTAAAGAGCTGGGTACTCTAAGAAAAACTGGACCTAATTAGACCTAAGAGTCCTGTTGGGATTGGTTTGGGATTTTGACCCAATTAACACAAAATACATTAAAATAAATAGGACAAACAATGTAAAAGCTTTTTTTTTCTTCTTGCAAACCATATTTACTATTTCAAATTACAGTAGCAACACAAAAACATTCAAATTAAGTAAAAAATGCAATGTTTTATGCTGTTAATGCATTTTCATTTCAAACAAATTACAGTTCTTTCAGCATATAAATTTAGAGTAGGACACCTCACCTGCTCCCAGCCCGTGCATGCCAAAATGAGCTGAGAGTGTGACATAATTGGTGGAGCAGAGCTACTAAAGTATCTTAAGCACTTTCCACTTGCAATAAATAAAAAGACCTTCCTCCCAGTGACTCGCTAAATGGTTTGGGGTATTTATAGCCGCTATTTCACATGTAATAATAGTTCACATACACAACCCATGCAGAAAGTGATCATAACAATTGGTTATAATCTGTTAATCTCTACTGTTAATTATCTCCACTGAATGTATTGTTTCACCATGGTTTAAACAGATAGCACCAGCCAATCATATTTATTCTTAAAGGTCCTGTGCCCAATTTTGTACCATGAGCAGTAATGAACACATTTTACTCTAAGCTGTTAGCTACACCCACTCAGTCCATTACAGGTACAGGACCTTTAGCAGAATACAAAAACTACTTATCATAAGTAGTATAAGCAGCAATATATAAAAACACTATCAGAAGAAAAGTAGTAGTAGAATAATAGTACTACTACTAATAATAATAATGCATTAATCTTACATAGTACTTTTCTAGACACTCAAAGTCGCTTTACAATGTGGTGCATTATTCATTCATTCCACACCCGGTGATAGTAAACTACTGTTGTAGCCACATCTGCCCTGAGGCAGACTAACAGAAGCAAGGTTATTAATCTGCGCTATCGGTCCCTCCCACCACCACCAACACTCACATTCACACCACTTTCGTACTAGGTAATGTGGGTGACATATCTTGCCTAAGGACATAAAAACAGCTTTCTGCCACTGGCGCTCACTGTGGCACCTGACTTTCCCAACAATCTCCCATTCAAGTATTAACCAGGCCCAGCCCTGCTGAGCTTGTGAGGTCTGATGAGATCAGACTTTCACGAGGAGATTTAACCATTTAGTTAGTATATAATGAAATGTAGAAGTAGACATTCAAACATCTACATCTTAAATATTATCGCACAAAAACTAAGAAAATACTGGAAAAATGCAACAAAAAGTTCCCCTCTTCTGCACGGAAATGTAAAAACACTAAATATTGTGCCCTCCAAAATATTTTTCAATCCGTCATTTCATTGAATTATAGATCAATACAGCAATTATCATGACAGCCTTATATAATAAAATAGATGCTGACTTGATAATAAAGTTGATACTGACCGGAGCAGAGCTGTCCCGTCTTCCTCGAGATCTGACCAAACGTCCCAGGACCTCAGCTCCATCTGTGGTGATGTTACCCGCTGCATTAACTGGTTTCTCACCAATCAGTGAACAATCAAGGACTACCTTTACAGAGGTCTTGCTCACAGTAACATGGAGCTGTAAGAGAGAACATGAGATGAATCTGATAAAAAATAAAAATATACCTTAAGCTTGACACCCATCAAAATATAAACACATGAAATCATATTCCCAATCATAGTTAAATGTAAAACCCAACAGCATAATTTTAAAAAAGAAAAAAAAATTGTCCAGAAAGCATTCAAAGACATTTATCCTTATCTGACCTATAACTTGGCCTAAAGGTGGGTTCATCGCCTCCTTGACCATAGAGATATTATTGCTTGCTGGTGGCTGATATGAGTATTTTATTTTATTTTTATCACATTACTGGTAGATAGAGACATGCACATTGTGACTGTGTGCTGGGTCCAAAAACAAAAAGTGCAGTTCTTTGAAGCTCCTAAATTTTTTATTTCAATCAAAAATTTGGGAGCTTCAAAGAACTGCAGCATAGTTCTCTTTTTTCTTTCACATTATTTTTATCACAACTCATGAACCCTCAATTTGTTTAATCTTTCTCTTGAGAAAATAATACTGATACCACTGCCCTGCATCATAAAATGCTGGTGACGAGAAAATTGAGCATTCATAACGCTGGGTTTTATTGCCTTGTGTTTTAATATCCAAAATAAGAATAAAGTTGAGCGACAAAGCTAAAATTTTATTGTTCCTCAAGAAAGCACATATAATAACAATGGCACAGTATGCGCTACTACACCTGCACAAATATTAGCTATGAACTTCAGTAAAAAGTCCTTCTATTTTGTACAGAACCCTATGGTAAGTGCTGCACCTGCTCTGTCCCCAGTGCAAAAGCTCCTAGTGCTATAAAAAGACATTCCACCTGCTTCAGAAACATTGATTTGAATTTGTTTTTGTTGTAGCCTCTTTCTAAAAAGGCTGGCATTCAATTTCAAGGACCTGTTAAAAGCATAGAAAATAAAATAAGTATGAAAAAATAAATTTTAAATCTCAAAAAATTTGTACAAACACAACTAAGATCACACATTAAACCACCAAATTTATCCATGTCATGTATTCCTACATAACAGATCATTTCATTTTTCTGTATCCAAATATTTTTCTTATCATCCCTCAGTCATAAAACAAATTACACTTTATGTTCTGGACCAATGACAGTGTTGTAGTATCTTTGTTGTGATGTGTTTGAGGTATATTCTCACAACAGTGGAAAAAACACGACAGTTGTGGCAACAAGTGAGCTATCTGCCTCATGTTATCTGCAAAAGGAAATGTCAAAACAAAGCAAATGACAAAGGCCTATGGAATTATTCATGTTTTTGTGCATTAGAGAATAATCTCAAATGGACATTTTAGACAGCTCTATTCATCACAGACTTTGACATGTCAGATAACAGCTCTCTTGTCTTTGTGTACAAAGCAGGACAGTATAGGGAGGGCAAAGGAGGACACCAGAAACTGTAAAGCAAACATAATATATGAGGAGTTTGATAAATCACCAACTGGGGTGAAGACTACACAAACAAAGCAAAGATTTCATGGCGAATCTGGAAAACTGGCACTCTCTCTGCTCACACTTGGATTGTTATGGCACTTTTTAAACACGCTTTGTGAGGTGATGTGGGTTCAAATACACAAAGCTATCAGCGTTTCTGCCGACTCTGCAGTTTCTGCCTGATGTTAGAATGGAGTGCATTTACATTTGCATTACTGAAAGAATTCATTGCATGTACTGGGTGACTTTGTCTCTCATGCATTGCCATGCTTGGGGCATTTCAGATTTATAGAAATTACTTAATTTAAATTACTTTATTTTAAATAATTGTTCAAAAATTGCAATAAACAGTCCACAGTGCATTCTATAATCCTAGTACAAAGTGAGCCATTTTAACACAATTTAATGTCAGAGTAACAGTATGCCTGGCCAGGACTCACATTAGAAGTTCAACTCCTAGGTGACATGGGGCTACTCTGTCAGAAGTTTGCATGTTTCTCCCCATGTGAGTGTTTCCCCATGAACATAAAACCTGTGAAATAGGTCAAATCCTCCAGCTGAGGTGGTCCTGGCCAAACCTAGCTCAACATCTGGAGAGGGGTCCCAGCTGCAATGCAGCAATGTCTACACTGAAGGATGAGTCAAATGCAGTGACAATAAAGTGTACCTTAAACTAAAAATAACGGACTTGGCAGTATCTATATATATCAAAAATATGTGAAAGATGGTTTAAAACTCATTAGATTCAATTCATTACACATTTGAGTTTCCTCAAAAAGTACAAAAGGAGCCCAAATACTGTCCTAAAAACAATACTGTAGTATATACATTATTACTGTACATATATACATCATCCTGTGTATCTTGCCCAGAAGTGCTCTGTGTACTTTGTTTAAGGGTATCCAATAATTATATCCCTGTTGATGATTCTGTTATGTTTCAAAACAAAGTTCCTTCTCCTCCTCTCCACCTTCACCTGTGGCTGCCGCTTGAATGTGCTTCGCTGAACACTGCATTCGGCTCTCATGAGATGTTTTCATATGGAAATCTTTGCACAACAAATAGAGCCACAAAACACTTTACAGTTGTCATCTCATCTAAATAGAGATGCACACTTCCTGAGGCCGGCCAGCCACGTCTCTCTCAACATTGTTATAAAATGGACAAAACAACAGACAAAAACACTAGAGATGATGGACAGCGCAGAGAAGTTTTATGACATTGAGAAAATTAAATTGCGTTTGGGAAATCATTGCCACATTTGGATTTAAATTGAAAGCAAACAAGCAAGATCTCTTTACACGTCTTAAGCAGATGACAACTTTTTACAGCCAAATAACCTTCTAAGCATAAAATAATAATAAAAAAAAAAAAAAGCTAAGAGGTGCAGATTTTAATAGTTTGTAACCTTCCTCTAAATTCAATAAAACCAACAAACCTTTTGCAGTATTAAAGAAATGTGAAGATAAATATACAGCCAGCATAGTTCGTTCATGAAAGATTGATCAGTGGTAAATTAATAAACTCACCTTATGAAAACTTCCATGAAAGATTCTTTTTATTTCAACTCCCTCAAATGTGACCGTCTGGAAGTCCCCTTTGTAGTCATGGTTGAAGAAAGTCAATGTTTTTCCTGCATCTGGGCACAAAAAAAAAATACAATTATGAGAAGCAAAAAACGTTTGAGCAGAAGTTTGAAAACAGACATAATAGCAACACAATGAAATGTCCATGACTTTTATTGTAATAATAAATAGTAATGCTTTGGACTTAAAAAGCGTCTCTCAAGGCATCCAGAGCACTTTACAATGTATTATTCATTCATTCCTCACTTGGTGGTGGTTAGCTACAATCTTGTCCTGGGGCAGACTGATGGAAGAAAGGTTGCTAATATGTTCAATCAGCCCCTGAGCACCACCAGTCACTCATATACCACTTTCACGCTAGGCAAGGTGGGTGATGTGTCTTGCCTAAGGACACAACAATAGAATCTAACCACTGTGCCAATGTCACCCAAAAATAAAATTTTCTGTCAAACTTGTTATTAATAAAGAGAACTAGAACTACAGCATTGTGTTTTTATTGATAGACAGAATATAACTAAACTCACTGTCAAGAATGACTCCAACCAACGGGTCATTGTTTTTGTTCAGAATTTCCCATAATGCAAATGGCTCATGTGGGGTCTCAGGCAGCAGTCGGAGCATCATAGAAATGGTGTAGTCAGAGGGCAGTCCTTCAGGGTGGAGGTACCTCGTGTACGACAAACAAAAGTGATGAGACATGTAACAAGTCCTTTAGAGATTTTCAAAGTATTTGTGACACATATGGAGCACTAAAATTACAAATGCCTTTCATGGCCCTTTCTTGCTTAACACCTTTGTGCACTTTGGCATCTTCTTTAACTTTTAAGGTGCTTGTCAGAGCCTGAAGAATTACAGTACAAAGCAGTTAAAACTAAAACATCACACAGGTTCAATACTGTTTATTTATGAGATTATTTTTCGTATCAATACCTGCTCCAACGGCAGCTAGTTTCAATACCAATTTTTGTATCAGTTAGTATCTTTTATATTTCTACGTCAGTAACATTTTATTTCTTTTTATTTCCATCTGATAAACGATTCTGAATGTGCCCTACTGTAAGCTAATGTAATTGCAGCTATTTTGTTCATATCAGCTGAAGCATCCAGTGTTACTCACTTGGTTGGTTGGGACACCAGTGCGTCTCTGTGTAAGCGGTAACAAGGAAAGCTGTTGAATGATCCCGGCTCCAAAGAAACACCAGGAATAGTGCTGTACTCTTTCTCCACTAAACTGAACTTCTCCATCATACGGAAACCTCCATAGAAAATGAACAGAATTTCTTTAATAAAAGTGTCTTACGAGAAAAGACAGACATATGAGGCTTTGAACAACCTCTGTAGCTAACTCTTTGTTCTTGGTGCACCTTACCTGCCAACGTGTTACCACTCATCAAAACTGATGGACAGGCTGAAAAGTAGAAGGAAGTTTTTTGTTCATGATGTAAATTACCTTTTAGTACATTCACTCTTCTTTCATATAAGAAGTTTTTTTCTACTTGAAGTCCTTTTATTCCATCTGTCTCTTTGAAAATGTCAGGTTACTTACTGGCAGTAGCAGCTTCACAGACGAATGTTATAAGCTGTTCTTCTATTTTCTTCACAGCGTCCAAATCATCAACAAAGAAGACATGTCTATCACTGGGTTTACTGGCGATATTCACCAATTCGCCGTAGTCAGCATCCGCAAAGCCAATGGCAAAGATAATATATCCTGAAAGTTTTTAAGAAATATTGTGAAAACCAAGCAAAAGAAGAATGTTTTAAGATGAGCTGGTAATAGGACAGGTGGGAGATATATTGTGAAAGTGTATTGTAAAGTGTAAATATTGTAATTGTTGTACTGGAGATGCAAAATTAAAATATCATCTATAAATAAAACTGACCACAAAAAGAGACAGTGTAATCTTTCAAGCAAGGATACAGAGTCATATTTCTGCAGTTTTTTTCAATTTCATGGCCCATTTAAGTTTTGTGGAATATTTGAACCAAGGCATTTATAGGCAGATGTTAGCACATTCTTGGTCCACTGTTATCAAAATAATGAAAAAACTTCAAACTATAATTAAATTAATGATAGATGATCAACATTGTTGTGCTCATATTTATTCATAGCTCTAGTGTGGAACTTTCTCCTTTTTATTAGTTTGCTTACATTTGAGCAGTAGCGGGTCGTATAATTAACATAATGATGCCTTATTTTAGACTAACTTATGTGTTTTCAAATGCTATATTCATTGCATTTCATGTTTATTTGAAGTGTGGTTCAGTCAGAAAGCTTTTACTGGGATTATCCTGCTTTGAACTTATATTGTGTCAGTGGCATAAAGTGGCCTTCATTATTATCTTTTATCATGTTATTTTCTGCAGCAATTTATAGCACTAAAGTGTGTTATAGTGACAGGGCTAGCAGGTAAAACAATACACACATACTGCCTACCCTCCATCTGCATCTCTTTTGACACTTTGTTGACATCATCCTGGGAGCGTCCATCTGTGAGAACCACTAAAACCTTAGGAACGCCCTTTCTGGCCCCAGCCTCTGTGGTAAAGATCGACTCTTTGACATGTTTGATGGCTCGACCTAGAAAAGACAGGTATTTGTACATTGTACTCAGAATATTACCTGTCAGTTGAAAAAGTTTACCAATTACAATGTTTATTTTAATATAAATTCTTGAATTTCTAAATAGTAATAATTTTATCTCCACCTAGTATTTTGAGTAGGCTTTATTTTAGAAAATCTTCAAAACATAAATAATCAGTTGACAATTCATGGGTTGCCAGTGACTTTACCTAAATACTCTAATACTAATACTAATACTCTAATACTAAGCTATATGGACACGGCATGGCTCATTCTTTGTTAACTCTTAACTACTAGAAGCTACACCCTCAATAATGAACCATAAACTGCAAATGCTTGGGTTTTGGTAGTGAGCATTAAGGTCAGGGAGACTCCTTTTAGGTTAAGTTCCAACTGGTTTTAGTCATAGTATCTGGCAACCCAATATAACTGGCACCATCATTCGACAAAACCAATATTGCCTCTCTTTTAACAACGTTACAACCAGACACAAGTCTGATGAAGCTGAGGGCTATAGAGTATCACACAATATTAGTTTCAATATCAAATGCAGTAATCTACAATTCTGCTGCATAGACACACACGTGCGCGCACACACACACACGCAAGCACACGCATGCATATGCACACACACACACACACACACACGCACACACACACACACACACGCACTGTGAGTTTACAATTATTCATGGTTATTGGCAAAAAAGGAAACATTGTTAATGTAAAGGGTATTTATTATTTAGGCTATGTTTTTTCATAATAAAAAATATGGACATAAGTTTAGCCTGACGGGCCTAAAGACAGAGGGTCCAGACTGCAGCACCGCATTTCCCACGCCTATAGTTATAAGAGATACCATACAAAATACCAAAACATAAGTCATTTGAAAACTACTAATAACATATTAATGTAATCTTATTAAATATTAATACATCTATATGCCCATAATTATGACATGGACTTGGTGAACTATAGTCCAGTCAAGGCCCCATTAGCATTTAAATATGTCAGACAATGTGTAATGCGTTTCAATTAGATGTAACCACCGATGCGAGGAAAAGTTCACATGCAAATCTTAAAAAGGAGATAAACGTCATATGGTGTGCAGTTCCACATCTCCTCCTAATGACTTCATCACTCAATAAAACATGTCTAGACAGCAAGAACAGGATTAACATACAAAAGTAAAAGAATACACTTTTGTTGTGTCAAAAATGTGTGGTGTGGTGTCCCAACTTTTCAAAAGGTGTCACCCTGTTCTTCAGGGGTAGTAGGTTTAACATGCAGTTGTAATTATGATCAACGGCGCTATTCTTTTTACACTAATTCACCATAGTTATTATAGTTATATAACTATACAGTATGTTCAGTGCCACATCTACTAAACCTTTTGTACTATATCTATACACAAACCGCAAATGATCCTTTAACATTACGCTATTTCCTTTCCTTTGAAAATTACCCAGGCAATGACTATGATTAAACCACACAAATATCTGTCAGTCTTTCTTTCCATAGGTCACTGTAAAGGTAATGTTGAGCGAGAGATTTTTACTGATGAAGTGTATTCTCCAACAGCTTGTTTCTTGCTTATTGGCTCATTGGCGATGTCCACATGAACACCCAAAGTGTGACCTTTGTCAGATTTCTGGAGTTTTGAAAGATTTTTGAAATGCCATATGGACATTTACATCTGATATGAGTAATCTGATTTCTTTCTGATTGTTCACACCTTGCTGGTTTTGATAGGGAAAACTATACAAAAATATACAAAAAAACAAACAAAAACAAAACAAACAACCTAAAGTAATTTCAAAATCCATCCGAATACAAACATTAACTATGAAAATCTAATGATTGACATACCCAGTGTTTTTGATGATTACATTCTGATCTAATTCTGAATATTGTAGTTATCTGATTTTGCTGGCCATGTAAATGTATCCAGTCTTGTCTTGTACTCTACATATTCTATACTGTCATGTGATGGTGCAGGTCGAGCCAACAGGCAGTCAGGCATGAGGCCGAGATGAGCGAGCGTTGAGTGGGAGGCGCAGAGGAGCAGGAGGGCAATGGGAGGTAGAGCTCTTAATCTGAATATGCACAAATATGACATACAGAAATGTACAGAAAACTACAAAAAGATACAAGCCAAAGAGCTCTAACTAAACTATAACTAATAATGTGTAGAGTCAGCAATCCAGTATCTTAATGCGCTATGAAATTTGGAATTTTATTTTATTTTGTAATGAATGCTCTGCCTGGTGCAATAATTTTTATCAAGCCAGACAAGAAAAGGAAACAAACAAGATGGGGACCCTTAAGTTGCCAATTGTTGCTTATAATTATTATAATTATAATTACAATAATTGTCCAAAATTTATTACATTTGTTTAAAAAAAATGTCAGTTGAATAGATGTTATGAGGTTGAAATTGTACAACAGCAGCCAAGCCCAACACTCACAATACAATAATCCAGTATGCTGCAAAATGGAGAAAGTAAAACAGAAAATCTATTCATCACAAACTTGATCATCCGTATCCACATCGAGCATCAAAGCAAAGCAAAGATTAGCCAAAATATCTCAAGGGTAAAACTCCACAATCCTGGTGTACACACACATACACACACACACTCACAGTGAAGACAACACTAAATCAATCACTCCCTAAGCAGGTCAAAGGCCCTCTAATACCTTAATGAATAAATGCATAATAAAAAGGCAAATCCCGGTATGTCAACATCAGCACCTTGTACCTCCCAAATGCATCAAGAAAAAGTCACAAAATTAATCTATTGAGCCTGCATCATCTTGAGAGAACAGAAGCTAAGAGGAATACACAAATATACAGTAGTAGGTGTTGTAAAACCCCAACTACAAGAGGGAATTTTGCATTTTTTTGTGCAAGTCTCAAGGCCAGATATGTGGAAAGGGCAGTGTCAGGAACATAATATGCAACCCATAACAAGAGCAAATAATGAGATAGTCAAACCCAGATTAGATTAGGTAAATAAAGGTACACTGTCATCTTTATGGTGGAGGGTTCTCTACCAGCTTGTTTACTATGAGATGGGAGTGTTTCATAGTATGACATTTAGCTTATCTATCACCATGGAGAAAGGCAGGTCAAGTTACAGGTCAGATCTGTGGAGAAGCTTACTATTAAGAGTGCATGTTTATCAAGGGGTTTTTGAGCCTTTAAACAGCTGTAATAAAATATATACATGGAGTCAAGCAGGTGATGTACAATCCACAAGTTACGCAGTGTACCTTTTAATGAAATTTGATTTGTTATTACAAGTTTTGTCTCTATACTCTAGTCCTAAATGATGGGCACTGGTTTCAAAACTACAAAATGAAACATTTTTACTCATAAATGTATTAAAGTATGTTCATCCTCTACAGGCCAGCTTGTGACATGATCGTGATTATGAATATGTCTCAAGTTAAAAGAAAGAAGTTGATATTCTAAAACTTTTCTTAAATTATGGTAGCTGGTCTAGACTGTTGAAGCGTAATATTATAAATAAATCAAAAAGTTAAAGAAATATGTAGACCAGTGAAGCGGACAGAGGCTGTTAAAATTGAAATGCTGGTTTGAAGTTATGTGAGAAAATGTGCTCAATGTGTCGACTTGACCTAAAGGGCTTTGGGACCTGCTGGGGGATATCACATAATAGGTAGCCATTTCCAATAAAAAACATAAAAAGGCATTAAAACTGCAGGGTGTCTGTCAGTTTCTGCACAGACAGCGTTGCCAGAGGACAGAGGTGAGTGGAGAGTGACAGCGGCTGTGTTTTAGTGAACAGCTTTGAGGGCTCAGACAGAGAGAGGCCCTGATGGGGTGTGCAGAGCCTGGTTTACCAATGAAAGATGAGAAGTGGGGGGCTATGGCATGGCAAACTGCGTGGTGCCATTTAAGCAGCAAAAGCAGTACAACATTTAAAATATGGTGGGGCAATTAGTAGACTTTTAATCGAGTCTATGATCAAAGGTCTATCTAAAATCTAACCACTGGAAAACTGTAAGCCAATCCTGTCAGTAAAAGTGTGTGGTTTGAAGTAAAGATTTATTGGGCAATGTTTGTGTTGTGCACTGATAAAAAGTCTCTCTTCATAAAATAGAGACTGAAAGCCATTGCTTGTTTTTAATAAGAAAAATATAAATCAATACGAAGGAAAAATCAATAGAGCCTTATTTATGTATGAAACCTGTCCCCCCTGTGGTTTAGATCTAGACAACATGATATGAAATGCATGGGATTGTTTTTCTTCTCTCAGACATTAACATGGTTAAAATGTGCACTGTGAACAGTAAATCAATAAAGAGTCAATCTAACCATGATCAAAATGCTTACCAGAACAATCACAATGCCATATTTTTCAAAATTTGCCCTAAAATGTGGAGTTGTCTTGAAAAACAGACCAGTAAACAATCTATTTTGTGATTTTAGAGAATACTAACAAAAATTGCTACTATAAGAAGGTGATATGGACCCAAACCAAAAATAATACATCAAATTTCTTTCTAATCCAAAAACTCTAACAATCACAAACATTTCAAATCTCATTTAATAAATAGATTAGTTAATAACACATGAAAAGTGGTACAGTTTGATAGATTGATAAATATTTGTTTTTCTCTGGAAGATTAATAACCCGTGTGTGAAACGCATTGTAAGCTGAGAAACTGCCTTTGTCATCTTTGTGCATATACACCCAACTGTCATATTAAATACCAACTGTTTTAATTAAAACAGGGAGTCACACTGGAGATTTAGCGCCAACATTGTGTGTAAAAGCAGAGAGAGAAAAGAGGCGAGGATGAAAGACTGGGAGCCGTGAGACTTCTCAAACAAAGCAAACAGGTGTGATACTGAGGCAAGCAGGAAACTGGTGAATATCAAGGGAACATAAAGGTGACACTGTCTTCAACTAACAATCACCATAATTAAACTATTCAAGAAACTAGGCACCAATTCACTAGAGGTGTTAACTATGTATATATGTCTCTCATATATAATGGCAGTTACAATATAATATCTTATTGCAAGGTCCTATGACTAAATACATTGTTGGTTGAAGCAGCACCTTAAAAAGTGCTGCAAGAGAAAACTACAGAAGACCTTGCAATGTAGAAAGAGTGTAAACAAACACCCCAAAAAAACTCTTTATGAATTGGAACTTGACCGCAATGAAAGAAAATAAGTTATTAATGGACTGTGATTTGAGGCGAATGCAGGTATGTCTTCTTAAATCTCAAATTTACAGATGAGCCTTTTGTATTTAAATAAATCTGGATATTTCTTGACCAATATTGTAAATGTGCTCATCAGAAGGAAAAGAATACAAAATTACCAGAATCTGTGATTTATATTTGGTTACTTGTTTAAGAGACTTTAACTTTTGACTTTAACCAACTTTAAAGTGCAACTATTTTTCCTGACAGTATTGCTAAGGTTTATTATATCACTCAATAATAACTTATTATTAGGCTCTGACCTGTCTTGGTGTTTCCTCCCTTGTATCTAATTTTCTGAATGGCTTCCAGCAGCGCTTCCTTGTTGCTATGGGAACTCAGCTGGAACTCTGTCCGAGCGTCGTCGCTAAACTGAGCAATGGCCACCTGCAGAGACAAACACAGACAGGCATTATGTATTGTTTTTCTAATTGTCTTTAATCTAGGCTGAAGTTCACACTACAGGCTGAACTTGATTAGGCACAAGAGCGAGCTTTGTGGTATGGATATAGCATCGGAAAAGTAAAGAAAAGCATCAGACAAACTACTGTTCGGTATTGTAATGTAATATATTGCCCATAGATACACTATACTACCCTACAAAAGCAAAAGACCTTAACTCACTCAACTGTGAAACAGAGAAAAATGACTTCAAAGTTTCTGTTTTGTCCAGACAAAGTAGGGTAGTTGCTATAATGAAGAAATTTGTATGCGAAAAATCTTGAGCTCAAAATTGACCTTTGACCCTTAATGGCAATTCATGTATTCTGCCTTTGCATCATGAGCCAAAAATAAGAAGTCACGCAAAGGTAAAAGGCAGTAACTGACATGATCATTATTTGCTTGATTTTTTAACACCTCACCAAGTTCGAGTCATCACGGGGTTTGTTTGAAATGATATAAAACACCTTTGGATTTCCTATTTAGTGCTGATCAGGATCATATGGCAACACTTACACAACACAACAGTTTGACAGACAAGTTACTTTGCAGTGTAGTGTGTACAGTATGACTAAATGCACAAAATACTTTAAAGGGATAGTTCGGATTTTTTGACATGAATCTGTATGGCATCCCCGTCATCAGTGTTGTCCACATCGACACATGGCATCCACACCGACTTACCCCCCGAAAGCGTCCGGTGAGCCGAGATACTGGCCAGTTTTGGTGCTGAGGAAAGTAGTTCGGCAAGTTGTGTGGGGACTGTATACTAAAGCGTTTTTCTTCTCAAAGCAATATGTGTTCAAAAGAGTGATACATTTGCATCACAAAACCATCATCCTCTAAAAAGTCAGCCCTCATAATCGCTTGGCGCTATTTTCTCTCCGTACGTACCACTGTGCGCGGCCGCCAGGTGACAGCCGCGCACGGATCCATCTGTTTCTTCAGTTGTTCTGCAGTGTTTACATGCGCAGACCGCCGCCACGCGAGAGAGCTAACGAGAGAGCTAGAGCCATAAGTATAGCTTGTATAAGATACATATGAATATATCTAAAAAATGGTGCGAACTCTTGATTATCCAGGCTGTAACAACAAATCAAAAAATCCGAACTATCCCTTTAACATTAAAGATAATCTGAGTATAACTGAATACAAAGGTATATTTATTTAATGTGTTAAGACTCTGTGCCAAGATTTTAAAATAAAATATATTTATTAACTAAATCACAAACAAAACATACACTGTTACTGCCTTTTGCCTTTACATGACTCCTTATATTTGGCACATGATACAAAGATAGAGTACAGGAACTTTGAGCTCATTATTTTTCACGATATTTATTCACATGATAAAGGAGGTCTCAAAAACTCTCAAAAACACATTAACTCATTTTTGACCAATCATGATGTTACGGCGTACTGCCTTTGTAGGACAGTATAGGTGCAAGGTGCAATTTATAACTTTTTGGGTAGAGAGGTCTCCATTAAGCCAAAAATGTTGATATTGTCTTCTTCTATACTTTAACTTCTTGGGTTCTCTTTAAAGACCATACAGTAAATTGTGTATATCTTGTTGACATGTTTCGGCTGCTAGCTGCAAGCCATCCTCAGAACTGTCACTGGTGTTGGTGGTGACGTGTCGTAAATCAGCTGTTGTTACTTCCTGTAGGCGAGGTCAGCCTAGGACACTCTCCTCCAGAGAACACCGGGCGACTACAGGTGTGGTCAGTCTGAGCGACCTGCCAGGTTAATCAGACTGACCACACCTACAAGAAGTAACAACAGCTGATATACAACAGGTCACCACCAACACCAGTGAAGAGTTCTGAGGATGGCTTGCGACCAGCAGCCGAAACATGCCAACAAGGAAAATACACTTTAATGTATTGTCTTTAAAAAGAACCCAAGAAGTTAGGGAGGTCCCCATGTCTTCCACAGCATGGCATTAAACTAACTTATCTTGCATTTATTTATCCAATAGGCCTAGTGCTTTGATTAAACAATGCCATTTGTAGTATTCAAGACAAAGCAACTGCTGAGCACATGAGTAGTTAGTGCATCTTTAACATATTTCCATCTGTAACCTTCAAACCTTTGCCTTAGGTTTCTGAAATGACCAACAAAAACTGACAGAGAGACAGATTTTGGTTTCTAAAATGTGTGACATTCAATTCAAATCTTCTCTGTCTGCAAAACATCATTTTTTATCTAATTGTGCAGCCTGTGAAATAGAATAATCGTTAACAATAAAAAGCTTTGTATTACATAAATCCCAAAGTCAAATTTTAAACCAGAACTCTTTTGGTTGGGGCGTGTAACTATTATTGCCTGCAGACTGCTAATAGTGCTGTTTTTGGCTCAGGGTTAGCTACTGTTCTTGCCAACTCTCCCTTTATTGTATGGCCAATTCTCTCACATTACACCCCATGTTTTCCTTTGGTTTAGTGCCTATTGCCAGAAAATGGTGGGGTACAGAGAGGGCAGCTAATCATATAACAGAAAAATTACACAAAGTACAGAACAAATGAATCAGCTGAGTTTCACTGTCAAAGTGGGGGGCCGAGGCAGAGAGGAATGAAATTGGTTCATTACAGCTCGGCAATGGCGTGATTAACCAGTTAGACAACAAAGATTCGGGCTCAGCTGCGGCCAATTTTTATTTTTATTATTTTGATTTTTTTTACTTTTGTTGTTGTTTTTAGATTGATTGTGTTCAGCAATAATAAGCAAAAAATACATATTTGTTTATTTTGCAAGGCTAGTAATAAGGCTGAAGGCAATCAACATGCTGTTACCTTTATTGTCAGAGTTGAGAGTTGTGAAAAACACATAAAGTAATTGTGATGAATAATTACAATACTCGGAATGCATAAGGTAAGTGAGAAATAGCAACGGATCACTGCAAACTGTTCTGTTTTTCATTTAATTTTTAAGACAGTAAAAATCAGGTACAGCGCCTTTAATGGAACAGTTTTACATAATTTATACTGTGTAGACCTATTACTTTTAGAGAGACCATTTTATCATCTGTCCATGGATTGCAAATGAAAAAAGGAACATTTACAGAAATTGTATTTAATGAATACACAATGTCCCTGTCAAGTAAACCAATAAATTAAAAAATAAAGCAGATGTGCACTGTCTAGAATCGTCCTAAGTTGTACAATATTGTTATAACATAAATCCAAGCTACGCAGAATAAGTATTAAGTTAGTTTATAAATTACCACAGCAGAAAAAATAGCATTAGAAAGTTGTGGTCCAGTAAAAAAATCATCCTTACAGGTTGTGCAGAAGTGCCAACCAGTGCAGGCCTGATTGTACGCTCAATAAATTAAGTTCTTCCAGAAAGTCTCAAAGGTTTAAAGTTCTTTTCACTTCTGTAAACTTTTTAGATAAAAGTCTTTGGTCCAGCTGATTTCTCCAGAGGCAGACAAACAAAAGTAAAATCCACTCCACAGCATCATTCTGAAAACAAACAATGCCAATGGAGTCAGCCTTCCTGAAACAATTAACGAGACCAACACAAACAATTGAAAGTTCCCTTAAAAAGTGGTGAAACTTATAAAAATTTAATGCTGTGTAGAAGAGATGCATACTTAATGAGGTTCAGTTATAAAATTTGGACTAAAGTCACTGCCTTTGTAGCTTTGTGTCCTTCTCAAGCCCATATAAATGCAATAAAACTATTGGACAATGAACAATAAATTGAAAGAAAATCCAAAAAATGAAATCTGCCCTTGAGACAGTCTGCTACTTACTGGTCTTACTTATGCTCTGAATGAGTGACAGGTGAATTAGCACAGAATCACAGTAAAGTCAGATGCTGAAAATAACTTTAGTTGCCGCCTAAAGACACTGATAATTTCTAAGAATCTTTTTGCTTACCCGTTCCTTTCTTTATGGTCAGTGTTTGACATTAAGGTGGATTTTGCTTGACACATGAACTCTCAGAAGAAGGAAATAAGTGAAAATACTCAAAAGCAATACGTAGGTGTTAGCTACAGCACTGTATGTACAAGAATTGTGATCAAATAGAAATCACAATCTATAGTCTAAACCATTGTTTCCCAAAGACTGGGTCGCAAGAGATTTTTTTAGGGTCGCCTTGTCACGATCTGCATCTAGGTCTGCAGTATACAGTTCTGACACATGTTGAAATGTTAAAGGTTGTATAGAGGATTTTCCAAGGAACGAGAAATCCAGCGACTGTTTGTCCTTTTTCAAATGTTGCGCATGCGTGAAACCACCCCCCCTCCCCTACAGCTCCCTACGTAGAAACGCCTCCTCCCGCCTCCTCTTTACGCCAGAAACAGGTTTGTTTACAGCCGGTGCGCTGCACATGACTTGTAAACAACTAACTACAGTGTTGGTTAGGCAAGTGAGGAGCGGGGGGAGCGGGTGCGCGGACATTTCGTGCGCAGACAAGACGCAAGGAGCAGGGAGAAGAGCGGAGCAGGGAGAGAGGAGAGGAGAGAGGAGCGGTGCGTGGAGATTCCGTGCCCAGAGAAATGAGGAGCAGGGGGAAGAGCGGATCGGGCAGCGGGGACAGGAGCAGGAAAGGGGTGCAGAGAAGGTTGCGCGGAGATTCAGTGCGAATGAACTAGCTACAACACGCAGCAGCAAGCGGACTCTTTCTTTGCACTGAAAATTACGTTTTCAGACATAGGATATCGCTTTCGTGTCCTGAAAAACGTTTGTCTAGCTCTTGGAAATAAAGTACGTTTTCATAATAAGCAGAAGTGACCTGTCCAGGAGTAATTTGGCGACCAATGCGTCAGTCTTTAGACCCTGCGTCTGCTTCAGTTGCGCCATCGCTGGAATGAATCTTCAAGAATCACCTTAGTTTGGCTTCGCTGCTTTTCCCCTTGTCTTCTTCTTTCAGCAATCTCAAAAACGGACTTTCTTTTGCGGCTAACTGCTCCTGGATTCTTGTCTGCCATTGCAACAAACTTTGTGCTAACTGCGAGGAAGATATAGGTCAAAAAAAGCCGCTAAGAACTGTTGCGTTGGTGGAGTAAACAGCGTCTGTGCGGCTTGCGTCTGTGCGGCTTGCGTCTGTGCGGCTTGCGTCTGTGCGGCTTGCGTCTGTGCGGCTTGCGTCTGTGCGGCTTGCGTCTGTGGACTGCGTGACAGGCGTACGTAAACTACGTACCGGCGGCGCGCAGGCAAGTCAGTTACGCTAGAAACGTAGGGAGATTGATTGACAGCCTGTCAGCTAACAGATAACGAGGCAGTGTCGTTATCTATTGACAAATGTTTAGCTGGCCCCACCACGTCCAGAGTTGATGAATTTTTATTCTCTTTTTTTTGGTCATCATAATTACAAGGCTACTGCATCTCTATAATGCTATCATTGACAATTTGAAACAAAAAAAAATCCTCCATACAACCTTTAAGACATGTTCTGTACAATTTCTAATCTTTTTGTAATTATTTTATTGACTGTTTTGTTCCAGTATTGCTGATTCAATTGAATGTTGAAAAGAAAAAGAAATAGGCTACATTTAATGTCCAAATAGGTGACTTATGGATAGCTTTCATTGTTGGTTCACTGACTGTTTTTCATTGTTTAAAACTTGAGTAATACTAATTGTTCAGAGAGACACGATCACTCAGTCAACAATAAAATATCCTCTTTAATGCTGAATAACTGTCAAATCCACCTTTATTTTTAATTTACGAATAATGTCTATTTACTTGGTTTGCAAATGTTTGTGACTTTTAAAATATGGGTCCCCAGACAAAAAGTTTGGGAAACACTGGTCTAAACAACTGCAATATGATTTGTTTTTGCCATACTGACCATCAAGTAATACACATGTCAAATCAATATCTGACTAACTATACAGCTGAAAACACATTACTTTCCTTGGAAACCCTAGAAGAGAAATGCCAAAATGATACTCATGTCCACAAATTGCTAAACAAGCTTACAAAATAACCACAAAAGACAGGTTTTCACCAGCAGCCTATATGAATGTTCAAATAATATCATATTTCTTCAGTTAATGATTTTATGGGTTTAGCTTGGCTGTTGTTGGCAGAAACCCCAGCTTCTGCACTCTCCATAGGCATGCATAATTCACAGGATAATGCCATAATGAAGAGGACAAATCACAAAGAATGAAAAGAAATTTAAACTCTTGAACATATTTTAAATCTTTAGGGTAATTTATAGCATAGTTGAAAAGCCTATATTGTATTTTTCAGAGGATGCAGACATTAAGGCGAGACACAGGAACCACTAGAAGGCCTAAATGTGAATAACAGCACCCAGAAGACAGTCTATGCAACATAATTCAGACCATACCTCATCATTACTGTTTTACTTTTGAGGTGAAGTGTTAGAAGTTGAGGTGGGAGTGCATATTTTAGCTCTGGTAAGTTAAGCCCCGAACTTACTTGGGTGCCATCAGGTCCAATCAGATCAAGCGAACCCATGGTGCTATACAGGAAACGTGTGATCTTCAGGAAATTGTCGTCTCCAATGGACCAGGAACCATCCACCAGGAACGCCAGGTCAGCCTTTGCCTCCTTACACACTGCATACAGATACATACAGGTTAATACAGGCAATAGCTGCAGACGGCAATTTGTACACGTAATGCTAAGTGCTCTACAGAATGAAGGGGACATCAAAATTGAATATTAATTTGAATACAGGCAAAAATAAATACATTAAACACAAGTATTTTAGATTACTACTATTTTCTGATATATGTTATAATGTTGTTTTCTCATCAAAAACATACCTGGAGTTTTATTTAGTTCTTCTCCCAAACAGAAAACACTCAGTTCCACCTCTTGATGTCATGTGGTAATACAAGAAGTGCTCCACTGTCTTTTTAAAGTCAATAGAGTTTCACTACAATCATTTGGATGATTTCAGCCCTGGAATTGCTGTCACTCTTAAACGAAAGGTAAAAGGTAGCTGTTAACTTGAAAACTACCACTGGGTCTGATCAAGTGGTAATGGAGGGAAACAGGGGCAGATTTTTTACATTCAAATAGCTCTTATTCAGAAACTAGAGGGACTATTGAAATAAGTAAAGTATTAGAATGTAGGAAAGAGTTAGCACTCCAACAGGGTAAAGTTAACCCTGCGATATTCTTTCAAGTTGTTGACAAAAAATTTAAAACTCATGTCGGTAACGGAGGGAATGAAATATGCAGCACTTTTTGGGAAATAAATACAAACAGCGATAACTAGCGGTTCTCACTTACATATCCTTAACAAACTGGTTTGAATATTTGCTTAATATAGTTTTCTACCATATGGTACAAGATTAGGTTGAAAAACCTCTTACTTTTTGAGTAATGAAATTTTTTATTAAGAAAGGTCATGGTAACGGAGGGAAAAGTAACGGAGGGAAAATTAGGCAAGCAAGTAGAAGGTGCATGATTTTGCATAATTTGTCAGCTTTTTTCTTCCGAATACTTTAATATTACTTCAAAATGAAAGGAAACTATTTCTATAAAATATGTCAGTCCTTCCAAGCAAATTTTTATCATTTTAAATACATTTTGAAAAAAAAATCATGTACCTTCATCAACAGTTCAAAGATCGAATAACACAAGATATGATGAAATACATCAATTTATTTACATGATTTGCAGGTCTTTGAAATTTGGGAAATAATTTTTGTTCCATGTTGCATACATGGTCTGTTTTAAATGTATGTAACTTTAGAACCAAAAATGATACAGAAAAAAAGGTAAACAGTTTCATAAACTAGGGTACATATGCTATCTTGTTGAATACAGTTTTATATCAGATGCATTAACTTGAATTTTTGGCCTTGCTGTATACTTCTGCTTGACCGGGCCCCACTACATGACATCAGAAGGTGGGATATAGCATTTTGAGCTTTAGAGATGTAGACGGACTAATAATAAAGTATAACTCAAATTTGTGGGAATGAAACAAAACACTTTCATTGTAAAATGATCAAATGAAGACAAATCACAAGACAGAGCATGTTTAATATTAGATTAACCCTCAAATAGAAGTACAATTAGCAGTCTATAATCTCATCTGGACTGTTTTCTTTGGCTTTTATTATTATGATTTCTAAATAAATCCGCAGCTGTACAGTTGTTTAAGGTCAGGTATAACACATTATTTAAGCCCATTGTTTTTCAACTGTAAAACTCTGGAAAATAACATTTAACATCTTCTTTTGGTCTGGCACCTCATTGAAAAGCAGTCTGTTTCCTCTCTCTCCTCTCACCTATTGTCAACAAATGGAATAACACACTTTGTTATGCTGTGATTTGTAGTGTCATATTTTCAGAGGCGGTTTATTGTGCATGTCTTTTTCTCATGCTGGTAGTTTGGTCTTGACTAAAGGTTGCTTGTCATAAAAGAGAGATGCCATGGTTTCAAAAAGGTCAGAGTTAGACGGAAAAGCTCGCAGACAGCCGCACAGGGAGTCATTGGGTCAAGCCTTTACCTGAGCGCTCCAGACAGGAACAAATGAGGACAATGATCCCAATTCGGGGAGCTGCCCAGCCTCTGTTAGGGTTGTAAATCCACCCCAGGCTTGTCAGGTCATTTAAAAGACTCCTCAACTCTGATCTTATTTCATTCAAGGCATTCCAGGCGTATAATAAGATAGGGGAAATAAAGTTAGATGGCGTGAGAAGAGGATGTAGAAGATAAGAGTTAAGCAGATGATTTGCAGTGGGAACCCTTGAAGAGGTGGAATGAGAAACTAAATTAGTATTACATGAGTTAATTTTTGAAAAAAATTCACATATTTAACCATATCGTTTGAAACAAAACTCTAAATTACAGTAAGGACCAAAACATAACTTTTCTAGTTGTGGGTCCAACACCTGCTTGACTCCATAGAGATGTCATTGACTTATTTGGAATGTTCCACAGCATTAAACCTGCATGTCTTGCTTAAAAACACTTTGAAAAATATGCGTTCTTACTTAGAGAGGGCTCACTTCTCCACAGATCTGACCTGTAATTTGACCAAGTGGCGCCACCTAAGTTTCCATGTTTCCATGTTTCCATTACTGTTGATCATTTTAGTGCTATTCTGTTGAACATTCCAGGCAAAGGAGGAATAACATCTCAATGGAAACAAGCAGGCAGTGGACAATTAGTACAAAAGTTAAATAGTGAACAAAATAAATTGTATTTTTATTTGTCTTAGTACAGGTGCTTAAAAATCTATACCTCTTACTCTTTTTTATTTTGTAATGTATTTAAACAGCTGTAGACCAATCAATACACATTTCAGATGCCAAGCCAAAAGTAAAATGTACTTACAATCATTATAATTTAGTCAATATTATTAAAATACGTAGTAGTTTCTCACCTTCTTTGGCAGGTGGGATGGTGGGCGGGGGCTCGGTGACTGGAGGCTCAGTTGGGGCTTGAGTCGGAGCAGGCACTGAACAAAAACAACAGAGTGTCATCAATCACAGAGACAGTTACAAGTGGCATCATCTGGGGTTCATCTGCTGACCACACGGGCCCTGCCCCTGCTGATAAAGTGCACAGTATGAGACACCAATAACTTTCTTATGAGCAGAAAGTTTTCTAATTCAATTCCCAAGCATCAACAGGTGAGGAAAAGGTATTTGGAAAATCTATACTTTTTTTTTATAGTAACTTTGAATTATTTTATTTTATTTTATGATATGGTTAAATATACTACCTAGAACAATAATGCATTTCTATGTGTGTGAACAAAGACATTTCTCTCAATTTGTAGTCCTGGTTGTCTGCAACCCCGGGTTCCCCTGGAGCTGTGTAGTTCACTGTAGCTCATCAAGCAGCCAATGAACTGAAACTGCAACCTCTATCTTCTCCCTCAGAGAGGGGAAAATAAAAGTTTGATTATTGTTAAGTGGTGTAAGAAATTACTTTAAATCTCATTACAATTAACAAAATTATAGTTATAGAAGTTATAGAAGAAAGAGATTTGTAAGGAGCCTTGTAAAATATAAGTGTTATGATTTGGACCATTTGCAAATGTTTGAAGTGATTATTTTCTTATTTGTTTGTTGTTGTTGTTTTTTTTGGGGGGTTTTCTTACTACAAGCAATATGTGCATGTGTGATCTGTAAATCAATACTAATTTACAATAAATAACTAAATAAATAAACATTTAAACAAATAAATAAGTAATAGGTGTAGTGTAACTTACATGTCATATCAGTGATGGAGACAGCGGGCCCTTCCAGCTCCTGCAGCTGTGTGAAAACACTGATCTGGTATTGGCTGCTGGGAGTGAGGTCATAGAAACACTGACGCGAATCCCCACCCCCCAGGCTCACCTCCTGCCTCTGCCCATCTATGAAAATAAATGCATTTTAAAAGTAACTTTTAATATAACTCTATTTAAAGTTTTGAAAGACTTAACCAACATGTGACTTTATTTAGACTATTTTAGCTTTATTTTTCAACAGCATCACAGCAAGTTATCATGCAAGGTATAATAATCACATAAAATCACATAAAAATGAATCCGAAATAGTTGGTTTAGTCTATTAAAATGTCTTGTATGCTTCAGTTTGTTTCAGTTTTACAGTATAATAATGCTATGTGGAATAGATTTATAAACATAAGCAAGTTCGGATTAGCTGTCCTGATTTGACCATCCATTGTGCAAACTATAATTACAAAGGCAAACTAACTAACTCTGTGAACTAAACTTTTGAAACGAGATGACACAATGAAGAGATGCGACTCCAAATGTCAAGGACAGTATTTGATGACCATCTGTTAATTAGCCAACTCCACAAAGATATCCAAAGACTTTAAAGAATAACATTAAATCAAAGACAAGCAGGCTTTAATGGAGGGTACTTACTGAGGGTAGATTGTACAGAGACTCGGTATGAAGAGGCGTGTAGCAGCGGCTGCCATTGCACACACATACTGTTGGGACGCACCTGATAGGTCGACAAGCCTGACACTCCAAGGGACACTGGAGAGGTAGGAAGTCAGAAAACATTTAACCTTTGATAAAGAAAGGGTGATTCATTTTCTTGAGTAATCTTATCATTAACAATTCATATCCCAATGTTAGCTTTACACACATTGCAGTAAACTCCAAAATCAATCGCGAGAAATTGAAATAATATGGACTGAGACGGCAAATCTCAGAGGACACACTCTTTTCTCTCTTGCTTCGTTCTTGTTAACAGAATCTGCTGATGGTATAAAATAAAGTTGCTTGGCTTGAGTGTACATTGTCCCAGACCATATGGCAGGTAAATCTTATTTTAAATACTGAATAATTCATAGCTATGGTATGATACTATCATACCCCTGTAAACTGAATAATACATTTTACAAGCATAGACAAACACATCTTGTATATACGTATGTATAGCACTGCGTTACACGCATAGTGCATAGTTCAGATTCAATATATATTCTATTATTGATATCCAAAAGTGATATATTGGTTTCACTGTTTCCCTGCAGTTTAATTGACATGGACCCGAGCACAGCTAACTCAACGCAAAGGGATCACATAATCTCAGACGAGATAAAATAAAAGAGGATTCTTATCTGCAGATGATATAACCAAGAGAGCTCCAGTGCCTTCATTAACCCCAAACTCTTGACAACACTGCTCTGTATTCTGTGCTGTTCAAGTCATGGATTTCAAGCTATGGCAAGAGTGCTCCATCACCATAGCAATTAAACAATTCAAATCTATGAATCATTTTGCCTGAAAACATCAATATAAACTCAGCCACACAAAACAAATACAGAAGTATGTACTCTTTTTATTAAAGTAGCAATGATATATTATTATATTATTTGGAAATTTTAGTTGAGTTCATCATTGCTTTTGCCTTGAGACACTTTTTAAATTATAGATGAGTCCACTAAAGCTGTAGTATTTGTGATGGTCTGAGCCAGTGGTCTAATCTTCACAATTTGCTCCTTACTAAATGGCCATTTTGAGAAAGAAACAGTAAATAGCAGTAACCACAAACAAGTTATATTATATTAATATGTTATTTAAGAGATAATCTGTGTATTCACTTAAACCTGCCAAAGTTGAATGTACATCAGTACAATCTGCTGAATAAATAGATCAAGGGGAAGAATTAATACTTAACCTTTTCTGTGTTGACCAATCCACTTAGCATATCTCTTTATTGAAATGCTTTACTGTATCTACATTTTAAAAACAACTAAAGGGACAACTACTTTTGAAAACACATTTTTCATTTTGGTACAAACCAGGATAATGAACTCAACTAAAATTTCTCCATGACATTATTTTGCCCAAGTCATTAACAGAGTAAATGGCGAGGGCTATTGTTCTTCGCCAGTTTCTTCTTATTATTTTTATTATTAAATTTTATGCATGACTACATACATGTATTCCTTTACTGAGTTTGTTTAGACAAAGTTAACTCTAAACAACAGCGAATGACAAAGCAGTTTTAAAGTTTCAGCAGATTGAAGATTTCCTTTCCAAAAAAAAAAAAAAGATTGTGTGTGTTTCTATAAATCTTACTAAAACTTCATATCCGCCTACCTACATAGAGTATATTTATTTTAGAGCAGAGGAAAGTTTTGCTTATTTGTGCTGATGCTAAATCTATATGGAAAATTAGATTCTGCTCTTTCAGTGAGGGGAACGTATTAATATCCTTTGCTCTGTTTGCTAATGTCTCACTGGAAATTAGAGCATATGGCTTTGAGCGTGCTGTTAATTTACGTGTGCTACCTCTTTCTCACATCAACCCACTCCTTTGCAACACCCCAGTGCCAAACAACTTCACACTAATCTGAAAGTTAAATCTGAATAATAAGCTTAAGGATTTCACTCCGCCAATCTCCGTTGTATAATTAACTTTTGTCTTAACAAACATTCAATCTTGGATATTTCCCATTTATTTTTGTACTAGAACAACCATCCCCAGGGGCCCCATAAATGATTAAACTTGACTTACATGTCTTTGCATTAACTAGCAGAGGTTCGCTTTGTCCAGTGGAATAGGAGGCAGTCAGCTGGACACTGTACTCTGTCCCTGGGAGGAGGTTAAGGAGAACTAGAGAATTTACATCTTCAACAACTGTTGTCTCCAAAACTGGCCCAGAAACTGAAAATGATACATACAAAATGTTTATTAGATTTAACTGAAAGGGCTATTTTATAGTGAAGACCATAATTATGTTACAGGCTTACAGATTTGACCTGTAACTTGACCCGGTGGCATCACCTGCTTGTCTCCGTGGAGATAAATATGTTTAATGCCATACTGTGGCATATTATAGACAAAATAATAACACCTTGGAGACAAGTAGGTGTATCGTGCACTTTAACACAAACAAATGCATGTACTCCTCTGAGCAGCATGATAGAGGAAGCATAAATTACTTTTGCTGCTCACAGTCAAAACATTGTGATAAAAATAACCAGAAAATGTGAAGTAGGAAACTCAAAAAGATAAGCATTTGTTTAAGCATTTATTTACTGGGATTTGGACTGAAGAACATTTCCTCTGGCTCAAGTGTGTTTAAATTTAAATATGTTATCCAGCAGCTGTGCATCTTTGGGTAAGAGTGGATTTTCACAAACAAAATAATTTCTAACACATGAAAAGTGACCTCTGTTTTAAAAGATAAAGCTTGCCTTCTTAAAGATTAGAAAGAAACCTTTATTTGAACCAAAGGGGGAAAGTGAAGTGTCTAATGTACTGTTATCTGAAGTCTGCGCTAAAGTGGAAAAACAATAGCAAAGACAATAGCACATAAATGCCAGCAATTCTCTTTGAGAGGAAAAATCATTAAAAAGCAAAACATCAAAGTTTATGTTTTGTGTTAATTGGCGGTTGTTCTTAGAAAAGTACATTTAGAGAATCTATCCTAAAGCAAAGTCAACAATATTGTGTCTTTGTCCTGAACTGATGTTGAAAACAAAATAATTTAAGGGTGCACTGTGTAACTTTTCTGGTGGAGGGCTTTTCTCTTTGGAGATGTTATGTTATTTGCTTTGCCTGAAGGATTCACAGAATGGCATTAAACTTAACCTGCCATTGAACATTCCAGGCAAAGCAATAACATCCCCATTGAGAGAAGCAGGTGCCATGTCTCTCACCAGAAAGGTTACATAGTGCATCTTTAAGTAATTCAAGCAATACGGAGTGAAAGGCACTTCTCACTCCTTTTTAGGGCATAGCTTATAACTTTGTATTACGCAGTAGAGCCCGACCGATATGGATTTTGTTGTGGCTGATATGAAACCGATATAATGGGAGTTGGAGCTGCCGATAGCCGATATAATCGCCGATATATTTAGATGTAAAAATTCACTGAAAAAAACTTAGGTTTGGCTCTAGTGGATTTTAAACTGGGTTTATTTATTTTAGACCAATAGAAACAGCCTGTTTATGTGTGAGAGCTACAGTAGCTAATCGCTAACCTATCAGAACGAACCAAAACTAGCTTCAAAGTTGACATATTTCCAACACTCAGACTCCTCCTCACATCACAAGTCTGCACTAATAAATGTCCTTTTAATCCAGACTCAAACCGATTGTCCGTAAAAAGAATATAATCTCAGTGTTGCGCACATGGATCTATGTCTGCGCATGTAAACAAACGCACGTGACTCTGGGGGTGTGTTCAGGGACAGTACAGACACACAGACTGACAAATGACTCCGCAGATAAATACTGATGCAGAGGCACATATCTGGACATTTGTCGATCTGTAAATTGGATTAAATGAACATAATGTAGAGAGTCTAAGCTTTATAACGAGGTATAACATGCTCACGTGAAATATCGGCCCCTATCAGCAAGCATATCGGCCGATAGACGATATGCTTCCAGGTGCTCATATCAGCCGATAATATCGGCCAACCGATATATCGGTTGGGCTCTATTACGCAGTATATTATTGTCTTTTCCATTTTTGCATTCATTACAGTCACATAAGTTACTTATGTAGTACATGCAGGTTTAAAATTAATTAATTCAAAGATTTGGCTGCTTGGTGAATATGTTCAATAGTAGAGTGTGCAGTTGGGAACAAGGATCAAACTGCATAAAACTAAAAGCCCTGGCCCTGATTTTACCTCATGCATCTGTCTTGTGAGTGTGGTGTGTGTAGCTACCATAGATGGGCTGGTAGACGATCCTGTATCCCTCTGTTGGAGACTGTGAAGGATCCCATGAGATCTTGAAGCGGTTGTACCACTCCTCTGAAGCGCGCAGGTTAGTCGGGGATGAGAAAGGCACTGTACCAGACAAAAATAACCAATAATGTATTTCGGAAAGGAAGAGCCTCATTATCACCCCAAAATAATTTATATGTGAATAATAATCCCATTTGAGCCCTGCACTCTATTCTACTCAAATGTGTTTCAATATCCACGTTTTAAATAGAAATGGACTATATTCAGACTATAGTAGGCTGAAGCTGCACAATTTAAAGAAGATCTACATTTTTATTCTGTGCGTGTAATGGGGAGAGATAATGACAGCAATTTGGGGAAGAAAATGGCTGGATAAATCAGTTAGAACAAAGACGAATAATTCAAACAACTGATTAATGATTGAAAAAGGCAGCCATCATTATAAACACCCTTAATTAAGACAATGCTACTTTAATGTGCATTGTCCTTTGGGAATACAAAAGAAAATAAAATTACCGGAGAGCAATGTTACAATACGGTTGATGCCAAATATAAGGCAAATAAAGCTCATTAAATTTAAGGAGTTTTCCATTTCTGGCATCTGGGACTACTGCACACTATGTGAATAATTATTTCTGTGGATAAGTTATGAAATGGGTGTACTTAAACTTACATGTTGTGCCAAGAGAAGCCACAGTAATGCCTTCTTCTCCATTCCTGTACACTGGAGTTACTGTCACTTTATATTGTGTGTCCGCTAATAGACCTTGTAGCACAGTTGTCCTTTGACCGCCAGGAACTAACACCTAGACAATGGCAAAAAAGGAAATTTAAACATTGTATATCCATGGGTTTCAGAATGATGTAAAATTAGGACAGCTACCATAGTAAGTAAAGATGTAAAACAAAATAATCTATCTTTTTAGTGGTGAAAGATTAAAAAACCCATGAATAGTAAAGTCATTATTCCTATGCATTTACTGGGTTTCAAAATGCATAGTGCACAAATTTCTGAGGTTATGGAGAGCAGATTTCCAATTTTTCTCTTCAAATTAGGATTCAGTTCCCAAAGCATATTTTAAAAACTTCCAGGACCCTTAACATTTCAGAAAGGATTGAAATATGAACTGCTAAACCAAGAGTCTCATGCATTTCCAAATCCTAAAATATTTGCAGGGTTAAAGAGATTTTGCTGCTTGCAGAAGAAATCCTATTACCTAAATAATTTCTGGCTTTGTTATTTCATCATTTCAACCATTCATGTTGCGATTTTGATTAGCATTAACTGCTCATGCACGTCTGATCTCAGTGAATCTCAAATGAACGCTATTTTGATGAGGAAGTCCACTCTCAACAAAGTTCTCTTCAGCATACCTATCAAACTACTGAAACAAAGTATCCTGCCTTGCATAAAACAGCCACTTAAAACTTTCAGGACAAAAAAAGGTTGGGATAACCCCTATCTATGAGCCCATGGACAAGTTTAAAGCTTAAGTCCCATTTTCTTAAGTAATTGTTTCTTTTCTGAACTCTGTGTTGCCTCTGCACTTTCCACTGCTGCCCCCCATCTCTGCTCCCAGTGAGGTAAATGGCTGCTGAAAAGATAATAGGATGTCTTCTGGCTCGCCTTGGCCCTCCATCTTCTACAGCACGGACGGAAATTAAAAACAGGGGCAAAAGAAGAGAGGAGCAGATAGTAGGACAATAAAGGTCTGGAGGATCAGGAGAAGGCAGAGGAACTGAATGTGTGTGCATCTGTGCATGATTTAACAGGGTCAGAACATGGCACCGGCCTCAAGGACTCTTACCATGGAGATAGATGGATTAGAGAGGCAGGTATAGAAAGAACTGGGGTTAAAAGTATAATGAGTTTTATGATTAGAGCAGATGACCCACACTCATCATACCATGCATCAAAAGAAGTGCTACTAGACCTCATTGAAAGCCCAAGCATACAAGCATGTCCATACATACACGTTCTTCATAAATACAAAACCAGTTTCTATTGAGATGATGGTAAAGATATTGGAAAAACAGCAACAGTTCATACTGTTTATAATTATACATCCACAACAGGTACTAGATCCATAATTGATATGATTATTATGTTGGATGATTTGTCCATGAAATGTAATCAAACATTGTTTACTTCTTTTTGAGAATTGTCACATGAATAAAACTAGAACTGACTACTAATGTCAAATGCAAACGAAGTGTTACAAGTACAAGTATACCAAACAAATGAGTCAATCTATTTAACCATATTTCAAGGGCAATGACCTAAAATAATCTAATGTCACTGTTGGCAAAAAGTTCTAATAACCCTAACCCTATGACCATAAAGTTGTAAATGTTTTGTTCCTTCTCGCTGCAAATTGCCAAACAAGCACTCATAAAATGGATGAATATGTGCAGCAGGCATACTTATATTCTAGTGGACATTTAAATTTATTTATTGACTCTTAAGTTTCGATGGAATGATTGTTGTGTTCATGTGATGGTGAACCAAAGATTTTACACAGCCTTTATCTATATTACTGGGAAGTCCCTCTGAATAACTGCAACTAAATTACAGCTCAAAATCCACCTGTTCAAAGTTAAAAATTTCAATTACTTTAAAAATTTCAATTACTTTTACTATTTTTCTCATCTATGTAAAAAATGTAAGTGTCCAAAAAAGGATTTTTTAGGTTTAGCCACAGACACGAGGAGAATCTTATGAGATTTTAAATCTCCGATAGCAAAGACTGCTGCATATCACAGGCCTAAAAGTTGTGAGCACACCTCACGTCAGCTGTTTCGATTTTCTGTCTAGTGTAAAACTTTGCTTTGAGACTCTTGATGTGTCCAAATATCAGAGCATTGCACTTCTCATGTAGATGCAATTTAAAACTGTGTTAATGTTTGTAGTGCAATACTTCAGATACATGGTTTGTGATAAGTTGAAAGGAAGTAGAGTCTCGATCACTGATCAGTGAGGAGCTACTCTCGCCTTTTTACTTTTAAAGAACACTTCAAACCTGATTGACAGCACTGTTTTATGGACTGGGTGTCATTATTTGCAGAGGGCAATTTTTGCAGTGTAACTTTACAACTTGAAGTGAGTAATAATTATTTTTACTATACTGAGTTTGTATCTTGCGCCTTTGTGTCCATAACCCAGTTTGCTCTATTTTATTGGCTGAACTGTATACGATATGAAAGAGCAGCTCAGAATAGCACTGACACCACACACGTGAGGAGCACAGCGTCATCAAAATTGCACACAAAGACACAGAGTGGGGTCATGCCTCTGAACATGGGGAGAAGCAAATCGCAGCCTAAATCGGGCAAATTCTTCAGTAGCGTGTGGCGGCCTTAAGTTTGATATATTATTATTTATTACTTACAGTTTCCTCTTGTTGGTCCTCTCTGAGGGCAGCGTATGACACCTTAAAGCTTTCCACGCGGGAGTCTTCCAGCTCCCATGATGCCTCCAAACTCTCGGTGGTCTCATCACTCAAATAAAGGTTTTTAACCGCCTGCCGGGACACTGAAATAACAAGCAACAGAAAAGTAGGTGATTTTTCAAAACACGAAGCCTATTGCCTATTTTATCTCTCCACTGTATATTTTACTTGAACTGTGAATCAGAAAAAAGTCAAATGCCAGAATAATAACTCAACTGTAGCGTAAAACTATATTGTAAACAGAAGCAGAATTATGTTTTACAAAATGTTATTGCTACGTGTAAGAGCTTTTTGTTTTATTTATGAATGTATTTTTTAAATTGCTGATTTATTTGTGGAATCAGAATTACTTTTTTTTTTTTGCACTGTTGAAAAAGAATATTATAGACCACACCATGTAAAGCCCATTGAGACAGCTGTCCTGTTACTTGTCACAAACAGTTACTGCAGCCTGCTATTTTAAGTTGTTGTTTACAATGGGTACAACTGTTGTTTTACGTTTCTAAGAGAGTAAATTAAAGCTTAACTTAAGGAGACATGTTGCTTTTAAGATTTGGAGTGAGTGGAAAAACTACTCAGACTCAATTAGCTGTAGCCTGCTCTTCACGCTAAACACAGTCCAGATGGCCCCTGACATAATCCAGCTAAAGCTACTTTTGCTTTTTACGCCAACATGCTAAAAGGTCTCTGTGAGAATAATAGCATTTCAATTATTCATTCAACTAACAATTACAGCTACTAGCAATTTAGCATATCATTGTGAACATGTTAAAAACAAGAGCTTTTGTTGACTTTTAATAACTGCATTTGGCAATAGTTATTTGCTCATAAGACAAAACAATTGTTCATCGCAAACATAGCACACAAAGAAGCAAATAATCAAAGTTATCTGGCTTGTAACCATTGGGCATGTATCAAAACAGCAAAAACATTTTCATGCAAGTTGAGAGTTAGAAAGCATTAGAAAGCACACCTGCGGTTGTAGCAGCAATAGTTGTTGTCAAGGCCACTGAGGAAATAAGTATTAAACAATTAGATGGACACTGGTTTTCTCTGTGCAAAGCAAATCATGCAGCAGCAAAAACACATCATGTTAAATTATTATTAATTCTGTTATCTTATGTATGGTGTGATTCTTACATGTGTTTTCTATCAGAGAAACAGTGTCGCTCTCAGACTCATCATTAAAAACAGCTGTCAACATCACCTCGTACTCTGTGGATGGACGGAGACCTGAGAGGAGGTACTTGTTATCGCTGCCACTCAGGATCACCTGCACAAAACAGAATAAATAAGTAAAAATAAATAAGTAAATACATTCAGACATACATACATACATAAAAACACAAATAAACTAGAGAAAAAGTAACAAAAAATGGTCAAGGTTAAATGTAAATGTGAATAAGATTTCACTCTGTTAATCGAAATGGTTTCTGTGTATACTTGGCCACCACACTGAGCCAGATGCTGTAATGTAACCCAAACAAACTCTAGTTAAATTAGTAGACCCTAAAATGAGTTAAAAACAGCAAGGTCATTTAAAGTGCACACAGTTTCCCTGAAATGAGATTTAAAGGGGAATTTTACTGAAAATGACATAATATTCATAGTTACATGCAAATGTCGCTGGTCAGATTTGGAAATCATGTTATTCCTGGAGCAATTCCGTGTGATGATCCAGTCTTTCCATTTTCTATTCTCTCTGTGTAATATTGTGATTTAGATTTACACGCAATTATAACTAGCAATAATAATAATGTATTCAGTATGCAAATATTTAATTTAGCTTGAAAATATAAAAAAATAATTCTATGTGTACTTTTTAATTTTCCCACAGAGCTATTTATGTAAAAAATTGAAGTACAATTTAATTTCAGAAATCTATGGGCAGTATTGATGTGCTGCCTTGTCCACAATCCAATTTAACTTTCAGAAAATTAATTATAACACGATTTTACAAGCTACTTATTTCCCGAGTTAAGACTCATGGTGGTTGGCAGGTCAAAAAAAAAACCTTGAAATTGATGTATGTTTTACTTAAAAAAGTAACAATGGCACTGTTCATTATCAGAGCAGGAATATTAATTACTTATACTGGAGCAAAGTTACTAAAATGTCTAGAAACATTTTATTTCAAACCAGTTCTTACACTTGTTTTTTGTGTACACATTTTTATTGACCAACACAAACCTCTTTGGTGTCTCCACCGATGAAAGGAGCCCAAGAGAGACGGTAAAGGACGATGTCACTGGCTGAATGATCCCAGCTGACCTGGAAACTGTCCGCTGAAATATCACTGGAGCGCAGATTCAGGGGGCCGGGGACAGGAGCTGGAATACAACAAAAATATATAAATAAACTGTCAGAACCTAATATCGACTACCATGATATTAAATGAAAAAAGAAAACTAAAACTCTTATTAAATGTAAATAAATGCCGTATAAACATAAAACATATTAAGTGCAGCAGTCGCTCAGTAAGTGGAGACAATCACAACCCTCTGCCTTAGCGAAAAGGAGGGTCTAAGGACAAGATGAAAACAAATGTTCTATTGGCTTGTTTTCTATGAATGTTGGTTAATCTCTCTGTCTGTTATTGACCAATGTCTGTTTCACTGCTGGATTTTCTAACGTTCTGTTGGCTAAATCAGTGGTCTTGTTAAACCCTAAGAGGCAACTGCTTTTGTGATTTGGGGCTTTACAAAAATAAATAGAATTTAACTGAACTGAACCCCACATCTGGTCATATCATATACATCATTGCTGGGTCATTGAGCAAGACACTTTCCTTACCCCCGAGTTCCATTACTTTAAGTTCTTTGAGTGCCCAGTAGTATGTATTCACTATGAGTACAACATTTATATTATACCAGCAAAATTCATGGTTCAGATTTAAATTTGTAACAGAAAAGACACCATTACATTTGACATGTATTGACAATGACGCTGACCAGTGCTTAAACTAAAGACAAAAATGAATAAATGCCCTTGAGAAGCAGTGGTTTAATAGCTCTCTGCCAGAAAACATTTCTTTGAGCTGAGTCAGCACTGAGTCCAAATGCTTGTTGCTGTAAGGGATATTTCCACAAATCAATAAGTGTTAGTGTGATGGAATATTCAGAGACAGTGAAATGACCTTTTAATGCGGCTGGGCGATTTGCTGAGGTGTAAACGAGGCAAATTCACCACTGTTGAAAGTTTTTTGAACAAAGAGCTAACGGCTATGCTTTCTAATAAAACTGATGCATCTTACTGAGGAAATTAAGACAAAACTGCCCCAGAAAGAGATGCTACTTGAAAAATGGGGAAGCAATAATGATACTGACAAATTACATTCAAAGAAACAAATGAAACTGATTTATAAATGCCTCGAGTTACCTGTATGAATTCTAGTTTGTTACCTTACAGTACAGAGAGAAAAGTCTTACGAGTAGTAAATGCATCAGTGAGAGGCTCTGATTGGCCTTCGTCGTATAATGCAAAGATGGCCACGGAGTATTCCATTAGAGATGTCAGTTCACCGAGGTCATATGTGGTCACGGGGCCCACGACCACCTGCAGAAAACATCCGATAATGAACTCTGTGCAAGTCAGTTTATGCATGCAAATACATTCAACTTCACAATGTAAATAGTTTGGCAATTCCATGAAAAATAATGTGATTTGACCCAAACTTTAGTTAGGTTGTCCCTCCTGTTTACTATTAAAACTCCAGGAAGTCAGTTCTATGTTTCAGATGACAATATCTCAAACCAACATCTCTCCCTTAAACCCTTTACCTCCTTTGCCCTGGAAATGTTTTTATTTCTCTATAAAAGACTATTTTAGAGACACAGTAAAAAGGTGTCCTGGTTACCTCCTCTGTTATTGCTGCATCTGTTTTTTCCCATGAAATGCGGTATCCTTTGACTCCATCCGGGGCAGGGTCCCAGCTGAGGCGCGCCGAATTGTGAGTGATATCAGAGAACTGGAGATTACTTGGTGGACTCAGCGGCACTGTAATAAAATGGATAGGAACATTTGTAATAACAATGTAATGGTGACAAGTAGCAAAAGTAAAAGGAGTGCACAAATTACATGTAGTTTCCTGATTTGTGATTGGCTCGCTGGCTTCATCTCCGAACATGGCATATACAGTAACAGTGTATTCAGTTTGAGGAGTCAGTCCATCCAGGTCTATCTCTGTCACTGCATCTGATACTTTCACCTGTACAAATATAACATAGTTTTATTATTTGTTAATATTAAGGCTGCAAGATCAATTAAATGTTTATGGAAAATTGCAATTAAATAGGTAACTTGATTTTCCAAAACAACTAAATATGTTGTGTACAAATTTAATGAACACATCTGAACTTCTGAAATCTGACATGCATGTGGCTGAGTTTGTTTTAGAACATGGTATATGGTAAATGGTATTTATTAGGGGTGTAACAATAACCAAATCTCACGATACGATATCTTCACGGTATGAACCTCACAGTATGATATTCATTTCGATATCATGGGAAAGCTCATGATATGGTGGGGAGGCTCACAATTAGGGATGCAACAATATTCAAATCTGTCGGTACAATATTTTCACAATATACATCTTACAGTATATTTATTGCAATAGTTTGTGGAGGCTAACAAAACTGTTAATATGCTACTTTTTCCTCTTAAATGCCTTGACAAGACTTAATCCAAAGAAATAAGACTTAGAAGTGCTTAGAACTGTTATTTCTTCATGTAGTCTTCACTGAAATGGAGCAAAGGATCATGGTCTATGTAGTTCCCTCTGTCTTTTTTAAGAGTTATGGTGCAGCTATTACTGACCCATAACTCTTAATTTAAGCAAAGAAACTTATAATTCAATATCTATTGTGATGGCCCATGATATTTTTGTGAGAACTTTGATGATACGATATCATGATATTTCATTTATTTATTTATTCATTTGTATAGCGCTTTTCCACCTTCAAGGAACTCAAAGCGCTTTACATCAAGGAACCGCTCACCCATTCACACACACACTCATACACCAGTGTACGCAGAGGGTTGACGCACTGGATTAAGTGTCTTGCCTAAGGATACAATGACAGCATTCATCTGTGGGAGCTGGAATCACACCACCAACCTATGGGTCAGTGGATCTGACCACTGTAGATATCTACATTACCTCTTTTTCATTCACTTCGGGGTCATAAGAAATCGGTGCATATAAAATCATGTATCCTGAGACGTCCTCCACACTGTTCCATCTCGCTCTCATTGAGCTGTGAGTAACATCGAAGAGCTGGAGGATAGTCACTGCGGGAAGAGCCACTAGGAAAACAAAACAAAACACTCAACATTGAAAATATACCAACTTTCAGCATCCAGGAGTAAATTAATAAACATACAGGTAGTTTCTGTTCCTCTCAGGGCTTCACTCCCCTCATTCTCATAAACAGCAAACACTGCCAGCTGGTATTCAGTGGAGGAGCTAAGGTGCTCCAACAACACAGATGTTTCAGTGCCATCCACAATGACCTGGAGTTTAGGGAGTTGCAGGTAAGAAACATGCAAAAGAAAAACTGTTAATTCAGCAGAAAAGGAAGAGAATACCATTTTATTTTTTATAATCATATTTTCGCTGTCTGCCAGAAATGCACCAAATAAAGCCTATAAATGTCTTGGTCATACATTTTCAATTCACAATTTCAGTATTTTCTTGTGTAGACATAGCCTTTTCAACTTTGGATTTAGCAGGAAACGTATTAGAATAATAGAAATGTCAAAGAGTGATTTAATTTTTGATTCATGTGCTGATGTATGACAGGCATGATTCAGATGAGCTGATATGAGCCAGCTGGAAAGGAAATCTTGCATGCAGCTTTGCAACATCTGGCCCCTTAAACCCTGCTATGTAAGGTGAAGATTTAACAGTTTCTTTGGCCTCATATTGTGGAAAATCAAACAGGTGCTTGGACCAGTCATTCTAGTGAGTCTTAATTACCTGCTGCTTCATGAGAGCTGTGGGAATTTATGAATGGACAAATGATAGTGGAGCCGAGATGAATGATACCACCAAGTCTCAAGGAAACATGAGCTCAGTCCTCACACATGATGCATACAGTTCCCACTTGTGTAATAAGTGTAATGGAAAAGCAGCACACGGCCGAATAAACCTAACCAACCAAATCAAAAATAATACATATCTATTTTCTCCTGCTTTTAAAATTTTATGACTTCTTTTAAAGTTTTCTATCAAGTATGAATTATAAACATTGTTATACAGTCATATATGTTTTATGTGTTAGTGCATAATCCTTCTTATAATTTGCATATGAATCTTCCACTTGAGCATAGTTCATGTAATAATAAAGTAGATATTGTTAGATGAATCACCTTGATTTCTCTGAATTTTTATAAAAGAACGTAGGGTACGATGGATTATGCATTTTGTTTTCGTAGGGTGAAAGTTTTCCAAATAAAGTTATATAAAATAATCTTCTGGTAGCATGCAGGATTAGTAATTATATACAATGTATTTCAATGAATTTGTTAAAAAGGGAATCTGATATTTTGATGTGTAAAATTCATTGTACCTCCTGAAGCTCTCCCTCCTGAGCAGAGTACACCACTCTGTACTTCTCCACGTTTCCAGGAGCATGCCTCCAGGAAACCCGAAAGCTGCGAGCCGTGACCTCTGATGTCTCCAGGTCTAGAGGAGCCCCCACAGGCTCTGGGACATGTTCTACAAGAAAACAGAGGATTAAATAAAAAGTAGGCGTTACTGAATCACATATAACTATAACTTATTCTGTATAATGATAGTTTTCATGTGTGATTTCTAAGAGGGTAAATATTCCATGGCCTGCTCACTCAAGTTAGACTCAAATGTTTGCTTAGTTAACACGATCTAAACATATAGCTGACATAGCTATTGACAGTTTGAACACCTTTTATGTTTATTTAAAAAAAAAAAAATCTTAAAGGTGTATTGTTAACGTTTCTGGTGGAGGGTCCGTCAAATGCTTTTTTTCAGGGAGATGTGATGGTGATTGCTTTGTCTGGAATGATACACAGTATAGTATTAAACGTTTCTATCTTCATGTAGACCAAACCGGACCAAGTTACAGGTCAGATCTGTGGAGAGTCAACGGCTCACAGTCATTTTTGAATAACAGAGTTGTTTAATGTCATACTGTGGAACATTCCAAGCAGAGCAGTGACATATGCATAAAAACAAGAAGATGACGAACTCGAACCAAAAAGTTGCACAGTGCACCTTTAAGTCATCAGACCATCTAAAAATGTTTGTGTCTCTGGTTCACTATGGTAACTATGAACTCAGAGTCATGTGACCGAAAACTATCAATATAATTTCACACTTACTCAGTTTGATATCCTTGTCTTGCTGCTCCACTTGTTCACACACAGTCCTGGTCAGTCCAGTCACAATCGAACTCATGACGTTGAAGTCCGCCACATTGTAAACATGAGTGTCAGGCTCAGAGGCAATGGACCGCAACTCATTCTCATCCGCATTTTTGACACCTAGGATTTCAAGTACATTTGAATTTTAGTCCATTATTTCCAAACTACAAATTGTGCAGAGTGTGTGAACAAGTTTTACCGATAGCGAACAGCTCCACTCCCGCATCTCGCAGACTTTCAGCGGGCGGTACAACATCATCCTGAGATTTTCCGTCCGTAATGAGGATCCCAATCTTAGGTACACCGACTCGAGAACCAGCCTCCGGTTTGAAGCAGTTTTCCAAGATGTAGGTCAGAGCAAGACCTAAAAATGATATTGTCAAGAAAGTGGAGGAGAGGAAATAATGGACTAATCTAAAAATAGGGAGGAGTGAAACAAAAACACCCCAAAATTACCTGTGAGAGTGTTTCCACCTTTGTAGGGTAGATTCTTGACAGCATCAATAACTGCTTCTTTAGTGCGGTAGGTGTTCAAATGCCACTCTATTCTCGGATCTCCGCTGTACTGAGCAAGGCCTAAAATGTGAACAAAGAGACAATTGTACTATTATTTTTAATAATACAGAAAATTACATAAAGTAAAAGTAATAAGATTTTACCTATTCTTGTCTTGTCAAAGGCCACATCAAAAGCATTGACTAGGTTTTCCAGGAACATTCGAACCAGTCGGAAGTTGAGTCGACCAATGCTCCACGAGCCATCAACAAGAATGACAATGTCGGCTATGGCCTCAGTACGGCAAACAAACTGGTCCACTATGGAAAGAGAGAAAACATTTGTATAGTCAGATAACAGATGATAAAATCACACAAAAAATAAAAGTCTGAGTTTGTAAGTTATGCAAGAACAATTAATTCTTCAATTCAAAGTGTTAAATGACAGATGCTTACACAAGATGCCACAGAAAGACACAAGTCTATAGATCTGCCAAACGGTGTAGCTGTTTTCATATATCAATGCCTTAATTAAAAGTTCACTATGTAACTTTTCAGACAGATTCTCCTTTCTCCATGAGGATGTTATTTCTTTCCTGATAAAGTACAGTATGGCATTCTAAGAGAAGACAAGGTGTGATCCAAATGGCAGATATTTATGTTGTCTGTGGTGTCCTCTGCATATCTCTTTACAATTTACTCGACAGACAACCACCAGTGACTGCCATTGCTGTATATGGATGAACACATATTATAGTGCAAATTAACATACCATGTATATAGAGGTTTTTTTTATTAGGACTCAGTGGTGCATTAGTGTCTGAAACAACCTAGGGTCCATCATTTAGACTTTAGATAATGTAGAGAACATCATTATGAAAAAAAGACTTGTTGTAAATTGTTTTTACATCCAAACTTCCAGCTCACGTCTCTGTGTCTCGCACACACATCTGTCTTACTTAAAGAACTGCTTATCAGCTCAAGATGACACCTAAAAGTGAAGAGCCATTTAAGTCATAAATCTTTATTTACAACAACTCCTAATCAACAAAACCGAGCATGCTGACAGACTGCTGACGGCAGGAGTTGAGCTGCTTTGAGTTAGTTAAATTATCATGAGAAAAAAATCCCTCCTGCTATAAATAAAATTGACAGGTAAAAAAAAATGTGGCTGAATGATTTTGCAAAAATATCAAATTATTATCAAATCTGTTTTTTCTATGTTCTGATTGTGTTTAGATTTGGAAGTTATGTTTTAAAATTAGATTCACAGCAGAATGGATTTTTAGAATTATTGTCTGAATGTTACTTTTCAATCATAAAAGAGCAATAATACAAGAGAGAAGACTGAAATACAAACGGCACACGACAACAAGATTCAAGGACATTTTTATACTTTCTGGACTACAGGGTTAGCAGGTTTTATAAATAATAAGACTTTATTGAGACAAAATATTGTGGTGTAGGACATTTATTAGCTAAAAATTGCAGCCTGCCACAAGTCAATTTGCGATTTGGATTCAATTGTGATTTATTTTACATACTGGGATTGTAATCTTTATACTTTTCAAGCCACTTCGGCAGTCTCTTTGGGAAAACTCTGTCCAAATGAAAAACCTAAAAGTGGCGCTGAAAGGCTGAGCGAGAACAGGAGCACTTTGTGTCTTATTGTAGTTGAATATTTCAGAGAGAGAGAAGGAAAGGACGAAGAGCCAAAAGCAAAACAAACCAGCATGACCACCACCTTTAAGGAAACTCACAGGTGAAGATTTCAAACAGGGACTCAACACAGAAAGGGCTCTTTCAAAAGGACAAAAATAGACAAGTGAGGGGGGCTATTGAGCGACAGAATGTCACTCAGAGGGTATCAGCATTTACAGTGCACATAAAATTGCTTTGAGGATAAAATGTGAATATCCAGTTTATGATGTAGAAAATGAAAACTTTTTTTTATGGTTTATCAAATTTAATAATTATCGTTCAATACATGATAGATGATTCTTTGCACTACTGGGAAATTGTTGTTTATATTTTGGCTGTAAGACTTGGGCCATAGAAGATTGAATTAATAACTTCTATGGCTCATTACTGCTATTAATTTATTTATTTATTGCATCAATTTTTTTTTACAATATTGTAGATTTAGAAGAGTTTTTATGGTATAAATTTGCTCTTGGGTTATTGTGTCAGTGGCTTAGATTAGTTTCAGTATTATCTTTTATCGTCTATAATTTCTTCAGCAATTTATCGAGCTATAAAATTTGTTATTGTGAGTGGTATGCAAAATTCTACAAAAATAGCTAAATAAAAACACAATGGAACCAAATTTTGTGGGTCATTTCACATTTTTATGATGCTTAAACCTTAACTAACATAATTACAAACAAGTTTTAAAACATTTCAGTTACATTGGTAATATAACTTCTGCTTATCGTTATCAGGATATTTCATAAAAATGTCAAGATATTCATATTAGCCAATAGAGCCTGACGCCCACCCTTACTGTCAATATAACCTATATCTAGTGAGCTGTGCTGAGGAAAACATTGAGCAGTCAGACGCAGAGCTGGGGGTGATAGAGCAGAGGGAGAACCAGTGGCAGAGATTGTAAACAAAAGATTAGAGGATCAGTAATTGCAGCTAATTACAGCTCACTGACAAATACTGGCAAAGTTAATAACTGATGGAAAGTCCCAGAATCACACACTGGTATTAAGAAAACACTACAGCACCAAACAAGATTGACAAACTTTCCAGCTCAATTTCATAATATGTTACAAATTGACCACTGTTTTGGAAAATAATCCATGCACTGCAAAAATAAATCAATTAGCTTCCAATTTACTCACAAATTTGGCTGTCTGAAATACAACCAATGCACAAAAACATGCCAAGCCTATTGTACATCTACCCATTCTTATGATGTTTATTGTACATTTTGTGTTTTATCTGCCACTATATTGCACATTTTAAATTTGAATATCACCGTGGAAACATAAGGTACTGGCTGAACTGCACATGAACCTGATTTGCATAGAGGCACGGGATCAGAAAAGACATTGCCATCCGCAGACCTATTTAGATGTGAACACACAATTGGCCGCGCCCCAAGCCTAATTGGCAGGAGCACGCGTGATTCGACAGACTGTCCACCTGGTGCCGGCGAGCGAGCGGCCACATTTTACAACCCACAACCCACAGTGCAATCTGCTGTGCTGTGGGAAAAGCTACCAGACAATTGAATTAACTGTGGGAGCAAAGAATGGTTATTAGAAGGAGCCGGCCACAAAGGGGTCCACTGTTCAATGGCTCTAGCTTTGAGCTTGAAGAAAGAAATCCATTGACAACAGCTGTGCAATGAATCGGATATTTAATCGTGGTTGTGATTATTACGCCAATAAATTGCACAAATGGTACATTCAAAAAGGGTTGTCAAACTATATACTAAAACTACTAAAACTAGATTTTAACAAACATGGATGCTAAAAAGTCACACAGGATAGTTTTAAAACCACATAGTAAGACCTAATATTTAAGAAACTACTGTACTGATATTTTGTTTTTTTATGAGTTCTATCATCTAAAAAAAGACTATTTTAACTATCACTACAAATTTCAAATTCAATTCATTTACGACTGACATGTGTGTCTTATGGTAGCAGGGCTGGCGCCATCTAATTTCATTTCTCTCCAGCAACTAGGCCAGGAATCGGTATACACTAGTTAGTTTGCAAGAACCCCAGAAACTGTAGACCGCACACCAGCCAATCAGTGAAGAGCTGTGAAGCCATGACGTCAAACTCAAGCGCCTGTCTGGGTCCCTTTGTGGTACAGCACAACAGTAAACAAAGCAGTCGAGATGGATGTAGACAAAGCCATACGTTCTTGTGTTGGCAATGAATCCCGAGATCAAGGATTTAAAGCCAGAACAAAGAGAATGTTTGGTGAATTTTATCAAGGGGAAAGACGTTATTGCCCTTCTTCCTACGGGATTTGGGAAAAGCTTAATATACCAGTTAGCTCCGTTAGTGGCGCATTACATATGTCATGACCAATCCAATCCAATCCAATCCACTTTATTTATATAGCACATTTCACAAACAAACTGTTTCCAAAGTGCTGCACAAATACATAAAAAATAACAACAATAAGATGATAAAGTAAACAACTAAAATAATACTAGTCTTAAAGTAATAAAACCAGTAAAATAAAATAAAACCAGTAAAATAAAAATAAAACTATATCATAGAATAGAAATAAATAAACCAATAAATAAATTAAATCAGTAAAACCAATAAAAACACATAAAAATAATAAATAAAATACACAGAGGACCACACAACTCACGCAGTGTTCAAAGCCAGAGAATAAAAGTGGGTCTTCAGACGACCAAATAGCAGTGATTGGTTAAATAAAAAAGTACCCGCCTACCGTCGAGCGAATGAATCCTAAAGCTGTGAGGTCAGACTGTTTCCACAAAGTGAAACCAGCTGATGAATCAGGCTAGCTTTATGGTAGCTTTTAATATGATTCACAAATGTGTTCTTCCTCTGCATATTGACTTTTTGCTGTATATACATTTCTAATTTGCTTAATCAGATCACACTTAACTAACTTAACATGATTTTTTCTATAATTGAGCAGCCCGATCATTGACGAAAGCACTACACTAAACTGGCATGTAAGCTATTCACACAGTTCAAGTATTGCTTATTGACAGTACGCGCGCACAAATAGAGCCTGACGTGACACGAAGCCAATGTGGTACTCTAAAGGAAGACAAATTCATTGCAGACAATCAGCACAATGCCAAGAAATCTTCTGCCAAGAAACACACAATTATATAGATCTGCAGAGTCAATACTGGACTGTTTTTGAAGTGTAGAGCAGTGATACAATAGAAGAAAATCCAACTCACAAACATGCACAACAGATAAAATACTCCAGCTAAGACCAAACCAAGCTTAAGATCAAGAGATGAGTCCCCGAGTGCTGTACTTGGGTTGCAGTGTATCCTTCAGTAAAACATACAGAGAAATGAGTTTTATCCACTACTGCCTTTCTCCATTTCAGAATCAGTTTATTGCACAGAAATAATGTGTTGTTAAACGCGTTGTTTGGTCCTCTTTCTCATTAACAGTGGCTTTGCCCAGTCTTGATTTAGTGCTGACCTCTATTTAGCCGGAGATCAGACTGAGCGCTGTCGTTTCAATCTCTCTGGTTAAGTCTTATTTCCCTCGTCGCTGTGATTGTGTCCCGGCCTCTGCAGCGAAGTCGGTGACAGGCATTCAGATAGATGGGACCAGGCTAACACCCCCACA